TTTCTCGTGCAATTTATAATACGTTTAGTAATTTTATGAATCTTACAGATAATAAAAGTCTCTCTGTTGCCTACAATATTATAGTTTAGCTATTAAAACCATTTTATTCATGTGGAAAACTACACCTTCTCAAATGAGAACATCAATGTGCTCATGAGAACATCGATGTTCCCAAAAGAGCACATCCATGTTCTGTGAGAACATCAGTTGTTGGGACGTAGTGCAAGCACAACAACTATTCTAACAAAGATTGGAGAACATTGAACAGGAGTTGTCCAATCTTAGCAAACAGGTCAAGGAATGTGATGACAACCAGATCGAAGTAAAAGCTATGCTGCAGCACATTGTTCAACAATCTACCTCTTCGAGCATGGCCAATGTTGCGAGACTAGATGGAGTGATATGCCGTCCAAGCAAAGCAGACAACAAACATCTGGAGGAGCTTTCTGTTGAGCTATGCATCAACGTCCTTGAGGAGCATCGATTAGGTGGAAAGAACCTTGATGGCAAGAAGGTCTGGGAGCTTGTCAAAGATGCAGCATACAACCAGGCAAAGAAAGCTGACAGACAGTTCCCGAATATCACTTTCAGCAAGCTGGACGGCAGGTTTTAAGCCTTGTTGGTCAAGACCGTCATTAACGATGTAGCCAAATGGGGCGTTGACATCTCTGGGTTCTTCAAAGATTGGTTGCCGCAGTTTGCTGTCTCCAAATCATTGTCTGGCATAATCGATTACAAATACAATGCCAGTCCAAGCAATGACACCGCAATTCACGAAACCCAACTCGATGATGATCTGGTATTTTTTGAGGGATCCCAGGTTCAATCCGAAGAAGATTCTGTCGACGATGACGAAAATTCGATTGTAGACAAGATCAATTTTCATGTTTCTCGAAATACTGGATCACAAAAATAAATGCTGCCTAGAGAAAAGTGCTCTTTGATACTAATCGTAATATTATAGAAGAATCAGCACGCAACATATGCCTCTAGTAGAACAAATAATTAAGTTTTCATAGATATAGCGCAGTAACTCACATTTCTTTTCCATTTTATAATATGCACTATCACTACAGCCAATGCAGCCATCTCCAGTATCAAAAAATGTATCTGCATCAAATAAATCAAAGGCAAAGGAATATGAAAAGCACAGGTCTTCATCACCAGAAAGGCAAGTGTGGAATACATCCACTATGATCTGCATTCCGACAGTTCATCCAGTTACTAGATTTAGATATAAACTGTATGTACACTGGATTAGATGTACGATATCGATTTATACTATAAGAAGATATGGACTTCAGATACGCTAGTACTATAAGATTCATACTATATAAGATATAGGCTATAGATGGCACCACGGACATGGATGGCACTATAGACTTATACTTGTATTCCGACATTGACTACGGATGTTTACCATATCTGGATAGGCACCAAGATTAATGCAATATGAGCTTGTTGCTTCAGATGTGCACTTCATGATCCACGCTATAAGACACATGCTTATATCCGTGATACTAGCTACAGATACTTTATGTACTACAGACTTGTACTATATATGAGACATGCTATAGACATGCATACGATATGCTATAGACATGCCATATATCCAGATACATACTAAAGACGTATGCTTAGCGATATACACTCAGATATGTACTATTAATATAGACTAAGTAGACTGTACCTATCGGATATATGCTACTAGATCGATATTAATTATCCTTATAGAAAGGATAGATCAGGGTACTTCGGATGAGAGTCTAATTATTCATCCAGACAGAGCTAAATCATGATTAGCTTGCTGGAGTTGTCTTTTAGCATGATTAGACATTAGTTGATCTGAGTTGACTTATTTGTCAATCTAATTAATAGAACTTTTATCCATTGTTATAGTATATAAGAAGGATCATCTACCTGGCCAGTAGAGAGACTTCAGTTTACTTTACACCTGTCAGTTTGATAACAAAACATACCTTTATCAAGTTGACTTTACTGTTTTTTTTATTCTTTTTTTTCCGTGAATTTTAGTCTATCAAGCCTCAAATTCCACACCCCAGCCCTCAGGGAGAAATCATAGCTTTTGACGTTTTACAAGATACAGAAGCAGCAAAACATCCAACAAATTATACCATTCAATATCGTACATTAAAGGGCTACAATATTCATGTAGTGGTCTGATATGATTTACTTGCTAGCTATTTCAATAATAAGGACAAAGTAAATTTCTGGAGTCTCAGAATGTCATTCTGGAGTTCTCTCCCAGACTCATTTAATTGTCCGACTAAATGGGGTCTAGCTGGGTCCTCTTACTTTTGATGTTTGATTTCTCCATATCCTTGTTAATAAGGTGTGTGCGAAGAGATATTCTGAATCTGAGGCATTAAAAGGCATCTTTTATTTTATATTTTTTTTTTAGAAAAGAGCCATTTCTGAGCAAGATATGCCAGCCTTTACTAAATTACGGTTTCTGAAAAATTCCCGGTTTCGTTGGACGTTTTACTAACGACACAAGCAGTAGATTATCCGACAAAGTATACCATCCTGTTTGTCTAATTGAGGGCTACAATACTTATTCAATGAACTAGTATAGCTTACCTGCTAGAAGATCTAGAGATAATGAGGAAAAAGGTGAATTTTACGAGCTTTAAAATGCCATTTCACGCTCAAGCTTGGACACTGGTTTGATAACCGGCTGAAAGGTGTATGACAGGGTAGCCTCACCTTCCATGCTTGTTTCCTTGATATTTTGATTTGTAGAATATTAAATAAGAAATTTGTTTCAATTGAGACACTAAGAGGTATCTTTCTGTTATTTTTGAGTTTTGTAAAAGGGTTCATTTTCATAGAGATACCCCAATTCTCTTTTTACCTCCGTCTTTTGATTGCCTTAACCTTTGTTAAGAATATAGATCTCATATCTGAGAGACAAATACATTATACAATGTTTAGTACATGAGAAGGGTTGAGCAGGAGCAGAGATGGGTGGTATATTGAGATCTCTTTATTATTTAGGCAATGTAAAGAAACATGAATGGTACCTGCTGTAAAAAGGGATTGAAAAAGCAGATAGAATACTGTTAAAATCCTTCTTTATTCGAAATTACGATAATGTTCAATAAAATGTATATTCCACGTCTTTATTTATATCATTTGATTTATAATATCTCTTATCTGACAGCAATTTAGTAGCTGCCAATGATTCCATTATTTTTTATATAACTGTTGGGTTATTTAGTTGTTGATCTGATGGAGAAGAACGGTATTTCAATAGATGGTTTGTGAATCATTTGTAAAGAATAGCTCTTCATTGTTGAGCATGTATCTTTTTTAGGCTTATTATTTATGTTAATTACAACACATTACAATACCCTTGATCTTTACTTTAGTATCTGTCACCTCTTATTTTTAGAGTATTTTAATCTTGCTATCATTATGCTAATGCTATTATTATGTATGCTCATCTGTTGATGGTTGCATGGCTTGATTGAGATGACATTTATTGTCGAGACTTTTTTATGATGGGAGCAATATAGTCTAGTTCACTTCAGTACCATCAAATGGTTAATCTATATCCTGGTTCCTGAAGTATGGTAGCCTATGACCTTTCGTTTATGAAAACGGGATTCAATTCTAACACACGTTCTTTTGTCAAATCTATTATGAAGAGCATTCTATCTTGGATCCTCATTGTTTGTTCCTGAGTGGTGATACATGAGCTTCACGCAGCACATCTCCGTTAAATGGTTGAAGGCTTATACAACTATCCCCTATTGAAGATCATGGCCCTATTGCTGTGGCACTGTCAAATAACTATTAATACATTCGAAATTTACACTAGCTTTAATTCTCATTCAATCTTGGAATAGCATAATTCAATTCTGATCGTCTAATTTCGTTATTCTAAACAATCGTGAGGAGAATTTTCTCGTTTTGGTATTTTTCTGAAGATAGAAGCAATAAGCCATCCAAAAGTTTTATCAGTGGATGCGTCCAGTTGCTAGCTGCAATCATCATATAAATGATTGGAATGTTTACATATATTTCTAGAGATAATGAGGCAGAAGTAGACATTCTGGGGCTTATAAAAATGTTTTATTTTAAGCTTAAGTCCAAAGGGTACTTAATGTCTGATTAAAAAGGGCCTAGTAAGGTGTTTTTAATTGCGAAACTAGGATTTTTTTCTCGCTTTCTATAAGCAGAAAATATGTTAAATTGAGACATTCAAGGACACTTTCTGATGTATAAAGTTGGTCAAAAAAAAATTGCGCTTTTCATCTCTCACTAACCGGAAACTGGATCGCAAGTTCGCCTACTATAGTTGCCTGTGTTGATTTGTTAGTAAATTCTTTATGACCATAGACTGATATGTAGCGCCAACACATAATAGAAAAATGCTCATGCTAGTTCAATACGAATAAGAGCTCAAGTATGATAGCCAATCTTTGAAATGCGTTGGTTTTTCATTTGTGAATAGATTTGATAGCAAAGCTCTTACAAAGATATATTCATGCACAGAATAGTGTACTTTAGAAACTTAATCTATATACATAAAATGTTTTATGAAAGTGTTTACACATTCATCACACAATGGTAGTCATTACTGAGGAAGTAAAAAGCGTATCCTCTTTCCTCAATCATCGCCTTGTTGAAAAGTCTCATCAGCAATTGCCATGCGCAAGAGGTCAAAGTTCAATATGGGTGCCTAATGCATTTATTCGAGAACAAAGTAATGGGAGCTTCCACTACCTACTTACTAAGCAGCTTTTTCGCCTATTTTGGACTATGAGCTGCCATTAATACATCAAAGAAATGTAATAGAGATTGATCTTTTCAGATGGTCCATCATATCGATTGCCGCTGGCTTCATAAACCAATAGATTTGACATATTTCATCGGACGTCACAATTGTGTTGAGATTTCACAAAAAGAGCTATTTTTTCAGAAAATCGTTTTCGACTTGCAGTAGTCTACAACTCAATGTGGTATTTGTTATAATGGATGCATCAGTCGAGATAAAAACACCACCCTCTAGACACTACTTTTATAGAAAGGCGACTCAACCTGAACAAAAAACATCACCTACAAATTTCAATAGCAGTAATGTCTTTTTAAACGGCCAAGACAGCACAAACGCATTCGAAGATAGAATAAACGATTTTATAAAAAGAAGCACCATAAAATCCTGCCTAGAAAAGATCAGAAGCGATGCTGCAGCTGGGCTTGCAAGGCGAAAAGCAGACAGAAAAGCTAGAAAAGAAAAGGAGGAGCGAATGAATGGCAGTAATTCACATACTTCCTCAGGAGCCACCGCGACTTCGTCAGTGGCCACTATGGCTCCAGCATCAACACCTACAGCAGGAACTGATTCAACGAGCACCTTACCTAGTACAGAATGCGAGAAACCACTTTTTGAAAAGCTGAGCACCCTTTCGGTTACAGAGCAAAACTTTTGGTTGGCCAATATCCATGACGATGCCATGCTAATGAACCCTCACCAATGGCTCAAGTTGGCAAGTTTATTTAACGCCAATGCAAGAGCAGCAAGGCAGCAATCTCTTGTAAATTTTGATGCCTTGGACGCAGTTCTCAAAGACAGGTCTATTAGCAAAAGTGAAGGAGGGCCGCTTGAGAACTATTTGGAATTACGTGATATACAAAACAGAAATTATGCCAGAGATGCGTAAGTTGACAAGAACGTTATCTTCAATAGGAACTTTTCTAACTTGACATGAAACGTTTTCTCAAAGCGTTGCTGAAGGTGTTAAACTGATCAAGCAGAACAGAGTCAAGGAAGCAATGGAGTTTTACAAACGTGCTTTGGATATGGACCCCAAATATGCAGATGGGTGGTTTCATGTAGCAGAAGGGTAATGGTAATCAAGCGTAATCAATACTCTCTATCTACTCACACAACCTATCTAGGCTTGTTCAGCAAAGAAAACTCCCAGAGGCAGCAGATCATTTAGAGCGTGTACTAAAGCTAGATCCTACACACGAAGGCGCAAAAGCTTTGTTAGCTAGTATCAATCGCACGACGAAACCAAAGAAAGCAGAAAAAGGAGACGAGTGGGACATAGTTGATGAACATGGCGAGTCGATAAATAAGAAGATCACAGAGAGCAAACTCGATACAAAAGACGACTCGGATGATTCACAGCGCAAAAGAAAGAAGAAGAGATCCTCCCACCGATCGCGCTCTCGAGATGATGACAGACGACATGGAGACGACAAAGTCTCAGATCGAGGTAGAGACAGAACAAGAGATCGAGGCCGGGACAAGGCCAGAGACAGGGAGAAGAGCAGAGACAGACGTAGAGATAGGGGCAGAGACAGAGACAGGGGTCGGGACAGAGATCGAGACAGAGAGGACAGAAGACGACATCGTTCAAGAGATAGATCAAGCACAAGAAAAGATAGACACAGATCTGCAAGTCTTTCGAAAAGTAAGAGAGGGGATGATGATAGACCAAGTCGACATCGATCCAGAAGTCCAACAACCGACAAACGTAGAAGAGATGACTCTCATGATAGTTATGACAGGAGTAGAAAAGATACTGCCCGTGATGAGAAAGGGGAAACAAAAGATGATAGACGCCGTCGCTATCACAGCCAAGACACAGCTCGTGATCACAGACATCGCAGTGATAGAAAAGAACAAGACAAACAACAAATGGACCCTGCTCATGTTGGCCAAGAAGGCGACAAAGATTCGAGAGTGAAGGAACGAAAGGACAATGGCTCAAGATCTCCCTCCAGACGTAGTCGTAGAAGACGATCACCATCTCCCGCAAGATCAAGCCGCAAAAGACGTTCTATATCACCAAGAAGAAGAGCAGAGAAGAGAAGACGCTCCAATTCACCAAAGAAGGGAGATGCGAAAACTCAAAGATTGGATTCCCCTTCCCGTGATCCTACCACTGACAAAGCACAAGCCTCGCATTCGCCAAAACCTGTTTCTTCTACGAAAAGAAAGCAATCTTCATCACCAAAAGACGTTGCAGTAAAAAACCCCTCCAATGCATTTGCGAATAATAAGGATACCAATTGATGATGTTTAAGTCAAAGAGAGAGAGAAAAAAAAACAACAAACTAACTGAAAGTGCATGGGTTTGACAAATGAATAAATGTTTATTGTTTGAATGTCAATGTGTATGAAGAAATGGATTATGTTTATGTTATGGTTTAAGATATGAAAAATATGAAAGATGAAAGATGAAATATATGAAAGATATGAGAGATATGAGAGATATGAGAAATGTGATGAAATGATGAAATGATGAAATGATAAAGTGAGAAATGGTCATGTTGAAAGACATTTTGCTTTCATGCGAATCTAACAAGTGCCAGCAGCACGCTTGTGATGACGATTTCTCATTCTCTTGGGGCCACGAGATGGCTTATGGACTTGACGGCCGTTTTTCATTGAAGGTCTTCTGTGTCTGTTGTTGTTATTGCTAGTGGTGGGATATCTTGGAGAAGAGGTGGTGGGGGCGCCAGATGCAATTTCGAAAATGAAGCTTCTGCTGACATCGTCATCGTCATCATCATCGGCAAAGATCTCAACGAAGTAGCGACCACTGCGCAAGTTACGGTCAACATACCAAGTGAAAGCAAATTCATCATCATCAACATTATCGCTATTCCAGCTACGAATGGTCTTGACGAAGCTATTGCATATGAAGTCAGTGCTATGGTTCCAATCATGATTAGTGCCCGAGCTCACCTTCCGTTCTCTCTGTACAAGTTGGCATAGACTCTTTCATCATCATCACCATCGGGCATCTCATCAACTACAAATTGGATGGAAGTACCAGTGCGAAAGACAGCATTAGGGGCAGGCCAGTCAAAGTAATCAACATCAGCGACAACCTTGGAGGCAAAGAAGAGAGCGGCACCGACGACAGTAGAGGCAAATGTAGAGAACTAATCAATGTTAATACCAGTAATTGAAAATGGTGCAAATGAATGATTACCTTCATGATTGTAATAGAGATGATTGAACTTGAGATGATAATAATTTTTCAACTTGGATGGACAAAATGAAGCCGTTTTTATATATATATTTTTTTTACACGTCTAAATTGTTAACACTGTCAAAAACAAAGCACTTGTCCTGAGAGAATAACGCATTCAGGGGACTCAAATATGAACATGGCATACAGTGATTTTCGCATCGAACAACTCCTGGCATTTTCCCCTCATGTCAACAGGGCAAGCCTGGATTGATGTACATTATTGTTGCATGTACGGGATTTGCGTTGCAGATCCCTTCATTTCGAACATTTTGTCTTGGGGTCGAGCATTTTTAGGCCATACTTGGTATTGCTAGTAGCTTGGCATGCAAAAGATGAACTGTTTGAGCGCAAGTATCATTCGGCGGTACGCCATTCCAGCTGCCCTAGCCAATAGGGCCATACTATGAAATACAAGCATCTAGATATGCCAAGATGCATTATAGCAATTCTATCTATTATGGCAATACTTTCAATTAAACCAGACGTTTGTATAACGAACAATGGGCAAGGGGCCCAACGTTTAAAAGGGGAGGCAAGAACTAGAAAATGAGCATTTATGAAGCTGATGCATTATTAGGTGCTAGATACATGCTTATATGTTTATTTGTAAATTAAAATGATATGTAAAAGGGTAAAAAAAGTAAAGATTATGTTTAAACAAAGCCTCTGTAGGTTCCAACAATCGATTCACGCGTATTGAGGTTAGTTCCAAGCTGTTTCTTGTCTTGTTGATGATTTGACAGCACAGAAGATGACGAGTACGTTGAATCAGTTTTTGTTAGTGATGCGTCTTGATAATGCTGCCCTGTTTGATTTTGATAGGGGACTACTGGTTTACTAGAGACAAACTGAGAGAAGCGGTTCATTAGCGAGCTGCTTCTTGTAGTTGATGCAGTATTGATGGACGACGCATTGGATGATAGGGAGTTGTGTCTGTGAATGGTATTTTCTGATGCGTTTAATTGATTAGCCAGCAACCAATCTCGTTGAATTTGATCTTCTATAGTTTGTTGTTGTGGTGGTAAATAGGCTGTGTTCGCAGATCGCACTGAGGATGTGCGCTTGACTTTGGATGCTAAATTGTTGGCAAAAGCAAACTTTTGAGAGAGGCTACGGGTCACGTCACCCGTGGATGCTCTTTTCCGATCTATTTCTTCACTTGCGCCTCTTGTGATGGATAGTCCACGCTTGAATAAATCATCTAATGACTCTTTGGACCCTCTTCGCAGAGAGTCTAAACTTGCACGAGCCATATCAGTTGTGTCTCTCAATTTTTTGAACCGACTGCCAGAGCCATTGGACGAGATAGAGGAGGCATCACTGAAATCACCGTTGAATAATCCACTACTACGCCTGTCATTCACACCAGGTATAATTCTACCTGTAGCGATCGCTTGAAGCCTTGTTTCACGTATCGAGTAGGCTGAATTGAGCACAATTTGCATGTCATCAATAGGGTAGTTCTACATACATCAATTTAGCTACTTTATCCCTTCTTTTTCATATAAATTCTTACTTGCAAAATGCGCATATTATCAGCAAAGTCGCCCTTGATAAGTTCTTGACGTATACATCTGTTTCAAAGGCATCAGTTGTTTGACTCAAGCCCCCCCTTAAACAAACTTACATAAGCATTGCGACAGTAAAATCCAACAAAAATTCAAAGCGCCCCTCTTCCATCCCTTCTTGCATTCCTCGATCCGCTAAAATAGAGTCCCATAAACGGATGACATCCGGTAGATCCCATTCTTGAGAGCATAAAACAGTGATCCAACGGAATGCATAGTATTGTTCCTTGATATCCTTCTTGCTCAATTCTCGAAATAAGGGCCTATCAAACCATGCCAGACGTTGGCTCATACGCCACATGGTAGCGTTGATTCCAGTGCTTGCATCTTGATCCAACGAACGGACAAAATGGTCTCTGATATCTGCCATTAGTGTTGTGAATACAAAAAACGAGTCTGCTTCGGCGTACGCTTGGGCTTCTGGATCCTCTTCTGACGTTTTCGCTGTAAAGACATAATAAATAGGTGCTAGTATTTCGTTCATGCCCTGAACATAGCCGACGCCAGGATTCAATTTGGCGTAGATGAATAAAATACGCTCAATTGCTTCCCAGTGATAGTCCATCACATAGGCATCAGCCTCCAGGGCCATTTGACCCACACTGTGTTCTATTCCATTGTTCTGATGTTCTCTGTTGCCAATATCTTCATTTAAATGAGAGATGCGTCGAAACAATGACCTTCGAGATGGGATATAGGGACATAGCGGTTCTAGCTGATCTACAAGGGGCTTTTTCAATCCAATTCGAGGTACAAGGTTTGAGTGCGTGATGCTATTTTTTGATGTAAATGCTGTTGATAATTTTCGCACAATGCTTCGAGGCGTTGATATAATATCTGAACTTGTGTCCAAAATGCCGGATGAAAATGATCTGACAGAGCTTCGAGAATTCGAACGAGCTCTCGTATCGCTGTTGGCAGATGTAGAGTTTACATGTGGTGGATTCAGCTGTGGGCTTGATATATTGGAGGATAAGTTATTTACAGTTTTGAGCGATTTTTTCGATGCTGACGATGAGGATCTGGGTCTACCCATGAGACCGAAAGAAAATCGTCTGGCCATGGATTCCTTCTCATTGGGCATTTCTTCAGCAATGAGTGCCGACAAAGGGTCTGCTTCATGGATTGGGTTGTTGTGTGTTGTCGGTAGTTCTTCAGGAGCGTCGTTTAGAGGTGGAGAGAGAGGGTTTAATGGATTCATAGCTACATGTTGCTGAAAGAATGCAAAGTCTGGCAGTGTACGTCGAACATCTTTGTCAATCTGCTCTAGGATTGAGTTATCTTGAAAGTATGTAGCCCATTTCGATCCTGGTTCAGCGTTTAAAGGCTAAGACAAAGTGGGATTAATGTGGAATTCGGGGGTTTCAGTCATTTTTTTCTCTTTACATGATCACTTGATGGCGGCTCCTCACCAGGCTCTTCCAAGAGATCTTTCACCCAGTTCTGGAGAGGGAATAGTGAGTGAATGAATAATGACATAGCGGGCATCTCCTTACATAATAAGCTAATCTCTGGCTCTTCAAAGTTGAGCTCCACATTCTTTTGTCTGGTGGCAAATACCCAAGAAGAACTTTCCAAGCGGTTGAACGAAGGCCCGGCTCATCAGGTATGCCTAAAAAGATGAATTGTTCAGCTGAATGGAATATCAATAGGAATACAATGAAAGGAGTTACCATGGAAACAAGCATCCCGAAAAGATTTCATATCAATGACAGGCGTCCACTTGTCCTCGATATCTTCACTATCATCCTCAACACTCAATACCAAACGAAAATACTTTAACCTTTTTTTAAAATGAAAAACTGTAAATAAAAGACGAATGCTGTGATATGTGATATAGCACAAACCTTTCTTTGTAAGCAGATTCCATTTTCATACACAAGTTAATATTGATCTCTTCGTTTCGGTTTGAGATATGTTGAGATGGAGAAATGTCGCTTTGATATTTAGGACAAAGGAGAGAGGAAAAAAGGGAAAACTATATTGCAAAACTTGAGCTCAACACTGGAAATGCAAAATATGCCCAAGGCTGGCTTTCAACATCATCAAACGACGACAACAAGCACCACGAATGTCTACAACATCACAATGTTGTTTCACCGTTAAACTCCATTGTAGCATGATGATTCCTCATGCTATCAATAAGCTAGGAGCCACTTGCAATGTGCTCCAAATGTGCTAACTTTTATTGATTTCATCTCAAATAGCCTTTTTGCGACATGTATGACAAATCTAATCGAACAGAAAAAAAAAAGCTAAAATCTGTTCGTAAAGAGGAGCATTCTCAAGCTCTATTTAGTAGAGAAAGTGCAAGTGATTATGGCTCTATACGAATACAAATTAACATAAGTTATTGAGTAGTGTCTTTCCCTACTAACAAGTAGCTTGAAGATAGTATACTAACAACAATTGAAAAAAAACAAGCAAATGTCGCACAAGGAAGAAAGGTAAAATGCCACTATATTCTAATTGCACGTTTGTCCGTTTAGCATGTAGTCTATTTATGTAGTCTCTTGCAACAATTTCAAGTAACGGATCAACTATCTTCTTGATTGCGTTCAAACTGTTATACGGAATTGTTTATGATTTTTCGTTCCTATATCAAAAGTTCATTAAAGGGACCATCGTTGAAAGCTCTCACAGATTATGTGGCACTCGTTGGCTCATACAAACACTCAGCCGCTCGTTTGTTTCTAATGTACCAACGCAAGCAGCTTATGGCATAATTGAACCTGATGTCAATAGAATCCAATAAAGGTATTAGCCAAAGCTGTGATATATATATATATATATATATATATATATATATGGTCAAGTAGACATTTTATCGTCATATTATGTAGGCTTTTTGTTGTCATCATTGAATATATCACACTTGACGACAAGCTCTCCTTACAATCTGTAAGACTTTTGTTTAATTGCATGATGTCTCAGTGCATATTCAGTTTCTTGTACATAACTTGACACAATGCTTTCCTGCTGTTACGACATATTTTGGAGTAACTCTATCGAATTGAAAGTTGCCATGGTTGCAAGTACGCAAATAAACAAACCTAAAAGGTAATATGAAACCCAATCTCTACATGCAATACCAAAGAATTGGTCCTTATTTATTATAATAATACAGCGCTTTCAATGATTTCGTTGAAATAATCTCTTCTACTGGAAGCACTAGTTTTGACTACTTTACTGCACTGATTTCTAGCAAAACCACCCCATTTCATACGCAAATCACTTGATAAGCCATCATGGGCATAGCTCAAATACTGTACTTGATCATCATTTTTTAATGGAACCATCTCCATCACAAGCTCATAGTGAGAATCTCTTCCATCTTGTTGGTATACAATCTTTGATTTTGTCACCTTTCCCTGAATGCCCCCGAGGCTACCAGTCTTCAAACTACTATGCCACTTCTTTTTTGATTTATCATAGCCAAATGTACCGAACTCAATATTCACAGAGTCAAGCGAAGCTAGATCCAACTTGTTGGCATTGCTCTTGCTAATACGGCTTGTTAAAATCAGTTTGGGGCTTGATTCGCTATAAGAGATGCCAGACAAAATGGCTGGGACTTTGGAAGGGATCCAATTGTTCTGGGCAAGATGTTCGATAGATATGTCTGCACTCATATCAAGTTCTGGGCTATTCATGCTATAAATGTAGCCTGGTAAACTAGTGAATACACAAAGCCTTTGCATAGGTTAGCGTATGGTAACTCACCAAATTGCAAATGTGTTTTCAAATTGGGCCTCAATGCTTGCACAATGTCTAATTCCTGATGAATGGGATTTGCACATTCAAAGTTAAAAATACGAACACTTGAGTATATGGAGCTACAGTGGATAGATGCAACAAAGGATAACAAAAGCGATTTTATCAAGAACATGATAAATTTATGTTATGATTGATTAAAGAAAAAACGAGCGAATCTGATGAAATCAATGGGATTGACGACTTTATATGTTTGTTATCATCTGCATATTCGCTATGGGATTCCAATGTCAACTGAATCCCATTACTCCGAAGCAGCGTTTCTTCCCTCGAATGAAGTGTTAAAATGTGTGACTCGATTGATTCATTGGCAAGAAGGGCTTGGGACCCAGGGAAGAGAGCTCATATCTGTCAGGGATAAGGTTATTTTCCACTTTTTTTTTTTTTTTTTTTTTTTTTTTTCAAGATTCAACTCATTGCAACATGCCTTTCTACGAATTAGTTTGTATAGCTCGCCACAATATTGTCGAAGTAAGTAGGTACTGCTATTCAACTAGAACATTCAATTTACCAGATACCTCTTGTTTAGAGCAACTTGAAAGATCTTTTAAAGACTTCAGCAAAGCAAGTGATCAATCGTGGTGGTGTTGTTAGAGGGTTCGATAACTGGGGAGATATGAAGATTCCCCACAGAATCAAGAGACATCAGGAATACTTTACTGATGGAAGGTGAGTCTAAACACAATTGTGGTTTGGATAAACAATATGTTGATTCAAGGGTTTAGATATTGGGCTATGCACTTTGATGCCAACCCCCTCATCATCCAAGAACTTGGAAAGAAGCTTGCTGTTGACACTCGTGTATTGCGCCATACATTCATCAAACTTGGTGATAAACTGGAAACAGTTGTTGCTAGACCCGACAAAACATAGATTGACTGTAACCGAAAAGAAATGGAGAAGAAACTATTACAAACTACCACAACTCGTCAAAGAAATTGCATTTCTGTTTGTTTCATCTGTAAATAAAGAGTAAGAGAGCTCGCTCCAAGAGAAGGAAATGGATTTTGTATCAATGCTGTACGATTGTGTACTTGATAGCTGTCATTTGGGATGATTTGGATGAATCTAGGGCTGGGGATTTGCTCGTTTAGTATATGGGATCTAGGGTCATTATACCAATGCTAACAATGCCACTATGCTGCCAAGCTCAACCTCCAAAATAAAGACTTTTACTATGGAATACGGGCTTTTCGACACTTCAGTGGAAACCAACTTGCACAGCGGCAGCTCGCGCTACCGATTGCCCTTGCGTATTTTATCAAAATACTATTACTTTCATGTTAACTCTCTATTTGCACATGAAGACCCTTCATATTATCTTTGGATCTGATTCTTATGTGATGCTCTACATCCATATACACCTAGCTACTTTATATACAGGCAAGTAGCATACTGGCATTTCCCCTTTTTAGTCTTCAGTGTCCCTGATACAGCAAAACCTCAGTGCATTTGAACTGCGTTTTCTTGTGTTCAAGGCCGTTTTAGATGGTGAGAATAGCACCAAACGATTGCACTCATCTAGTAGTTACTTATTGCGACCATTGCTCAACTTTTTAGGGACCAAAAAAACATGGCCAAAATTCGACCAAAAGTCATGAGGTATCCTCTCATGGTTTTCATCGAAAATCAAACAATCGCATTTTTGACCTTAACAATGAAGACTTTTACTATAGTATATCTTGAATCAAAATGTTTCTATCAATCTAACGTAACTCCTGAAATCATCTTTGTGGAACTTTGATATGTGAAATTTCGACATTTTGGCCAGAAACCTCTTTTCATATTTTCGTAAATTATTCAATGAGTTTATTCAGAACATCTATCTTACTTGGTACCATTGGATGCGCCTTGAAAAGCACTCCAAGAAAGCTTAATGAGGCATAGGATGATTAGCGTATTTTACATAGTCGAATTTTAATATAATCAAGTCGATTGTAAACGAAATATGTCCAATCTGGAGTAAATGACCCTGGGCGGAGATTTATATAGTTTTGGCATCGGCGGCCGGCTGGTGGTGGTGGTGACAAAAGCAATGCCCATGAAAGCAACCTACATGTTTTTGAAGCCAACAAGAATGAAAGAGCGAGTTGAAAGCTATTATAACCTTCTTTTGTACATTTTTTATATTTGCTAAATCACAAATTTACTACCTTATGATACCAAGACTAATGCCAGTTTGTAATTGAGCTTCCATCTGATGCGACCAACCGGGATTTGCTTTGATTGATTAAAGTAGCCTACTCGACATGAATTCATTATGCAATAGAACCAAAAGTATAGCAGAAATTGCAGTGCATTACAGAAACTGTTGATATCCACCTCACATCCGAGAAATTCAACCCGCACTCCAGTAAGCTTGTTTGAACACACAACAGCACCGGAGAATGCGTGAAGAGATTCCAGAGGTGTGAAACGTAATTGTTCCACCACACACTAATAAATTGCTAGATCTTTATCCTACTCATAAGACGTAATCTCAAATGGCTTGACTCAGAGCTTGCCCCATAACATCTTTGTTTCATGCGTTTAGATTAGACTTGTTGTATAAAATACGTGTTCAATCGCAATTAGTTGTGCTACCTCAAAGTTCATGCTACACAAGATGCTTGTTCGCAAATGTCAAAAATTTCCACATGCAATGTCATGGAACGCACGGCAATTTTGAAATACTTTCGAGCTTTATTTCTTGCTACATATATAATACAGATTACTAAAAAAAAAGGCGCCATAGGCAAGCGTACATACAATGCTACTGGATACAAAGAAAAAAAAAACACGATTACCAGGAATCTTGCAAGCGGGATGGCTATGATGTTACTCTATATTCTTCTTGGGAATGACCAAGCATCTTATGCCGAGAAAATCGCAGAAGCTATTAATTACCACGAGAGCCCATCTTGTGTACGCAATTAAAGCAAATCCGAAATAGCTTAATAAGAAAATATACTCTGATTCAGGGGTAAAAATAGGTTTTCTGCAAAAAAAAAAAAAAAAAAAAAAAGTTTAGATGAATCTTTTCATGATATCATGACAAACAATATACTCACATAGATGGGAATACAACTGGTATATTTGTCAACGTAGCTCCAACAATCAATGGAATCAACAACACGGTGAATTTGGGAAACTTTGATTTTGTCAAATGGGCCAAAATCACTTTTGTTGCCATTCTTCCAAACACAATACCTGTTGTAATTGCAAACAAGATAAAATGACGATGTGTCAAGATGGTTGAATAGGGAGACATGACCCATAGGTAAAGGCTGGCAATGTAGGTTGCAATTGGCATATTTTGGAGGGCCATAGTTCTAATAAATGGCTTGTTCTTCTGCTTGCAAGCTTTGTACATGGCATAGAAGCTATGACATCCAGTTAATTGCTTTGCAGATCAATGGTATGCGGCCACATGATTACTTCTTACCAGACGGGGGCATGTGTAAGTAAGAACAAGGAGCCTATCCACCAAATGACTGCATGTGATACCGGCATCTCAGCTATGTTGTTAGGAAGCCATGAGACTTGTAAGGCCTCTTTCATAGACATCATCCACATCTCCGGACCTACACAATCATGGAATATTACATTTCAGTCAGATCATCACCCCCCCCCCCCCTCACCCCCTCTCCCACACACATTCTCGTGTGCCGTTTCTGTAATACGTTACCATAAATGCCTGAAAGAATGAAAATAACACAGGACAGAATAACACCTTCCGTTGGAGCATTGATATAGCCCAAATAGAGTACGCCTGTGTGATATTCTTCAGCCGTTGAAAGGTAAAAGCCCAGCATGGCAATACCGTACAATACCACACTTGCCTTTGAATGGCCCAACCCCACAGCGGTTGCTTGCAAGACAGCCGCAAACGAGCAATTGATAGCATCGCACCCATGATCAAACAATTCACCCAGGGGACTCGATGTGCCCGTCCTTCTTGCTTGCTTGCCATCCACATTATCGAATGTGGAGTATAACCATAGTCCAATTGCAAAACTAAAGTAGATCCAATTGGGCCCTGCCTCTTCGCCTATCCCCATATCCGGAGCGAATATAATTGCGAAGGCGACATTAACTATCATGAACAGCAATCCGGTCAATGTAATCAAATTGGGCCTATACATTACAGTCAATGGAATGACTATGGTCAATTGATTTGGCCGAAATACTTACGCCATGCTCATTGGAAAGAACTGCACACACCAGTTCCAGTAATAACTAAGACAATATTTTGAAATGAGTGAGCGATCCACGGCACCGTACTTGTATAAATGAAGAGCATTTAGCTGTTGCTTGCTAAGAAACTCGGATCTCCACAGTGATTCAAACATTTTGTGGATTTTACAAGAGAAAAAAAGGGACCGAATTGAAAATGGCAAAAAAGTTAGATTCATAAAAGAAGAAAAAAAAAAAAAAAAAAAAAAAAAAAAAAAAGAGGCTGCATGTGTGTGTGTGTATGTGTGGGGTTTACTATGTAGCAGAAGGGGCAATTCAATCTGCCGATCAGGGTATTCATGATAATGTATATAGATTTTTGTTTATGATCTAAAGGGTTACACATAGTCCCCAACAACCAGTCTATTCTTCACATGGCAATGATCCAAGGCGAATGTGACTCGAAGGAAAGGGAGTAGATCAAGATGATGTGGGCACTATATCAGATGGATTCGTGTTTTAGCTAAAGGGTTCCCCCCTGAGAATTTCACAAAGTTTCAACGTTTTCATTGCATTGAATAAGCCGCTCGCCGCTTTTTGGCGACCATAAACATATCATCAACAGCAAATGTCGTATACACAAAGTCCTAGTATCTTTACGAGCATCTTGTGCTATTGAAGGGCAGTATATATATATATATATATATATATAGCAAGGTGACAGAGATACCTCATAGTAAAAATCACAAGGCTTCCGGATGTGCATCCTGCCTGTGACAAAGCAATCAATTGTCAACCTTATGTTGTGGCAGGCCTAGACACACCGGCGTTTATTTCGTGTAAATGAGAGAGCTCACTCATCAAGATTTGTTAATAATCTCTGTGGACATGGCCTTTAAAATGAAAAGAACCCCTTTTCAATAAACAGTGGTGCCAAACACACCGGATTACGATGAGAATGATTAGATATTAAAGCTACAGAAATGTGCTCATCGGACCGCTCAGCCATGGCTGTGTTGATCTTGGCCTGCTTTGCAGCTGCTCTTGATGGGATCAAATAAAATAAGCCGACATGAGCATTGGCACTAGGGGCTGTTTGTACTCTTGCATGATACGTTGCGCTTCCCGCCTATCTGCATGATCTATGAAAAAAAAAAAAAAAAAGAAAACTCATCTTCCATGTTGCTTATGAAATGCTGGCAATACATTCATGGCGTTCACATCATGACATTGCATCATCATTCCTTTTGAATGACATTTACTGCGAGATATATAGCAGCATGTTCTGATTCGACACAAATGTCTTTTAAATGTGGAAGCATGAATCTTGTTTTCCTCAAATCAGAAGCTCATCACAGCATGCACGATCGAAAATCTACTGAACTTGTAACGATTGAGTTCAATAGGCGCATGTATTCATCATCCATCACGATCAGTTTAACACTTCAAGGGAGTCGAAAACAAGGTTTCAATTTGACCAAACCCGGTTTTGCCTCGGGTTTAAGTTTTCCGTGCAAAACCCTTTCAACCCAAGCACCATTGAGTGGAGGATGATGTGCACAGCAGTATTGGCGTTTACAGTGATGGGAGAGGCTGATTGAAACTCCACCTTGGTTCCATTCTACTTATCCTCCAACACCTCTTTGGAATTTACACAAAATTGACTCATTTTCCCAACATCCTTCTTTTTTTTCCCTCCCTTCTTGGCCAGAAAAAAATAGATCCTCCCTTTTTCCTTTCCTATTTCTCTTTCTTTCTCTTAGCTTCTCTTTTTGGTTGTCGTTTTATACAACATTTCCTCTGTGTTGAACAGGAGGATTGTAAAAAAAAAAAAAAAAAAAAGAAGTAAACAGAAAAAAAAAAACCCAACTAGGTAACATTAGAAAAGAACGAAGAAAATAGAAATAAAAAAAAAAAGCCAAGCATTTGTTTATTAATATCTTCTTTCTCTTCTCTCTTCTTTTTCTCTCCAAACAGCTGTACTCGTATCCAGTCATTGTGGCATGCATATCTGATAAAATGTACAACCAACATCATCATCAGCAACAACAACAGCAGCATCAGCATCAGCATCAACAACACATTCATCATCATCAGCAACAGCAACATCATTATCAGCTGATGGATACATCGAATAACAATGCAAATACATTCCCAAATGATACGATTCCATATCTACCACCGCCACCACCACCAACGAGCACAGCTTATACGAATAATCGAAATTCCCATTTACCGCCGCCCCCTCCTCCTCCGCATCATCAATTGCAGCAGCAAATATACCATCATTCGCAACAGCAGCAACCAATACAGCAAGGATATGCCGTTGTACTACCCGAACCAGTGCCTAGCGCCACGGATGCTCAGCCAACACCACCGTTATCGATCCCTCAGCTGGCGGATTTTGCATCTACGATGGTTTATCTGATGTGGCATGCCAGAAGACCGTCAGTGATGGCGCTTCATGATTTATCTAAACTCATACAAGCTACACATACAGATGATCATAATCCGGGACATTCAAGAGAGACAGCCAACATTGCCAATCGTACAAGTACTGCATTCAAAAAGTTTTGCAAGCAGGTAAGTGTGTAGGGATGCTTTTTTTTTTGAGCTATGGGCTAAGAACCCTTCTATGCAGATCTTACAAGCGACACAACTGTCTGAATCAGTCATCTTATTATCGCTGAAATACATCGCCATGCTGCTGCAGAACAATCCTAGCATACAAGGAGCAGACGGATCAGAGTACAGATTATTCACGGTGGCATTGATGTTGGGCAACAAGTTTCTGGATGACAACACCTTCACTAACAAGACATGGTCTGAAGTATCGGGCATGAAGGTGACCGATCTCAATATCATGGAGTTGGAGTTTCTGGATGTGTTGAGATTCAAATTATTTATAAGAAAGGACGAGTTTGAGAGATGGAAATCTGCCCTGCTGCTGTTTAGAAGCCAAATTCAAAATGCAGATGAAGCACAGAAACAAGAGCATCAACAGCAATTGTTGGAGGAGACTTTCAAAGGCATTGTACTACCTAGTATGCAACAACAGCAACAACAGCAACAGCAGCAGCAACAACAACAGCAACAGTACCAATTCCTGCTCATGTTGTCTAAAGCACAACTGCCCCAATATCCTACGCAACCATTAAATAGACCACTCACTAGAGTTCCGCTTCGTATACCACTGCAGCCTGTTTGGAGAAACTCTCAACTTCAACAGCAACAGCAACAACAACAACAACAACAACAACAACAACAACAACAACAACAACAACAGCAACAACAACAGCAACAACCACCACCTCAACATCAACAAACACAACAAGTGCCCATGTATGAAGGCCAGCAGCATGTTGTCAGTAGGCCTTATGCTACATCGAGCATGACATCGAATCCCAACAGTATCATCATGTCAAATCAGCAAGTGCCATCTATGAACAGTAGCAATGCACCAGCTGACTACTACACTAATTATAACCAGGTAGCATCGACCGCTGTTTCTACAATGATGGATGCCCCTGTGTATCAGTCTACAGCCTATCCCAATAGCACTAGCAGCACCAATAATACAAACTATAGACAATCTGCTTCGATTGTTGGCTACAATACGCAACCAGCATCATCCTCATCATCAGTGTCATCCATCACGAATATCGTTGGATCGAGGTTATCTGGTATCAATCTGACATCACAGGCACAAGATTTCAGAACTACACCTTATCAGTCTAATAACAGTGGTAATACACCCTATTACAAATTAACACCTACATCAAATACTGCAGCAGCCACAGCCAATGCCTCATCAGCAACGGCAGTAGCAGACTATTACAGCAATAGCAATGCCTCAACTCAGCAGCAGCAGCAGCAGCAGCAGCCTCAAATGAGACAACGCACATCATTCTATGGCGAACTGCCTCAACAACAGCAACAACAGCCTCTATCTGCAGATTATTCTTCGTATGACATGTCTGGATCACAGCACACCAGTGGCTATCCACGAGTGCAGGCAGCAGGTTATCCACAGGTAATGCTCACTGTCTGTGTAAGTGTGTGATGATGATGTATACCTAACATTCCCTTCCCCCCCATCTTGTAGCAGCAACCTACTATAAACACTACTCCTTCCTCTTCCTCCTCCGCTTATAGACCGCCTATTCAACTGCAATTGCAACCGCAACAACATCATCACCACGCACAACAACAGCCACAGCAGCAACACATGAAATACAATGGCCCTGTACCAGAGGATCCACTCACAGCCGCAGATTCATATAGGAGCCATTTGAATTAAGTTGGGATTTTGTATGTACATAGTTGATAGAAGAAGAGCAGCCCACAAAAAAACACGTGTATAAAGTGCTTCATATGATGGCTAATTTATCTTCTGATGTATGGGCCCATTAAAAAGGAGAATTTTGTTAAAAATAAACTTTCTTTTTGTATAAGATCACGCGAACAATTTGAATATCAAATAAACAACAAGGGGAATATTTGTGTGTGTAGACAGGAAGATCATATGGAGGGCAGCAGCAAGAGAGCAGGCAGACGGGCAGACAGAAAGTTGTCAGCAGACTCACCTGGTCTTTTTCTTTTTTTTTTCCCTTATATTTTATCTCTCTTTCCCCTACTCTCTCTCTCTCTCTCTCTCTCTTTCTTTCTTCTTCTTTACCCTTCCTTTGTCCTTTTCATTCCATCCAAATACGCAATTGAAGAATATGGCACATCAATCGCAGCAATGCTCATTTTTATCCGTCTCTTGCAGCAATTTGGATTCCTCTGAAAATCAATTGGCAACAATGTGGGGCGGTAAATAATTCATGCATGAAATGAAAGCAATCTATCCATATAAACTAACGTTGCCCCTCCCTACTCGAAGCTTTTGCAAAGTGCAAGCCATTTATTGAAAATGGCACAAGACTAGAAAACATGTCCTGGAGACTATGGCAATATCAAAGACAACCCACCAATTATATTGACAACACGACTATCAAACGATTCATTACATCTGTTCTATTGTCACCTGTTAGTGTTCATGACGCATATTCACACGAGGTTGCACAACATACTCAAAAATGCTACACACCCACGACAACGACCACTATGGCGCCTGCTGAACTTGAGTCAGCTACTTCCTCTTTTATCGTGGTGGATGACAAGGCCAAGGCTGATGACATGCCAGCAAAAGAGCAGCAAGATGAACAGCACGGCGACGACGACGACGACGACAACGACGACACATATGAAGACGATGAATACGAAGACGATGAAGACTACTATCTTAGCGACGATTTATATGACGATGAGGATGACGATCTCTATGAGGATGACCATGTCGATAATGTAAAAGCAAACCCATCTCAAATCAAAGAAGAAAGCCAATTCAATCATGACTTTAAAAAGATGCAGCCAAGACCCACTACACCACGTAGGTCGCTCTTATCTGATCTACTGGGCAGAGTCTCCTCTCCACCCTCGCTGCTGTCCAATTCAACATGCTCATTCACAACAAACAATTCATTGACTGAAGATGAATCATCGTCAGCATCCTCATCTTCATCAGCATCTACATCATCATCTACCACCACCAACAACACTACAACTAAATATACTACTAACCATCCATCCAAAATTGCATTAAATACACAACATCATCCATTTACAAATAATACAACAAATGACCTATCTGAAATAAGATGGCGGGAGTCATTTCATGGTTGGTGAAAAAAAAAAAAAAAAAAAAAAAAAAAAAAAAAAAAAAAAAAAAACTAGGGTTTTGCTTTTTTTTCACACATAAAAAAATTATAATAAAATCATCTGAAATTACACAAAGAATGGACAGCAGGCATAAAGAGAGAGGCACATTACCCAGTTTTCTTTTGCTCGGATTTAACTTTTATAGTAAGAGAAATGTGCGTGTGTGTGTGTGTGTGTGTGTGTGCTTCCTTGATTTATCGTTTCATAACAAGCAATGTCTCTTTCCACCATTTACCATCCCTGCCAACCTTCTAAGCTAGCCTCGAATAATTCATCTTCTCCGCCCTCAACCACCTGACAGATGGGTGTAAATGCAGAGCGTCCTGGACATTCTTTCACATACTTTTGGGCATATTCGAGCCCATGTCTGCGTTCTTTGCGGCTGGCCTTGTGTCCAATCCATGTGTACACTTGATGTCCAACATCAAATACAAATACATCATTTGTATCAAACATGTCCTTGGAAATGGTGCCTTCAGCCACAACCTCAAATTTCAAGTGACCCATACCAAATGGTCCAGAACTGCTAAGGCGCAATAGTTTCTTGTTGCCATCCACCTGCTCGCCTTCTTCTTCATCTTCAGTCTCCTCCTCGTCATCATCAGCTATCGTGCCATTAGAGCCCAATGCCTCATAGAAATCACGTTCACCACTGCCAGATCCTTGCTCTGTTATTCAAGTAGGTTGTGTTGATAATAAATCCACAACAAAGTAAGATGTTACTTACCAACAATGACCATTTCTCCCTTTCCATTACGCTCAGAGATCAATTGAGAGATAAATTCAGCCGCCTTGGCTCTTTCAATACCATTTGCATTCTCTCCCTGCCATTGGTAGACGATATCTCCTGTATCAAGCACAAATACAGCTGTCGAGCGCAAACTTTCATGGCTCAATGCTACTTCAGAGATGACAACTGCATTTCTAGTACGAGAACCTTCCAATTGCTTGGGCTTGTGGATACGCAATAATCTGGTATGAAGCTCTTCTTCCTCTACATGATTGAAACCGCTGTCGAAACCACCTTGAAGATAGGTAATGGCTCTAAAGTAGCTGGAAAAAAGACGAGATTCTCTCTTTTGAACCTCACGATGCTGAACAGCAAAAGTGTCCAAGACTAGCAAGTTACATAATGAATACCTGGCATCTCGCTCCAAATGTGTATTTACCAAAACTTACAGTCATCTAGTTCTACTGTTTTATAAGCAGCTGTGCCTGCTTCATCTTGAGTCGTTTCTAAACCGAGCCAGAAATGGATGTTGTGGATCAATCCGTCGGTATTCTCCTTCTTGGTAGACTAAACACATGATATTTAACAAAATCATTCTCCCGACCAGTGTCCACATGCGTATATTTTACCTTGAGAACGATATAACTATCGCCTAGAGTCGTCATCAAAAAAAAAAAAAAAAAAAAAAAAAAGTTAAATCATGTCGGTCTTGTATCCTAATTTGTAAAAATACTTGTGTACCTTGATAAAATTGGCCGTATTGGCTCTTTGGAACAGTGGTCAAGCTGAAATTTTGCACGCGCCAGATCCACATACCACTACGAACGATGCAATTGTTAGCATCAAGGTCATTTGTTTATTTGTATATATATATATATATATATATATATATACAGGTTACATACACTTCATGGCCGATAGGGGAACCTTCATAGTTCCAGGCTGTCTCAAGAGCTCCTTCAGTCTTGCGATGTTCCCTTTCGAGTTCGGACCCAAAGTTGGCCAGGTTGGTTTCGTCGAGTTCTACAGCAAAGTGGGTCAATATATGGCTTTTTTTTTATCGGTTTCTTCCCGAAATAGAACTTACTCCAAGATGAATTCTTGAGCATGTTGAAAGTATTTGAAAAAAAAAAAGGTAAAGAAGCTTGGCTAAATGAAATTAAGCTTTTCTTTTATAGTTGCCATTATTTTGGAACGGAGCAACTCATTCCATCATTGGGTTACACTGCTCCTACATTTCTTTTGTTGCATATAGTAACATCATGGAAGAGCTGTAATGAGTACAGTTCCGTTTTACCAACAGAGACGGTGGGTTGTATACAGTGTCATCGGCTTTTGTGACAATAATGACAAGCTTTGTTGATCGAGTATGATTTACGTTCGCAAAATGCTTCATGAATATCCAGTACCAAACATACATCTGTCTGCATGCATTTTGCCTTTTGAGCGCACAAGACAAGAGTAAGCTATTTCTTGGCTCGCAACAATGTTTAATAGCTACAAAGAGAAAACAAAAAAAGGGGGCTCATCGTATTTGATCATTCACGTCAGATTACATTGCTCTCTGAAAGAATAATTCTTTTGCTGATTTATACCGTTCTTCATCTTTGGCCTTTTGCTACTCTCCATAACTAAGTTGATAATTATAAGCCTGGCTCTTTAGTAATATTCCCCGTCTGCATTAACGGGATAGTTCATATACAACAGGCTTATAGGATACTCCCGTTACCTCTTACTACTGGAATATATATAATGTTTTTTTTTTCGTGGTTGAAGCTCTTTTAGACTGCCGGAATTGCATCAAACAACTGCTCTGATCTAGCACTTGCTAACTGACCCCATTGCTCAACTTTTTTTTTTTTTTTGAACCTTGAAAACATGGCCAAAAACCATAGGGATACCTCTTGGTTTTCATCAAAAATCAAACAACCGTGTTTTTTTTTACCCTAAAAACGAAGACTTTTACTATAGCATACACTGAATCAAAATGTTTTTCTCAATCCAAAGCAGCCCGTGAAACTTTGTTGGTGACACTTTTATATGTAAAATCTCGACATTTTGGCCATAAACGTCTTTTTGTATTTTCTAACCTTACTCAATAAGCTTGTTCAAAACACTTATCATAATTAGCGCCATTAAATGCGCCTTAAGGAACACTCCAAGAACGCATTAGAAAGTATAGCGTGATTATTACACTTTGTATAGTCGAATCTGTTAAAATACTTTAAATCTGTCCAGAAAATGCAAAAAAAACAACAAATAAGAACATGCCGTATATTGAACTTTGAAATATGTTAGCGTATATTGATACCTAAAAACAATGGGTGTTTGTAAGCCGTCCTCATACATTTGTCTTAATATATATTATCGCACCTGCCGTTTAATTATAGTCCTGCTACTATAGTTTATGCAGAACAAGTAATAAAAATCTTTAAACTGTAGAGTTAATTTGAAGGAAAGTGTGAAAATAACAAAGTTTGGCCTGGACTACCATCGAAATATTTGCAAACTTGATTTTCCTACGTATTAAGGCTTGAAATATGTCTGGGAAGTATGATAAATAGCTGTAAAAGTGTAACTTGATTTCAAGTTTGGCACAATACTAAAGAGTAAAGACCAGATAACGCATGCTTGTTTTATTTTACACACTTTACTCTAATGACATCTAATTTACATCGTCATATTGAATTTGCAAGTCTTCTATAGCTTTATACAATCTTTCTGTCAGCCTCACACGAGTCTCTTCTCTTGTCAACTTCCCTTGTCTCCACTCGGCAAGAATATCAGCATACTCTACTGGATCACCAAACACCAGTGTGATGGGCTTATTCAAATGAACAAGCTTGGTACCATACAGTGGTTTTGCCAAATGCATTCCCTTGTGCCAGATGGGGATGACAAGAGGCTCATGATCCATGTCCATCAGGATACGACCGACACCCCATTTGAATCGAATCATCTTGTTCACTTGTACTACCTTTGCCTCTGGATAAATATGGATCCAACCTCCTTTGTTGACGAGATCAATCGCAAAATCGACACCTGGTTGATATATGCCTGCACCTCGAATGGTGGGTATCGTTTGTCCAAACACAAAGAAATAAGATTTGAAGCTGCCATAGACAACATGTTGAGCCGTTTAGCAACAGAATAAACATCATGGACACTTACATGGACGTATAACAGATGTCTGCAGCTCCTAATACCCATCGCATTTTGTGAATTGAGAATAATGTCTTGAGAGGTAATACACCCCATAGAAACGGGTCGTCCAGTACAGACTCGTGGTTCGATACTAAAACATGCTGGTTATTAATAGCTTCTCACTGTGCTGCGATGGCTTCTTTATTTACCTGTGATGATTCCCCTTTCTCTATGCGGATCGTCTATAATGCTCTGAAACTTGTCTAATCCATACACTTTTGTTTGGCTCAGGTTCATAAAGCCTTTCGCCAGTAGACCAGCTGTTCCTATCACGGCTGTGCTGCATATATTCCATATGAAACCATCGTGTTCAGGGTGGGGTAAAATGAATCTTTTCAAGATGGGTTTAGGTATGCTTTCCCAAACAAAAGGAGGAGGTATGTATGGTACAACCGGCGGCGGATTTGTGCGAGGTTTATAATACAAATAGGTAGCTCCAAAAGCTAAGGACGACGCTACCCCTAATTTTGTTTTTGTCAATCTAAATATATGATTTCTAGTCATTGCATTACTATCCTTGACTTATTCGGAGTAAGCAAATAGACCATGATGAAAAAGAAAATGAAGGGGGCCCATTTAATTCGTAAAAAAAAAAAAAAAAAAAAAAAAAAATACAATTATGGCTGACGATCATTGGCTGGCTGAACATGATGCCAAAAGCTACAAATCATTTCTAGCTGACTGATTGATTTGAAACGAAGAGGTTGATACGATGCAAGACCTCCTTCTGTCAACTAATTTGCCACAGCGTGCTCCCCCTTATAGCGAGCTCGGGAGACAATTTGATAAATGTAATAGATTAAATGCATATAGCAACAGTAAGAAAAAAAAAAAAAGTAACAGGAGACTCTAAGGGGTGAACACATAGCATCGTGGAAAGATGAGCCAATTCAATCTATCTGATATAAGTATAATTGAGCAATCTATATATATATCTACAATCCTTGAATAGCACAGCAATGGTCATCTTAGAAAGCGTAACAGGCATCGTTTTCAATCATTGCATTAGACCTGTTTCACTACATTGGAAGGCTTCTAAATATACAATCGTACACTATGCTATGATGTGGTACCATCCTGTTTATTATAGAATGCAGAAGAGCAAGATGTCAAATTGTAGAATAGATTGAATGTTGATCCTCCTTAATAGCGGCTATTTTGACCAATCATTATATGTCTTCTCCCTAAAATCTTGTTAATTCAGCTTTTTACGTTGAAATTATGCTGTATCACGTCAATGCCAGGGGCAATCTTTATTTTTGGTATGAGAGGCAGAATTGTTTTCTGTTGATTTTACAGTGGTTACTACAGAAGGGCCAGAGAGCAATATATCACCATGCCAGATCAAAGCGTATATGCATGCTTGTAAAGTGCCTAGGTGCGTGAATTTGGAATCCCATTGAAAGAGAGAAAACGTTCATCATGAGAGATGAGTCAATCATCTCAAGCTATTTTTAACCATACGTATATTCTTGTCTTTAGGAGAGAGCGAGGTAAAAAAAAAAGACAAAGAATACAGCACCGCTACAAGAAGGGGGCAACTCTAGGAGAAAGCGAGGGGCAAATTGCCTGAGCGAAACGTGCGTCTCGTTGAATATGAAAAGAAGGAGAAGAAGGGATCAAGACGGTGCTTTCAAAAAAAAAACATATAAAAAGAGACAGAAATTGAATCAAATGCTTCTTTTCATCATCAACACAAAGCCTTCTCATCAAGCTTCCTACTCCTCTTTACTCTCTTATCAATCCAGTCCACTGAAAAAAAAAAATGAAGTTCTCTACCATCCTCGCTATTACTTTCCTCGTTGCTGCTGTTTCTGCTGCTCCTCACTCTCGCAAGCATCATGGAGGTGATAACAACTCTAACCATGAAAACAACTCCAACCATGAAGACAACTCCAACAGTGGTAACAAGAAGATTGACCAATCCATTGGTAGCGTTGGTTCTACTTCCAATGGCGGTTTGCTGAGTGGTTTGTTGGGCGGTGCCAATGTTCTCGGCAAGAGTACCACTACCAACAATGTTGGTCAAACTGCCAACATCAACTAAATGTATAACAACAGCAGGCAAAGAATCACTGGTGCTGTATTATCTCCCCTCTTGCATGTATCATCCTTACACCAGTTTCTTATTGAATTCAACATTGGTTCCTTATGAACCAAGTAGTTTTTATTGTACCAAGTTTCAATCAAATAAACCATCATCTTTTATAAGAAAAAACCCCCCCCCCCCCAGCCATCGTTATTGTCCTCCAAATCGAGCTAATCTTCTTCTTCTGATTTCATCCATGTCATCCTTGACAGAAGGTTTATTGCTCTCCATACTTGCTTGGATCGCTCTTGCAAGTACCGTTTCTTCATCTTCTGCTGGTTGCTCTGTGGCAAGGGATGATGACGATGCTAAAGAGTATCCTTGTCCTGAAAATGGAATCACATCAGGCAAAGGCTTGCCTTCCACTTTACCCTCTCCTTGAGGTTTCAAAAATGCCTTTGCTTTTCTGTCTCCTTCAGATTGCGGTAGTGCACCATTGACAGCAAAGATGGAATACCCTTCGCACTCAATCTGATGCAGCATCAATGCTAGGTAATCCTCTCCCAAGTAGGTAGGTGCTGGTTGTGTGGAGTCCAAGTTGTACCAGCGATAAGTTTCAGAGAATTTGCGTAGGGTAAACCAATGATTTCGTAGATTGCAAATGTAGGCGGTTTGCTGTCTAAATAAAGTTGCTCAATGATACTGTATATTGTTGCTCATTTGACCTACGTAGGCGTCTTTCTAGCTTCGTCCATCTCTTTTGATCTCCAAGGTACCAACTCTAAATTCCAAATCTCGAGTGCTTTTTGAAGTACCTGAATTGAGAAATACCCAGAATCATCGTAATTTTGACTTTCGCTGCCACTCTTTCTGCCGCCTACAAGTTGCTCTTGCTTGTCAAGGTTCTGGCCAATCTCTGCCAGATCCACAGCAGTAAAGTAGTTGCCTTGCAGTAACACACTACCCACCTATGCATAAGTGATTGAACAAGTTTGATAGCCATGTGTCCCTCTTACTTTAATGCGTGCTGTGCGCACAAATTATCTTGTTGTTGCTAGAGCCGATCACATTCTTGTTAGGTACATGCAACTTTATCCATGCGACAAACCGCTCCGTACCTTCTCAAAATAGATAAAAGGAACAAGATCCATTGTTGTGTTTTTTTTATTTATAAAATATAAAGGAGAGAAAGAAGAAGAAGAAGAAGAAGAAGAAAAAAAAAAAGAAAGACAAAAGGGCAACCACGTAATGCGAGGATCCTTTATGATGGAAAATTAGAAAAAAAAAAAAAAAAACATGCGCTGGTTTAAAATACAAGAGATGAGAATGGAAATTATTGATTGACTTGTTGGAGTACAGCATGATAATTCTCGGAATTACGCTTCAAGATATCCATGACAGGTCCTAACAATCTGGTAAATGCCTTCTTGCCAAGTGTAGCACACTTGAGACGACCACGAGCAATCACAGTGGCAGCACGAGGCTCATCATTCAAAAGAGCAAGTTCTATGCACGGATCAATATGTGTTTGTCACTTGATATCACTTGAAAAACTTACCACCAAAATAATCGCCCTTCTTGCCCACCATCACTTCTTGCTGAGTACCATCAGGCAGTTTTTTGTAAAAAGTGGCTTCGCCGCTTTCGATCAGGTAAAAGTTATCTCCAGAGTCGCCCTCGTTGATCACAATTTCCTTGTCGTTAAAGTTAACGGATTCCAGAGCATCGGCAATCTTGTGGCGTTCATAAATCTCCAAGGACTTGAAAATAGGAACTTCCTCCAAGAATCGCTCATACATACGTCTCTTACGCGCAGTGTTTTCCATTAGAATGGAACGGAAAGTGACACGATCCAATGCATACAGGACGCAATCGGTAACAGCAATGATGGAGGCAGCACGGGGAGCATTGTACATCAAGGCCAGTTCACCAAAGCTACCACCAGGGCCGTAGGAAGTTACCTTTTTTCCATTGATGAAACAGTCTAAATTGCCGGATTCGACAATGTAAAAGTAGTCGCCAACAGCGCCCTGTTCGATAACATGTGTATTGACAGGCTCTCTCTTCTCCACCATTGCATTGACGACATCTGTGTATTGTTCTTCATCCAAATTCTTGAACAAAAAGTTGTTGACAATAGCATTGCGAATGCGGGCACGTTGGTCATCGCTTTTTGGGATCACAACCTTGACAAAATCTTCTTGGTTGTGAGAGGGTTGCATCGATTCAGCGCTCACAGAGGTGCGGCGACCTCGACTGGGAGGTGGGACGGATAAGGATGGCATATCATCGGAAATTGTGTCTCGCTCTTCGTCGTCATGCATGTCTTCGTCAAGAGATGGGTGGAAATCGGGGCCCAGGCTTTGATGCTGTTGACTTGTAGCTGCAGCAGCAATATTCAGCTCTTGTCATTTACAGCACATGTATCCAAACTTACCAAGAGGGTGTTGGTCATATTGGCGAGATTCAGCGCGTTCGTCCTCCAATTTCTTCAAGAAAAAGGTGGTACAAAACTGCAATAGATCTTCAGGCTGATGTTCAACTACTTGCCTGTTTAGCTCACTGATCAGCATGTTGTATTCCTCATTGTCCACTTGGGCAAAAGGATGAATATCTTGTGGGTGTGACATGTTGTAAAATATGAAAATACGAAAGAAAAAAGAAAAAGAGAAAAAAAAAAAAAAAAAAAAATACCAAACTCAGTTGACCTCATTTTTTTTAAAGTTTCTGTTCTGCGCATTGTCGGTTTAACGTGGTATATATCATGGGCTATTTTGCAGAAGGAGTGCATACGTCAATTTTAGGTCCAAGGTTCTTTTTTTTTTTTTTTTTTTTTTTTTTTGGTTGTACGGGTAAAATGCGCTTTATGCTATTTGACGTTGGTCAATAGCAGTGGCATTTTGCAGCTATAATACGGCCATGTCTGCGTTTATTCATGCTGTGCAAGTAAAAGAAAAAAAAAAAGAGGGACGATAACCCCTGCTATACGATGTGGAGTAATTTTGGTATTATATCATAGCCAGTATATGAAATTAACACTATCTCATCCTTCTGCCTGAGGACAACTCTACAATCAACTGTACAAGCAAAGAAGGCGCTTTGTGATACATACATTCATTCTTTTCTGTTCTTTTTGAGGCATTCAATGCACAAAACTCATTCTCTCCGACAAAATGACGTTTTTGCAGTCTATAGTAGCATTAAAGACTGCTTAGAGCGTAACCTTTGTGTAATGGTTTGATTGTCTTTTTAAGTCTAATGGAAGAGGATCTGAGTAAAAGAGATGTGCATCAAATCAGAGGTTCAAAACCAAGGCATACATGCAGCAATGGCTCATTAACAGGATGAGGTGATTTTTACTAAACCTGAGCTCCCTTTCACTATCATGTATGATCCGCCATTAGATCAAGCCGCCCTCGAAATGCCTGAAAGCTGGGCATGAATTAATATTATACTGTACGCTTGGAGAATAAGTCGGATCACTTTAATTGTATGACCCCAGGTACCTCTCAAACATTGTTGTGTCAAGCACCCTAGGAAGGGGGGGGTTGTAAAACCAAATTTTGAAAGAAAGCATCGTAGATACTCGAACAAAGTCTCATCCTGTAGAGCAAGCACAGAGGAGCAAAATTCAACTAATAAAAAAAAATATAGTAGGTTGAGTTGACAGATGAACAGATAATAGCGTTCTTTTTTTAAAATGGGCTGCTTTACACTCTCCTCGCTCTCATTACTTGACAACCAATATAGCGACTGAAAGTCCGTTTATATCCCTAGCAACCTCTGAAAATGGGCATATACTCGTTCTAATAGGAAGGCTTTAGCATCCGCATAGAGCTTGGAAAAGCTGTTCCCCCTTTTTCGAAAAGTGCGCAACAAACTTTTGACCCTTTGCCAAACCATAACGAAGCAAGATATAATCAAGCGGTTTTAAATGCAACATTTCCAGATATTTGATCTATCAATCTATCACTCGTAATCGCTTGTAATTAGCAGGTTTCAACATGCTCTATTCAAAAATCTTTGCTCAATACTGGCTTTCTTCGAGAATCATCCGTCTCTTAACGACAGTGACACACAACCTGGACATCTTCAGCTGAATATTTGGCTGTAACAGCATGCTCTGAATCTAGATGAATGCATACAATGCCTTTAGGCCATTGTATCACAACAAAAAAAAAAACCGTCTATTGACAAGCAAATGTATGAAATATAACCAAGTTTGGCAGCTTTCAAGCCTTCATATTTCAACATGCAGAGCTCTCTAAGCCGTTAGAATGACGCCAAACAATTGTACATGAGTAGCATTAACTTCCTGACACCTTTGCTCAACCTTTTGGGGACCCAAAAAATAGGGCCAGAAATTGACCAAAAACCATGAGGGGTATATACCTCATGGCTTTCATCGAAAATCAAACAATCACATTTTTTTTTTACCTTGAAAATGAAGACTTTTACTATGGTATGTATTACATCAAAATGTTTCTCTCGATCCAAAGCAACCTCTGAAACTACTTTTTTGAGGCCCCCCTATGCAAAATTTTGATATTTTCGCCAAAAACCTAATCTCATATTCTACTGAATTGCTCAATGATTTCAGTCAAAATACCCATTACAATTAACACCATTGGAAGCGCCTTGAAAAGTACTCCAAGGTTGTAATAGGAAGCACGGGCAAATTATTACAGTTTATATAGTCGAATCCTACAAAATAGTCTGAAGAAGTCGAAAAAGAACAAAATGTGGCCAATCTTGAGCAGGAGAAAATAAACGTAGTTTAAATGTATCTGGCAGCAACGGGCGGCGCTGTTGGCTGACCAAAGTGCTTTTCAGATGATGACAATGATGATTAGGATGCTGATTGAATGATGATCGTAGATTTGAAAGGACTATCGTTTGGACTGAATACTTTCTTTTTCTTTTATTGAAAATTTTCATATTTGACAACGCTGGTCAGCCTAGCTTACCATCAAAGTACATGTAATCGCAACTTCCTATTCATGACTTGCAGCATTTCAACACAGCATGTAGGCAGCATGTGTTTCATCGGTTTGTTCAAAAGAGACTTTTTCTACTGGCTGAAACACTGCTATGGTATGTGAAGAGAGTACCTTTAAACTTTGTATCAGAATACTCATTGCGAATGATAAGTACAATCTCGTTGACACTTGGCAAATTCTGAGTGCGCCCATCCTCATCAACAATTAGCTTCCCGTCTCATTTAAGGGTTGAGTCGAATGTAAGCATCATCGTTGGTATGATTTCAGGCCTGTCATTCTTTTTCCTTACTCAGGATCTCATAAGCATGTTTTGAGCCTTGTCCTCTGTTCGATGTTTCAAGGTCTATATTCCGCTGATTGACCTCGACGATACTTTCTCCATAATATTCGAGTAAGCTATATGACGAAACAAAGCATATCCGATTACTGGGAAGCTGGGAAGACCCAGTAGACGACAGCTTGAACAAACTTGTACAGATGGCATATTCTAAGCTAGAAATCACACGCACCTTGATCTGAAAGACCTAATACAGTAGAACAAAGCAAGCTATCACACTTTATTTTAAGCTCTCCGATGATGTTTATAGCACAATGTGTACAGGAAGACATCATGTATATGCAATAGCAGTGCTTTAAAATATCCTCCTATTCACCATGGATGAACAAGCTCCCATAGTTTGAAAGAGAATACGTAACAAACAATAAATGTTTCCGAATGCAATAGCAAAAGCCTATATTTAACACATGGAAGAAGGAAATTCAAGGGGGGGGGGAAATGAGGTACAGCAATACCAGAGTAGCAGCAGCAGCAGCAGCAGCAATGTCGTTCTTGTTGTAAGTAGGATTAAGGAGAGACATGGAGAAGAGAAAACAATAATACGTGATGGAAAGGAAAAGATGTATTGGACCCTTTTACTATACTTTTAACTATGTCCATTTGTTTGCTATCGATCCAAGTAAACCGTATATATATATAACCTATTCGGCCTCTCTTGAGATCGCTCTGGTTTGATTGCTACTACTTCTTCTTCTCATAGCTCAATGTATCTTATACCCTCTTTACAGCCATGAAGAAAAAACTCCCAAGAATCTCTAGGGCCAAATTTGAAAACATTGCCTACCTAACATTAAATGTGGTCAACATGGTTACTTATCTGATGGTGTTTGCTGCTTCGATCACTAAAGCGAAACAAGGGAGACTTGCTGAAATTATTGAAGCCATCTATTGCACGCAAGTAATTTCATGTTGTATACACTGCATTTCATGCTATAACATGGCATATTAATACGCACATGTATATAGGTTGATGTGTTGTTTACTAATCCTGCATGAGTTCACATCGCCTGCATGGATACAAAACTACTTTGGGTTTCTAACTGTGCATCGAGGTAAGGGCATGCTGATGTTATTGTGAGTAGTGTATATACATATCATGCCGCGTTTGTTGTCATTAGGCTAACGGAATGCTATAGTCTTGGTTGTATAGTGATGTGCGAAATTGCATTCAACATTATCGTTGCCATCATTGCATTTACCATTGGATTTGCTTATTTCATCCTCTCACTGATACCCACATTACCACCGCCCAACAGCTTCTGGATACACTGGCAAAATCATCGAGATTTCTGGGCTGAAGGTTTAGATTTGACGGTTCCTAAAATACACACAACAACGCTTATTGATAACGATGGCCACTTGCTGCATCCTTGTGCTTGGCATCCATCATCGTCCAAAATCACGTCTGCCAACTCCACCATGTACTATCAGCAGCGACAAGAAGATCCTCAACTCCTTGGTGCATATTACTAAATTCAAATAAATAAAGAGGACAAGCCCATATCGTGACACATTGGGCTGTAGTGTGTGCGTGTGTGTGTGTGCGTATTGTACCTGCTTGAATGGTGAGATTCAAATGGATTGAAATTCCCTTTACCATCTATTTATAAACCCTTTTTTTTTTGTTCTCTTTTATTTCTCTCTCTCTCTCTTTTTTTCTTTTCATACACAACAAGTGGTGGAAATGAGAGCTCGATCCAAGACGAACAAAGTCATTGACATTGCACTTTCAGAGGAAAAGTTTTACTTTCCTGGGGAGACCATCAAAGGTTGGCAGAGAATCGACATTCTGAGCTGCCATGTTATATTAACAATATGAAAAAAGGCTCTGTCATAGTGAAACCAAAAAGCTCCATCAAGGCAAACCCTATTATTGTTAAATTTTCAGGTGCCATTTTCATATCAGTCAAAGACAAAGAAGTGATCCCACTATTTCAAACCAGTAAATCACTACCAATTAATGACGGAAAATCCAAAGTATTGGAAGCAAAGACGTATAGCTTTCCCTTTGAATTCGTCGTGCCTGATAATTTACCCAGTGCCATGGATGTAAGTTTGGTCTGTTATCTCTCAGCAAATGGATTCTTTACTAATACGCGCTCATCTACACAGTTTGGAAAGAACAAGATTGCAAAGATTTACTACAAATTAACAGCCATTTTGGATCGACCCATGATGCCGGAAAGCCTCTGTCCAAAGATTGAATATCCTGTGCTTGTGCTGGAGTATGTGGATGTCACAAAGGATAACTTTACCAGACCACTTGAAAAGCAAAAGCAAGTGGTAACATCGCAGATCAAATGCCATACCAAGCTAAGTGTACCGAGAACAGGTTTTACAAGAGGAGAGACGATTCCTGTGAACATTGTTGTGAATACATTTCAGACGTTTGTGAAAAAGGAAGCATTGGTAGTCGATTTGGTGCGTAAAGTCAAGATATCCACAGCAAAGTAAGCAGCTTGCAGTGAGAGTGAGAGAGAGAGAAAGGGCGTGGTTGTTTAATCTCTCTCTTTTCCCCCCCTCCCCATAGAAATACACTGGATGAAGAACATATTCTCAAATCAAACAAATTTGATTTGAACATCATTGGACCCTACAACTTTTCACAATCCATCACCAGTCAGTTGTTAATCAGACCCACGCCACCAACGATTCGATACAAGGATAAAGTGATGCGTATTCATTACAAGATTCGCGCACAGGTGTTCACAGACCAAAAGAAAACACCCACTTGCGTGATAGAATTACCGTTGGTTATTGGTACATGGCCTCGTGCTGATGTGCCCATTGATGACGATGACGATGAAGACATAATACAAAATATGGGTGAAATGATGATTAGCGATGAGATTGACGACGACGACGAGCAATTAGGCGAGACGGAGGACGATGCTTGGATCAAGCAGCAAGAGGAATTGGAGTTTAGGAGACACTCCACGTTCAACAACGCTGGTGCTACACATGGTGGCCAAGTGAGAAGATCAGGCTCAAACGGGTCACTTGGATCCATGTCGTCTTGGATGTCTCAATCCACCATGGATCGTCGTATCTCTGCAGGCACAAGCCCAACCACTACAACGACAATGACATCTGCTACCAGCGGCAGCAGTAGTCATCACAGCATGATACCCGTCGACAACCATCAACGCAATACCCTTCCTCCTGTTGGTGGATTCAAAATGTCTAATGGCTACTTGAATAGATCGACATCCACACCAGATTTATTGTCAAACCCTCCGCCTCCACCTCCTCAACAAAGTCGACCCAGAGTCATTGATCCCACCTTACGCTCCTCTTACTACGAGCCAGCAACGCCTCCACCTTCTTCAGAGAACACTGTGGGCCATCGATCCAGTAAATCCATGCACACGATCCACCCTTCCTTTTTGAACTTTACATCATCGCAATTACCTCCACCACAACAAGCGTCTCCCACGCAGCACCGCCGCTTAGCATCGGATGAATTTTCTAGCTATAATTACAATCAGGTTACTCAGAATGAACCACAAGTACCTAATCACACTCTAACGTTTTTATCGTCTTCTGTGGTTACTCCAACAACGACGCCACCTCGAATTGTTACACAACAGCAGCATCAGCAGCCCTACGAGTCGAATAATGCAAGTTCACTGGATGAAACTTCTGAATCAGACTCTGATTTTGATGAAGACGACCTGTTTGCCATTATTGAAAAGAAAAAGAAAAAGGAAGAAAAGGAGCTGAGAAAGAGACAAAGGTCAATTTACACATTGACAGAGTAAAAAAAAAAGAGAAAAAAAAATAATCAAACTTTGTACATTAATTAAGCATGTCCTACTACTACGAGTCTATTTTACAGCACATTATTACTACTATTCCTGTTATTATTATTACCCACCCCCCCCCCCCTTCTTTTTTTTTTTTTTTTTTTTTTTTTTTTTTTGAAAAAAAAAAAGCCTCTTACTATTTACTATTAAACCAAGCCAAAATGCTTTTTTGCTTGTAATCATATATTTAGACTGTTTATTTGTGCATTCATCAAGAGGTCGTACAATGCAACTCTAAAATTTATTCTCCTTGCTCATCATCACCTGGAAGCACAAATCCAAATTGACTCAACATGTTACCTACAGGGCCTGGTAAACCCTGTTGGCTCTTGAAGCTCTCCAAAACGTTCTTTACAAGATTCAACTGTACATCCACCGGTGCTTCCTCGTCCTCCTCGACATCCTCCTCGCCCTCGTTTGACTCGGCAGTTGTTAATTTAGCAAATGATCCGCTGATCTTGTCGTGGCTGTAGATTTCTTGATCCATTTCGTCCATTACATGGGATAAATCATGTTCCTGCTCCTCCTCTTGCCCGTCTGTAGAAGGAACACCTCTCAAAATGCTCATGAATTTGTCCATATCAAACTGAATAGCACCTTGATCATCATCATCGTCGTCGTCGCTATCGTCATCCTCATCATCCTCATCTCTGGTATCATTGGGAAACTCCACGCCGTCAATGCCACTTTTACTGTTCTCCACAAAATGCTCGAGATTTGACATGATGGCTTCTAAATCCATTGATTCATCCCTGCTCTTATCACCACTGCCGCCAAAGTCCTTTTGTAAATCAGCCATCATGCTTTGATTCATATGTCCCATTCGTTTCATGAGCAATTCTTCCAGTTGCTGAGGGTCCACATTCATCCAGTCATCGCTGTCTTCCACATGCAGGTTGAGGCTGAGTAGCTTGTTCAGGGATTCTTGAGAGTATTGCGCCAGTAATGCATCGATGCGCTGCTTGACACTCTGACTAGGCGTTGATAACACATGGCTGCTGCCTTCAAATGTCGTCTCTTCAGCTTCCACATCCAAATCATCCAATGAAATGTACTTTTCACCCACTTGATCTTGCTCCTTCTTCCTGTATTCCAGATATTGCTCTTTGGATTGCTTATCAAGCAGTCCATACAATTGAGATCCCTTCTTTTCTGATCTAAAGTAGCCCAACTTGACTAAATGCGCCACGTAAGCAGTGTATTTCTTGTCGTTTTCAAAATCGTATGTGTCAATCGTGTCGTTATCTGCGTGATCTGATGCACTGTTGCTGTTGTGGTATAGCATTTCCAATCCACATGCGACCTTCATTCCCAATTCAGCAAACTTGAATTGTTTCTTTTCCTTCACAGAGGGCAATCGGAATGGCTTGGGTGCATAGAATTTTTGACTGACAGTCTGTGCATACGTTGTCTTTGTGAATTGGATAACAGTTTCTGTTAATCCTGACTGCGGTGAAAATGTCTTCATGGTGGCGCATGCTTTCAGGGAAATGGGGTCTCTGAGATAAAACGCTTCAATAGCTAATGTGATGAGTTGAGGTTCTGATAATAATACAAATGCTGCTTGGCTGGGTAGAATACAGCCAGCTCGATGGATCTCCTTCAATGCTGCAGAGGGATAATCGCTGATACGGTCCATGATGGCCTGTTGAATGGCTGGTGATGCCAGCGTGCTTTTACTGTTGGACCGTATTAAATCAATTGCTTTTTGTCGCATCAAGGGTCCAGAAGTGGCTTGCAGTATATCGGCTGGTGATGTGGGTAATGGTATAATATGCACTTGACCGTTATACAAGTAGACTCTGTTTTGACTGTTGGAGGGATCTAACCAGGCTGGAATATCTAGGGCTGCTTCTATCAGCAAGACATCGCCATCATTATCTACAAGTGATATCACTGATTCTGGTATTAAGCTGGATACTGTCTTGAGGATATATACAATAAACCATTCATCATTGACACAATCGCCAAAGCGAGAGGCACCAAATAAGAATGGATAGGATGGATCTAACATCGAGTGGTATTAATCTAGAGGGTCACACATTGACGTTTCATCTGGACGTACCTTGTTTTTGATCGTAGGCTATAGACAGATGGAATCTATCCTTCTGCCATAGGTAGCCATCGACGATGGGCTGCACATGTGAGTTGATCATGTCTAACGCATCTTTGAGAGAGTCCATCATGTCTGACTCATTGCCTTTCTTGGGTAGATACACTGCATATTGAATGTAGTCAATCTCTTTGGCAGAGGACCCTCGAAAAACATCCTGCAATGTGTCCATCATAAAGCGAGAGAATAAAGCAGAAAAAGACCTTAAAACACTTTTGCTACGATTTCGTTTGAAATCAGAAAAATTTTGACAGAGCGATCACAAGCATTACAGTATTTTCGGCTACACTTGAGAAGATTATGAAATAAGTATTTAGACGACAACTCTTAATAAAAATGGACTTCATTAATTATATTCCAAATGCAAACTACATTCGGTAGGGAATTTCCTTTGAATAATACATGGAGGGGGGGGGGACTTTATTCAAGCATTTTTCAAAATACTTTTTTAAAGTGTTGAGCAATGTTGACAAGGCGAGATAAATGGACATTACTAGGAACCAAGTAGCACTCTTTTTACGCTTTGGCTGGTATTAAGCAGCCTTTTTGGATTAAGCATGCTCCCGTTAATGATTTTACAATCAATTAGCAAAAACTACTTTTTATTTTTACCGTCTTTCCTCTGTTCAATGCTTTCAACATTTTCTGTGAACGGCAACCCAGAGCCTCAGAGATTTAGTCAACAGCTGCGATTGAGACAACAACACCAAAAGTGCTCGACCATCGAGAAAACCCCGTCGTAATAAAAAAAAAAAAAAAAAACTAGATAACATATTGTTTGAAATACTAAAGAACGTGGAACTAATGTTTATTTTGTTCCAAAGTTGATATTATTGATAACACCCGGTTTAACGAAACTGACCATCTTTTTGAAAAAAATGTTGATTATGATCCAAATTCCCCTACTTAATGCTGCAGACATGTTATGCAGCCCATGAATCGTCAATGTCCAGACTAACGTTGTTAAATAAAGAATGCAAGAAAATAACATAATTAACACTAGTGCTATGATTTGCCACCTACTTTCCATACGCTTCAAAAGCAGCTATTACTGTATTGTCTTCATGATAAGAAGGGCATTGAGTTTGCCACAGCCCCACCAGCCGCCAAAAATAATTCCAATTCAGACTCTTGGTCTACTCCAGATTGGCCAGATTTTGGTGGTTTTTTTTTGACCTGATTGAAACTGTTTTACCAGATTCGACTACAAAAATACGATAATTATCCTATCTTTCTTTAAGCTTTCTTGAAGTACTTTTCAAGACACATCCAATGATACCAAGTAAGATAGATGTTTTGAATAAACTTATTGAGCAATTTATGAAAATTTAAAAAAGAGGTTTTTGGCCAAAAAGTCCAAATTATACATATCAAGGTCCCACAAAGATGATATCAGGGGTTACGTTAGATTGATAGAAACATTTTGATTCAAGATATATACCATAGTAAAAGTCTTCATTACCAAGGCCAAAAACGCGATTGTTTGATTTTCGCCGAAAATCACGAGGGGTACCTCATGCTTTTTGGTCGATTTTTGTTCATGTTTTTTTTTTTTGATCCCCAAAAAGTTGAGCAATGGTCGCAATAAGTAACTGTTAGATGAGAGCAATTATTTGGTGCTATTCTGACCATCTAAAACGAGCATTTTCACCATCCTTCATGACTGAGGTAGCCAAGGTAGAAGCCAAGGCTCCAGAGTTGATCGATGTGGTACTTATCCCGTAGGTGAATACAGTCATAGGCTGTTGTAAATAGTCATGGAACAATGAAGATCTTGATGAACAGTATGTACCAATTTCGCGGAATTTTGTTTTGACTTGCCAAAGTTGCATCAGTCTTGAGTGTGTGTAAATGGAATTTAAGTTGGTAGTATTGTCAAACACCAAAGCGTCAGACCATGATTGGGAGTCCAGGTAGATTTTGTATGTATTTCGAATTGGGTTGTGGAGGTATAACGAAATTCATAGTGTTGGCTCCACATTCCGGATGATCGACCAAGTTGCCAATACGTACGCTAGAGGTTACAAGGGCATTGAAGAGGAGGACACCAAGTATAAGCTTCATAGCATTGTTTATTCCTTCTAACTGGTGCATAGTACCTATCCAGAAATCGTTGTTGCCTGAGGATGGTACTAATGTTGATAGGTGGGTGGATCCAATAGAGCTTCGTTGTTCAGCACGGTTATCAATATCAGGGTCACTTTTTTTTTTTTAAATTTTGTTTATTGATTGATTCGCGTACACTGAGAGTAATAGGTCAGAGTGAAGAGGCGAGTGCAATTTAGATAAAGAATTGGATAACTATAAGCTAAAATATGAAGAATAATATACTAAACTAAACTTATATAAAAAAAAAAACTATCTAATAATTGGCTTTGGATTACAGGAGGGAATGGCACTGATCTTCTGCAATGGTCTGACGAACACTGGTTCGAATACTGGCCAATATCGCTGTATGGTCCATAGGAACATTGTCATAGATGAACCTCATGTGGGCAAGCCACAGTTGACCAAGGGTGATGATGAGGATTCGGAAAGGCTTGATTCCAGCAATTTGGCAATACCAAACGTTGGAGAAATCAAGTTGCAGAAGAGCCTCTTTAATATCTAGAATCGAGGTGGTAGGCCACAGAAACTCGAAGATGACTCCCTGCCAAACTTTCTCTTTAGAAGGACAATGAAAGAGGAGGTGACTTGGGGAATCGTTCATAGACAAACAAACTGGACAGAGAGGAGACACAAAGACTTTGGGCATAATAAAATGCAAAAATCGACGGTGAGGAATTCGACCCAGAATGAGACGGTATATCACATTACGTTGGACAGTGGTAAGAGACAGGGACCAAAAAAATTTCCAGCTGGACGCAGAGATTTTGCGCAATGCCAAAGGAGAGACCACAGACGAAAGGACAGCCTGACGAAATGCCTTAGCCGAGGCCTGAACATTACCAAGAGGTTGATCATCAAGGAGACGAAACTGCTCAATCAAAGGAGCAAATGAGACGACTGAATCCTCTAAAGGAGCTGGGCTACAGACTGGCTCGAAGTAAGGTTGAAACTGTAATTTCCCTGTCGCTAGGCCTTTGAACACTGTGGAGGGAGTTCTTTTCCAGGTGAGCAGAGAGGGGTCGCGAGTATCCTTCCAATGGACGAAATTGAGCCGGGAATCATACTGAAAAACGTCGGCCACCATCATTTCTTTGACACGAAGAGGAAGCACGAAGCTGGAGGAGGGAGGGACAAACACTGCAGCCTGCAGTGGCAACGCCATAGCAGTAGCTGTATTAATGCGGGCAGAGCCAAAAGAACGAGGGAGATAATCAACAGCACGATATATCATATCCACAGTGCCAGTTCGTTGTTTCAGTAACCCTTGAGAACGAGACGAGGGAAAAAGCAAAGGGATTTGGTGAAATTGGCAGTTGTTAACATTTCGAATGTGATGGCTGAGAAGAGATGACACAGGATGGGCATCAATGGTGGATTGATCATACACCAACAAAGGTTGCAACCATCGAAAGTACAACGCCGAAGCTTGTAGCTGGATGTCGATCACCCCGAGACCACCTAGTTCCTTTGGGAGAGTCCAGACAGACCATGGGATGACGGGGAATATGTTCTTTCTCAAAAATTGTATGGCAAGAGATCTCAGCTGTTTGAAGTCTGCCAGAGTCAACGGAGTAACCCGTAGGATGTACCAAAGTTTGGAGAGCAAAAGAGAGTTCAAGACAGTAGCTCGACCGACAACCGACAGTGATCGAGTAGAATGTATTTGAGTGGCAATTTTGATCTTTGTTACCAGCGAGCCCATGAAGTTGACACGTTGGAGACGACTTTGAACCAAAGGAAACCCCAAATAGATTAAAGGTACATCGTCTTCGACGGAATGTAGATGATTGATGTGGATTTGAGCCAACGAGGTCTCCCAAATATCCCATGTATCTCTGCCAGATACCGAAAAAGCCTCCACCTTATCGTAGTTGAATTTGGCATTGGAAGCGCCGCAATACCTGGACATATGTATTTGCAACCGAGCGAGATCAGCAGAATCGTGGACAAATACCAAGGCATCATCAGCATAACAAAGAAGCTTGGTTCGTTCAGTTCCCATAAGGTACCCTTGGAATTGACGATCGTTAATAATGGCCAACAAGAAGGGTTCAAAAGCTAGATTGTATAGGATTGGAGACAGTGGATCACCCTGCTTCAAACCTCTCAGTTTCGCCACTTCGGACGATAAGTGTCCATTGAAGTTGATGCGAATCAGGTTGTCACCCATTAACTTGTAGATGCATTTCACCAAAGGACGGGGGAAGCCAAATTTCAGCAAGACGTGCCGAAGGTAGTCTAAATTTACACGATCATATGCCTTTTCTTGATCAAGGAGAAGGCCAATATCAGCATCCAAAGAGCCAAATGTAGGATCGTCGTCCCGTTGTTCCGCAACTGTCCATTTTCATTGTGCGTCTTCCATGATTAGTTGACAAATCATACCATTTTCAGCAATATATCGTCCTGGAATGAATCCTAACTGGTGGCGGCTGATAAGCTGGGTAGAGACGTCCATGATACGCCGGTTGATGCATCGAGTAAAAAGCTTGTAATCCGAGTTGGCCAAGGATAAAGGTCGATAGTTTTTCATGTGAGTTGGATCGCCTTTCTTGTACAAAAGACACATAATGGTTTCGTTCCAAGATTTAGGAAACTTACCCTTCTGTAGAGCTGTGTTGAATACATCGGTGACAAGGGCCTGCAACGGAGGATATTTCAAAACCAAGTACAGAATCTCGTAAGGCAGGCCATCTGGGCCAGGGCTACTGAGTCTGCGGGTGTGTTTGCTATCTTCCAAGAGTTCTTCCATGTCGATTGATAACATCAGAGATTCCTGCTGTTCACTAGAGATTTTCAAATGACCAGGAATGGATCGGATCAAGGTACTAAGAGCTACTGAATCAGTTGGGTCGGGAGTAAATAGAGTAGAGTAGAAGTTAGTCGCTATGGTGGAGATACCCTGTTGATCGCGACAGAGTTCATCAGTAGTGGGGTCCCTCAATTCAGTGATAGAGCGCTGATTCTCTCTGGCCAAAGCTCTCCTCTTCAGGAAACCAGCAGACTTCTCACCATTTTCCCTCCAAAACTTGCCGGCTTTGAGAATCTCAATTTCCGCTATAGTGTGTTGCAGTAGTTTGATTTGAGTATTGACATGATCTAGGCCTTGGAAAACCAAACCTCTATGCTTGTGTTGTCTCATCATCTTGTTTCGCTTGGACAATAACTGATGCAGTTGTTTCTTCCTCCAATTCAGATCTTCTAATTGAAATGACTTGATGTAAATCTTGACTTCAGCTTTTACCCAATCCCACTGTTGTTGAGGAATAGAAAAGGATTTGATTAGTGTAAATTGCTCTTCATTAGCCAAGAGAAATTCGGCTAATGCCTTGCGAAACTGTCGATTGCGAGCCAAAAATGGGTTAGCCTTCCAGCTGCCAGGTCCTCGTCCATTGTTGTCTTGATACTTGAAAGTGAAGCCTAATAATTCATGATCCGTCCATTCTGGAGAGAGATACTGTTGATGGATACTAGGAATTTGATGATGAGCATTCGTGCTGCAAAACACATAATCCAAGATGGCCGAGTTTCTCCCACTATGCCATGTTATCTGTTTGTCATCTCCAAAAATGTCAATGTAGTAGTCATCTAACAGATCCGTCCATTCCTTAGGGGCGCTAGACAATGTTCCGTCCATCCTTCGATCCTTGTATTGATAATTAAAGTCCCCCATAATAAAAGTGTTGTGTAGTGTGTTGGTAATAGTATCCTTAACAATGGGTATGTCAAGGAGTTCTGTATAAAAGGCTGATCGAGCTGATGGAAGCGATGATCGACCATATATGTTTAGAATAGTTGCAATTGGTGTTGTAGTTGTAGATTCCTGTATATCGCGAGTTAGGTGAACAGAAGCTAGTATATAGCGTCCCTCATCGATGCCTTCCGATATAAGATTAATTGTTAAATGTTTGTTGAGGGCTATGATGCCACAATGTTGTGTCCAGAGACTTGATTTGCTGATAAAATGATTATTGAGTATGTCAATTGATGTTGAGTTTGTAGCATGTGTTTCTTGTAACACCAGTATATCATATTCTAGTGTTCGAAGATATCGAATGAATTGTTGTCTTTTTTTGGGATTTTCTGATTTGATTAAGCCACGGCAATTGAGGGTGGCTATTTTGAGTTGATAGTGGATATTATTCATATTTAAAGATTGGTGGAAGGTGGTGAACCTGGAGGTGCAGGTGGTGTCAAATTCCTATCAATCGTATCCGTATCATCACCAGACATGCGCCTGGCATCACTGTGGGGGTTAGAGGTTTCAGCGTGTTGATATCTGGCATAACCGATATCTAAAGATCCTTCCTGGCGGGTTAACTTCTTCGCTGCTTTCGAGGGATCAAATTCAGGATGAGATCTGCGCACATCCTTGGAAACACTGTTTAATGCATCCGCATCAGAAAACTTTGTATTCGTGTTGTTCTCTTCCATAATGGTATCTCCAGTTATTTTGGTTTGTTGTTGAGAAGCTTCAGGGGAGGGTGCATCAGCATTAGGTTGAGGAGCATCCTGCATGATATGATCCTTGTCTTCTACTGGTTTGCTTCGACGTTCAGAATCGGCCCTCTTTGGAAGAGTAGGCTTGGCTCCCTTTCGTTCCTTGGGCTTAGCAGAAGTTCTGTCAACAGCACGAACCTTTGCAGGTACCGATTCTGCGTTGTTTCTATCACAATTCTTCGATACATGTCCACGTTTGTTGCAGTGGTAGCATATTGCCCATTTGTGGTAGTCTGGGCAGTCAGCACGACAGTGATCAGGTTTCTGACACTGGCGGCAAAAGGCTGGCATTTGATCCCATTGTAATAGGATTTGTCGCTGGTCATCTTCCTTCGAGCGAGTGTCCCAAATGATAACTCTCTTGAGAGGTTCCAAGTGTCGCTGTCCACTACATTCAACTCCAGCTTCATGTGAATCCATACATTCATTACCAGGAACATTGGATAAGGTGAGATTGAGGGTGACATATCCTTCACCTTGAAAGATACCAGTCTCTGTCTTGAAAATACCATGATCCAATACGTCTCCAAAACAAGAGAAGCGCTCCGCCATTTCTTTCTTCAGCTGGACAGCAGGAAGAAAAGGTAGCTTCTCCATAGTGATACGCACAATGTTGGCATCTTCGGTAAAAGAGGGAAAGCCCTTCAGGTAGGTCCCATCCTCCAAGGTAATTCCCTGTTCGATGAGAGTTTTTCGGCCAGCTGCATTTGGTAGCCAAAGAGTTTCCAAGAATTGGTGACCAAGGTAGTGTCTAGTTTGTTTTCGATATCCTAGAAAATCCTCATACAGATCATCTCTTTCTGCCTCTTCATTGAACTTGACAAGTGCCTTGTCCAGAAGAGTTCTATCTTTAACTGTAGTCAAGTCTATGAATACCGAGTCCTCTTCTATACCATTCATGAATGGTCGAACCATTGCAATAGGTTTGGGAGGAGTGGTGTTAGCTGCAGACGCGTTCTGGATCGAGTCGGCAGGAGGGGTGATCAACGTAGGGTTGAATGAAACATTTTGCTGTTGTTGTCGTAGTTTGCCCTTCTTGTTGTTGCGAACGACATAAGTCCACAACTCAGGAAGTGGGTGTTGCGATGTCATTGATACAGAATAGATTGCCACGCAAAAACGTTCAAAAGCATATCAGGGTCACGATCATACACTTCTAATGATAAAACAAGCAAACTGCGATGATTTTCAGAGTCAATCATTACAGATCCAAATAAACCCTCTTGCCATCATGAATCGTTGGTTAGGCTTGATCTCCCAATCTTGGTTCAATGTTGCAATTATATCCTTGTTCAATTCAATATAATATCGTTTTGATAGGTATTGGGATATCCCACCAAATTCACCGATGCTGTGAACAGTATCGCAAGTTGGAAACTTTTAGACCAGAGGTACATCTTGAACTGGGTGCCTTAAAGTCAACTGCTGAGACTTTTCAAGCATTGTTTAAAGTTGCTCAATGCGACTTGGTGACACAATTACATCCACTTCGTTACCATCCTCATCTGATAACGCGACAGGCACTCCATTATAAAAACCTGCTAACATCAATGCTCATTTCTTGGAGTGGCGGCTTCTGTCTGTTTCACTCATGGCATACAGGAAAGCTTGATCGTATGTACGTTGAGAATTGTGATGGTCTGAAATATCATAGTTGAGTGAAACTATATATGAATTAAAAGTTGTAGAGGACACTTTGGTTGATTAGGGAGTGTTGTATTTGGGCTTGCTGAGAACGATGTCGATGAGTAATGAGGAGAAAGATACCAACAATCTATTTTAGCAATACTGATACAGGTTGAGAATATTAAAGTGCAAATACTAACCAAATCACAGAGTACCTACAACAGGCGCTTCATCCACAGAGTGGTTTTTTTTCTACAATGGGAGCAGGCTTAATTCAAAACGCTGCTTAATACCAGCCAAAGTGAAAAAAAAAGAGTGCTACTTTGGCTCCTATTTTGCCAATTATTTATTTCGAGTCTTTGACATCCAAATTTGACACCTAGATTTTATAAAAGAGCTGTTTTTCATGACACTTTTCAGTATTATAGTTGCCAAAGCAAGTGGTTTTGACACCATGTAGCACTCAAATATAGCCGAAAATACCGTAGTAGCAAGGAGGTTGCCGAGTAAAATACTTTTCTCATTTGATGATTTTAGAAATTCATCTAATAACTCTCGGTCAAAGTATCAGGGCAATGCATGCATAACACTTTACTTTTGTAAAACTACTCTATTCTGTTCATTTGAGGAGCATTGTGAAGCATTGATCAACATGAATCAAAGTGACTTAGTTCCCCCCCTTTTTTCGATAATTAAAAACGACGGATGAGATTTCGCCTCTTCGTTAAATTGGATTGTGTTTCCTCAACTTGTTGCCATGAACATGAAGGATAGAACTGCAGAATTCTACGCCCTTGCAGAACGTATCAAGAAGAGAGGCAACAACAAGAACAGGAATAGTCCTGTCATAGGCAAACAAAGCACCTCAACCACAAAAACACGCTCAGAATTCTCCAGATTAGCTGCTCAATTAGGTCGCAATATTGCAGCAACTTCGGAAAAGCTAGAGCAGCTCACATACTGTAAGTTGGTAGTATTTACAACATAGTGTGTAGGCGTCTCATATGTGTGGAAATGTATAGTGACCAGATCAAACAACGGGTTTAACGATAATCCTACTGAAGTGAATGCAAGTAGCTTCAACTTTTTTTTCTTTCAAACTACATTTGATACTAACTCGCATCTTATAGACATTACAGCAATCTTTGAAACAAGACATTACAAAGTTGAATAATCAACTTAAAATATTACAATCTGTAAAAAATGGCACTAGATCAACTTCGAAACAAGCTTCAGAACATTCAAACAATGTCATCATGTCTCTTCAATCTAAATTAGCAGATACATCATTGGGCTTTAAAGATATATTGGAAGCAGAGGTAAGGTGGATCCATGTTTTGATCAAGTGAGTGCATAGCCTGCTAATGAAAGAGATCTAGGTTGTCCATCACAATCATGCGTCAGGTATGAAGGATATATGACAAATAGCACAGCGTATTGACACACTAGCAGCGCAACCATCCTCCTCACCACAACCACGCAGACGAGTCAATGCACATTCATATCGGGATTCGCCCAACCCCACCACAGTACCTACTTATGACGATTCACCTCAATCACTAGGTATTCCCATGATATCACAACAACAGCAACAGCAACAACAAATGCTGGAGCGTAATGACAGAAGAATCGAGTCAAGAACAAATGCCATGGAATCCATTGAAAGTACCATTGCAGAATTGGGTGGCATCTTTCAGCAGCTAGCTACCATGGTGGCAGAACAAAGAGAGACTATTCAAAGGTAGGTTTGTCAATGTGAAAGATCAAGCAAGCCTACTAAATTCTTGTTTGCAGAATCGATCAAAATACAGATGACATCGAGATGAATGTGCTGGGAGCTCAGAGCGAACTACTCAAGTACTATCAGAATATAAGCACAAACAGGGCTTTGATCATCAAGATTTTTGTCACCATCATCCTGTTCTTTTTGCTGTTCACATATATCCTATAAAGTAATACAGATTATCATCCAGTGTCATCGCTTGAAATAGACTTTCCTGCATTACATCTCGAGATGGACTCATCCTCTAAGGCAGTGTCGCAATCGAATGGTAGATGAAAGGCTACTCATCAACATGCGTAGATATTTATTTCTAGACATATTTAGTATGGACTTGCCAAAGATGCCATAAAGCTATACAATCTACAGCTAAATGCTTATTTATCTGCAGATCTACATCTGTAGATAGCCTTCATGGAAGCAGTTTGGAAGGATGGCAATCCATGTGATGTGGATTGTGTAAGGTTTCATAAAAATTTAAGATATTTGATATGATGACAACGGCGAGTTACAAGCATGAAACCGCTCGTAGTTTGTTTTGAGACATGATGCCGTCAAAATGTCATTTCACATACAAATATTAATGGTAAAATAGAATTTTTCGTTGGCTACCTCTGCCAAGTGCCGTTCTAAACTAAAAAATCTTTATTTGGTTACCTTGCAACATACCTTCAAACGTTTTTCATAATGACATATGCACTATAGAGTGTATCTCTTGCCTAAAGTGGCTCTGCACATAGCACCAAAAAGCGAAACTACTATTAACCCCCCCACGAAAAAAAAAAAAAAGAAACCCATCTCTTTTTCTCCACTCTCTTTTTTTTTTTCCTTTTACACTCTCATTATCATCATACACAACCAACCTACTTAACACCCCTGCTTTTCCGAAACCCCTTCTCTCTTAAATGTATTTTTACAATCAAGATAAAGACGATCCTCAACAACAGAATGCACTCTTTGGACACTCTTTTGACGATACTTCCACAATGAATAATCCATTTCTAAGCTTCAGTCAAAGTCTACCCTCTCAGTCATTTGATAACACATCATATCAGAATGATACCTCTCCTTCACCTTCCAACAATCAAGACATGCTATTTTCGCAGCAATTGAATGACTACAACTTTTTCGATCAAGACAATGCCTTGTTTTCGGACGCTCATTTGGATCCAAACATGCTGTTAGGAACCATGTCAAATGATGAGCAACAAGCCATCTTGTTTTCTGACCCAAATTTCATCAGACAACAGCAACTGCTGCAAGAGCAACAGCAGAAGGCAAACAAAATGATGTTGGAGAATGATAAGGACATTTCAACATCATCCTCTTCACCGTCATCCACCGTAGCAGCAGCAGCAGCAACAACTACTGCTCCACATTCAAACTTATCCGCCATGTTCAATACGCCTTCTTCTGTTAGCAGCAACACTGTACTAAAACCGCAGTTGGAGCCGATTAATTTGATTACAAGCCAAGAGCAAAAAAACAACTTTGCAAATAGTCAAAACAATAGAAGATCGATTTCTGGCAAAAGTGCATCCCTGATACCCTTATCTTCTTCTACACCCAGTAGTACTTCCGAGTCAACAGGAGGCATTGATCACCAACGCCGTTTCAACGAACTTCAAGCAAGGTTTCGTGTCAATTATGCAAAGAAATCCCAAAAGCAGCAGCAGCAACAACCACAAGATGATTTAACGGGTACATCCATGCCTATTACTTATGCTGAACAACGATCTTTCCTGTCCTCTTCCTTCACAGACGGCACTGGACCCTCACGAAGAAAGCTTTCGCTGGATCCAACATCGAGCAAATCCAATCGAATCATCCGAGAACCTGGTAAGATTAAGGTAGTAGGAGGTACAGCAGGTTACAATAGCAATGGTAACGTGGGTGGCGCTGGAAAATCAGCAACAGCAGCAGCAGCCATGGCGATGCCTATCAACATCAACAACAGTACAAACACAGCCACCATGGCTCGCACAATGCCCATTCAAATACAACGAGTGCATCGAGCCAACGCATTTCAATCATTTGATCTTGAACAGCGTCAAAAGCGATTGGACGACCAACTTGTCAAGGTGGATTTCGAGGACATTACAGTATCAGAGCTGAAGGACATGTTGAGACAGCGAGGAAAGCCAGCTACCGGTAAAAAAGCCATGCTCGTACAGCGACTGCAAGAGGAAAGAGACATGATTCAACATGCAAGAGCAAATGGTATCCCTATTGCCAATCGTAATGCACAGCCTACAACCACAAGCACAACACCCTCCTCGGGCTCGTTCTTGGCAGAAGGTAGTAGCCCTATTCTCTCTTCGCCCATGATGGAACATGCAGCTTCACTACCAGACTTGTCAAGCTCACCGACTGCCGTGGGGCTTGGTTCACTCAACCGTTCTATTGCTGACATGCACATTGGATCGCCCCCCATGACATCGCAGCAATCTCGCCGTTTTGCACCTTACAGTTCACCCAGAGTTGCCTCTACAAACAACAACAACTTGTCAGCGACAGGAAATGTAGATCTTTATTCGTCTTCCATGCCAACTGGAAGCCTTGACATGATGATGATGCAACAACATGATCAACAGCAGCAACAGATGCAAAAACAAACAGAACCCCGTGTAATGAGAGGCTTTAATTTTGGAAAGAAGTCTTATGCTCCCTTTGCTTCCTCTGCATTAGCCACGCCAGATAGAGAAGACGAGTCTGATCCATTTGATCAGTTGGAAAAGATTTCAGAGAACCCTACATACAACAACAATACCACAGGCGACATGGAATGGACCGATCCATCGATTGAACTCATGTTACAGCAAGGTTTGTAGTTCTTTTGAGAGAGAGAGAGAGAGAGAGAGAGAGAGAGAGAGAGAAAAGGAACATGGAACCTAACATGTATATTCAAGGCGACATGGAATTTCAAGATAAATCTGCAGACGAGTTGTTGTCATTTTTAGCAACATCGAACCCTGAATTTGATGGTTCACAGTTCATGTACAACAATCAAGACCTACTGAACAACAACTTTCAGAATTTTGGAGGAGGGTCAGACTTGAGTAGTGTCATGTTTGATGGATACACAACGATGGATGACCAAAACCTGCACCAGCATAGCAGTGAACATCATCATTCATAGACAACATATTATTTTATATTATTATACACACACAAGCACCACATTATTATAGAGATTACCCCCCCCCCCTTTTTTTTTCATGAATAGAAGCAAAAATTATTCTTTTTTCTTATTTAAGCATCCACAACAACCAGCAGCGCAACATAACATCCTAATAAAGCCCATCTTAACATTGATATCGGTTCTCGTCTTTGTCACACATTTCACTTGAATGTGGTGTTTTTAAAAGGCAATAAGATGTCGAATGGAGTGAGTGTACATGGAAATAACTTACACATGGCTACACAAAATAGGTTGAGTTTAACAAGTGCATCTCAAATATACAGAAATGCTTCCAAGATCGATTTCTTCTTTTTAGCAAATGAAGAAAGATTTACATTGGCAGTGGCGAGAAAAGTATCTTGGATCAAATGAATGGCCGACAAAACTCGGCTAATCGCTATAGAAAGGGCAGGACTTATACAACAGGTATTGAAACGAATATCGAGTCCGTGCACCGTATGTTAAAGACTAATAGACTTCCCCAGCACAGGAGAGCTTCTGGTTGTGTCCTACTTGAACATAGTATAGAGTACAATTTGTATAATTTATCCTTACACAAGAAGAAGGATACGCTTTAGATTTCCCTCTTTCTTTTATTTCTCTCTCTCTCTCTCTCTCTTTTTCTTTATGAAATCATGGGCCAAAATATCTCGATAACGAACCACAATGGCGTTTTAAAACTTAAGCGCAACAGGAGGAAAACTAGAAAACCATCATCAGTAGAAAACAACATGTCGGCGACATCACCGACAATCTCAAATCTCCATAAATCATCAGCTGAAAAATCGTATCAATCTTCTAGTATTATAGTGCAAGACCATGAATATAAATTTCCTAAAGCTTCATCGTCCACATCATTGGACTTGAGAGACCTGCCTTACGATACACTGAAATCAGAAGATGACAGAATGAATGCTGTATGTTTTGGGTTCCCGTTGACACTGTTGCTGATTTACTGATACATACATACATTTTACCAGAATCAATTTGCACTCAAGGCATTGTTTGACGGGTAAATATTTGTAGTTTCTCTCTCTCTCTCTCTCTCTCTCTCTGTGTGTTCCGCACATCAAGTTTCACAGCCTTACCTATACTAAAGCTCTAAAACAAAACTGCTTGTAGAAACTATCTCAAAGAGGTTGGCAAACGCATTGATTTCGAATCAACAAATACAAAAGTGCTCGATATTGGCTGCGGTGCAGGTGGCTGGGTGATGGTTTGTGTTCTTCTTCGCATTCATTCATTTATGATATAAATTAACATTGTTGATGTTACACTGCTGTACAGGACATGGCGACCGAACATCCGGCAACTCATTTTATAGGATTAGACAAAGTTTCTTTATTTCCACAGTGTATCAGACCTGCCAATGTATCTTTTGTCCAGCATGATGCCACATTAGGCCTACCTTACGAGGATAATACGTTTGATCTAGTACATATGAGAATGTTCTTGATTGCCTTTAACAAGTTTCAGTATGCCGAATGTATGAAGGAAGTTTTCCGTGTAACAAAGCCAAATGGCATCGTTCAATTACTAGAAGTCGAGATGGTGGTAAGCATTGCGGCATGGGCTTATGCGTTGTTGAATGAATCACATAATAAATTGGATATGCACAGGATGATGGCGATGACCTAGTGAAAGAGTTTGGTGCGGCTAGCAAGTATACACACTCGACGCAGACAATCCAATGTGATAATCTAACCCTAATCTTTCTCTAGTCGAGAAAATCATGGCAGCAAATGATCAAGATGCCATGATTGCGCAAAAGTTATCCAGCATCATGTCAACTAGCGGATTCACGCCAATTCAACAAGTCAGAAAATCATTCAGGCTCAGTAAGTGTGTCTATTTAGCTGTATATGTCTCCACTACTCATGTAAGTTCCATAGACAATCACCCTCTTGCATCCGAATTTCTCTACATTTTCGACGTTTCTCTCGACACTGTCAAACGAATCGTATTCGCTGTATACGACCTTACAACAGAAGAAGAATATAAACGGTGGAAACGAAAGTGGTTAGAGAGCAGGAAAAACACATCTACATCAACATGGTGGTGTGCTGCTGGTCAGAAAGTGGTAGTAGCGGCAAATCAGTAACAGTTTCAGCGTCTATCCTTTTACCGTGTTAATTATATTGTATATGAATAAATCCTTTTTATATTCATCATACCCTCAAGTAAATTATACTGAATTGTACAAAACATGGCAAAATTTGAAGGCAATTGAGCAGCGATTTTCCATGGTGAAAGCCGGTTAAGGCCGTCAGAGTAGCATCATACAACTGCCCTCATCTAGCGCTCACTTACTAATAACTTTGCCCATCCTTTTTTGGACCAAAAAAAAAATCGATTAAAATCCTCGCAAAACCATTGAAAATCAAACGATTGCGTTTTTCACCTTGAAAATGAAGATTTTCACTATGGCACATCTTACATCAAAATGTTCCTATCCGTCTAGGGCAGCCCCTAAAAGCACTCGTCTGACACTTTCCTATGCAAAATCTAAACATCTCGGCCATACACCTTAATTTATGTTTTTGGCTATTACCCAATAAACTCAATAGAGACTTTTATCATAGTTAACACTATCGGATGCGCATTGAAAAGTACTCCAAAACAGTAGTAGAACGCATGGGATGATCATCAACTCATATAGTCGAATCTAGCAAAAGAACTCCAACCAAGTCGATTTTAATTAGGATCTGACCAATCTGGCACACAAGACAATCGGAGGATGAATTTAATTTTAGCAGTGGCAGCAGCAGTAGCTGGCAGGATCAATGTAGGAAGAGAATGGATGTTTTCGACGCTTCGAAAACTGCAGATTGAATCAATAAACGATATACAGGCCAAAAAAAAAAGTTATTGAATATGAAATATTCTTTTTATTGATAAAACTTATATTGAACTAATAATGTGGACTAACGAAAGAAAAAAAAAAAAGTCAATTTGAGATTCATGCAATCATCTTAAGCACAAGACGATCCCTTCAATTGTTGAACAAGGACACGAGGAGCAGCAGGAGCACCACCCTTTTCATTCCAGACTTGAACCATAGATTCATGCTCCAAGAAAGACTGGACGCTTTCGCCAAAGATATCCAAAGCGTCGACCTTGATATCACATTCAGTAGTGATGGTTTCTTGTTGATGGCAATGCGTCGACGTTTCCTCCTCTTCACGTTCAATCAAGACAGTATGGCATCCCTCCTTCTTTGCAGCAGCTACAAGCTCAGCACTGGAAGAGACCACAGCCAATTGATTGGCGTATTCAAGACCAAGTAGTTTGATGGTACCCTTGATGACGGACTGAGATGCAGTGACAGTGCTGTTGGCAGCAGCAGATGCAAACATCTCAGCAGTAAACTGACCGTGCCAGCAGAGACAATTGTTTTGAGCCAAATCAATCATGGAGCGTGTAGAAAACGTATCCGAAATAGCAATGGTAGCATACTTTTGAGTTGTTTGGAGGTGCTTGAGGCGACGGATGCCAATGGAAGCATCATCATATACACCAATATTTCTCCAAGCATCACACAACTGCTCGATTTCTGATTCAGAGAGGTTTTCCTTGATGTAATAGCGCTTCAAGATATGAACAAGCGACTCGTGCAGCGTAATATCATCAGAGACAGGACGCTTCTTGGCAAAGTTCTCCTTTTTGATTTCAGTGTACGCACCGTACCAATCTTGCACAAAGACGTTAAAGTCCATGCCGGAGAGCACGACATCATGCTTGGGTGTAATAATTTGCTTCCAAGCTTGATACAAGGTCTTGCGATAGTTGGCAATGGTACCAAGCACATCGAATGCAATGACACGCACGTTCTTGAAGGAGTCAGGCACATGAGCTGTTTCAGACCAGGTGACGACCTTGCCTTCAAATGCAGATGAGACGGCCAAGTCGATACCAATCTCAAGAGTATGATGCACACGCTGTTGAGTACGATGGATAATGGCTTCCAATCTCTGGGTAATGACATCAATGTCTTCGACTTCGATACGGTGAATAACTTGACGAAGCACAGAGAGTTGGAGCAACAGTGTCGTTTTGATGCTATCGAGGCAGTCCAAGGTTTGCTTGACCGAGTTGACAACCAGGGTTTGCGTTTCGGCCTCAACATGGCTGGTAGCCGAGGTCTTGCTGCTCATCACCAAAAACTTGTCCTTGGTCTCCTTGATAAAGACATCGACTTGTTCTTCAGCCACATCCAATCTTGCAAAGATGTCTTTACGAATGGTTTCCGAGTTACTATGAATGATGCTAGTGACATTCTCCAATAAAAGAACGAGCCAGTTGGTAATGTGCGTCTTGCTTTCTTGCACAATCACAGTCGTTTCAAGACAGAACCGTTTTTGCGTTTGCTGACGAGACTCCTTGACAACCTCAACTACGTTTTCAAGCACAGTGTCTTGCTTCTTGTTAGATTGATCCACGGTAGCAACAGTGATGCTGGTGTCCTTCTTGTAGTGTACCTCAAGAGCAGAGTCTACCTGTTGCTTGGTAGCAGAAATATGGTTTTCAATTTGAGTAGTCAAATCAATGGAGCTTGAGGATCCTTGGTTGACAATGTGAGTAATTTGAGTCGATTGACTGTAGGCAGTGGTCTTGATCCAGTCAAGTGTGCTGGTGAATGTACGGCTGGATTCAGAAGTGATGGTCTCGGTGGACATGTGCTGAGACTTGGCCTCATTGATGGTCACCTCCAACTCGGATTGGGCCTCCTTGATGATCTTGTCGACTTGCACAGACACATCGCTGCCTCTCTTCTTGGTGCAAACTGTCACTTTTTCAGATAAGCGAGTGAACCAAGCATCTATCTTGAGCTGAACCTCTTGGATAGAAGTTTCCTTGACAACCTGAACTGTAGTGGTCTCTGATTGCTGATTCTTCTTGTGATAATCAATTGCAATCGCAGCAGCAGCGGCAACAGCAGCAGAACCCACAGCTGTCTTGACAATGGTGTCCTTGTAAACATCATGTCGATCTTGCTTGTCAGACTGAACAACAGACATGTCTTGCTTGATACCCGTAATGTGCTCCACAGTAGTGATCTTTTCAACCGCCTCATAGTGATTGTGGACTTGTTGCTTTAGCTTATTTTCGCTCATTTCAAGAGTAGACATAATTTTGGACTTGTCCGTCTTGCTAGTGTCTTGAACAGCAGCCTTGACGACATCCAGTTGGCTCTGAACAGAGGATTTGATGTTGCCAAAGAAGATGTCCAGATGGTGATCCGTCGTGACCAGAGCAGTAGCAGCAGAGGACTTTTTGGAGGTTGTCGTCGTGGTTGTTATTGTTGACGTGGTCGTTTGCTGTAGCTGTTCAATCTTGGTCTTCATCTCGACTTCAGCTTGAGCAACGACAGTATTGATCTTCTGCTGCTTTTCTTCCTCGGTGCAATCACTCGCTTCAAGAAGCTTATCAATCTTGCTTCTTAGATCAGAAAACCAACCTTGGACCGCTTCAGTCGTCTGTTGAGCAGTTTGAGAGACGATAATGACTATCATAACATGGGTTAGCAAGCGTTCCAAGTGATCATATATTTGTATACTTACGTCCAGCAGTGATGCTTTCAGACACACTTGTAAAAGTAGCTTCGATTTGACTCTTGGACGTGTTGCTCACTTGCAGCACCTTCTCAACAGCCATCTTGGTATCGGTGGTTTCGGTAGAAATGGCCTCTGTGGTCACCACCTTGACTTGAGATATCTGTTCCTGCACCGTCTTGTGAACCGAAGACAGTGATTGCTCGATTTCAAGTTGGGTCTTCTTATCCACCTTGGTAGTGGTCGACTTGGCCTCGGTAAAGATCTTGGTCACTTGTTGCTCACTGGAAGCAATCATCTGATTGACATCCTCTTGCACATTGGCTCCACCTTGACGAATACGGGTGACAATGCGTTCGGACAGAGATACAAACAAGGCAATAGTGGTAATACGCGTCTCTTGGATCACAGAATAAGCAACCTTGGTCTTGTCAACAGAAGTCTCCATCTTTCCGCATACGGGTTTCTTCTCGACAGCAGCAGCACTAAACGTTGGCTTCTCTGTCTTGATAACAGACGTACTGATCTTGTTGACCTTTTGATGGAAGGTAATGGAGGTCTTGAGCTGTTCAAGAGTCACTTGAATCTGATGGTATGATGCAGTCGCCAAGGCTTCCATTTGGGTTGTCATGGTGTCTGCGGATTTGCCACCTGATGTTGATGCATTGATACCGATTTGCTGGATCTGAACAGCCTGGTTATGAGCAACAGAAGAAGCCCATTCAATCTTGCTAATGTATTGCTGTTCGTCGCTAGCAGATGCGCAGTACTTGGCACCAGTTACCTTGGCATGCTCCATGATCTGAGTCAGCTCGGTTCTTGACTCTTCAACAATCAAGGTAATCTTCTTGGAAGAAGCACCTGATTTGGAGGCAGAAGATACCTTTTGAATCAGTGAGGTAAACCAAGCAGAAATAGCAATGTTGACGCTTTCAATCGTGGCCACGCCAGAATCGTAATTGAGGTGTTGAATAGCCTGAAGCTCCTGTTGCTGCTTCTTAATCTTTTCAGCAGCTTCCTCCTTTTCATTCTTCTTGTGGATCATGACAGCAGAGCCTGCAGCAGCTGCAGCAGCACCGATGGCCAACGTGCCAGCAACCATCTTTTCAAAGCTCGAGTCCTTTTTCGTTTCCTCTGCTTTTTTGAATTTGTGTGAGTCAATCGCATGATTGTTTAGTTTGCTTGCGTATATATGATTACCCTTTTTGACCTTTTCCTGTTCGTGAACCGTAGTCATAGTAGACTCCTTGCGATCAAATTCAACATCTTGCTCGCCAATCACAATGGCATCGCTGTCCTTTACCTCAATTTGCACAACAGATTCAGTCTTCTTGTCAGCAACACTGCTGGCTGCAGTAGTAGCTGTGGGCTGTGCCTGATGACGAATAACAACAGAGGATCCCATGGCCACCTTGATACTTTGATTGGAGGATTGCGATAATTGAGTCAGCTTAGATTCCAATGCGTGCACATTGCCAGTCGTGTGTGCTTCAATGGCCACCTTCTTGACCTCAACGATGTGAGTGACAATGGACACACGCACGGTCTCCAGGGATTCCTCGTAATGCTTGCAGGCATAAGTGTATGAAGCTTGATCCAGATTTTGAAGAGACAAGCGCTTGACAAAGTCGTTGCGAGCAGTGGAGATGATGTCTGTGATCTCTTGCTCAGCCTGTTCAGTGACAGCACTGACATGTTGAACTACATCACCACCTTGCGAGTGTACTACAGAGTCAGAGATCTTTTTGGTGAAGAGTTCAAACCATTTGGAAATAACAGTAACATTCTCATCCACATCCACTAACAACTCACCATGCTTGGTAGTAGTGGTAGTAGTAGCATCAGTAGCTTGCTTCTTGTCCTCTTGTTGCTTAGCGGCATGAATAGCAATAGCAGCAGTGGCAACACCAATGACAGCAGCTGTGGTACGAGTCAAGGCAGCGTCCATCTTTTCATGCGACGTACGAATGACTGAAGTGAGGGTCTCCTTGATGTTGGTATCCGACTTGTGCACAGCCTCCACACTGATCTGTTGCACCTTCTTGACATCAGCAGAGAAAGTATCATGAACATAATCAATGGTGGATAGAAGCTCTTGCTCCTTGGTCTTGCTTATCTTCTTGACAGCACTGCATTCCTGAGTCACCTTAGATTTGGCTTCCACAGTAACACGTTCAATATCAACAGTGGCTTCTTGAATCAGGGTGCTGATTCTCTCCTCCTTGTTGGTGATGGTAGTGTCAATGCTGATTGCGTGAATTTCCTCAGTCAGCCTGGTGTGCCAGTGGGCAATAGCCGTCTTGACAGTGTCCACGGTATCAATGATCTTGACAGTGGATTCAGTTTGTGTGGTCTCTTGCTTGATGACAGTGACAGATTGGGCATGGGTCGTTTCCAACGTCTCAGTGATGTTGACCTTGGAAGACTCGAGCACAACAGAGAGCTTCTCAGTGACCACCTCCGACTCGGAGTGATGCTTGCTAACAATCTCTTGCACTTGCTGCATCTTGGCATCCACAGTCGCTTGTACCGTCTTGAGGCTCTCCTGGATGTGGTACTCTACCAAAGCAAACGTCTTGTCCTTTTCAAACACTTGAATAGAGGAAGAGAACTTGGTCTGAGTACGTTGAATCGTGCTAGTGAGTTCCACCTTGGACTTTTCAATCAACACAGCGACATCTTGCTCCACATGAGCACCGCCTTGATGAACACGGATAGAGACATTGCGGATAAGCTGTGAAAGCCAAGACACAATGACCACCTTGGATTCAGCAACGACCTCAGTGACATGTTTCTCCAATTGTTCGCAGTACTCTTTGCGACTAACAGCAGACTGACGACCGATGCAAATGGTATCCGTGTTTTGCTTGTGCTCAATGACAGTATCTTGCTTCTTGCTTTCAGTCTGTTGCACTACAAGCTTGTAACGACGGATCTCCACATTGATCTGCTCCTGAATAGCAATAGCAATAGGACGCATTTGTTCAATACCGCCGGTCTTGGAGGACGAGGAAGCAGCACAATTGGTACCAATGGCCTTGATAGTGTAGCTGCTCTGGAGCACAAGATTCTTGGCCCATTCAACAGAAGCTTGGTACTGAGTCACTTTAGTCTTGTCAATCACAGACTTGTGTGCATTGACACTGATGATACGCAAAGTTTCGGTGATGCTCTTGACAGCCTTTTGCACAATGATCTCAATATCAGAGCTGGCATTGGATCCGCCCTTCTTGGCGCGACTCGAGACATCCAGAATCAGCTTTTCATACCATTCGCGCACAATGATAGTGACATCCAGAGTAGCTTGCCCAGTGGTCAACTTGGCCTTGTCAATGAAAGTGGTGGTCTTTTTACCAGAATCAGAGTCAGAGTCAGAGTCAGACTCGGATGAGGAAGAAGAGCCATGTAGCTTGGACTTGATGATCTTACCAGCAATACCACCGACAATAATGCCAGCAGCCACCTTCTTCTTCTTGTTGGTAGAGTCGTCATCACTGTCAGAGGCAGAATCATCGCTACTATCGGAATCAGGAGACTTTTGAGGCTTCTTGACAACAGTTGGCTTCTTTTTGGTCTTTTTGTCACAATCAGCCTTCTTCTTGTTCTTCTTGGCTTTAGCATCAGAGCATGAACCAGAATCACTCTCGGTATCAGAACCAGAGTCAGAAGAAGAGTCAGAATCAGAAGCGGTCTTCTTGCCCTTGTTTGCACAAGCTTCCTGCTTTTTCTTCTTTTCAATAGCAATGCATTCAGCCTTCTTTTTGATCTCTTGCTTTTGACAATCAGATTTCTAGGGGAATAGTATATAGGTAAAAACGCCATATAACAGCATCAGCACATCACTTACCATCTTTTTCTTTTCAGCATGGGCAGAAGAACGTTCAACATCTATCTTGATTGTCTTGTTGCAGCGACCCACAGACAACTTGACTTGATCCAAAGAGGCATTGACAAGGGACTTCATTTGCTCAATGCCACCAGTGGCACTGAAGGCACCGGCACAATTAATGCCAGTGGCTTGCACTTGGGTAGAGCTCTGAAGAATCACACCACGCGTCCACTCCAGGATATTGATTAGCTCCTGCTTGACTGTAGCATCTGCCGTCTTGTTGCTCTTAATCTTTTCAGCGATCAATGAAAACTCAACTTGGATGTACTCTCTGTAGTCAGCGACAATGTTGTTGATCATCTTGGTGGCAATTTGAACATTGTGCTCCACCTTGGCACACTCAGAGACTTGGACCATGAGTTCCTCAAGCCAGGTAGTGACAGTGCTGATAATGTAGTCAACAGCGACAACAGTAACAGTGTTCTTGCTAACAGCCGTGCTGCTGCTGCTGCTAGTTGTCTTGCCACCGCTAGTCGATTGCTCTTGAGAAGAGGATACGCTCGTCGTCGTCTGGTCCAATATGCTCTGCTTGGAAATCTTGGTTTCATAGACAACCAGAGCTTCACTGATTTGATGTTCATGCTGAGTAATGACAGAGGTCATCTTATCAAAACCACCGTACGAAGTTGAAGCAGACTCCACACCAATGACCTTGATTTCAGTGGATGTCTTGGTGATGGTAGTCTTGACTTGCTCCACTGTACTGTGGAGATACTTGATGCTTTCTTCAGTCTTGACGTGCTCAGTAATCTTGCTGACAGATTGATCCAAGTACTCGAAAATAAGCTTATTCTCCTCTTGGATGATGAAATCCATGTCCTCAGCAGAACCGCCCTTTTGAGAGCAAACAGACACCTTTTCAGCAAGCGTACGCAGCCATTCACGAATAGTGATCTTGACCTCTTGCACAGACAGAGATGCCTTGAGTGCCACCGCTTCATGAGAGGTCTGACTCGTGTGCTTGCTTACATCTGTGCAGACATGACCTGCCTTGTGATGATCATTGATAGCCGATACAAATCCATAATGAGAGCTTTCCACCTTTTCAGTGATTTCAACTTTGGTCTCTGTTTGAATGTGAGTGATAGTCTCTACAATCTTGGTCATATCCTGGTTCTTTTCCAAGTACCAAACACTGGCATGCACACGGTTGATCTTTTGCTCCAGCATGACCTCACTGGACTTGAGTACAGCAATGATTTCAGCAGTAGCAATACCAGACAGAGCAGCAGTGGAGATCACAGTGGCAGACGACTTGGTCTCCAGAGCAGACAATCGCTTGGTGGCAGTGGACTTGACGCTCTCCACATGAACAGACACCTCCTTGCGAGCATTGGCAATCAAGATGGCAATGTCTTTTTCAACATTGTCACCACCTTGCTCAAGACGCGTAATGACAGACTTTGTAAACTGCTCAAAGAAGGCGACCAACGACGTCTTGACATCTTGGACCACAATGGCCAGCTCACTGCGGATATCTAGCAGGGCAGTTTCCTTTTGCTTAAGTTGTTCCACAGTGACACCGACATACTCATCGACGGATTGCGCATGTTTGCACTTTTCCAAAGCGACCTCGACTTCTTGACTGGTTGAAATCTTGATGACCTCCAGCTTGGACTCCATGTCCACCACGGTAGACGTCGATGACTGAACAGCAATCTCCTGAATACGAGCAGCTTGTGCAACAGCGGTTTCCTCAATCCAGGACAAGACTTGATGTTGGTGCTTTTCCGTCAAGACCTCACTGGACTTGGCCTTTTGAATGACCTCAAGGAATGCTTGCTTGGACTTTTCAATAGTCACCGAGATCTCTTGCGTAGAGACAGTCGATTGCTTGGATTGAGTGACCACAGTGTCAGTAAGAGAAGAAATCCACTTGTTGAACTGCACCTTGACATCCTCAACCACCAGAGCCGTCTCCTTTTCAGAGTGCTCCTTCTTTTCAGTCTTTTCCTTGTGTTCATTGAGCTTCTTGGCGACCTCAACAGCAATGGCAGTACCTGCAGCCACAGCCGCAGATCCAATCAGCACCTTTTTAGCGAGCTCCGTAGAAGATGTATGCTGCTCCTCTTGCTTCTTTTGTGCCGCTTGTTCCTCGGTGTGGGAAGAAACAGCCACTTGAGTGGTGCCAGTGGTGGCAGTAGTCGTAGCTTTATGGTCATGAACAACTTGTTGCGTCTTTTGGGTGACAGATTGCTTGATCGACTCATAATGAGCAGTAACTTCATGGCGAGATTCCTCTGCAATTTGAAGCAACTTGTCAGACACCGTCTTTTGAGATTCCTCCTTGTGAGTTGTAGTAGTAGTAGCAATGGTTTGAATTTGGCTGATACGTGTCTTGGTAGAAGTACGGATCGCCTCCAAAGATGCAATGAAATACTCCTCTTGGACCTTATCATGCGATGCCACCATGGATAGCTCATACGCAATCTTGGTCTTTGCTTGCTCAAAGATGAGATCCAGCTCCTTGTCAAAAGTAGTGACATAGCCATGAATGTCGGTCTCAAGCGACTCTGATCCCAAAGTGAGGCGGTGGTGTACTTGCTCAATCAGGGCAGAGACTTGACTCGATACGTTCTTGGTTGTCTCTGACACAATCAAAAGACCATATTCAACGCCCAAAGAGACGTGAGATTGCTCCGTCTTTTCAGTAGTAGTAGTAGTAGTAGATTCAGCAATCACTTCAATGTGGTGACCAATGATCGTCTCAGACACAGCCAAGGTAGCATCCAGTTTCTTACAGGCTTCGTGCGTGATGGTCGTTAGCTGTTCTTCATACTCGACTTCAGAGGTAACAGTAGTAGACGTAGTTACTTGCTCCACCTTAGTCACTTGTACTTGGACACTCTCTTGGATCTGCTCCAACGTGCTGTACACTTTTTGGATGGTTTCATGCGTCAATTCAGCATCCACACTAGCAGTAGACATCTTGTGAACAGAGGTGACGCGTTGCTCAAATTCTGTCTTGCTTTTCAAGATGTAAGCGTCAATCTTTTCACGGTGCGTCTTCACAATGACCTCAATGTCCTGCTGAGCATGATCTCCACCCTGCTTGCGACGTTCTGTGATGGCCGCAGCGAGATCTCTCAATACGCTTTGCACAGTGACACGTGTGTCCTCCATCAACATGCCTACAGCCACCTTGGTCTTTTCAATGGATTCGCCGTGCGATGATGTCTTGGAATAGTCAACGCCTTCAAACTTCTTGCCAGCAGCAATCACAACAGCATGTTCATGATGGCCACCGACCACATGCATCACAGAAGCAGACTTTTTGGACTTTTCAATTTCGACTTGGATCTGCTGCAATGTGGTTTCTTGCAAGGTGTCCAACTTGGTTTTGAGTAGACTGGTATCCTCAGCAGCAGCGGAAAGAGCCAGATGTCTGATTTCAACAGCTTGTTTCCAGACTGTGCTTCTGATCCAAGAGAGCGTGTCATGGAAAGAGGTCTGAGATGTGCCAATGACAGCAGTGGTGTTGCGCTTGGCCTTTTCAATCTCGACCATGAGCTGTTGCTGAGACTCGTAAACAATGGTATCGATCTCTTGCTGAGTCGTGCTGCTCTTGTTTTGAGCACATGCATACACACGCTTACTCAAGGTGGTGATCCATTCCTGAACAACAACCTGCACTTGATCGTAAACGATAACCAACGTATCCGTCTTTTCTTGCTGTTTAGTCACAGTGGTTGTGCTGCTAGTAGAAGAAGCGGCGGTCTGTTGCTTGCTGTCTTCCTCATGAATCACTTGAGTCTGGTTGCCAACGATAACGCTGGCCGTACTAGGTGCCTGAATAACTGGAACATCTGTCTTTCCTTCATGATGATGCACAATAGCAGCACCAGCGATGGCAGCCGCAGCAGCACCAATAACAGCAGTGGTAACAGCAGCATGAGAGTGGCCATTGGATTGTTGCTGATCGACCATGATACTTGAGGATTGCTTGCTGTCCACTTTGCTAACTGGTGTTTGCTCCACTTCAGTCTCTACCTTGTCAACAATCTTGGAGGTTTGTTGCTGATCCACATGGACCTTGCTGACCTGATCCACCTTGTCAATAGCCGTAGCAGTAGTTGTCTTGCTCACATCAACAGCAGTGGCCGTGCTCGTCTTGTCGGTACCACCAACAAGCGCAATCTTTGTCTTTTCAGCTTGCTTCTCTTCAGACTTGTTGACGACAGTGGTGGTTTCCTTGACATTGGTCACCTTGACAACGATGCTCTGTAAATCGGTGAGAACGATACGAGAGGCAGTAGCACCAAATGAGTAGCTTGCGTAGCGCACAATCTCCTCTTTGGTGATTTGGCTCTTTTCAATCGACTTTTTGAACAGAGTAATACTAGCAACGAGAGAAGCCTTGATACTGTCCAAATCGTACTCGATACGACGACGTTCAGCCCAGCTCAAATAGGTCAAATGAGCATAGTAAGTGCGAACCACAAGCTTGGCTTCCTCAATACGTGTATTGATCTCCACTTGGGCTGCCTCGACAATGGCCAACGTATCTTGCATGATGGTCTGCTGCTGCTGCTGCTCAGATGTCTTGCTCTTCTCCTCCAAAAGCCAAGCAATCTGCTGGCTCACTTCAGTGTACCAACTGGACAACTTGATTTGCGTCTCTACAAGCTTGTTGGCAACTGTTTGCTGAGCCACTGTCACCATCTTCTCATCTAATACAACAGAGATTTCAGCTTGATCAGACTTGCTGATTTCAGACTTTTGCACTTGAACAATCTCCTGAGTGATAGCATTTTGATACACCTTGAGTTGACTAGAAAGCGTCTCCTCAGTGACACGTGTAACGTCCAGCCAGTATTCCTCTGTGGTGTCAAGATACTTGATTTCAGAGTGCACCATGTTGAGTTGGCTGCTGACAATGGTTTCCGTCTGAGAGATGGCAGTGTCAATCGTGTTACTGATGGAGGTTTGCTTGGACACCAAAAGAGAAGAGGAGGATTGCTCGATATGGCTAGTAGAAGATGTCTTGATCTTGGCGAGCTCGCTGGTGAGTTCCTTGCGCGAATTTTCAATCATGACCTTAATCTCCTCTTCAGAAGAACCCTTGTTTCTAGCAGTAGCAATGGACTCGTACAAACCAATGAACCAGTAACGCACAGTGACCTTGATGGTATCAATGCTAGCAAGAATGTCTTCCTGAATAGATACATCTTGACATGAATGCGTCTTTTCATCGGTTGAAGAGAGGATCTTGCTTTGGTGTTCAATGATCATGCTGTAATGGGTTTCTACTTCTTGGGTAGCAGAGGCCAAAGTAGCGTCAAAATCGAGTGTAGCCACGTCAGTCACCTCTTGATGGCTCAAACGATCCAAGAATCTTTCAAACACACGAGCTCTGTACAGTTCCTTAACTTGCTGGATAGAGACATGCCATTCAGGAACAGCACCCGAGATCAAATGCTCCACAGAAGCATGGACACGCAAATGCTCATCCAAGCGTCTAAACAAATCCTCGCGCGATTCCTCAATGGTTTGCACCAGTTCTTCCTTTGTCTTGCAATGGTGAACACGTTGACTAAAGACGATCTTCCAAGCGCGAATAATAACACGCGACTCCTCAATGATCTGAACAGAGGTACGTTGAGAACGGCGCACAACAATGGTCTCAGTAGTCTTGTTGGTGTCAGTAACAGCAGATACAATCTCTTGCTTTTGCTGTTCCTGCTTGATTACGCTAGTAGCAGCAGAGGAAGAAGCAGTAGTCGAAGTGGAAGTGGAGGCAGAGGATTCAGCCTTCTTGTTCTTCTCTTCCTTATGCTCCGAGACCTTTTCAGCAATCTTGGAAGCACCTTGTACAGCACCCACAGCGACAGCGCCAGCAGTGACAGCAATACCAACACTGGTCAATACATCCTGGAATCCATGATGTTTCTCTTTAGCAATAGCAGTAGTGGAAGAAGAACTGGTATTGTCGACGGCATTATTCTTTTTGACAGAAATGTCCTCTACCTTGATATCAGCTTCTTCGACGCTTTCAATCAGAGAACCTTGTTCAATACAAGCAGTAAGTCTTTCAATGGATGAAATCGTTGTAGTAGTGGTAGTGATGGTGGTTGTCGTAGTGTTACTGTTGGTAGATGCTGCTGCTGCCTTGCCAAAAACAGGCACAGAGAATCGCCAAGCAATCGCTTGAGTCGTAGAGGACTCTTCATACGACTTGGCCTCCACAAGAATGACCTCCACATCTTCCTTGATCGTTTCAGATTGAGTGTATCCAAATGTATACTGAGCATAACTTTCCAATTGGATATGACCGTCGGCAGTAAGGGACCACTTTTGAGAGCTGACGCCTGCTTCAGTGGATTGAACCAACTTGGAGAATGCATTGATTTCGCCATGGACATCAATCACTAACTTGCTACCATAATTGATCAATAAACCATTGCGATAAGTCCATAATTGACTACGGTAATCTTTAAAGTTCAGTTTCTTCAAAGTCAAATAAGCACCAGACTTGGAGGAAGCATCCTTGACTGCAAGCACAAGACTATCACTATCCTTGGTTTGGGCCTTGATAAAGAACCAAGTGCCAGCTGGGAACACACCATAGAACTGAGAGACTTTAGAAGTGATCGTCGTTGTCGTGGTGGTTGTCGTGGTCGAGGTAGTCTTTTGACAAGACTCGATCCATGAAATGACAGTAGACAAAGCAATCTTGGACTCCTTTTCCACTTCAACATTAGAGAAAACAGGAACATGCAATTGAAGTGCATGTTCAGCTTCAGATGCCTGGATCTCAGTACTTGAACAGGTGAGCTCATAAGAATGATGCTCAGCGTGGCCAGATGCAACACTGAAATAGACCGTGTCAGACTGAACCCTGACAGACAGATTGCCGTGGCTGGAGACAGAGAACACTTGATCCAGGGTCTTGCTATCATTGGAAAGCAACAACTTGCGGGCTATTTTTTTTTACAGTTGGTTAGTCTCTGTATCTCTCTCTCTCTCCTGCTATCTATAAACTTACATTCTTTGTCATAGACAAGACGCAACATGTACTTGTAATTGACCAAGTATCCATTGACATAAACCCACAAGAATTGTTTGTGATCCTCTTCTTGTCCAAGAGAAACAAACTTGACTTCACTGCTATCCGAGCTTCCAGACGACAAAAAGGCATTCTCGTTACCAATACGGATAAAGAACCAGTTTTGAGAACTAGGCCATTGATTATCAGCAGTAATCTTGTGATGAAACGTCTCCTTGAGCCACTTAAAGGCGATGATAGCAGATACAGAACTGGAAATAGCGCTAATCTTACCGCCTTCAATGATGGTGTACTTGGATTCGGATGTGGTGTTGGTGGTTTGCTCCACGGGAATCATGGCAGGGATCTTGATCTCCCAGCGTTGCTCAGGGCGACCAAAGTTGCTGCTGGTATGCGACTTTTCTTCTTGCAAATAGACGTCAATACTAGCATCCTGGTCCGTTACACGCTTGAGCTCCTTGACACCCAGAACCAAATTGCGCTTGGACTTGAGACAAATCAGACCGCCTTCAGTACCGAATTCCCAGTATTGATCAGACAATCCCAAAGAAGACTTTTGCACGGAAATTACAAGTCGCTCACCCGCAGTAATGGTGTCTGTCATGGAGGCGTCCAACACAAGGTTATGGCCCTTGAGATTAAAGACACGGCCGTCCTTGTAAGACCAGAGTTGACTTGCATAGTTGGTGGAGCGGATAGGAGAGAGCACAACAAAGGCACCATCCTTGGCTTCACCGTTGGCAATGTCAAACACATATCCATGAAGATGGCTCTTGATCATGAAATAACCAGCAGCAGGGAAGTTGGGTTGTTGGTGCGTCTTGTAGCGTACCACCTTCTCGTAACCAGTAGGCACATAATCAGCACTTAAGTGGAACGAGTCCTTGCGCTCGTTCTTGAGACTTTTGTAGGATGTCTTTTTCGTGATGGATTGCTTGATGCCGGATGACTCTTGCTTGCTCTTTTTCTTGTTGCCAGTGATGGCGGTAGATATGCTTTCAGGAGCAGAGGTAATGACATTGGAGATCATACCAGCCGTACCAGCAATGATGCCAGCACCAGCAGTAGCGATGCCCAGGTTGCCAATGAGATTGAGCTTCTTGGTGGAATCCTCAGCATCACTGTCAGAATTACTGCTGATACTGCTGTCCTCGTCGTCATCTTCCAAAGAATAATCGTCAGCAGACTCCTCCTTTTGCTTGACACCTAGCTCTTGGTCAGATAATCCTTCAATCACTTGGCTAGTGGTGGTAGTAGAAGTCTCTTCAGTGACTGAGCTACTGGCAGTAACCTTGCGATACACAGGTTTGGAGAACAACCATCTCAGCCACTTTTCAGACTTAATGACGGTCTCTTGTTGGCCCTGTTCGTTCAAGAACTTCTTGACATGCAACTCACGAAGACCCACTTGAGCACCAGAAACAGACACTCTGCGCGAGTTGGAGACACCAATCACCAAATGTTCATCTGAGCGCAAGAAGATCTCACCGTCAGCAGTGAGAGACCAGAACTGGTTTTCGCTCATGGATTTATCACGAACAAACAAAGGTGTACGAAGCCCATCTTCCACCAAAACACCCTTGACAGTGCTAGCATCCAAAGCGAGACCCGTTTGAGCGTTGATCAAATGGCCCTCTTGATAAGACCAGAAATGCCACTGATACTCTTTGAAATTGATAGGTTTCAATGTCACTTCGTATTCAGTGCGACCATTCTCTCCTGTTCTAGGCCTCTTTTCAACGCTGAGAGCCAGATGCTCGTCGCCATAGGCAGCACGGATAAAGAAGCCGCCTTCAGGGAAGAGACCCCAGCGATGAATGACAGTCAGTTTGTTCTTGCGTTCATAGCAATCCGTAGTGGATGTCTCGAAACTAGTGTCATGGACACTCTCGATAAAGACACTGTCATCATTGTGCTCTAATATGCCTGCTGCAGAAACACCCTTGACACCAGAGATGGTTCTTCCAAAGACGGGAATAGCAAATGACCATAGTTGATAGTCCAGATCCAAAGAGCCACGGGTGTGCAATTGGACTTCAACACCATCAAAGACCCTGTTTCCCTTGGCACCCAACACGAGGCCAGGACGAGCCTTAGGATGCAGATGACCATCTACAGAGAGGCCCCATACCTGGTTCTTGCGATGTCTACGAAGGTATTTTTCATGCCACTGGATGATATCACTGCCTACATTGAAAGCACCGCCTGCAATGTCAATAACGAGATCGGATGCCAAGTTGACAAGACAGCCATCATCTTGCGTGTGCCACAACTGACGACGGAAGATCTTGTAGTCAATCTTGGAGAGCGTCAATTTAGCACCTTCCTTAGAGCTGGGTGCAGTGAGGACAAGCGATGTGTCGGCCTTGGAGCGAATGTAGAACCAGTTTTCAGGGAAGATTCCATAAGAGCGAGATACTAGCTTCGTGTTTGCATTGCAGGAAACTGTGCGTAGAAGAAAGAAACAGTGGTGAATATGTCATCTATCACGATCTAATATTTATAGACATACCTTGGTGCGTCTGTACCGTCAACAAGATGCGCTCGGTATGCGTGATCACACTGACTTCCTTCTTGTACACCTGACTGTATCTGTTCTCATAATGGCCTCGAACAAAGCCCCAACTGTAGTGCTCACTGGTATTGCTTGTGTAGGCAAGCTGAACAGAGTATTGGTTGCCTTGTTGGATCAATGAAAAACCAAGCGTGTTCTTGAGCTCAGAAACAATAGATCCATCCGTCTTGACGACCCACTTTTGACGTTGATCAATCGTCTTGGAATCAGACAGGAGCTCTTCACGAATTTGAAGCTGACTACCACCGACAAGATCGTCTGTACATATATATATATATATACATGTTAATGACACTGGCGTTCTCTCTACTACATACCATTTCTGTGTACACTTACCAGAAGCATGCAACACCAAGCCGGTAGCCACATGCACTACATAGCCATTACGGTAAGTCCACTTGAAGTGCTCGCTTTGACCAAACTCCAGCTTCTTGACAACCAAGAAGGAAAAGACTTCAGACTTTTCAGGAGCCAATGCCAAACCATCTTGACCCGTGATAAAGAAGGTCTCTTCCGGCCAGTTGGCAATACGATGAACCACCTTTTGGATGGATTGCTCATTGAACTTTTTCCATTCCGTCAAAAGAGTGATAGTCCAACGAACAAGCACCTGTGTGTTGTTTTCCACCTTGATTTCAGGAGACAAGAGACCCCAACGATTGTCTTGATGCGTGGAAGAAACGTGATGAGCCAGAGAGAGCTTGTACGTGTCTTGCTCCACAAGCTGAGGCACCAATGTCAATGAGGGATTAGATCCATGTACAAGATAGCCATCGATGGTCAGACTCCATCTTTGACCGACATCACCAGCTTTTCTGACTTCTTGACTAATGACGGAGCCAACATTAATATCTATTGGAATATGTGCACATGAGTATGTGGTACGTTTCACTGCAGTCAAGAAAGCTTATTTTTTTTTTTTTACCATCATTGACTACATCCATGGCGAGTTGTGTAGCAAAGTTGATTAAAACACCGTTCCAGTACATCCAGAGCTGGTATTGCCAATCTTGCCTGCTAATCTTGGAGAGAACAACATGAGAAGAGCTGTTCGCAGCAGTAAGCACAAGAGGCGCATCAGCTGAAGAGCCGCCGATAAAAGAGCGAATAAAGAACCAGCCACTGGGATACTGAGCATAGTGATGGTAAGCAACAGACTTTTGCACAGTGGTTTCGGTAACAGTGGCTTAAAAAAATGCAGTGAGTTGACAGCATTCAGGTACCACAAACATGCATCAACTTACTGGATTTCTGCTTGAATACAGGTAATACAAAGTTCCATCTCTGTTCCTCATGGTCAGGGGTCTTCTTGTTGGCCAAATAGACATTAGCTTGGGTGCTCTTGCTACTAGAAATGGCAAGGACAACATCCTTGTGGGTCTTTGCATGAATATAACCTTCCACAGAGAGTCCCCATTGCTGGTTCTCGAAGCCCTCCTTCTTTTGTTTGTACTGGCAAATCTCAGAACCGCTTACAATGCAACCTGTAGTAAACAAAAAAGGCGTATAAATATTGACAAATTCATGCAACCTCGCTGTATATCCATACCTCCACGGACATCCAAAACAAGATTGGATGCCTTGTTGAAGAGGAATCCATCGCTAAACTTCCACAGCTGGCGGTTAAAGTTTTGAGTGTCCAAATGAGAAGCAATGACCTGAGCCGCCAACTTGTCCGTTTCAAGCACAGTAATGACGAGACCATGTTTCTGGTTCTTGATAAAGAAGTAGCCATCAGGAAAGACACCTTGCTGTTCAGTGACAGTAACAATCTCAGTCGTCTTTTTCTTAAACACGGGCAGAACAATGACAAAGCGCTGATGAGAATGGGTCTTTCCGTCGGTTTGCTTTTGAAGTAAAACAGGAGCACCTTCACGATTCAAGCCAAACCAACTGTCCTTTTTGTAGCCGAGCACAAAGCTGTGTTGATTGTGCTTCAACTTGATCTCACCAGCAGTAGAGAGAAACCAAGATTGATAAGCCAAGTCTTTCTCGCTGTTACTGGATGACTGATATACAAGAGATTCATCAGACAACTCTTCAGCACTTAGTGCAAAGCCGGAATTTTTATTGATCAAACGACCTGTAATCACGTCGTAATGCCAGAGTTGGCTTTCATAGCTGTTCTTACGAAGTGGCTCAAGAGAGAGACGTGCACCTGGGCTATTGACAGCAGAAGCATCAACGCCAACAAAATAGCCGGTGGCATCCGATTTGATAAAGAACTCGGAATCAGGAAAGTTGCTTAATTGGTTGTGATGAGATTCATCAAGGCAGCCATCGTCATCTATACCAAAGAGAGGTTCATTAGTAAGCGAGTTGGCGTTGGTGAATAAAAAGGTCTTACCATGTGTATGAACAGATGAGCTGCTAAAGCTACCGAGAGAAGCACCACTGATTGTACGCTTCAGACTATCCATGGGATTATTGATGGTAGACGAACGTTTTTGAGAAGGCAAAAGGAAATCCCAACGCTGTTCCTTGTGGTCCTTTATGTTCTTATCCAGAGCTTGAAGATGAACATGCTGGCCTTCGCGGCGAGTAAAGAAAGACTCCTTGATACCAAGTACCAAGTTGGGATCCTTTCTCAAATAGATATGACCATCAGATGAGATGCCAAATGTTTGACCTTCAGAAGAGTTGGAGTCATTTTGTTGGATAATTTCTGATCCAGCTTTGATGTGGCCTAAATGATTTTGACAGGTGAAACATGATGATGAGTGATTCAGGGGTAAATACAAACAGTCAACTTTTTTAGAGAATAACTCACCTTTGAAGATGTCGAGTACAAATCCAGTCTTTTTATTATGGAGACGACCATCTTCGCCATATTGCCAAAGTTGGGTATCAAAGTCCTTGGTTTTCAAGGTTGCAATCACAATAGGTTCACCGGCAGTGGATTTTTCAGTGGATAAAACATATCCGTTGTTGAGGTTTTTTATGAAAAACCAGCCTTTGGGGAAAGATGTCATTTTTCAAATCAAATCAAAAGAGTCTTTGTTTTTTCGTATGAGTGTATATGTGGTTTTTTTTTTAGTACAATGAGTTTTTTTTTTTACGAGTTTTCAAGAAAATGCAATAACTTTTAGAGATGTGGTTTTAAACAGAAAAAAAAAAGTGATGATACAAATGTGAAATGGTACAGATAGAAATTTGATTTGAAGAAATGAAAGAAAATAAAAAGAACCAGGTTTTTTCGGATATGGATCCTTTTTGCCTTGAGGTTTATATAAACGAGCAATTGGGCGCTTAAATGTCTTTATGCATCCACTATTTGTGCTACAACAGTACTACAAAAAATCAACCTTCCTGAAACTTGTTCGTTCTTTGAGTTGCCATTTATAAACTTACGCCGATGATCTGATTCGAGGCTGCTATGGCTTCATTCGTTGAGCATGTAAATACACAAACACGCATGCAAAATAGACTGGAGGTCTATAAGCCAACAAACACACATCAACAGTAAAATCTATTTTGAGCATGTCCGTGAGTAAATACTCAAAGCAATAACGATGGAGACTAGACTCTTTATGAACAAAAGTTACATCCTTTCATCGGATCGTTTATCAACGCTATAGATGATACATGACAAATCTTAACTCTATATCAACGAAGCACTTTTTTTTTATTAGACCATCATGTTGGGAGCATGTACATGTATACAGAAATATTCTTACTTGCATCATATGAAACTGAATCTTATGCAATATCTTGCGCCAGAGAAGGGTATCAGAATATTGATACCACACCATATAGTTTCAGGACTTGACTACATAAATGGCTGCTGTAGCTGTATGTTTACCTGTTATTTGTGCATCTGCCCAAAGGTTTTCTTTTTCATGCCTCATCAAAATGCAATTTGCTGCAGTCTATGCAATATTTGATGTGCCGTGTACTACTCGAGAAGGGCGTTATTAGACGGCCAGGTACGCATGTTGCACAAATCAGGTCGCTGTCGTTGGACAAAACCTTATAAATAACGGCTTATTTATGAAAACGAGAAAGAAAACAAACTTGTAGCATAGCATACACCACATGCCTGTTGTATAAAAGTCAACTACTGCGTGTCTCTGGGTTGGCACTGCTAGTAAAAAATGTGGTTTTATACCATGCTCATGCTCGTTTCAGGGTGGATCCGAGCTATAAAGTTTATGACAAGGTAAGTCATCTCATCTATAATAAACGGAGAGGTCCCGAGAAATAACAAGAAATAGCATATAAATAATAATAACTTAAGGGGAGATAATATCTCGAAGCTAAAATAAACAGATGTTTGTTACATGTCATATCAACACTTGTAAGACTATCATCTCTGGCAAGAGTTGGTAGTAGTTGTCATCGACATGTATGAAGCAATCATGATGGTATAGTATGTGATATCGATTCAAGTAACTTATCTTGATAAGGACAAGGTATTTTTGCTAGCTTGCATCTCTAGCTCACACAGGCGAGAAAAATAAGGATCAGCATATTTTAGCTTGCAATCCTACTCGAGTCTTGCTCACACACTCAAGTGAAATACATTAGACGCATGGTAAAACAGGTTAATGAAATACAACTTCAACTGAAATAGCCGAAAGGCTTTGTATGCGTAACGAAGAAATGTAGCTTCAGCTGGTACGTCTCCAATGTTATTGCAGAAGTGTTGTGTTATTTACATATTTGACTGCCTGATTTCCAGCGTATTTGAAGATTCTAGACGGCTCTGTTCCAGTTGGCTTCTATTATTACTTGTGTGGTAGATCACAAATAAGTCCCACCCTGAGTGCCTAGATTGCCATGCCTTTTGAGCAAGCTGATGTAAGTGTAACTGTTCTCAGTCTGCACGGCTAAAAACATACGAGCTTGAATTGTTTCGCTGACATCTCCAGTTGCGTAAAGTGGGGTTTTTTTTTTTCGTTACAAACCTAAGGCTGACGCCTTAAATCAGTCTGACACGGTGGTAGAATAGGCGCAACCATCATTGTTAAAGCTTGTAGAATGTTGTCTATCTAGTAAGGATGTATCCCTAATATCCAATATTCCAAAGCTCAAGAATCAAACATTGGCATAACACATTACGCTAAAGACACCCGAGAAGTTGCACCCAGACATTGAAGTGATGCCCCCCCTGATAGGAGCATCATCTTCTGCTACGATAATCCATTACGACATCATTATCATCAGCTTGCTCACCATCATCACATTGTCGCAGGATTGTTTATTACATAAAGTTAGTAAAGTATAACATTCAACTACGGACAGGGTCATCTTCCTGGGTCACTGTAGTGCAGCATTCGATCAGTAAAGGCGCTCCTTATTGAAAATTGGGAATTGTGATTGTTGTGGCTATTGTTCTTGGTTGCCATGGCAACAGCATCTGTTGCTAGAGCGGTGCTCAATGCAATAGCATCTGGTGTGATTGTCACTGTGCCTTTTACATCATACTTGTACAGCCTTGTTTTCATTACTTGTCTATCATCAACCGAGAAATATATGTGTGAGCACATAATTGCATTTTATAAATATAAAGGATCTAGAAAAAGAGAATTACTTCTATCTGGTGATGTTGTCTTTTGATGTCACATTGAATTTAGCCTGAAGCATGAAGCGGAGAACAAGAAAGTGGGAAACGCTCCAATCCTAAAAGAAGCAACCAAACACCCCTATTCTCACTCTTTTTTTCTTTTTATTTAAACTTTTTCCCTTATCATCATTATTTCAATAGTATCGTACTATGGCAAAAAAGGATTCGAGAAGACGATCATTGCATCGAAAAGAGCAATCAGAAAGAGATAAATCCAAATTTATGTCAGATCAATCAGTAAGACATGTAGTGAAAAGATGGAGCAAAAGCCATTTTTCTTACTCGAAATCATCTGTAGGTTTATGGCCAGGTTGCAGCATTTCGACAATGGCTTGGCATGATCCAGAGTCAAGGCATGCACGGCAACTATGTTCCCATCCCATATGATATGATTGGTATTTAAAGTTTGATAGATTTGATTGATGAATAGTTAAAGCTGATTGATATGCATAGATTTGGCTGCTTCGTTCATTGCTAGTGTGATGAGTGGGGTTACAAGTGATTTATTATTCATGACGACCACCTTGGCTCAGAGTCAAAGCTATCGAGAGAATGTCAACTTTATCCGCAGAACACTATCAAAGGCTCAGATATCTTGTTCCTCATTGATTTGCAGCTTATGGTACATTGATCAATACTTTCAACAACCTCATAAAAAGATCAAATGGCATCCAAAAGACTTGTTTCTTGCTAGCATTGTTGTAGCAGACAAATACATGTAAGATGACGCATCATTCACCTATAGTAAACGATGCATTGATGTGTATGAATAGGACTGATGTTACTTGGCTCAACTCTGACTGGTCTGAATGGACACACTTTACATACTCAAATCAAGACATCAACAGTTTGGAGAAACGATTCTTGCAAGACATGGACTTTAATCTATACATATCCGAAATCAACTATAGCAACTTTGTCAGCTATTTGGAGTTTCGGCTTCATTCAAGGCAACTGCTGGGCGATGTATTGTTGCTATCATACAGAGACATTGATGTATTGAGTCAAGCATTGAATCCAATCTATGTGAAACGATTACAGTTGAATTTAAGACCTTTTGAGGCAATGATCTTATTGGCCAAGCAAGCAATTTCGATATTCGTTGTCTACACGGCTACACTCATGACACTGGTATCTGCTGGCTACGTTCTCTCTCATCATATTGATGTGGTGCATTTGATCAAGGACAAGAATGAAATTGCAATGATGATCATGAGTGGCATTGACTTTTTCAATGCACATTCTGGAAGCATAATTCAAGCGGATACCAGCAGCAGCGCAATGATAGTGTCACATGCAAATATGAAAATTTTGGTTTAATTAAATTTATTCTAAATCCCTTCCTCTTTCCAATTTGTCCTCCCATCCCCCTGTTTTCTTATTGTATCATGTCTTTGAAGCAGGATAAAACTTCAAAAATCATTGAAAAATGCATTGCAACCATTGACGCGAATGCACCCATCAATATTTCCTTCATCACTCAACCCATCTCAAAAGCATGCGTGGATCGTATCAAATCGTTAGAGAAAATATACAGTCAATCAAAAATATACCAGTTTTTGATCAGAAAAGGCGTTTATCCAACACTGTTGTTTTCAGCTGTCAGTGGTGGTGTTGGTTATGGCGCCTATCGTACATATCATCGTTCAACAAGGCTCGCATTAAATTTATTGGGCGTTGTTTATCCAACATATTGCTGTTGGCATCTTGTGAAAAGTCAATTACATGGACAGGAAGAACAACTCAGGTCTTGGTTGACCTATTGGATGATATTCGGATCGTTTCAAGGTAAAGTATCGCTTGGGTCAAGGATGAACCATGTTGTTCATCAATGTGATGTAGTGCTGGATCACTGGATGGCTTCAGATCTTTTTATGTTTTCAAGAAAAAAGTACAATCTATACAAGTTGCTTATTTTATATTGGGCGCAGAGTCCTCACTCTAAGGGAGCGCTCTTACTTTACCGCCATGTGATTCAAAAGCCAATCTTGAAATCATTAGATCAAGAGCAAGAAGAAGAGGAGGATAAGGAGGAGAAGGAGAGCCATCTATCAATCGAAAAAGAGCAACAGCGCATTGACAGCTATCGCATCATAGATGGTTACAGTCCACCAAATCTGATGACATCCTGTGAGGGTCAAAACGATGGTAATAACAGTGTTAGCAGCCATGGTAGTAGCAGTAGTAGTAATAGCAGTGATGATGAATCAGAGCGTTTAAAATATCATCAGCAACAAGAGCGTCAATCCTTGAGTAGTTTATCGAATGAGAAAGAGGTACTGGCACTAAATTCACTTGATCAACCTCAAGTCATCGTAAATTAACCAAACTTGTAAATGTAGGCATTTCCGCCCTTACTCATGAATACTGCGGAAGCTGCTTGGTAGAGAGAGAAAAGTCATTGCCTTTGGCTATACATATACATTACCCCTAATTAAATTTGATACCTGTTAATCCTTATCTTACCTTACCTTACTTTACCATGATCATCATCATTAAACATATATATAACCGCTAGGTATTTTGGGAAGGCTCAATGGGGAAATTAAGCTTACAAATACTTTGGTGGTTAGCTGGGCCAACTGGCGCATTCGAACATGAAACTGCATAAAAAATCATGATAAGAGCACGCACGTATATCCCCCCCCCCAAGTCAAGAGGTGTTTGGTATCAAAGGGTACATCCCAAAAATAAAAAAGCAGTAATAAATCATCAAAGACTTATTCAATATTACTTGACTCTGAAATGCACGCTGATCCACGTAATTACTACTACACTCGAGCACATATAAATACACATAATTACTACTACTCGAGTACATATAAATACCAGGACGTTTTGCTGTAGTCTCTGAGTTATTTCTGCTAAACGGCATAAAAATAATTTGGTTGTGCGTTAGCTTTCTATTGAGGTTCTATATTACTGTGTATCTTGATGATAAGCAAACGACTTGAAAGAAGCGCAAATATGTCGTACTGTTTGGAGTAAAAGAGTTTCGTAACTTAATTACATTCTGATGGTAATCCCAGCTACTACAAGAGATAATAACAACTGTTTATTGATGAAATTGACAAACCTTTTGTTTTCATATCTTTTTTAATCTGAAAGTCTTTTTAATAATAATACTACCACTTCACTTTAAACTCTTTACCTCGACTTTTTTTTTTTACGAATGAATCGATACAGCAAACACTATATTAAACAAATCATTTCCTTTATATTCTACTGTGCCAAGCAACATAAGCTTTTACAGCTTAAATTGCAATCCTTTTCACGTTTAAAAGACTATAAATTGAACTTCTTCCAAAATCAAATAAAGATTTATTCAGGGCAGCATTTCTATTGGTCGCAGCATATTTTCGAACCCCGATTCCCAATTCGGGCTCTAATTTGGAACTTCGATTTTGTCAAGATGGTACAAACCAAATTTGCGTAGGTAGCATGGTTGTTGAGAAAAGCGAGAATTTAGAAAATGGTTAATTATGAGCAGATGGTACTAGTAAAACTTTTTAAATTACTATGTGAATTCGGGATGTATATGTAGTGAAAGTTGTAGAGGGTACTTTGATTGAGTAGGGCATGTTTGATGTGGGGTTATTGAGGGCGATGTCAATGAGTAATGACGGAAAATGTTCAAAATGACCGGTTTCAAAGGGCCATACCGCTAGATTTTACCAAGTGAACGAGAGCTTAAGGATTAGTAGCTTCTGTTTCTTTTTCAATTCTCTACACGATGGTATAGTTTTTATTCTCAAAAATAATGGAGAAAAGTTGTCAGGAAGTAGGTTCTAGATGAGAAAGGTTGTTTGGTGTTACTCTGACGATCTAAAGCGTTGTCGAGCATGATGAACCACTGCTCAAATGCGTCCGATATTCTCTGTATTTTATAAATGTTGAGCAGTAAGAGCGAATGCACCAGTATCGTCTGACTGTACCGCTGTAAAGTATATTCATTAGAGGGAAGGGAAGTGTCTAGAATATTTCCCGTATACCGTTTACAGATCTTAGTGAGGCTCTTATATCGACCATATTTATGCAATTGCGTGAGATATTATGCTTGACCTGATGTTAGAGCATGCCAAATTATCAGTGCATAGTATAGAGTATTCGTGATTTAATTCACCCTTGAAAAGCATCAAAATATTCTTCCTCCCTCTTTCATTTTCCTCGTTCCATCTTTTACTTTATGACAACTACTGCATGTTTACCTGCAAAGCCTTCGCTCAATGTCTTTTAAACATTATGTAAAGCTCTAGGACACAGCCGGATGACGCTCAGTTTGTATAGGGTTTGAAATGACCCCGCATAACGAGCAATGTTTGGACGTAAAGTTACGTTAACCAGCGATGCGGCCAAAATTCGTATTCCCCACGCTGTTCTCACAAAGAATCTAAGAAAAGGACGCTGGATCAAACGATTGAATTTCCACATCTGTACCAATCAGTATCTAGAAGAGCTCACCGCGACTTGATCATGTTGGCCTTGACCTCACGCACCAATACAATGTCAGGTTATGTTCAAGATCTCTCGACTTTTTAAACAGCATGACTGATATAGCACAACAATCAACAGATAAAGTCAACAAAATTAGGATAGTGTGAACAGTTTTTATCATTGGCATTCCTCAAAATTTAGCATTGCTGTATAAACAAAGCCTGCAGCAACTGCAAATAAGTGGTCTGGCAGATTGGCTTTTGAACACAGGGCTCGAGGAGTTTTCAGGATGAAAGATGTGTTGCACCAGCAGAAACAGACTAGGGAATCAGCAACGCCAAAGATGAAGCGGCCAGCAAAGATGGACCAACTGAGGACAGTTTGGATAGAATTCTAGATTCTGCCCGCATTTACAGAAGCTCAAGTTGATAATCAATAAATGGCAAGAAAGCTCAAACATCTTGATGAATGCAACAAGTGAATAAATTGCTTTGCTTATCACCATTCCATTCCATATATGGCGATGGCCTTGTTTCAACCAGAATAAAGCTTAAATTATTATGCATTTCAACATTTTTCTTCCATTTGCAAACACATAAATACAGAGTCAGTGCCAATGTACATGTGATCTTGCTTCAAAGCATTCCTTCCTGATACAAAATATAACTTTCTCTATGAGCATTTGAATGATTTAAATTACAAAAAAAAAAAGTTTATTTGTTGTTGCTTCAGATGATTTAATTTAAACATGAAATCAAACAAGGTTGTACAGAGCAACTCCTTTATGTTTTGTTGCATAATGTTGTACAAAGCAAACCAGTCCATTCATCGAGTTTCTGTTAATTAGCAGCAAAGTGTGTTATCTTTTTTTTTTTTCTCTCTCTCTTTTCTTTTCCTTTCATTCTTACATTAACACTAGGAAAAATGAGTAAAAGATCATCCAGTAAGTTGAATCATCTTGACTATCTGGCGTAACATCTCATGATTCAATGGCAGTCATTAAACCTCTGACAACAGAAGGAAGGCAGCCCACATCGTCCTCTATCAAGAGCCACAAAGAATCCGTAAGCATGATAGCCATTGCTACCACTTATAGCCTACTCACCTCTTTTTATCAAAAGAGCATTCAAAAGCACGCTCAATTCTGGGACAAGACCAACAAAGGCTATATTTCTCCATTGGACACTATATCAGGTATTCAGAAAAAGAGAGAAAATGTTTATATGACTCCAAACTGGGTCATTCATTAAAACATGAGACACTCACACTTGTCTAATTAAGGTTTCGTGACATTGGGTTACAGTGTTTTGTTTAGCATTGCTCTTGGAGCCTTTGTGGGCGTCTTCTTATCTCTTTCAACTCAAACTGGTTGGTTCCCAGATCCATTATGCCGTGCTAATGTCAGGAATTTGATCCAGTCCAAGAAGCAAACTCAAGGTGCATTTGACGAGGATGGCGTATTCAGTGCCGAAAAATTCGAAGCCCTGTTTAGTAAATACGCCAAATCAGATCCATCTGGCAAAACAATCACGATGCCCGAGTTGATAAGAATGACTCAAGAGCAGGAAAGATTAGGCAGAAACGTCAAAGCATGGTTCGTGTTACCCTTTTTTTTGTCGTGTGGCATATATAGCGTGTGTGCTGAACATAATGTAGGGCAACAAGCATGGTGGAATTGTGTACAGCCTATTTTTTCATCGGTCATCGTGGCAGTATCACCAAGGAAGATGTTCGCGCTGCCTACGATGTGAGTACTATTATTATTTTTTTTTTCTTCGAGCATATACTCATCTGTCATCTGTAGGGCTCATTATTCTACCGCCTTAAAGATAACCACAAGCTCATGATTCAGGACAAAAAGCAAACGTCTAGTTTAAAGGGCTCTTATCTTTCAAAGCCTGCCAGCCCCTTGAGCGTCAAGGCACTAGAGCATCGTATGCAAGTAGTATTCAGTGCATTGCAATCGAAATCCTCTATTGCCGCTGAGTACGGTGTGCATGATTGGGTATCCTACATTCAAGAGAGAACCAATTCTATCAAGGACCATGCTCTTCCACGTGCCTTGAGACGCCCAACCTCGATTATCAGTGGCGTGGCGACTCCCAAATCTACTGGAAGGGCCCACGCCAAAGAGCACGATGACCCCTCGACATTGTTTCCCGAAGGATTAACAGGAGTTGCCAAGGCAACATCAGAAGCGGCTTTAATGGGCACTGAATTCCTGAGCTCACTTTTGCGTCATGGAGCAGATGCATCGGACAACAGCAGCAAGGCAAGAGGCATGCACGGCATCTTTAGCGATGATAGCGGTGAGGTCAGCATGGATCATCATCGTCCCATCCTCTTTGGTAGTGTGTCTACTGAGAACCCTGCCATCACAAAGGAGAATGATGCTGATTTCCCACCTTTACCAAAGCGTTCTGAATCGACAAGCATATCCAACAACGACTCTCTGATGAATGGGTTCTTGAAGAGCGATGATAGTCATGCCCATGAATGGATTGCTGCTGGATTAACTGGTGTTCAACAACAACAACAACAACAACAACAACAACCTGAACATATTAAAAAGACATCCAACATTCCAGCAAAGCAAACACCACCAGAGCAGCCTAAACCAGTTGCACAAGAACCTAAACAACAACAACAACAACAAGATCACGAGCAAATCCCAAAGGCGTCTCTTACCCCGCCACCAGAAGAAAAGCTGGACGCCACTACTATTGCTACCCCTCCCAACACCACCAAGAAGCCCATGGTATCATCTGCACCCACAAACAACAAAAAGGTAAAGAGAAATAAAAAAAAGAACAAGATGGGACAAGTTTCACCTACTAGCAGTAGTGATTCTTTAAGCTATCAAGAAAAAGATATCTTCTAACACCCATGATGTTTCTTGGACTACAGCTTAAGAAATAAATCCTAAGTCAAGTCCTCTTCTCGCTGTGTATTCTGATATTATATTTTACATGGCTCTTTTTTTTTTTTTTTTTTTTTTTTTAATTCAATAAAATAACGCAGTTACTTTTTGCTATGGCGATGCTGTAGAAAATGAGGGAAAAACTAGAGACATCAATTTGCATGAGTAAAACAAACAGTTACGCAAGTGTATCGTGATTTTACCTTTTTCTTGTGGGTGCTGGGTGTTGTTGTGGGATCGCCAACAAGTTGTTCTTGTTGCAGTAGCGTAGGCGGCTTTGATTTGCTGTCGCTATTCGACATGAATTGGTTGCGTCGCTTGCCAGGTGTGCCAATTTGGCCTAGTTTCTCCACCATTCTACCAAAGAATCGAGCTGGACGCGTGGATGAAGAGAGAGTGGATGTGCTGGATGCAGGTTGTAACAGACCAGCTGTTACTACGGTTGTGGATGTGAACGATGGTGTTGCGTGCGTGGGCTGATCCAGGTCAGTTGCAGCAGCGTGATTAGACTGAACAGATCGCGTGGATGAATTGCGTTGTGCCAACTTGAATATCATGGAATCTCTGCTGTTGCTGGGTCTGTTTTGGCTCATCGATGGTCTTCGGCTGCTGTTTCCGCTGGTACAGCTCTCGCTAAATGTGGTGGATGGCGAGTGAAAGATGGGCGAGATTGTGTTGGCGTCCGAGTTGTTGTCTCGCTGATCGTTGATGGGCCTTGTCAGTGAAATGGCAGAGGAAGGATGCAGATTGGCGTTGGGAAATGCCTTTCTGCTATGCTTGGCAGATCCATGTCTGGTCATACTGTTGGCTCTCGCTGTCAGAATAGGCGTGGTACAGACATCATCAAACTTGGTGTCCACTGATTTGCAGCGCGTATGGTATTGATTGAACTTTCGCTGTGTCCATTTCTCAGAGACAACACTGTTGGTGAAGAATTCACGGAGATCGCTGATGCTGGACTGAGAGCGGAGGCCGGGAGAAGCAGCAGCCCCTGTGTCGCCGCCGCCAGAAGCATTGAAGTGGCCCAATACAGAAAACTCTTGCGTACTGAATACGGGGTGAGATGCACGGTTGATGGATTTAGACGGCTTGTTGAAGATGGCAGACTGCGAAAAGCTTGTAGATCCATTTGGCATAGGGAAATGAAGGGGCGTGTCGTTGTAGGTGGATGATGCGTCAATTGCTTTGTCTTGATATTGCTTTGGTTGAGCGTACTGATCAAAACTAGATACAAAAAGCTGCTCCAAAAGATACTCATTGGAGTCCACGCTGCTCGAGTAAAGTGCTTTGGATTCTTTGATGGCAGTTGCTAGAGCTTCCATCCAAATGTGCTTCTCCAGTTCACACATGGCGCTCAATTCCAGTGTATTCTCATCACTGCGCAATAGCCATGAACAAGTAATGGAGCCTGTGGTATGTCAACATTGTGCATATATATATAGATAGATAGATAGATATAGATACATAGCTTTACTCACCTTCAGCATTAGGTATGTTTTCAATTTCAAACTTTCGCAAAGGAAACCAATATCTAGGCTCGTACTGCTTGTGTTTCTTTGCCTTGGCCATGATCATGTAATGATTGAACAGAGCACATCCAATGCGCTTTGCCTTGCTATCGCCTTTGCAGCGCACCTCAAGCGTACCAATCAGTGTGCAAACACCCAAGGTACTGAACCATCGCTTGGGGAGACACCAATCAGAGTCTAATCTAGATAGAAAGAGTGCTGTTTTTCGCTTTGCCTCCATTTTGGATTTTTCATTGTTGATCTTGGTAGCAATGTCGTGTATCGTGTTTTGAGCCTCTGATAGGATCTCGTATTCCTCAGAGTCCTTTTGTGTAGCCTTGGTGATGCTTTGTAGCAGGAGTCTATATCTGAATATTCTTTGAAATGGCTACGAATCCGCGCGAGTTAGTTGCTGCTGTGCTCTCTCCTCTGGGGGGGGGGGGGGGAGAGAAAATTCTCACTGTACTTACAATAATCAAATAGTCATCAAATTTGAGTCGACTGAATCCAAACGACACGCGATGAAATGTGTGCAACCTCTCAATCAAGTTGGCAAATTCAACGTTGGTTTGCAGCAGCTCATTGTACACAGACACTGCATGATCTTGTCGAACACAATAGTCGAGGTAGATTTCAAACTTGGGCGCCCACTCCACAAAGCATTGAGCAATGTTCTTTAGGTTTCCCTTGTAGAAGATGCCGTTCTTTTCTTCTTCTTCGTCACCGTGCGCTTCAATCAGGGCCTCGGTGAACTTTTCCTGAAACACAAGTATTTCCATGGAGTTTCGTACCAGAATATCGCTTTCCTCGGGTGTTATACAAGAGGCCTCCTTGATGATGGCCAAAAAGTGCTACTCGCAAGTATGTGTCAACAACCAAACATCTGAGAGCTAAACCTCGCTGGCAAACTTACTGTACAGAGGATACCCAAATCACGGCTATAGGTTTCCTCAGTCTCCATCAACTCTTTGACGGCATTCAGTCGCTTGATGGACCGTCTCTGCTCCAAAGATCGAATCTCGTTCTTTTTCGTCGTCTCTTGTCGCTGCTGCTGTTGTTGCTGTGACAAATCCATCATGCTCATGTTATGTGGCTTGTTTAATTCAATGCTCTCTTGGTCATCTGTGCTCATAAACAAGTCATCTGCACTGTCCAGTTCCTCTTCCATGGTGATGAATCGTGGTTGCTGGCGATTTGGAATGGCTGTGGTGGCATTCACATCCAATACCGTGGGTTCCCTTGGCTCCTCCGAGCGTTGCTGAAGCGATGGATGGTCGGGAATTATTTTATGGTCATAATGTACAGCGTTCTTCTTCAAGGCTGAATGCGATGTAGGAGATGGTGGTGGTGATGGCTCTTCGTTGGATACAATAGCTCGCTGCGGTGTTGAATCAGACGGTGTTGAATCAGTAGATGTGGTTGCTGCTGCAGTAGTTACCTGCTTTCTGTGGCGAGACATGGATGCAATGCTGGTGGATACAGCCAGCTTCTTTTTAATGGATTTTCTCGTAATGGCATCTGCTGTCGATGCTGTGATTGCTGAAGAAGAAGAAGAAGAAGAGTAGTACTCTGACGTGGCTAGGCCGGGCACACTATGTCGCTTGCTCTTGATCTTGGCTACAGCTACAGCAGGCGAGTCTTCCCCGTCTGTTGAGGTAACTGAAGAGGGGGATCGGAGCAGACCAGAAACAGGGTTTCTCTCTGCAGGAACAATGGCTGACGATCCAGGTGTGTCTGATGTATGTGTGTCGATAGACACTGCTTTACTGATCAGTGTCAAATCACCTGTAGATTGTCCGAATGGATGATGATCCTCAAACAAGGAGGATGTTTCGGAATTTATATCACTGGAATCAGAGATGTAATCCCTGTACATGATGCCAGAATTCAATTTATGGCTCAATGCGGCGTTGGAGAGTGCATTGGCAGCCAAAGCAGCTTGTTTGTCAATATCTTCGTTGGACGCTCTCAGTGGTTCTGGTAATGTGAGTGCGGTTACGCTGGCTTTATGATGATGATATATGGATTTGGTAGTCGTAGCAGTGGTAATGACATCCTCACCTTCATCAGACGATGATTCCGCAGAGAAATTTATGCTGTTGTTGCTTTCAGAAGCCAAATACTCGGTCGATGTTCTAAGAAGAGCAGCATCTGTCATGCTGTTTGAGATTGTAGGTATAGAGAGGTAGAGAGAGAGAGAAAAGGTGTTGAAATGGGGAATAATTTCCCTATTCAATTCAATATTGGGATCATGTCGTTTAGCTCCTCCCCCTTTTTTTTTTTTTTTTTTTCAATGTAGTAATTCATGAAATGCTCCGGATATGCAACTGAACCATAGATGCAGTATTTGTTAAATGGTCTTTCAGATTTATCGGTAGTATTTTGCTTCTTCTTTAATTGAGCTAATTCTGCATGTAGACTTCCCAATGTCGAGTGACGAATCCATCACTGAATCAGAGACTCGGTATTTCACGCTAACATCGTCTATGGAGAGGCATACATGGCACTGAACACTGCATGAATAGAGTTGGTTGTATCAAATAACTGTGGATTTGTTTGTTTGCAAATCGCCGAGATCCTAATGACAAGATTCTTTGTATGAGGTCAGAGATAGATAGGGCTGATATCGTTGTTGTTACAAGTAAGTTTATATGCAAATGCTATTTGTTTGTACAAGGTTTGCTAAGCGATATGCAAATCAAGATAGCCTTTTGGCGCTTCCATGTATAGTATGAGCTAGCATGTGAGCTATGGGACACATTTCAAGATGTGAGACACCAGGCTCAGTTTCATACAAATGAATCCTAATATCTCTTTGCCATGGAAAAGGCAGCACATGGTATACATGGTATTTGTGGCTGGCATGGCAACCAAGGTACCAAACGAAGCTGTCAAGGTTGGCATTTGGCATCTTAATAGCATACATCCATTTACACGGCGGTTCAATTCACACCTTATTCGATACAGGACATTGATGACGCAGAGTCAAAGAAGGAATCCAAGTCGAAGTTGTTGATTTAATTCTGGGGTTAAAGATGAAAAATTGCAGTCTGTCCATGTGGTGCCTCACTGAAAAATAGAATTATTCTACACCCTTTCTTTCTCCCCACTCTCTCTTTCTCTCTCTCTCACTCACTCTTCACTAATATACAATGATTCAACAAGGAGTCTTTGCTGTTGCTGAGCATGCTATTACCACAGCTTCTGCCCCATCTGCTGATGCTGCCAGATCTCGTGCCTTGGCTCTTTATAGAAAATGGCAAAAATCTGTAAGTTATGATTATCTTGATTACCCCACATTCTCATCATCTACTCTCTTTAGGTTCCTGATATGATGAAGCTTCACGAAATCAACTTGCCAACCTCAGCTATTCGTGCTAAAATTCGTGAAGAATTCGAAAGACACCGCAATGTTGAAAAGCTTGAAGTTCGTGACATTTTGTACGCTAAAGGACAAATGGAATACCAAGAAGTTATGAACGTCTGGAAGCAAAACAACCATATTATGAATTATTTCCAAAAGGAAGAAGCACCACCCAAGCCAACAACCTTCTTGGACAAGTTTTATGAAGGCAGATTTTAAAAAAAAAGGGAACGATCAACTATACACAATACACAGATTAAACATAAAAAAGTATCAAAATATCCACCTATTTTTTATTTTGATGATTCAATCATGTGGAAGACAAAGCAGGGAAGCGAAGGGGGGGGAGGGGGAGGGGGGAAATGGTTATTAGATATAGAGAAGGGAAAGGTGAAAGGTATTAGTAGTAGAGGATCCAGAAGAACTAAAGATGGGAAAGGAAAAGGAGGACAAGAGACGAGATCATTTTAATTGAGTGCAATCATATCCCAACCAGCAGTGATTCTATTCAATCCACTCAACTGCAGTAGACTATTTCTCAATTCCTGTTGTGATAAGAATGTCTTTGGACATTCACTGCTTTGAATCGTTAATCTCTTGATCCATGGAAATAGCGATGTGTCCTCCAAAAGCAATTTAAACAAGGCCAATTGTTCTCTATCCAACGTCAAGCGTAACTCTTTGAGCGCAGGAAACTTGGTCTTGAAATCTCTCCATAACTGATTGTATTGCTGGCTGTTGTGACCCATCAATGCAACATGCAAATAATTCACATTTGGAAATTCAACCTCTGACGTTGAGAGTAGGAGAGATGAAGGAAATGACGGCAAATCTATCTTGGTGAGTGTCTTGTGAGATGCTGATAAGAACCCTAATGTGAATGCTTGCACTATCTCTATTGGACGGATGTGTGCATTATATGATTTTGTCATGATCTGGTTGTCATCTGCTGCATCACGGATGGATAATGCCTCGAGTTGTGTTTGAGGATGCTTAGATAACCTGCCTAATAGTTCAGGCTGTAGTTCATTTGGGACATGTAAATTGATGGTCTTGATTGTATTTGCTCTTTGCTGGGCTTCAAGTATGTCTGAAATGATAATGAGACCAGATCTATCAGTGATGCTTGCCTGGAGGTTGTGTGTGATGAAATAGTTGTTGCTCTGTTTCAATGCTAGCCTCAGGAAGCCTAGCGATGCATTGTGACAGTATGTAGGTGCTTGCAAAAGAGTGATAGTTTGAGCCCGAGTGAATCTGTCTGCTACAGCGCAAGAAAAGAGCTTACAGGCGCTGTCAAATGAGAGTCAATGCCGTTATTCGGGAATATTTTGAAGGGAAACTTACTGAGAAATGGGTGCTAGATCGAGGTGATTGTCTTGCTGGATGTAGTCAAGGATCAGTAATTGCAATTCGAAAGGCAGTTGCTGTAACCGCATTATAGATGTTGTTTAAAAATGAGGATTGGAAAAGAGGGAAAGATTTGAAAATGAAATATGGGTATGTCGTATAGACTGCAAAGAATGAGAAACATGTCATATGTAATAATTATTTCCTTTCTTTTTATGGGTAAAGCAAAATAGAGGGGATCATGACTACAATTTATGTCATTTGCCTTGTAATATTCTTTGTTCATAGTAGAATTCCAGAACAATGAAATGACCACATTCTAATAGCATTTCTGACTACAACTGCAGTAAAAAAGACCCTACTGAGGCATCTTTGATAATACAGACATGCCGGATGGTACAACATTTCCTTCCGCTGCCGCTCATTCTACATGTGCACGTTATGCAGATGCAGTATAAACATACAATTTAAACAATGACGCTTATGTAACACTACGTTGCATGCCATGAAAACGGCAACTTGTGTCACTTTTCTCTCCTAAATTGAAGACGGAATGGAAAGCTGTACGATCATCTTGCAGTTCTTTTCCTCCAAATCAAACTGCTGTTGGCAAGTATAGACTGCAAAGTGCACCCAAAACGGGTCCTTTTGTCAACGGCAGTACAACAGTGAGAAAAGCATCTTCTGACGCAAAGGTGAACTGTTTTATGCGTAGAAAATGATGGCATAAGGTTGAACAACAGAGAAAAAAGACCGTTGTAAAGGAGTCAGAACATCCAATTCTCATTGCGTTTGTAAACAGCTTCAATGTTTGACTTGCCCAGTGGTCCGTATATATCACATTCTAACAGCAAAACGAACCATCGTAAGAAGATGCAGCATCTGAACATTGGGAGAATTAGATGCAGAAAGACGATAGGTAATTGTTGGATCTACACAATGAGTAGTGCTACAGCTAAGACTGGTGCAGATTTAGTACATGGTGGCGCACTATCACCATTGCTACCCCTACCTTGTTCGATCCTATTATTATTACTTTCTGGAAAGAGTGTAAATGGATAGACATGCCTATCACTCGGATCCTTCATCTAATGACAGCAACGCTATGTCCAATAGACCGATCGCCTCAAGAAGCGGGTTCAGTGTGTTCAATTGCTTCAATCGCATTGCCTCTTTTGTGACAATACTTGTTGGAAACACTGTATTTGATGGTGTAGTAGCTGAAACATTTGCTTGTGAAAATAGTATAATTCAGTCAAATGATATACCAGATATTATATCATAAATAGCACGGGAAATCCAAGACTCTACAAGAGCTAGCAGCATCGGATAAATGCTCTAAGTGCAAGATGTACATTACACCCCCCCCCTGAAACTTGACCTTACACACCCCAAAGCTTAACGTCAATGAAATCAAGGAACAGAGAAGAGTTCATATCATTAAATAACCTTCACCAATTACAATGTATTTGTTGAATTAGCATCAATTGAAAGACGGATCTTGTTTGGCCGCTGAAAGCTGTTGCAGAGCAACATCTTTTTGACACATTAGCATTTTACTATTAGCTATGCATATACAGTATAGCTCTGCCCAGGATCCTTTATGTAAGCTAACCATTTGAATCTAATAGATGTGTTTAGCTATCGTCATAATCTAATAGAAAGATACACAGTGTCGGCTGATTCAATTGAATACCGGAGGGTCATGGTACTGACGCCAGAACGACATCATGAAAGATACGTTGGGAAGGATGATTTATGAAATTTGTTTTTAGTCTGCCACCATCGAAGGGCGTACCTAATATTTTGACATGATCAAATACAGACTAAAAAAAAATGTGACAAATATCCTATATAAATGGGGTGTTTTGCCATCACCATGGATACCATTATGGCCAAAGTATCTGCAATGGGATACCTTTGGTGAAAACTGACTGATACAAAGACAAGGTTTAAAGACTGATATATATTCTACCAATACATGATGGACTGCAATATACTAAATAAACAAAGACGGATAGGATGGCATGTTAAGTGCAATTTTACTAGTGAATTGAAAGCATTGAATTCTATAGTAGAAAGAGCGAGTATAATGCAAATGCTGCTGCTTCAATGTTGGACAGAATAAGCTTTTTTTTTCTGATTCTTTACATCTTGATTTCGATATTACCAATTGCAAATCTGCGAAATCGTGCGAATTTGTAACTGATCCACCAATCGCATGCATATGGATGAGTTATAGATGTAGAGTCACGGATCTCTCGGGTCTTGTTCAACCATGGCAAGGTAATCAAAAGAGCATTGTCTGTGTGCTCCTCTTTTTTTTTTTTTTTTTTTTTTTCTCTTTTTCTCTTTTTTTTTTCTCTCCATTATCCAAATCGAAAACATTCATTCAATATGTCACTTCAAGAAGAATTAAACGCATCCCGTGTGGCTACACCTGTTGAAAACGATGGCATGAGCTGGCCCAGTAAGTCCAAATCTGACATAAAAGGAAATACAAGTGAATATTAAGTGTGTATACTCAAAGGTTTGGGTGCAAGACAGCGTCGTGATGAAACTCCTGCACAAAGAGAAGAAAGGGAGAAGAAATTGGCAGAGGCAGTAAAGACCATTTTGGCATGTATTGGTGAAGACCCTGAAAGAGAGGGCCTTGTAAAGACCCCCGATCGTTATGCAAAAGCATTGATGTTCTTTACTCAAGGGTACGAGAGAAATATTCATGGTAAGTCAACGGGTGTAGCAGTGAGTGAGTGAGTGAGTGAGTGAGTGAGTGAGTCTAACATTCCCTGTGTCCTTGGATAGAGGTGATCAATGATGCTGTGTTTGAAGAAGGTAATTATCTCGGAGGCTGGGAGATGGAATCGAGTCATTAACAACATGCGCTATAAATGTAGATCATGATGAAATGGTGCTTGTCAAGGATGTTGATGTCTTTTCACTATGTGAACATCATATGGTTCCCTTTATGGGAAAGATCAGTATCGCTTACATTCCCAACAGACGAGTGGTTGGCCTTAGTAAGCTTGCTCGTATCGCAGAGATGTTTGCCAGAAGATTGCAAGTTCAGGAACGTATGACTAAACAAATTGCCACCGCTTTAATGGAGATACTGCAACCTCAAGGTGTTGCTGTTGTCATGGAATGCTCACATTTGTGCATGTGTTCAAGGTAATGTCTCTGAAGGCTGTGAGAAATTTTTTATCAGTAACTGATCCCAATTTCCCACCCTTGTTTAATTGTATTTCCAATAGAGGTGTACAGGTAACACGAGATTTTACCAGTGTCTTGAAATTGTATAGAATTTAACACCAATTTGTCACTAGAAACCTGGTAGCTCTACTATTACAAGTTGCATGTTGGGTGTATTTAGAAGCAGCCCAAGAACTAGAGAGGAGTTCCTCAACTTGATTAGACGATAGACGGAGAGAAAGGCAGAGAAAGGCAGAGAGAGAGAGAGAGAGAGAGAGAGAAAGAATAGATTAATATATATACATACATACACACATTATACAATCACCCGCAAAGAAGACCAGTGCAGCCACTACCATCACTACCGCAAATGCCATCACCATATTCATATTACAAAATAAACAAACGATGTCTTGAAAAAAAAAAAAAGTGAAAATTATCATGATATTATTGTTTAGAGGTATATATGAGCAAGTATATAGACATTAAGTTTACAGGAGATAGCAAGTCTAAGAGAGTTTTCCAGAGATGACTGCTGATTTACACAATTGCAACGCTTTCATGTAATCGCAATTAGCTTCTTGAACGTATGGCAATAACTGGGATCTTTCAATGTGGGGCAAAATACGACACAGATCATCCAATACGACCTTTTCTTGGGACAAAGTAGACTCATTGCCGCTATCAATCTATCATGGCACACACACACACACACACATACATACACACACATTAGGGATCGAAAATAAAGTTGGGATGCATTCAATTTTTTTTTGTTTACCTTTTCTAGAGATCGAATGGAGGAAGCCTTGTTGCTGTTACTACTATAGGATCTCATAGAAGTCTTTCTGCCCAAAGACGAAAAGAGGCGACCGGGTCTGCTCTTTTTCAACTTGTGTGAGGTTTGAGATCCACCATTTGCCGATTCCGAAGATGAAATGCTGCTGTTGTCTTTGAACTATGCATACAAGATGTGAGTATCACATTCAATTCATCAACCAAGCAAAGACGTACCTCTGGTAAAGACGTGCACGTTGGTGTTGTTGTCACTGTAGTAACTTGACAGGGACGGCTAGGAGTATCAATATGCTCGTACGGAATTTTTTTTTCCTGTGCTGTGGTATTAGTAGAGAATTGTCGATTTGGCAAAAGAGCATGTGCAGCGGATATAATGTCAGTAATTTGATCATCTTGCTGAGGCTGGATCAATGGCATGGGCGCACTAATCATCTCAATGGATTTTTTGCTGGCTGCGCTGCGAATAGACAAGTTTTCTGATGAAGCAGAGTAGATTAGCAGCTCGTCACCAGCCATCTTGTTCTTTCTTGATGCCAAGGGATGTAGCAATGATCGCTTGATGGTTGGCTTTCTTCCAGCATTGGTTGACTGCATCAATTTAGAGTTTTCTCTTGTAGGTGCTACTCTCGATCTCTTGATCCAAGCTCTCATGCCGCTGTTGGCATTGATGCAATGTTGAAAAGCAACGTTGTAGGCATGCATTCTCTCTTTCTCGCCATTCATCTTCATTGTATGATAGAGCGTCAATGGATTATGACGGGGTCCATTTCGATGACTCAGTGTCAAGCAATCCGACAAGCGTGGAGGCAGCTCTTCATCCTCGTCTTTGGTGGTGTGGCGTTGCATCAGCTTTTGTGATTTCAATTCCTTGGTGCGCTGTTCCAAGAGATCCGATAGCCCTTCGTTTTCATTCACTGCCTTCTCTTCAAAAATGGTTTGAAATGTCACCAAGGACGTCAACAGATCATCGCCAGTGCCTTCATCCTTCCAAGATATCTGATAATTGTCCTGTGTTGCTTTTTCCAGCAGTTCATTCGTACTGACCGTTGTTCTCTTTTGATTTGTTTCCTCCTTTTTTTCCGATTCATCCTGCTCAATGCGATAAATACTATCCTGTTGTGCGTAGGCTGGTCTTGGCATATGCTTCTCATATGACTTTAATGTGGGAGTTTTTCTTAGTGTACTTGATCTTTTCGGTTTTTGTGTTTGTTGTTGTTTTGGTGTTACTGGTGATGCCGACGGAGGAGATGTAGGCGCTTTGGCGGAGGCCACAGGCGATGGTGCTGGTGGCGATACAGTGGTTGTTATCGCTGGAGGTGTCATTTCTAAAGGGGAGGATGAACAAGTGGAAGAGGAGGAGGACTTGGCTTGGGTTGATCGGTTTGAAAGGTTATTCGCATTACTGGCACTCTCAATCTTTTTTAAAGGTGTATACACATCAGGAGGAGGTTTTACTGTTGCAGGTGTTGCAGTTCTGCTGACACCGGCCCGTCGTCTTTGCCGTTGACATTTGTAACAAGCACATGCTTGACTGCCTGTACAAGCAGTAGAAGAGTTGTTGGCTGCAGCTTGCGAAGGAGATGCTGATGATAGTATGGATTGCAAGTATGAATCACTGCTGCTATTCATTGTGGTTGTACTAAAAATATATTGTACATTAATATAAAATTTAACCGTGTGCTACATTGTAACTTACTTGTTGTTCATTATGGCAGGGATTTCGTCTACTTCAATTTTAGTAGATTCATTGTCGGCAGCTGCCTGTAGGTTCACTATGTAAAAGAAAAGGTAAATAACTCGCTCAAATGGTGTATGATTTCAAGCCCTTGTTTTACAATCTACTTTATTCTCGAAATGAAATTTTTTCACCCAATCTACATAACCGCAACTGAATAAGCAAAGGTTTCCATGTGTTTCTCTCATGTGTATAGTGTACCTTGAGTTGATACATCTGAATTGATTGCGGTGGTCATTTAATTAATAAGAAAAAAGAGGAAAAAAGGGAAAGAAAAGCACTCTATGTTTAGGGGAGCAAGAACAAGAAGAACAAGAAGAACAAGAAAAAGAAAAAAAAAAAAAAAAAAAAAAAAAAAAAAAAGAGTATTTGTACAATTCATGGATCGTTTTTTTGTATTTATTAGTGCAATGAAAGCATTCAAAGCGTAACACACACATGCTGTTTGTATCACTGTGATTTGCCCTTTTTAAAATAAGCAACCGCTTGCTTGTAGAGATCTTCATCCTCGAATACATCAGCAGCTGTCATGGCAAGGCAACGGGCTGCTCGAAGCGTCTTCTCATGTGCTTCCTCTGTAGCTGCTGCTGCTGCAAATTCAATGGTGTGGTTGGCAGCTGTGGTACCGATATTAAATCTATTAATAATCAAGTCATCAGTCTACCAGAACACGTTTTCTGTCTATTCATCATCTTTACCCAGCATGAATACCAGGCACAGCATAAGTAATATTGCCCATATCAGTACTGCCGCTGACAATCGATTCCTCCATTTGACGAGGATGGAATTGGACGCCCTCAGCCTTCATATGATCTTTATAGGTCTCGGCCAACACCTCATTTGTAAAGACATCTATAGATATAGTTCGTGTCAATAAAATGCATCCTGCTCCTTTTTGCGATTTATAAATACCATCAATTTGTCCACAAGGAGCCCAAGTAATCTTGTAGGTACATCCAGTAGCAAGTGCAGCAGCCTTGAAGCATTTTTCAACCTTCTCTTTGAGCTCTTTCAGTTGATCGCGAGTGACAGAACGGGTATAAAAGTGGGCAGATGCATAACCGGGAATCACATTAGGCTAAATTGTCGAGAGTTACACACATGAATCCCAGATCTCCAATACAACTTACAGATTTGCCGCCCTCTTGAATGATACCATGAATTCTACAGACAATAAATTAGACATGCAACTCCTATTCTCCTCGCCTCCTCGCTCAATACTGTACCTGTTGCTTGTAAGGGTCTGCTGTCTCAACATGGCTACATTGTCAAAGCCTTGCATTAAAGCGTCTAGCGCATTCACACCTTCCCAAGGTGAAGCTCCAGCGTGCGATTGTCTGCCAAAGAATTCAACAGTGAAAGAATCCAGCGCCAAGCATTGTACATAAAGACCATCACCAGGACCTGGATGCAACATCATTGAGAAATCAACCAACTTCTCCACAGTACCACTCTGGACAAAGTTACATTTACCGCTGGTGGATTCTTCTGCGGGTGTGCCAAACAGGTACACTGAGCCAGACATCAAATCTTTCTCCAGGACTTGTTTGATGGCTAAAGCACAAGCGACACCTGAAATGGCAATCAAGTTGTGACCGCAGGCATGGCCAACACTACATAATGTATGAGGCGAGTTAATTAAGGTGCATGATGTTGACATCATGTTACTTACCCAGGCAGTGCATCATATTCACTGCAGAATCCAATGCGGCGACCTTCCTTGCCATTGGTATATTCAGCGATAAATGCGGTTTCTAAACCAACAACACCTCGAGTCACCTTGAATCCCTTCTTTTCGAGGTAGTCTGTCAATAGCTGGAATGCTTTGAACTCCTTGTTGCCTTGCTCGGGGTTATCGTGAATCTAGCGTGTGCAGTAATATTTAGAGACGCACACATCCGTTGCATATTTGTTTGTCCACACTGTCATACCTTCAAACTAATGTCTCGAAGCTCTTGGCTGTGGTGGTGGATGGTATCATTGATTACTTGGACGATATCTTTGGAAGCCATTTGGTATAGTTTGCTAGCTGTTCTTGAACAATAGGCGAAAGAGGGAAGATCGAGTTGGATTACAGGTGCAGTCTATTAAATATTTAGGTGGGAAAACGATAACTAATGGATTTGGTTTGTGTGGTAAAAAAAAAAAATAAGTTGGTGTTGCTCACAAATACATGTCCGAACACACGGCGTCTTTTGTCAGTTTATGGATGTTGCTCTTTGGTTCATCATTGCGGTGGCAAGATGCATGCAAGTAGTTCAAGTAGAGTGCCATGTCAGCCTGGAGATGATGCTTTAAACAATAGACCTGCAAATTTTGATTCATCTAGTATAATGTCGCATTTATGAGCCTATTCATCTGCAATTACATGATGGCAGATTGAGCTAATTCAAGTTCCTTCAAGGTACCACAAATGCAACTGCTTGATGACACAAAAGTGTAAACTTTTGACCTATCTTTCTGTGCTGCCTCCAATTGAGATACGATTACAAAAGTGACATGTATATCTTCATATCTTTGATTAGGAATAACTATATCATTCTTCTATTCTACAGTTACTGTAAATATGTATCTTGATTGTGTTTAATCCTTTGGCTGACCGAGTTGGTTGGTCAAGTAGGATAAATGCAGCTTAGTTTGGGTAGACTTGATATGTATTCAAGAAAAACATGATTGCCAGTGAAGCATCACCCAATGATTCAAATCAAAGAAGCACTACAATCCACATGAGTTTTCTGCATCGGTTGTAACAATACAAATCTCCATCATTTTTTTATCAAGTTTACATCAAGCGCTTGGCTGACTCACAGTTACAAATAACTCCAAGCTTAAGGTGGTTCTTTATGTTCGCTTGGCTTTGGTAAGACCCAATAACCTACGCGCGCTACCGCTTGCCTTCATCCTTCTCGTCAGATTACTGAAGGCTTCATCGGATATCCTACAAATATGGGCTTCCTAGCTCTACAGTATTGCGTTAGAACCAACCAGACCCATGGATTTGCCTTTTTTTTGCGATACTCTACAGCTGTATCAATGGAAACAACTCTTAAACTGGTAAACAGCATATTTGCGTTACCTCTTATTACTCAAAAGCCTACAGATCACAGCAAAATTGTGCACACTTGATCCGTGTTTTCTCGTGTTAGAAGCCGTTTTAAGTCGCCAGAATGTCATCACACAATTGCTCTCACCTAGCACTTACTTTCTGACACCGTTGCTCAACTTTTTTTGGGACCAAAAATACATCATCAAAAATTGACCAAAAAGCATGAGGGGGTGCCTCATGGTTTCCATTAAAAACTAAACGATCTCGTTTTTCGCCTTGAAAATGAAGACTTTTACTATGGCATGCGAGCCTTTCAGCACTTCGGGTGGTTTCCTGACCTACGCTTCGCTTCGGTGGAAACCAACCTACGTTCAAACGGCTCGCGCTGCCGCGGGCCTTTGGCTAATATCCCAAAATTAATATAGCTAAAATGTTAGAAGAAGAACCCTGATTGTTGATTGATATATAATCACTAATCATATGAGTGTTTATGCTTCGGATGGTTCTCACCGAAGCGTAGCGAAGGTAGAGAACCAACCTGCGCAGCGGCAGCTCGTACTATAGATTGCTCTTGCGTATTTTATCAAAATACTGCTACTTTCATTTTGACCCTCCACTTACACATAGTAACCCTTCCTATTATCTGTGGATCTGATTCTTATGTGATGTTCTACATCCATATACACGTAGCTACTTCATATACGGGCAAGCAGCATACTGGTATTCCCACTTTTTAGTCCTTAGTGTCCCTAATACAGCAAAAAATGAGTGCATTTGAGCTGCATTTTCTTGCGTTCAAGGCCGTTTTAGATCGTCAGAATAGCCCCAAATGGTTGCTCTCATCTGGCAGTTACTTTCTGACACTTTTGCTCGACTTTTTGGGGACCAAAAAAACATGGTCAAAAATCGACCAAAAAGCATGAGGTATCCCTCATGGTTTTCATCGAAAATCAAACGATCGCATTTTTTATCTTGATAATGGAGACTTTTACTATGGTATATCTTGAATCAAAATGTTTCTATCAATCCAAAGCAACCTCTGAAATTATCTTTGTGGGACTTTGATATGTAAAATTTCGACATTTTGGCCATAAATCTCTTTTCATATTTTTACAAATCATTCAATAAGTGAATCCAAAACATCTATTTTACTTAGTACCATTGGAAGCGCCTTGAAAAGCACTCCAGGAAAGCTTAAGGAAGCATGGGGTGATTATCATACTTCACTTAGTCGAATCTGCAAAAATAGCTCGATCGAGTCCAAAATTATCAAAATATGTCCAATCTGGAACAGACTATGATTCTGGGTTTGAATTAATTTTGGCTGGTAGGGCCAGCTGGAAAACTCATGCCCTTTTCATAAGGCAATACAGTAGTAAATGCCCTTGAAGCGTATAGAAAGTAGGCGGCAGTTCATAGCACTATCTTTTATGATGCTATTTTATTGCCTTCTATATCGTTCATAATGATATTTTATTGCATTCTATATTTAATAACGTTAGTCTGGACATTGACGATGCATGGGTTGCATAAAATGTCTGCAGTAAGTAGTGAAATCTCTGAGGCTCCGAGCCGTCGTTCAAAGAAAACGTTGGTAGCATTGAGCAGAGGAAAGAGGGTAGAAATAATAGTGGTTTTTATTGATTGATTGTAAAATCATTATTCTCATATGAGCCAGGTCTGATAGATGCCTTGAAACTCAGGTTCCATATTAGGATTGTAAAGTGCAAAAGGACTGAACATTTATTATGTTATGATATTAAATCAAAATGTTTCTCTCAATCCAAAGCAACCTCTGAAACGACTTTTATGAGGCTTTCATATGCAAAATATAGCTATTTTCGCTAAAAGCCTCATTTCAAATTTTATTAAATTGCTCAATAATTTCAGTCAAAACACTTATTACAGTTAGCACCATTGGAAGCGCCTTGAAAAGTGCTTGAAGAATGTATTAGGAAGCGTAGGGTGATACATCACAGTTTATATAGTCGAATCTCACAAACTAGATTAAAGAAGTCGAAAAAAGACAGTATCTGTCCAATCTTGAACAGAAAAAAATAAACTGAGTTTGAATCGACTTTTGCAGCGGCTTGCTGCTGGCTGGCACAAATGCCTTTCTGATGATGACAGTGATGATTGTGATGCTGATTAACTGGGGACAATCGAGTTGAAAGGACAATCGAGTATTTTGGATACATTTTTTTTGGGGAATTTCGCCTCATAAAGATGTCTTTTGCTATGACAATATCTCAAAAAAGCCGCTATATACCTTGTACAAGTCCTGTATTTATTTATGACCAGCTCTATGTAGCCATCTCATTAAGAGTATCAGCAGCAACGAATGGCATGACAATTATAATATCAGAAGATGGAGATTGTGAAGTACGAATGCTACATAAAACTCGAACTTTCTTTCACATCGTCTCAATAATAGGCCTCGTTTGATGTCGGTGTAATCAAAAACGGTGCTGAGGGAGATACCTCCTTTCCTCCTCCTCCTCCTGGCTCTGATATATGATTTCTTTTACTACTAATAATTGATTGTTTAAAATCTACTTGATATACCAAAGCTTTACCATATCTGGTTTAAAATTTCTTCAGCGAGAGCCCACAGGACGACGCCGACATCGAGCGTAGCGAGATAGATCGGCTAGTGCTTGGATACGCTATTACGATTTCATCCAGCCTACCCAATATAGATGGTCTTTATGAAATCTTATAGATCGGCCCAGCAGGAACACGCCCGATCAAGCATTTACATTTCAAGACAGTGATGGAATTGTGTTCAGAATTTGTTGCCACTCGTGGTGATTATCCAGTACTGGATCTATTAAAGGCCATGTATGAGATGTCTCTTCTATTGACGCTATCATTGATGTTGCTGAGAGCTCTCCCAACAATCATGAAAACCTTAATATTGTCGTATGGGCCTCTACCCAGATTAGCATTGCGCTGCAAACAAACCATACAAACACTAGAGTTGGATTTCCCAACTGTGGCAATGGAAAAGAAATCGATTGGGAGCTTATGAACAGAGTGAATGAATTTCGCCATTTGACATCATTCACATTAGCAGTTGCAATTGGAACTATTGTAGTTCTCAACAAGATTTTGGATACTTGCCCTCATTTACGAGAGTTCTCATTAACTACACCCAACTGGCAGTATTGCAGTGATGATAGGCTTGATATGAATCAGAAAACTGGCAAAACTTTTCTCAGTCTACAAACATTGAAAACTCGAGGTGGTATTTACCTATCCTACGTAATAGAACATTTTCTCTACAAGTTAATCAGTCTTGAAAAGATCCACATTGTCGCTACTGCATACGATTTCTTCACAACTCATTCAACGAGTAACAGTAAAATAACTAATCTATACGGTGGAGAAGGCCAATGTTTAACATTTCATCTTGTTTGATAAAAGCTTGCTCCAGTATTAAAATCGAAAATGCAAAGGATATCTATTATAGTCGCATCAAAGCTGTTTTATATATATATAAATATGGCATATAATGTACACTATTCAATTTTACATAAACTTGCTCGAAAATCGGATCATGCAAAAATTGACAGCTCCCATCTTCTCGGCTGATGGCGAGTTTCTCTCCTTTTTTGAATACAAATCCAAATAAAAGATTGTGAATGCCACTCCTTGGTTTACAATAACATTGAGGACATGATAATCAAAACGTATTCTACTTTCAAGTTGTGATCTCTCAGATTGGAGCGAAGAGCATTTTTCTCTTCATATTTTGAATTTACTGATCTGGCTTGAATTAAAGAACACTGAAGCCTATTCGTTGCTATCCATCTTTGAGAAGCTTTCGTCAATGATGCCAATGTCTTTCTCAAGAAATGCGACCTGGATGGGTCCAAGATTAGATCATTTGAGAGGATGAGGAAAAGGGGAACATGAAGTAAATTTCTTTGACATGTGGCTTGTTGATCTTCAAATGTCAATTTGTTTGAACGGGTTGATATGGCAACAAAACAAATCTCTCAAGCGCAAATTTCGAGAATGCCATACTAGAAAGCAATCAACCATGTCACATTAACATATCCAACAGTACTTTTTCTGGACAAAAAGCTAATTATCATGAAATTTTCAAACCACAATTTGAATGGTAAAGTGATTTTAGTGATTTCACTCGGAGAGATACAGATTTATAAACCTCAGATTGTGAACAATAATCGGAAATGTTCAAGCGGACATTAAGTTCGTAAGTTACCGTAAAAATGTCGTTTCTTACGCGTTCCCGTCCTCAAGATCCTCAAAAACCCTTTTTCACTTTATACCAAAAACTTTAAACGAAAAAAAAAGACCTCCTCCGCAAGATGGAAGAATGTAATGTATATATTATTTATTGGACTTAATTAGAATGAATTGTGTGTATATGTGTGTGCGTATTTGTGTATTGGTATGTGTGTTTATCGCTGTGGTTCAACCCTTGATTTGTTTCTACCGAGCCAGCGCTTACCTTTGGTCTGTAGAGATGAACTATGTGGAGATTCTAATTTCGTAGTGTGGAGGTGCATAGGTTCCAGCGATCCCTCATTGTGATGATTTGCTGACATGATAATCCTCTTGATCTTTGGCCAAAGCTTGCTCATTTTCGATTTAGTATCACTGGTATCAGCTTGATTTGCTGATGTGGTATGAACCATGGTAGGTTGCTGAGGAGGCATAGATTGGATGATGGATGTGGGAACTGGTCTGGGCGAAGTTTGAGCTCGACGACGTCTGGCCATATATGTAGATGCTATGGCTGGATAGTTGCTCATACCTGGCAGGGGATCATCATTGACAATATTGATGATCGAAAATGTGTTTGATGGAGGAGGGGGTGGGGATTGATCCAATGGAGTTGCCAAGGCAACTGAATCCACACTATCTTCAGTTACACAAGAAGCCAATGAGAACCGAACTGTATTTGTATTGTTGTAATCAAGTGCAGGCATTGCCATGTTGAGAGATATATAAGGATAGGAAGGGGTGGCTATGGTGAATGAGTGGATATGAAAGAAAAGAAAAAGACGTATAGGCACTCGGCATGAAGAGAGCCAGGTACTAAATACTATGTTTAAAATATCCGATCTTTGAACGCTGTGTACGCACGCACACACATACACACACATACACACACACACACACACATCTGTACAAATAAAGTAACCTATTTTTGCACTTTTTGTGTTCTTATTATGTGTACAATAAAATCTCACTCTCTTCTTCTCCTTTCTATAAATTTTCTCAGGAAGAATCGTTGAATAATGGCATTAGCATCGTTTCCATTGCTCGTTCGACGCTGGAACAGATCAAAGTTGCATCACAATGATTATAGCAAATATGCTCAACTAGTGGAATATGTAAGAATCGACAAGGTTGCATTTGTTTGTATATTAATTTGGTCTGTAAAATCATGAAATATTTTAGATGCCAGAGGATGTTTTCCTGACTCGGTTAAAAGCAATTGACAAACATGTCTACAATGAATACCCGCATGTTTGGATTGATACATATCTTTTTCTAACTGCCATACTGCTGGTAATCGCAACAGCTGCTTTCTCGGTTGTCGCTCGAGCAGCAAACTTGTCCATGTGGTATCCATTGATCATTTTAGTCGTACCAATTATAATTGGCTTTATCACAACAAGAAGAAGAAATGCATACTATACAAGGTTATCAAAGGTATTCTACATGCTGACTATCACAGATGACTAAGCTTATCTAACTGTCAAAAAAAAAAAAAAAAAAAAAAAAAAAAAAAGTACTACGAATCATTGCAAAGCTGCTTGAAAGAGCTGAATTCACTAGATGTCACCCGACAAGTCAAATGGAGCTTTAGAAGATTAAGAGAAAACGACACAGCTGCAGTACTACATTTGAGACCACCACTGACAAGACACCACATCAACTTTGTAATCGACATAATTCAGATCAATACTGAAAATGAACTTGCTGACGAGGGTGAGATGCTGCCTGCTTATCATACCGCCATGATGGATGTAGTCTTGGATATTGGACCTGAAATGGAGCAGGCACCAGGAAACCGACCGAATTACATTTCTTTTCGGATGCCATCGTCTTCAGCATCCCCATTACCACCATCCTATGAGCATCACGAACTGGAGCCTGCTCACTCTCCTCCAGAATACATCAACAATGCAGAATTAACAATGCCCTCATCCACATCTCAGTCAAATGTCAGAGATGAGAGCAACACAATAAATGCACCTATACGTTAATATATACCTGTAAAACTTTAATGTATTATAAACCTATGGATATCAACTGTAATAAAATCTTGTATCGAAAGCAGATTTGACAGATCATCATAGGAGGGGAGACGAAGGATAGCGCCGCTAACCTAGTGTTTAAAAATGAGTGCGATTTCACTTCAACTGTGCAAGTATTAGTGGCTTGTATTCTCAACTGGCGGAGACCAGGGCTACAAACTTCCAAGGGGATAATGATTTCGATCCTTTTTGACTTGGGTATCCTCTTTTTTTTTCATCTGATACAAAATGTTGAATATCGTTCGTAGCTCCAGCAACGCCAAAAGAGCCACATTCTCACTTGTTCAAAGCAGATTATCGTCCACAGGCGGTTCAACTGCTCCTGGTGGCGATACCCGTCTTGAAGTCATTCGCCGTGTGTTATTCGAACCTGCACGCAGAGAACAGCCAATTCAACTAGAGGGTGAAGCATTAGAACAACATGAGACTATTGAACGTGCCTGGAAGCTCCACAAAATGCGCAGCAGAGAACAAAGAGAACGCTCTCTTGAACGTCAATTTAGGGCCATGAACGCTGCCATGACAGAGTTGGAAAAGACCAGCGACAGATTATACAAAGGTGCACTCGTCAAAAGTCGACACATTACATATCCCAAGCAAGCAAAGATCCCCACAGAAACACCATCTACACAGGGTTGGGATTACACATACAAGGCTGTGGAGGAAGCCGCTTAATTTTGACTAGATATATGGATTGGATGTACAATATTATACACACACACACACACACACACACACGCAGACGCACAAACACCACCAAAAGAAATAAAATGAATTGTATTGTAAATATATTTATATAAATTGCCTCAGATGTCTTTGCAAGCATGATGGGAACAAGGTGTAATGGGAAGATTGGCTGTGTGGGGCTATGTGGAGGGCATTTTTTGGCCTGTCTGCAATTCTTTTCCTGTCATATCACAGTTTGTGTTTTAAATCAGAAGGAAAGCTTATTTCTGAGCAAGATTATCTTCAAAGACGGGCTGACTTGGTCAGCAATGGAAGACGCAACTCGGAGGGCAGCCTGGGAGTGCCTGAGATGGTGTATCAAGGCCGTGCTATGTCCTGGCAGCCTTCTCACATCATGCAGGCTCAAATCTATGGTTTAATGATGTTTCTAATCAAAAGCGAAAATCACTTGGATGAATGGAAGCAACATTACCATAACGACCTGGTGCTCAAGCCAGCCGCCATTTAGACAAGTCCATTTGAAGGATGCTTGAACATAAAAATAAGCATCTGGACCAAATGAAGATGCACAGACAAGGCAAAAGAAGAGTCCTTGGGGGGGGGGGTGTTTGACCACTTGTAAGCACTAATATTCACGAGTCTCAGTGTCAAGGCTCGTGTATTGCTTACAGCGGATCTCTTAGTATGCTACAACTGGAGTCGAGCAAGTTAATGTCAATGTGGCATCACGTTTATTGCATTTACTGCTCGACAATCTCCCAGTAGTTGGCTCTCTTGGGTAATCAGCTTTGTAATCATGTAACGTATATGTCTTACCAATGCATCTTTAAGACATTCTCCATTAAGTGAAATTGCCAAATTTATCTGATTCTCAAATCTCATGTTGTGATACCTCGACTAATGAGAGGAAATGGCCTGATTTCTACACTGTTTAAAGGGCAAGTAGTTCATATGCTTCTACAAACGCAGTAAAATACTCATTGGTTCGGCGGTTATTGTAAAACACAGCTATAAATATGGTAGATGTGGAGAGGCATCTTGGTCGTTCTCTTTCTTTCACATTAATTCTTACATTTCTCAAGCAATGGCTTCCAATCTCCCTGATTTCATGACTGATCCCAATGCTGTCCTTAATGACAAGGACCATGAATGGCGTTATAACCGTATTCCTGACTACAACAAGGTCAATGCTGCTTATGAATTGGGTAGGTGTTGTCATCTACATGGCTGACATTTTTATAGATGCTAACATGTTCGTTTTGCCCCTGATTAGAAAAGACTTGCACCCACGCTGAAGGATCCCTTGAATGGCTTGTTTCTAACCTTGTCAAAGTAAGTTGTTTGTATACCTAGATAATCTCAAACTCGTGTTACATTGTACTGATCTTGTATCGTGCTATGAATTAGAACTGGGAAAAGGAAATGTCATATAAGCTCCGTGCTGACCAAATCCGCACCATTGATGCCTCCAAATACCGTTTCTCGGTAAACGGAAAGGAATGGCACAATGCTGAGGAGATGCTCAAGGTAAGCTCTCGACGAGCCCATGTATAAGGCAGTATATTCATCTGTCAAACTTTAGCTTGGTACATACAATGCTCTCATCGGTGATACTGAGCTCTACAAGGCCAGTGAAATGGACTTTAGCGAATCTCACAAGCTCTTTAAGAGAGCTCTTCGTACCTTTTCTTGGGAAGTCCTTCAAGTCTACAGTGGGCCCCCTGTCGTTGCTTTCAAATGGGCTCATTGGGGTACCATGACAGGCGATTTGTCTGTCAAGGTTGGTAATGGCCAAAAGTTGGAGGCTCACGCTACCAATGAAGTTGTCAAGATTTATGGTGTTACCGTTGCCAAGGTCAATGAAAAGTTTGAGATTGAGCAACTCGAAACCTTTTACGATCCTCAAGACATGATGAGACAAATGTCAAAGAACAGAAAAGATGGTTCTGTTAATCCCGAGGAAATGGTTGCTTCTGGAAAGTGCCCTTTCAACCCCAAATAATTATTATTTATAAGATATCCTTTTTATTTATTGCAATAAACGTATGCTTTAAAACATGTGTAAATATAAAATAGATCGATATAGAAGGTCATTAGTTTAAATTGGGTCGTGTATCTCGTTTAAGGTTAAAACTCTCAAATTAGAGTGCAATAAAGAATTTTCAAGTGGTCTTCGAAAAAGGTTGTGCCTTGCTTTTTCCCTTTCTGATAGCAGTACACTTCGATCGAAAAAGAACGAGAACGAAGAATTCTGCTCACTGTTTGTGTGTCCAACCTCTGACAAAATTTGTATTCATAAATTTGTGTTACATGCTGTTACTATCGATAGCAGATGACATGAAAGACCCATATCAAATGTGAATTACATGCATGCCTTATTTTCATTGAAGATAGTCAGATGGAGCGATCGTAGTAGTTTTAAGTCTAAACCAAAGCTTGAGTAATGGGCCTAAACCAAAGCTTGAGTATTGGGCCCCTCTTTGGTGCAATGTTACACCCAATGTTTATAATGCTCAGATTCCAAATATGTTGTCAAACAGCATTGCTGGAAATCGACTGTTGGGCCTGTTGTCTCGATGTATTGGGTAAATGTATAAGGCGCAATCAAAGGACTCAAATACACAGATTGATAACTCTATTTAAATTGGTAAGGGTTACATAAGATTGGCTTGGAATACACGAAGAGTGTGTCGTAATGTATAGGTGACGGCCTCAAGCCGAGAGCACGGGCTGTGCAAAGTACATGGCGGTCTATTCAAGCAATCGCAAAATAATGAGCACTGCATTACATTACCCAGATCATATAAAATAGACAGACCATAACAGCAACTGTTAGCACAGAGAGCCATCACATTGCATACTGCCTGCAAAATCTTTTGGTATTTCAACATCTGTTTGAGAACCTTGAATAAGATGACAGAAAAAGCAATCATTAGGCTGTTCACAACCACTGATATTCCCATGTAGATTCCTTTCTACACGCCACATAATTGCAACTATATTCTACCAGGGACCACACTCGAGTTATCATTTGCAAGTATGAATAGAGTTAAAAAATTGTGCATTTTACAAAAAGATTCGCATTCAGACGAGCAACTTGCAACAATTGATTCCATTAGATTTAGGAATCCCTAACAGAAGCAAGAAAAAAAAGTAGATAGACTAAGCTATAGCACTTTTCGAGTCGTAAGTCCTTTCTTATCAGTTTAGCGTACATGAATGCCTTCATGATTTAATAAGGCATTGATTTTACCAACCAAACTGGAGAGCGTGTAGCCATGGAGTGACGAACACTAAGATTAAAACGTCGATTCACGTTTACTTCAGATTGGCCAAAATCTGCTCAAAATCGACTTGATTAAACTATTTTTTTAAGATTCGACTATAAAATGTGATAACCATCGTTTGCTTGTTTAAGCTTTCTTGGAGTGCTTTTCAAGGCGCATCTAATGGTACCAAGTAAGTTAACTGTTTTAAATAAACTTATTGAACAATTTGTGAAAATATGAAAAGAGGTTTTTGGCCAAAAAGCCGAGATTTTACATATCGAGGCCCCACAAAGATGATTTCAGCGGTTACGTTAGATCGATAGGAACATTTTGATTCAAGATATACCATAGTAAAAGTCTTCGTTATCAAGGTAAAAAAAAAACGCGATCGTTTGATTTTCGATGAAAATCATGAGGGGTACCTCATGCTTTTTGGTCGAATTTTGGCCATGTTTTTTTTTGATCCCCAAAACGTTGAGCAAAGGTATCAGAAAGTAACTGCCAGATGAGAGCAACTGTTTGGTGCTATTCTGACGATATAAAACGGCCTTGAACGCAAGAAAACGCGGCTCAAATGCACTCAGATTTGATGTATTAGGCACACTCTTGACCAAAAAGGGGTAATATCTGTATGACACTTGCCCGTATATCAAGTAGTTACGTGTATATGGATGTAGAGCACCACATAAGAATCAAATTCACAGATAATATAAAGGGTTTTCATGTGTAAATAGAGGGTCAACATGAAAGTAGCAATATTTTGAAAAGATACGCAAGGGCAATCAGTAGCGCGAGCTGCGGCTGCGCAGGCTGGTTCTCACCGAAGCAAAGCGAAGGTAGAGAGCCATCGGAAGCATAAACACTCGTATGCCGTAGTAAAACTTTATTTTTCGGGTGAAAAAAATAGCGATCGTTCGTTTTTAGATGAAAACCATGTTTTTCAGGTTCCAAGGAAATTGAGCAAAGGTATCAGGAAGTAGCTGCTAGATTAGAGCAATTGTTTGATGCTATTTTGGTCGTTCAAAGCAGCTGCTAACGCGAGAAAACACGACTGATGCACCCAAGTTTCACCGTGATTTGCATGATTATGCGTAGTAGGAGGTTATGCAAGTATGTTGTTTACTCATATACGAATTATTTCTATGGATACAAAAGTAGAAAAGTGTAGAAAAGACACATTTACTATAGAGATTGTCTATGGAGAGCTTTACAGGTCAAAAATGACTAATATGCGCAGCAGGATATAATCACCACAATCTTTCTTTGAAAAGCGTTGTAAATTAAAAGATACAGTAGTGTAATAGAACTGTTTATTGAATAAAAAAAAAGGTAAAAGAAAAAGAGTGTTGGAGCATATAGTGTATTATAGTTTATCATAGATTAAATGGATGCTTGCATATATATATATGATTCATAGTTGAAATGCTATCGTTGATGATTGCCGTATGAGTTATCTACAGGGTGGTTTGATTGAGAAAAGCAAAAGAGTCTAAATTTGAGGTTGGAGGAGTAGCAGGAAGCAATACCCATGTATGCAAGAAAGGCCTATGTTCTACGACGAGCGATACTGTAAGCAGTGCCATTGCACATGAGCAACATTTGGCTGATATCAATGTATACAGGACTTCTGAAAGACCTCGTCTGAATCCAGCTAGATCCACATGAGGACCATAGGCTTTCGATATGACTTTGAGCCAAGGCATCCAATGTAACCCAATTGCAGCCATTAGCGTAAACCCATTGAACTGAAGCCATTTTACGTGATTGTATTGTTGAAAAGTGTTGGATTTAGAAAATTAAACGAGTTGACAAAGAAGAAAATGAAGCATCATTTTTCCTTCCTATTTATACCTGTCTGATCTCTGTCTCTGTTTCTTTGCATAGCCATAATGAATGATGTATTTTACAGTGTAGTGAGTCTATTTTTACATGCACAGGTGTGCCAAACAAGGTAATTGTCTTCCAGTTTTGGTAATACAAGAAGATCGCCACAGCTTAAAAAAGTAACTTGTCTGTAGCCATGAGCCTGCTGGTGTAATTTACAACCTAAATTAGGTAATATTTTGCTTGTACCTGCTTATGCGCCACAGCACTAAAACAGTTGGCTATCAGGAATGACGATACGTGTGCGTGTGAAGTCAAACTACACCCTGAGTTACTTTGTAGATGCCGAATTACGCATGGATCTACCATTCTCTTTGACATTGTTTAACTTTTTGTAAAAAAAAAACATGCGCCTCATGTATCTGTTAAGCATAATGTATGCTTAAGTGTAAATATCATGCATGTCACTTAAATCCATGAAAATCTAGATTGCTCAAGGACTCGCTCAGCATAGCCCAAAGAATGAACACACCATTCAACGCACCCTTTGTGGCAATAGCAACCAAAGAATAGGCTATTTTAATTGGAAGAATACTTGAGGTATTAACTCAAGGTCAGATGGGCTCAGGGTTGCTGCTAGTGTTGTATGCTGAATGATTCATTATTCATCCTTTTGCTGAGTATGATGAAAACTGCGTCGCCATGTTTCCGGACTCTTACGGACAATGGAGGTCATTATACCTAACTGTGATACATGCCCTGTAACGCTATCTGCCCAACAACCTGTTATCCGATGGCTGCATTTTTGATTCAATGAGGGCTTTATTACTTGAGCTGGAGCAAGAAATAAATCAATGAACTGTGCTGGAAATGCATTCCTGCTCTGATGATTGACCAACATTTGTTAATGCTGTACCTTTCTAAACGAAATTGCTAATCACTAAAAATAAGTTGCTTAAAATACACAAATGAATTTATCCTCACAAAACGCCCTTTTTGGGAATGTGGCGCTGTATATTACACACAATTTAGAATCATTGTCTTTTATAATGAATCATAAATTCTGGCCGTTCAAGTCAGCTGCTGAAAGTAGTATTGCTCGAGATTTGATTTGAATCAATCTTGAATGATCTGTGGGCTACTGTTTATAAACAAACAAAGATCAGGTAGAAAGCTTAGCTTTCATCCCCCCCAGCGTACTATTCGCAATTGCTAGGTTAATCGCTCCGCAGCATCAATCAGTTAGATTTTGTGTTTAAACAAACATCTCCCTTTGCACTTTGGTAGTTGCCATTTTTTTTAATGTCGAAGAAATCACATAGTATTACATCTTGTAGCATACCACAAAGCACACCGAGGCATTGGGCGTGCCATACATGTCCTCAGCATTACATGTTGAGCTTTTTTTTTTTGCGAATTTCCTAGAGATAAAAAAGACGGCATCTTGTTGCTTGCAAAACATACGCAGCAGCTTGGATCTTGGGCATTTTATATTTAGATTGATCATGTTTTGCTGATACATCTACGCATTTTTTTAAACTGCATAGAGATTTGTCTATTATGGTTAGCCGGATTGGTGGATCCAATATTCCTAGACGTCTGTTATACAAAGGTCAACCCAGTCCTTCTCACCAACAAAGCCACTGGAACCAGCCTTATTTAATTGAGAAAATTTTCTGCCCATCTTTTGTTTCCCTTGTGCATAACGAAAGGAGAGAACTTTGGCAATCCCCTTGAGAAGGACGGAATGAGCTTTTGCTCAAACTTACAGCACCTTGTGTGTTTGAAGGCACCGCTCTTAGGAGCATCTAGGCATATTGCCACCAATTTTTTTTTTAAATCAAATGTAAATGAAAAAAGTGGGCCAAAGGGTCGTCCATGTTGGAAGGACCTCTGGCTCTTTTTGATATGCAATGGCCATGATGGTGTATACCTGTATGCACAAATGATGGGTTTGCGCGTCGTTCAGGGGGGGGGAGGAAGTCGTTCAGTATAGTATGCTCATTAGTTGTGAATAAAACTGTTGGTTTAGTCATTTCGTATATGTAGTAAACGATGTAGTCTATTATAACTGATAGTAAATCCTACTACAGCAAGAGAGACAATATCACTTGGAGCTACATTGATATCATGTGCAAGAAATAGAGAACGTAACATACTCACTCGAAATGTCTCATTGCCATCATTGTAGCTGTCGTATATCCTCATGTGAGTATCTCCTCTTGTTGCCACATAATACGCATGGGCTACAATCCCTTCGCCTAATACACGTATTGAATAAATATTCTATCGCCCACTCAGTGCGTGCCATGCGACGCTTTTACTTGAATTGCTATACATTTATCCTGAAAGGGGCTAAAGTGGTAACATTGATAACTGAGTTATGAGGCAAAAGTCATGCTTTAAGACCATCATCTAACTTCTCACGCATTTTAGATGCAGGACAGGAATTCATTATATATAGATAGCACGTCTATCTTTATCAGCACCCTTTATCTCTTATATTTTTCTGTTTATCAATCATGAACCCCTCAGACTGGATTGACGTTACCACTGAAAAGAATCACTATTCGCTTGACCATTTTGTGATTCCTGACCATTACGACGAGGATGTTTCAAGTATCCTGATTCCTCATGGTGTTATTATGGTATGCATATCCTACCTTCCTGTGTCGTCTCCATGGGCTACTGTAATAAGAATTGAATGATTTGTTAGGACCGCATCAAGAAGTTGGCAAGAATGATTGTGGATGATTCGCCTGGACCCTTAGGTACAGTGAAAAGCTAAAGCAAAAAGTATATCTGTACTGATGCTGGGACAAGTGGTTTGTTGTGTATTGAAGGGTGGCCATCAGTATTTTGCTGATTTGGTGGATGAGATCAAAAAGCTTCGTAGAATCAACGGCACAAGCGTACAACTCTCTTTAGAGTTCATCCGAGTCAAATCTTACATGAATGACACTTCGTCTGGTGGAGTCAAGATATCGTTGACTGATGCAGAATTGCAAGAGTTCAAAGGAAAGGTAAAGAAGGCCATACTAGACAGATAAACGTTGCGTATGCTAAAATGCTGCTTGGGTAGAATCTGTTGATTGTCGAAGATATCATTGATACAGGTGCAACCATGGTCAAGTTGCTGGATAGATTAGCGCTTATTGAACCACAATCAGTGCGTGTTACCAGCCTGTTAATCAAGAAGACACCTAGAAGCAATGGCTACATTCCAGATTATGTAGGATTCGCTATTCCCGATGCATTTGTTGTAGGCTATGCTTTGGATTACAATGAATATTTCAGAGACCTTGATCATATTTGTGTGATTAGCGTAAGTTATATATAACAAGTGGTAGTATTGCATATCAGTTTATTGACAAGACGGATGGTTTACAGGAAAAGGGAAAATCAAAATACGCTATTTAGCTCATCTCACTTCTCTTCTTTGCTAATTTAGCCAACATGAGCTTATCTAATTCTTCTTGTGAAGTTCTATATCGAGCCAATAAATATACAATGCCAAACCATGCTCTTCATCAACGTACCTTTCATTCAAGCAGTTGTTCATTGCCTTTAGCTTTGTTCTGCATGTCCACATGACAGTAACATTGTGCTCTTTACTACAAGTAACAAAGTCTTTGCGGCAAGTTAGCTTGTAATATCACATGCAGTCCTTGTAAGTTTCTACCTTTGATGGGTAACTGACAGGCCTCCAGGGCCTTTGCCTTCATGTCCTTGTAGCAATTTTCTTCCTCAGCTCGTGTGAGTGCATGAAGTTCACTATCCTTTGGAATGAAGGGATTGTTCATAGTCTCTTCTTGTGTTTTGCCCATTTTTGATTCAGGTTTTAACTAGGGTAGTTTGTGTGCAGAGAGAAAAGAAAACACAAAAATCGAACATCTAGTTTGTATAGCCAACAATCGCAGTTTGGTTTCTATGAGTGACCCGGTGACTGTATTAAATCCAAAAGGTAGATGGTATGCAACCCATATGAATGTCCAATACTCCTTTCTTTTGCTCGTATCATTCATAAAGAATGATCAGAACTTTCAAAAGAAGGCATTTGAGAGGGGCTTCATCATCTAAAGCCAGATGGAAGCCATGAAATGTCTGTGCCACAGCGCAGATACAAGAGATTTGGCTATCAATATCAGCATTGATGCTTTGCAAATGCCTCATGATAGCCTGTAGATAACGACAAGGGAGATCTACTTCACTAAAATATCTATCAATCTTGACCAAATAGAACTAGAAGCTATAGTGATGTCAATTGTTGCGATATTCTTCAAATGCCAGATTCACCAGGCACACTCATGTCAGATCAGCATTTACCCAATAGGGACACCAGGTCCAAAATAGAAGCAATTGAGGGCGTTTAGAAGGACAAACTATAGTACATATGATTCCCTAACCAAGTAGGTGTGTTGCGAGTAATAGGGACAAATCAAGATACCTATTGATCTAGGATCCAGTGTCTTTGAGATAACTAAAGGTCGCCCTATTATGTACCACCTGGCAGCTCGTTTCAGTTCCATTGATTTGATCCAAAGCTACAGCCATGATAAAGCAGACAAGATGCTCAATGCTTGACCGCAGCACTGACTCCATTTGTGTAATGCAATGCCATCTATCTAATGCTTTTCAGAGTTCAACTAGACATTGGGTGACTTGAAACGGACTGGTAATTCGCATTTTTTCCTTCATCCCAAATTTGAGCATCTGAAAATTTTTTAGACTCTCTCTCTCTCTCCAAATCAAATAACTTGCACCATGAGTGATAACCCATACCTTGCTCACTTGAACGAAGACGGAAACAAAGAAAAGAATGCTTTCAGTGGCATGACTCCCAGAAAGACAACAGCAGAGCAAGCAGAGAAGCTTGAGAATGCCGAAGTCAACCCCTTCACCAACAACACCTATTCTGCCAAATATCAAAAGATCTTGCAAGGTAGAAGAAAGCTTCCTGTTCATGCTCAGCGTCAAGAGTTTTTGGATATGGTGCACAAGAACCAATTCGTTGTGCTTGTCGGTGAGACAGGTTCCGGTAAAACTACACAGTAAGTGACGAGGAGGAGGAGGAGAAGGAGGAGAAGGAGGAGGAGGAGGATGACAGCCTGAGCCTTGAGGCACTAATCAATACGCATGATAGAATTCCTCAATTTTTAGCATATGATGAGTTACCTCATCTCAAGGGAAAGATGATTGCCTGTACTCAACCTCGTCGTGTGGCTGCCATGTCTGTCGCCCAACGTGTAGCTGATGAAATGGATGTCAAATTAGGTCAAGAAGTCGGTTACAGTATTCGTTTCGAAGACAACACAAGCCCCAACACCTTCCTCAAGTACATGACTGATGGTATGCTTCTCCGTGAAGCCATGTCAGATCCACTCATGTCCAGATATTCCGCTGTCATTCTCGATGAAGCTCACGAACGTACACTCAACACTGATATTTTGATGGGTCTGTTGAAGGAAGTGTGTAGAAAGAGAAAGGACTTGCAGGTCATTGTCATGTCTGCTACTTTGGATGCCGGCAAATTTCAAAAGTACTTTGACGACGCACCCTTGTTGACTGTGCCTGGTAGAACTTTCCCTGTCGAGATCTTCTACACTCCTGAGCCTGAGCGTGATTATCTTGAGGCTGCTATCCGTACATGTCTTCAAATCCATGTCAGTGAGCCTGAAGGTGATATTTTAGTCTTCTTGACTGGTGAGGAAGAGATTGAAACTGCTTGTAGCAAAATCAAGGCTGAGGGTGATGAATTGATTCGTAGTCAAGGCGCTGGTCCTCTCAAGGTGGTGCCTCTCTACTCTTCTTTGCCTCCTCGTGCTCAACAACAAATTTTCGAAGCTGCACCTCCACCTCGCACTCCCGGCGGTACTCCTGGTCGTAAGATTGTCGTCTCTACCAATATTGCCGAAACTTCGCTTACTATTGATGGTATCGTGTATGTCATTGATCCTGGTTTCGCCAAGCAAAAAGTGTACAATCCTCGTATTCGTGTGGAATCTCTCTTGGTGTCTCCCATCTCCAAGGCCTCTGCTCAACAGCGTGCTGGTCGTGCTGGTCGTACCAGACCTGGTAAGGCTTTCCGCTTGTACACTGAAACTGCATTCAACCAAGAATTGATTGAAGCTACGTATCCTGAAATTCTCAGAAGTAACTTGGGTAGTGTGGTGCTTCAATTGAAGAAGCTCGGTATTGATGATCTTGTTCACTTTGATTTTATGGATCCTCCTGCCCCCGAAACTCTCATGCGTGCTCTTGAATTGCTGAACTATCTCGGCGGTCTTGACGACGATGGTGAACTTACTCCCACCGGTGAGCTCATGTCTGCCTTCCCTCTCGATCCTCAGTTGAGTAAGATGCTCATTGAAAGTCCCAAATACAACTGCTCCAATGAAATCCTCTCCATCGCTGCTCTACTCTCTGTTCCTCAAATTTTTACCCGTCCTAATAATGCTCGTAAGGCTGCTGATGAAGCCAAGGCACAATTTGCACATGCTGATGGTGATCATCTCACTCTCTTAAATGCTTACCACGCCTATAAAACAAGTAAGTCTATCAGCACCTGACATCATGGTATACATCGTATTAACTAACTTATTTCTTTCATCAGACAACGAAGATCAAAACTGGTGTTATGACAACTTTATGAACCACAGATCATTAAAATCCGCCGATAATGTCAGAAACCAACTGAGAAGAACCATGGAAAAATACGATCTGGACCTCGTATCAACAGACTTTGAGCATAGATCATATTACACAAACATTAGAAGAGCCATTGTTGCAGGTTATTTCATGCAAGTTGCACATCTGGAGAGATCTGGCCACTATTTAACAGTAAAGGACAACCAAATTGTGCAACTTCATCCTTCATCATGCTTAGATCACAAACCTGAATGGGTTCTGTACAACGAATTTGTGTTGACTACACGTAATTATATTAGAACATGTATCGAAGTGAGAGCTGAATGGCTGCTCGAGGTCGCTCCCAGCTACTACGATTTGTCCAACTTCCCCAACTGTCATGGTAAACGTCAACTTGAACAAATCAAGAACAGAAAGGTCAGAAACGATGATGAAAAGAAATCTTCCAGCAAAAAGAGACGCCATTGAACTTGAAGTGATCCATCATCTTTATCTATATACATATACACAGCACATCCATTTTACGTTTCCACAGCAATTTTTTTCTTTCTTTTTTTTTTCCAAGTTTAGAGCATCCCCTGGATATTTATTACATAATAAAGCTAGAAAAATGTCAATGCATTTCGCCCTTGTGGTCAAATTTATTAGCTAGCTAGATCTTTGATTGCTGAGGAAGGATGTGTATAGAAGAACGCGTGTTGTTGGGTGTCAGTTCTTCCTTCTATACCAGTATTTGTATTCAAAAGACTCTTCATTTGATCACCGTCGTTAGATAAATCAATTGTTGCTCTGTAATCAAGCTCAGGATAACTGACATCAGAACCGGTTAATACAGATCAGCTTCACTGAGCAAGCCTCCCTAGGAGTATTAACCTTCCTCTGCTTGAGTTGCGCCAGGCCTGTATTTACGTATACTGTCATCAACGTCTCTCCCATGACGATTAAAGTCGCCTTAAACTCATCAGAGACATCATAATCTCATGCTTCCACTTCTTTTTATCTTTGTGTTCAGTGCCTGAGCTAATACTGCTGCTACCAAATTCCATCGATGGGATTGGAACTATTGTGATATGTGGAAATGTCGAGTGTTTCTTGTGGCAGCTTGCAAAGCTTTTGGGATGTATATTCACATGTAATCCTACTTTAATCTCTTATCATATAAATAATCAGCTATTCTTCATCAAGGTCATGACCAGCGTAAGGTACATACAGACTTTGAAATCATCTTGCAAACTAATAAGCGTCATCTTTATTTCACATATTTTCTTGTGTGTTAGTTTATAGCAATCCATCCAATACTTAGTATATACAAAATAATAATGGAATAATGGAATCACTGGCAGCTACTAAACTGCTGCCAGATAACAAAAGATATAACCCTAACAATAAATAGAGACGTGGAATATACATTTTATTGCACATTCTTATTCTAGCTTAGAATAAAGAAGGATATTATTAACTGTATTCTATCTGCTCTTTAACCCCTTTTTACTGCAAGTGATTTTAGAAATTGGTCGATTTTCAGCGGAAGCTGCTACTATAGTAAAAGTTTTTAAATTACTATATATATATATATATATGGGCTACATGTATAGTAAAAAATGTAGAGGGCACTTTGATTAATTAGGGTATGTTATATTTGGGCTTGTTGGGAACGATGTCGATGAGTAATAAGAAACGACAGTGCAAACGAACAATTTTCAAAGAGCCGTACCGCTGGATTTTACAAAGTGAACAGGAGCGTCAAGCTTAATAGCTTCTGTGTATTTTTCAATTCTCTATACGATGGTATGGTTTTTATTAACTCATTTTTTGAGTTTTGAAAATCCTCTGCTTGTTGTAGGTCATAGATATAAGACTTTGAGCGAATTCATAAGGGGAAGATACAACTAGTACTTAAGATTTTTATATTATAATGGATATAACGTAGAGCTATCGAACTGTTTTTGCTTTGTGCGAATCCAGTGAGTATTTGTCGAGATATGGTCAAAAAAGAGTAACATGCAAAATCATCGATTTTTCTTCGAAATCTGCCTGCGATAGCAAGCGAAAAATCTGGTGACGTTTTTTTGGTCAGGACAATATTGTCAATATTTCATGATAGAGTTATGCCAGAGCTTCAAGCAATAGCTCATTCGATAGAAAATGTTTTGATCTACAATGTTTAGTAATGCTTAACAAAATGTTTTGATGACAGATACTGATTAGCATTTTGAAAACAGTCAAAAAATGGCAAAAACTATCGTATCAAATATCAGGTGAACAATGTACACCAGAGACTTGAAACAAACACCATTGTATTTTCCTTTAAATTTTCTACAAGCTTTATACAAGCTTAAAGGAGGCGTTTACTATCAAAAAAAAACACATAATGTTAAGGTCGATAGATTTAAGAAACTCATAGATCCTCATTCAGGACAAGAGAAATTGAATCTCCGTTTAACCTACGCATGTGTACACTACACAAGTATGCATTTGACCAAGCATTTTAAAAATCGGAGCGTACGAAAAGGGCTATATTAACTTGCTGGTTTCAAGTTATCAATAGATACTTGACATGCTGAAGGATCTTTTTATCAAGACTAGGCAACTGTAGCTTGCTTTATCTAAGAATAATAACTTTTCCAATTTAAAGTATGCATATTCTCCCCGCTCAACAATCCCTCTCCAATGTCAATTATCTCATTCAACTTGGTTTAGTATTTAAGGTGGTATTTATGCTAATTTAATGTCGACAAAGTAAACCAAAATCCGGAATCATGCAGGCTGACTTTACGATTTGATCTATTGCCAATAAGATAAATGCCAGAAGCTCGCTCGATTAGATTCAGGTACTCTATCGCTTGATTTTAATGTTCTATTCCTTGGTTTTGTTGCTCTCTGGTGTCTCTAGTGCTCTTCTCGATGATTTTAGCCATTTGGTTTGTATTACGTTTTTTCTGGCGATATTGCATTCATGCCTGCTTTGTTGCGTTTTTTTGTTACAATGAAGGCCTATCATATGGTCAGCTCAAGTAATACATGCCATGTAAATTAGCCTCGCTTTCTAGGCACACGTTCAGAAAGCAGGCAAATGATTAATAACCAGGCTTATTTGTGCCTTGTGTGTTATCAAGCATGGTATAATGCAAACGTTTCGTTGTATAGCCAGTTTGGAAGGTGTGTCTCCTGTCTCGTAAATAGTGGCAGTTAATCTACAACTTTAGTTGAGTTTTATATTGAAGATTTGCTTCTTTTGGGACTTTCAATTTCGACAGGGAAAAATCTTTTCTGGCTATATTCATGTTTGAAAAGAAAAAAGTTTAATTCAACTCTTTTGTTCAAATCATCTCGTCTTTTTCTCGGAGCAACACGGCTAGCGTTTCTTTCTAGAGGATATAAAAAAGAGAGGAATTCATCAACTATATTAACAAAGAAGAGGATGCAGGCATCCATAGATAGTCTTGATACCATGGTCGTCAATGTTGACACGGCAGCAACACCATCTTTACATACACTACCACCACAAGAGGAAGAAGACAGTGTCAGCCAGCCAATGACTAACACACCTGCACCCGATGAGTCTATTAATGCATTGACTATTCCTTATATGTTGGATATCCAGCAGGAAGACAACCTCTCTATCGATGTAATCAAGCTCTACCAAGTAGGTGTTCCTAGCCAGCCTATACAATCACCATCCCAATTCACCTTGATATTTGTTGTGTAGGACTTGTTACCGAGCAAAGACAGCTACGACAAACGAGTCAAGTTTGTCAATTTGATGGAGCGTTTACTGAATGCTGAGTGGCCCGATCATGATATCAAAGCCAATGTTTTTGGGTATGACAGGACAGAGCTCTTTTATGCGAATCATAGGCCAAGACTAACGAGAATTCACATTGCAACACATTAGATCATCAGTCAACGATCTTGGAACGAGCTCTTCCGACGTGGATTTGTGTATCACAACAGTGTGGAATGGTTTACGAAACGTGCGAGTGCTAGCAAAGTTGTTTCGAAAATGTAATTTGCGCATGACTCTTTATTGGATTGTTTGTCACTCATTTGATTTCATAGGTGGTATGCAGCATGTCGTGTGTGTTCCTCGAGCCAAAGTGCCCATTGTGCGGTTGTTTGATCCAGAACTGTAGGTGCTTCAAGCGCAGATTGATGATGATCTTACTAACCTGCTCCCTTACAGACAACTTTCGTGCGACATCAATGTGAACAACACCATAGCCCTTCAAAACACAAAAATGATTAAAATCTACGTTGCACTAGACTCACGTGTAAGACCACTGATCATGACAATCAAACATTGGACAAAGCAGCGATCGTTGAATGATGCAGGTAAGCAAAGCAAGCGCGTGTGTGTGTGTGTGTGTGTGTGTGTGTGTGTGTGTGTGTGTGTGTGTGTGTGTGTGTAATATGCAAATTGTAACAATGTGCTTTAGCCAACGGTGGTACCTTATCCTCGTATACCTGGACTTGCATGATTATCAACTTTTTACAGCAACGACAACCGCCTATTCTCCCAGTATTGCACAAGATTGAAAGTGAAGGCAAAGACGAAGATTACTTTTACGACGATATAGACAAGTTGAAGGATTTTGGATTGGCCAACAAGGAAAGCTTAGGAGGATTGCTGTTTGCATTTTTTCGTCGATTTGCTATCGAGTTTGATTATGACAATCAGGTCGTTTCAGTGCGACAAGGCCGCTACTTGACAAAAAAGGAAAAGGGGTGGGATACTGGTAGAAACAAGATGAGCTTATGCGTAGAGGAGCCGTTCAATGTGGGTCGCAATCTAGGGAATTCAGCCGATATTGCCTCTGTGCACGGATTGAGATGTGAATTTCAACGATTTTTGGATTTGCTGATAGCTGGTGATGATTTGGAATTCATCTGTAGTTTATATCAACCTCTGCTGACTAACAGCACTGAAATACCCTCCACCTCTTCGACAGCGCCGAGCCATGATAGCAGCGTATTGTCACTCACATTGCCAGCTGAAAATCGCACACCCTCCTTTTTTTTGCCGATACACCCTTACACCCATTATGCAACTTCAGTGCCCACCACACACCCCTATGATAGACGAAGAAGCATGGTGGATGGCATCTGCTCATATCCATCTTCAATCTTATCTGATCCCTATTCGAATGCTCACTTTCCTTCATATACTTACCGTGCCCCTCCCATATCAAAACCATCTCAATTATCTTCCAATACGTTTCACCCTCGTTTCAGTTCATCACAAGCGTTAGATTCCATTCTTAAAGTGAGAAATACAAGACATGGAAGCCATCCATTGCCGCCGGTGCCTTCCACGCTGCTGTCTATGCTAAACATCTCGGCGAACCATGGCACAGATCAATCTGTAGACAAGATCTTTGCTCGTTATCAGAGAAAACAACAAACACCACCACCTCCACAGCAACAGCACTATCCACAGCAACAACAGCGTCATTCGCATGCTTCATCTCACCATGCAAATAACGAAGGAAAAGGCGCTAAAAAGGCCAATGGCAACTCGCATCGACGAAAGAACCAAGGCGGTAACAGCAGCAACACGCATGCTGGCAATTTGAATCATCATCATCACCATCATCATCATCACAAGGAGGACAATAAGAAGCCACAACGTAGATCTAGTGGGATGGAATGGCCAACGATATCGACCAGTATATCAACGCCTGGCACGTCTGCACCTGCTGATGATGTACCAAGGCCATCTTGGTCCAGTGAGCATCCACAGCGATCCAGACGATGGTCCACCACCAAGAAACAGCTGCAACAAGCAGAGACAGCTGCCAGTGCATCAGAACCCAAGAAGAAAACATTGGCAGAGATTGTCAAAGTGCATACACCTCTTCCACCACCACCTGCAAAACCAAAACCGCAATCACCTGCTCCAAGCATGAGTACATCTAGCAATAAAAGCAATGGCAAAAGTAATAGACGAAGAGGAGGAGGAGGAGGAGGAGGTAACAACACTAATGGTAAATCTAATTCCCAGCAACAACAGCAACAACAAAACAAACAAAAAAAGAAGAATATCAAGCCTCGTTCGTAAGGATGATTGTACATAGAAGAGATTATATATAAATACACAAACAATTGATTTACTTCATTTTGGATAAAAATGTAACAGCAATTTGCATAAAATTAGAACTACTTGTACTCTGTCTTGCATATCCACTATTGAAGGGCATGGTATCCATTTACTGAAAGCTCTGATAGCACTAGGTAGTGATGAGCATTCCGATCGTAATGAAGATTGCTGTATTTTAAGTGTCTTACTATTGATTACTGCCATTCATTCTTGTATGCTCAATTTCTTTGAAAATTTATGAATATATGTAAATGCTGCGTACAGAGATGCACAGCATGTCTAACTTTAGCTCGCTTAAATCCACTTTGATGCGAAAATTATACAGAGCATATCCACATTTTTTCGACTACAGCAGTATAGCCAGCATTTTTCAAATAGGGTGTAACATCCAGAACGTAGGCCTCCTTTTTCACTATAGAAATTTAATTCTTTCAGCAGCACGCTTCAAAAGCATTTATTATTATTATTGTATTGCCTTCATGATGATGAAAAGGGCGTTGAGTTTGCCAGCCGGCCCCACCAGCCGCCAGAATTAACTTCAACTCAGACTCTTATTAGTCTACTCCAGATTGACCATATTTTGATAGTTTTTCGACTTGATTGATCTATTTTGCCAAACTCGACTATAAGAATTTGCTAATCATCCTATGCTTCTTTAAGCTTTCTTGGAGTGCTTTTCAAGGCGCATCCAATGGTACCTAGTAAGGTAACTGTTTTAAATAAACTTATTGAACAATTTGTGAAAATATGAAAAGAGGTTTCTGGCCAAAAAGTCAACATTTTACATATCGAGGTCCCACAAAGATGATTTCAGGGGTTACTAGATCGATAGAAACATTTTGATTTAATACATACCATAGTAAAAGTCTTTGTTATCAAGGTCAAAAACGCGATTGTTCGATGTTCGATGAAAACCATGAGGGGTATATCATGCTTTTTGGTCGAATTTTGCCCATATTTTTCAGGCCCCAAAAAAGTTGAGCAAAGGTATCAGAAGGTAGCTGCCGGGTCAGAGCAATTATTTTGTGCTATTCCTGCGGCCTAACACAGCTTTTGAAATGAAAAAACACGGCTCAAACGCACCCAAATTTTACTTTAGTCTGCCTAGTTTTGAGTAGTAAAAGGCAATAATGCTATGACGTTGGCCCGTATATGCTTTTTTCTCATTGATACAAACGTGGCGCATCGTTGTATGACCTTGTCGTCAATAGTGGTAAAAGATCTCTGCATAGAAGTTGATGCAAAAAAAGCACGGCTTGTCTTTTTTTTTTTTTTTTTTTTCTCGCCCACCAAAACCATGGTGAGGAGGGAATTCCCACTCAAAGTGACGGCTGATTCAAGTTCCTTGCGGATGATACTTGTAGCTATGGATGCAGTATAATTGATTCAAACAATCAGATGATAGCAAATATTAATAGATCAAGGGCCAAATCCATTGATGGCATCATGGCAAAACTCCGTGTGATTAGGATTGCGCTGTTGCAAGTATACAGCATGATACTTGTACTCTAGCGAGAATACACCATGCAGTAAATCACCGAGTAAAAGAAACCTTCTTTTACTCTAGCCATTTGTTTATTCTCGTTCATGTAAGGTACAATGTCGAGTAGCACAATTCATGTTTCCGTTTCAAAATGAACAATCAAAGTGACTAGTTTAAAAAAAAAAAAAAAAACGCTTTGGTGGGCTCGCAAAGGGAAATGAAGGCAGAAAAAAAAAAAGCCAACAATGCCAGAATTCTATTCTCTCTCTTTCCTCTGTTTTATTTACAACAACAAAAAAAAAAACATTCTGGTGGTGGTGTACAGAATGACAAACGCACTTGACCTAGAACCACCCGCAGACAACCGCAAGCGATGTCGACCAAATGACGATGAGGAGTCCATCAGCGAAGAAGACATCAATGCGATTGTCACTATTCTGGGAAATCAATTGCTCATTGTTAAAAAATCTATCATGACAGAAAAAGGTAAAGCTGCACTGTCATTCACAACAGACAAGTAGGCTCACTCTGCTCATGATAGAATCGTATACACCATCTGCTGCTGTCACTTTTTTGCTCCGTAGAATGGATGTAGTGGATCCGCAGGATGCAAGATCCACAGAGATCTACTGCTTGATGACAGCTTTCATGACAGTCTATTTATGCTTTATTCGAGTGCTGATCCAACAGCCCGATTTCGGCCGTTTCATGCAACTGTTCAACGACCACGACTCGCTACTGAATCAAGAGACACAGCCTTTTTTGTGGTTTTATGCAGTGCACCACATGTCAATCGTGGATGATCTGGATAAACAATTATCAACGTCAACAAAACATGGTGCCATGGCACACATCGACTCCATCTTCTCCAAATTCTATACGCAGTATTTTCTAGAAATGTCAGCAGCCAAGCACCAAAAGGACCATGGACAATATTACACACCTCGCTCTGTGTTGCGCTTCATGTGGGATCGATGCGCCACTGTATCGCAATTGATTCAGTTACTGCAACGCCAACAAACAGGCATGTGCCGTGTATTTGATCCCTGTCTAGGCATCGGCTCTTTTCTGTGCGAATTCCTGACGCGATTCATCAAAGCATGTCGATTCACTGTATGGGGCGATCCTCAACGACTGACACAATTGTTACTGCAAGATATCCCTGACCATATATTCGGCATTGAGATTGACCCCTTTGCCTACCAACTCTGCAAAATGAATATGATGGTGCACTTGTATCCCTTGTATCAGCGCTTGTGCGAACTGGGTATACAGCTACCACCGCAATCTGTTCACCGTTTAAGGTTATTTTGCAATGACACCTTGAAGCTCAACGTGGAATCCAATCCTTTTTGGAATACCGAAACCGCAGATCAGTTTGAGAAGTATTGGCTGGATCAATTGCGTGACACTTGTAAATTAAAATTTGATTTTATCGTAACGAATCCACCTTACATGATTCGAAAAACGGGTTTTATCACTCAACCAGATCCAGCCATTTACGACGAGTCGAGACTAGGAGGCGCCAAACTCTCTCAAGCCTATTTGTACTTTATGTGGATTGCTTTACAGCGGTGTGACGACACACATGGGCAAGTGTGTTTAATCACGCCTAGTCAATGGGTGGTGCTGGAATTTGCAGAGCAGCTAAGGTAGTATACACGCATTACTAGTTCAATCAGTGATATTGACCTAAAGACAGATCCTGGATCTGGGATCACTGCAAACTACTCGACATTTACGAATTCGAGCCCTTCAAAGTGTGGCCCAAAGTACAAACCGATTCGCTCATTTTTCGCCTATGCAAACGCACAAGCTCCCTACCCAGCTCCAATCATACCTTATACCTTCGCCATGTCGGCAAAAACATGTCCCTAATGCATCTATTAGACATCTATCACAACTTTAGACCCGATCAGAAGCAATCCCATACAGACAGCTCACTCAAATACAAGCATACACCGCTAACAGAGCACAACAGACAACTCAAGACAAAGCATTCCTCATTTTCTTTCCTATTGCCATCCGTGTCCTTTTTGGATCAACTGGAAAGCATGACACAACATCTGGGACGCATTTGCGATATTGATCCAGCAGCCAAGGTAACTACTGCAGCACCTTTAATATGGAATCGAGGGCCCAATACAAATCCAGTGTATTCACTCGTTGTGCGTACAGCGTGGGCAAGAGAAACATTTGGCAAGGAAACATGCGATCGATGGTTGAAGCCTTGCTTTTACTGGAACGGCAAAACCATCTCATCAGCAACAGGGGGTGGCAAAGAAGGCGAATTTTGGAGACACAGAGACCCTTTACGGCTAGGAAAAAAGGAGACATCCGCCGCTGAAGCATACACGCCGTATTATGGTGTGGACGTGCCATGTTACTCTATGATTTTGGTAAACAAAGAAGACGTAGACAAGTTGAAAGAGGATTTCAATAACAAGGGCCCTTGGTCTGCTTTGTATCTCTATCTGCGCGATGCGCGTGTTGCTCTGCAAGCAGACAAGAAGGAGGAAGACATTGCCAACTGTCAGTACAACAAGTGCGGTTTAGTGCCTGTCAAGATGATACATCCCATCAACTGTGGCTACTTTACACGATCTCAACCACGACCACGCTTCTTTATCGATAGACACGAGATGACAGTGACAAACCAGTGCATCTACTTTACCATCAAATCCGATTACCCCTGGCAGGATCCAGATTACTATTGCGGCTTACTGAACAGTACGTTGATCATGTTTTTCATCAAATTGCACTGCAGTTATGATCAGCAAGGCCGTATGCGGTTTTTTGGAAGACTGATGGCTTACGTTCCATTTGCACCACCCCCGACACTGGAATTCATGCAACAAGTAGCTACGTTGGTCCAGGGAGTGACACTGGCAAGGTCGTGCTTGTATCCCTTCTTACATTACTGCAAAGGTGGTCAGCGACTGCTAGAACGCGTGCGCAATTTTGAATGGCATCTCACGCCTGTAGAGGCTGGCATTGTGCGTCACTTTGAGCCACCTGCCGATTGGAAAGAAGGCATTTCCACCAACACGGCAGAACTCCACTGGATGATTGACCTCATACACACAGTGAACAAGGACAATGCGCACGATACTTTGGTTGTTCTCTTGAAACTGAATTCACTGTTCCAACTAGCCATAGACCAAATGATCTACCACCTGTACCGCATCCCACAAGCACTTCAACTCGAAATAGAACACGATCTCAAACTAGACAATCTTCGCCAAGAATGGCCCAACTTTAGCCTACACATACCAAGCGAAGCGGAGGGCACAGCAAACATATTAGAATGGTATCAGTCAATACTGTCAAGGGCTAAATCGTTTATTGATTTCTCAAATAAATAAAAACTGTACATACTAATACGCTCTGCATCACGAATACGATGGAGGTGGGGGGGTTAATGTAGGACGGTCTATGTAGTTCAAATGCTGGGCTGTAGGATGCTCGTCATCAAACAGCACATCGTCTGTGTGTCCGCCGTAAGCAGGTGGAGGTGCTGATGTACGTCTTGGTGCAAACGCTGCTTCTCTTTGGTTTGCAGCACCAAACAAAAAGTCCTCATGTCCAAAGTTGACAGAGACATTGCAAGGCCCTATGGATCCAATAACGGGATGCACGGGATACTTGAATCCAATCGATGCTTTTCCAAGATTCTGTCCATTGCGAGTGAAGAATACAGTACCACTTTGGTACAAGTAACCTACACCAACAACATCGCCTTCCTTCACAGCAGGTCCATACGACCTGCCAAAGGACGGATCACTGGCAAACACGGTGCCTGAATTGGAGTGATAAGCGATCGAATGTCGGTGCCATCCTGGTATTCTCCAGCGAGGATAGGGTTTGGTGGCAAATCCAATAGCCAGTGTATCTTGATCGCTCAATTGCAGCACTTTGACTTCCCAATAACTGAATTCTTGCATGGGCACAGGTAGATTGGCCATGATGCTGCCTTGTCCCTGACAAAATACGATACTGGAGGGATCGTCCATGATGGCTGCATTACTTTCTTCTTCGGAATCAGCGGTGGTAGGTGTTTCAATGAATCTCCAAGCTAAAACCCCTTTATCAATGACTTCAGGTTGCTTTGTTACGTCTATATAGTGTGTTGTATTGGGAGGGTATTTGGATTGCCATTCTATAGAGTAGCGAGCATCAAGTTAAAAAATTTTCTCTCCCCAGACATCATGGATGGAATAGTTACTATATACAGCTTGCAATGTTCGATCATCCACTACTCTATCGACAGCAACAGATTGTAATGGCTGCCAATCATTGCGCGCCAATGTAGACAGTGGCTCTTGATCACCTTTAGATTTCATACGCCTTAAAATACGAAGACCGAGACATGCTGATAATGAAAGAAAAGCAACGAGACAGACGATAATGACGGCATAAAATCCCTCTGTTCCTGCTACCATGGTGTCGCTTGATGTCTACTTGTGTTGATTGGTATATAGGTTGGATCACAAGCTTATATCTTTTTTGCGTTTGGTATTAGACGACGACAAGTTGTGTTGTAAAAAGAAAGAAAGAAAGAAAGAAAAAAAAAAAAGGAAATACAGTGATGTGCAATGTAATTATAAAGGGTTTAGTTGTGGTGTTACAGCCAAATGATATATCTTGCAATTTGTTTTAGGTCCCAGCTTTGATATTCCCCTATAGTGTTCTATCCTCCCCTTCAAAGTCTCTGTAAATTAACCTCGAAAGGAAAATATCTTCTTTTTCAGCGGTAATCGCCTTGTCGTACACGTTCATTAGATTGATTTTCCATCATCTTTTTTGATGTCATTGAAATGGAATTGGTAGAGTCGATCAGTTGTGTTGTCACGTTCCATGTTGATCAACATCTAGATTCTGTCATCAGAAATGCGACGCCACATTGCTTTTTCTGTACAATTTTAGTATCTAGATTATTTCTGTCCAACATTATTGATAATACCATATCATGCTTACAAACATCTTTATAATGGAGATGTTGCTTCAGTGCTGTTTCCATCCACTCGAATGATCGTAATGTGATGTTGCCTAGCAACAAAGTAGTCTGCTTTGGCGGCTCGGAATATTAAGCTGGATGTAGCTAGTGTCCAGGCACCTGATTTGATTCGCCTGGCAAGCAGGGCCAGAAATAGAAGCTTTCTGGACTTAGAACGACAGCTTAGTCTGACCGTTCGTGACAAGGATCATTTTATGAATCAGACAGACATCAATGCATAATGATACCGATCTCAAGCCATATCTATTCAATTATGATTATCCTTCCATCTTTCACCGAGAAAATGTCAAATCACGATCTAAAGCAATGCCTGTTTAGGGTTATCCATATGATTGATAAGAAAGAGAGAAAACAGAAAGCGTCTAAAAAAGGCAGTGATATAAAATTAGCCTGATAGATGTCGATCCTTTAGTGGGTTGCTATATTTATTTTATCATCTCAACCAATGACAACCTATTGAAACACAGTTTTTATTAGCTTTTGTTTTTGGGCACCTCGTTTCTTTTTTCTCTTTCTTTCTTTCTTCTTTCTCTTGTCTGTTTTGTTCAATATCCATCTCAAAAAAGTAGCAGCACATACACACCTCGACAAAAAATGGCGACAACAGTGCAACAATGTATGGATTCTTCCATGGTTTGGTTGGCCATGTACTTTTTCTTGAATCTTGGCCTCACGCTCTACAACAAGGTCATCATGGCCATGTTCCAATTTCCCTTTCCTTGGGCTTTAACAGCAATTCATACTCTTTGCGGTACCATTGGTTCTTATATTTTCTGGAAAGCTGGTATTTTTAAACCTGCAAAACTGGGCGAAAGAGAGAATATGGTCATGCTGATGTTCTCAGTATTGTATACGATCAATATTGCTATTAGCAATGTTTCTCTGTAAGTAAATTTGAATGGTAATTTGCTTTTGGAGAGGTTTCTCATTTATTTATTTTTATTTCCCTTGCAGTAATCTAGTAACTGTACCTGTAAGTACCATGCTCATGTAAAAAAAAAAAAAAAAAAAAAAAAAAAAAAAAAAAAAGGGTCGAGATGTGAGATGTAACAAACATGAAATGGTAGTTTCATCAAGTGGTTAGAGCAATGACACCCGTGTTTACAGTCATGTTGAACGTTCTATTCTTGAAAAAAACATATTCTGGTATGGTTTATACATCACTTGTACCTGTAAGTATGGTTCTTTAAGGAGATATGGCAAGAAAGACAGAGAGAGAGAGAGAGTGTGTGTGTGTGGCTGTGATGGCGAGGATGAGCAAACAAACGCTGACAAAACCCCCTACTAGGTGATTGCTGGTGTCGCATTTGCTACTTTTGGAGACTACAACTATACTGCCATGGGTTTTATATTAACAGTGTTGGGTACAGTGTTGGCAGCCATCAAAACCGTGGTTACAAATCGTGTTCAAGTTGGACGTCTCAAGCTTCACCCATTGGATTTATTATTGCGCATGTCTCCTTTGGCTTTCATTCAAACCATGCTCTATTCATACGCCACTGGTGAAATGGAACTCGTGCAAGAGTATTTTCAAACAAAACTTACAACAACCGCTTTCTTTGCTTTATTGCTGAATGGTGTTATCGCTTTCTTTTTAAATGTCGTGAGTTTCACTGCCAACAAAAAGACATCTGCTTTGACCATGACAGTTGCAGGTAAGTGGAAGAACGGTGTTGGTGTGTAGGACGTGACGGGAGCATAACATTAACATGTCTTGTGTGTGTGTGTGTGTGTGTGTGCTTATGTAGGTAATGTGAAGCAAGTGCTCTCCATTGTTTTAGCAGTAATTATTTTCGATCTGAGTATTACAGCAACAAATGGATTGGGTATCGTATTGACATTGGCTGGTGGTGCTTGGTACAGGTAATTATCTGAAGACATGCGGATGGATAGTGGGAGGAAGTATATTAATTCTTTGCTAGTAATGTGCAATTAAATGAAAGCCGCAAAAAGGCCAAGCTGCTGGGTGGCGATTCTTTGTTGGGTATGAACGACAAAAATGAGAGTGAACTTTCCAATATCAAGACACACAAATAAGTCGACCTCCTCAACTATACAACATTTACACAATTACACATAAATGGATTCCCCACATACACTCAACTGTTTTTTTTTTTCGCTACCTTCTTTTATACGATGATATATAAATATATTCCCTGATAAATACACTCCTCCTCAACCCCTCTTCTCTACCACACGAATTTGACACATCATCACACAAACCACGCACAAATAAATCGTACCATATTCAAGCAAGCATGAAATTTTATCTAGTTTTCGTAGATCCATTGTTGGTAAGTACGCGTATTTTCGTATTCAGGGATCCCCTTTGGAAACCACAACTTGATTTCGCGTTCTGCAGATGCAATGGAGTCTGAGCCATGACAAATGTTACGGCCTACGTCGATACCGAAATCACCACGAATTGTACCAGGAGCAGAGGCTAAAGGATTGGTCTCGCCGAGCCTATAAACAGATACAGACAGATACATACAGTGTGCTGATGATGAGCCATAGATAGCTTACATTCTTCTACCCGTCTTGATAACATCTTTACCAGCCCACGCCATGCCAACAACAGGACCAGAATGCATAAAATCAATGATGCCCTTGAAAAAGGGGTTTATCGTTGAGGTCTCTGTCGTGTTCCTCCAATTGTTCTCGAGCCGGATGCATCATCTCCATTGCTATCAATTGGTAGCCACGTCTTTCAAAGCGCTGAATGATTTCTCCAATGAGTCCATGCTGGACACCTGTTACATGCATTGCATTTGAGTTTCAACGCATTCCAAAAAAAAAAAGCCAAGTCCGTGCAACTACTCCCCATCAGGCTTGACCATAATATAGGTACGCTCCCTTTCGTAAATGATGAGTATATATGAGAAGAGAAACAAAATCTTCTTGTGATGGGATGATTACGCGCCGACTGTTCAACAATGAGCAAAGGTTTCATTGTCCTGAGATTCAATCAATGGTGCTCAATCTGACATGATTTGATGTCAAACTTTAGAAGTTTCAATACCAGGGTATATAGATCTTGAGCTACTTTTATGGGCTTATTGTTTAGAATGGAGCTATTCCAACATGAACGATAACATGTACTAGGTTTATTTTGAGCATCATATTCAATTACGAATGAGGCACTCGATACAATAAAATTCTTACCTTTACATGAGTAATCTGTATCCCAATTTCGCTGTACTTTGCATACATTTGAAGGGAAGAGGTGATGCAAGTATACCGTGTACCTGGACTATACATATTTAATAAAAATTTTGCGTTTTTCAGTAGTATACACACCTGAATGAGCAATAAGCAGCAATTTACAAGCATCAATTGTCGCCATGATATGGATGGCACTACACTTTGCCAATCAAGCCCTCCAATTCATTCTCTGCTTTTTTTTTTTTTTTTGTAGGGGAGTTGTACTCCATTTTTTATTTAAAGTCCTCTAAATGTCATGATGAGGGAAGAAGAAGACTGGATATATTTTTAAAGGCAAGGAAATGAAAGGGAAGCAAGGAAGTGGAATACGACCATAAAATACGTGGGGGTACATACTTACAAATCAAACTGTAATTCCGATTCCAAGCGAGACAGAGAACGGGCAATAGATGTGTTAACGTTGAGAGTGACAAAAGGGACATGGTCGAAGATGGAGCGCCAGTGGGCTTGCCATATACAGAGTAGACTGGTAGCGAAAACTTGGTAAACGGTAAGCTCTGGAAAAGGTAAGGAGGCAGAGCGAGTGGGTTCAGCTATGGATAGAGTTTGAATGCCGTGGAGGAATGGGAGAAGGACGTCGTCGGTCATCGGTGTGTGGGATAGGTATGTAGTGGCGAGGAACCGCCATACAGCGAGTTTGAGAGGACAAGTAAAGAAGAAATGTTGGATATCCTCCGGGCTCTGGGTCAAACAGAGAGGACACGAAGGTGAAGGGTGAGTTGTGGGGATGAAGTGGTGGAGGATCGATTTGGAGGGAATTTTTCGATGGATAAGTCTATACCATACAGTTCGGGATTGAAGGAGAATAGGTAGTTTCCAAAAGAGGCGCCATTGGGAGGGGGAAAGAGGTGAAGTGTTGATGGTGGGCATGTCAGTGGAAACCAAGTGTTTGTAGTATTGAATACTGTTGAGTGGCACTGTTGAAGGTAGTGGTGTTATAGGTTTGATTAGACGGCGAATGAGTGGGCGGATGTTGTGGGGGTTGGCACCAAAGGAGGCACTGGTAAATGAATGGCGAGGGGCCTGACGGCAGAGAGCGAGAAAGAATGGTTGGAGGTAGATTTGGCCTTCCTCAATCCAACGGGCAACTCGATGAGATATTCTTGGATAATGGCAAAACTCAAGGAAGGTCCAGTTTCTAAGACGGATCACTTGTAAGTCGAAGTCAAAGGTAAACACATCTATTGCGAGCAGTTTCTGGACGGCGTGATGTCGGTCAAACAGTTGATCTGGAGCTGTGAAAGAAGAGAAATGGGGGTGAGTAGAAGGGAGGGTATGTAAGATAATTTCAAGGAAAGGTAATGATAAACCTGTATGAAAATCTAAGTGACAGGTTGTGAAGGAACGAGGTATTCGATCCATGGTGGTAATGACATTGGTGAGTATGTTAAGGAAAGCTTGGTGTGGACTGGGTCGATGTTGGAACCAGATGGTTTGTCGAGCAGCAGGAAAGAGTAAGTAGTAAAAGTAATCAGAGAAAGCGGTAGAGTGGAAATACCATTGCAGGGAGTACTGGAGGAGTGGAATGCTTGGGGTGGTGTATGTCGGTAATAGTGGTGAATGACAGGCGGCTAAAATGAGGGGGCAAATCCAGCGCCATTGGAGAGCTTGTTGTTGGACAATGGGATCTAAAACTTGGAGGCCGCCATGATGGCGAGGCTGTTGAAGGGTTCTAAAGGAAAGTTTGGGGAAGATACGAAAGTTAATGAAGGAGGACCCAAGGCTGCGTAAGGAGAGTAATTGAGCTTTGGTGAAAATAAAGTTGCGCATGACATGCCAGAGTTTCGAGAAAATGAGTGTGTTGAGAACGGTAGCTCTTCCACGAATGGAGAGGTTCCGTTGGGAGTGAATATGGATGCATTGTTGGATATTGTTGTAGAGTTGCTGGAAAGCGAGGTTGCGTTGGGATAAACTGGAGCATATGGGATAGCCAAGATATGTTACTGGATCAGGAGAGGTGCGGTCATGCATTTGGTGGATTTGGTGAGTAGCAAGAAACTCGCGCCAATCTGGTTGTGGTTGTCCAGAGAGCGAAATGGCTATAGTTTTTCTGTAATTTAGTAGTGCATTCGATGCTTTCATGTATGCATTGATAGAGTCCTGCAGAAGAAGAAAATCCGAAAAGTTCTTCAAATAGACTAATGTGTCATCTGCATAGGCTAGAATTTTGTACTTAATTGGATTGCGATGGGTGGGAGAGACTGAAGGAGTGTTGCGAGGGGAGTCTGGCGGAGGGGATGAGTTGGTGAGGCTTTCGGTTAGATCGTCCACGTCGGCAGTAGGTGATGGATGTGGTGGGGCTTCTTGTTGTACATGGAAACCCTCAAAGGTAGGGTTCTGTTGAATGGAGCGGAGGAAAGGGTCAAAAGCAATGTTGAAAAGGAGGGGACTGAGTGGATCACCTTGGCGAAGGCCTCTTTCTTGAGGGAGAGGTGCCTTGGTGATGTGGCCATTAATGTTGATCTGAATGTTAGTGGAGAAGAAAAGTGAGATGATACAGTGTGTTAAAGATTGTGGAATACCAAATTGGAGCATAATGTGTTGAAGATATTCGGGATGAATACGATCATATGCTTTTTCTTGATCCAAAAGAAGAGCAATGGTGGATGAATGGTTGGTAGTAGCTAGGAGTTTGGTGGTCTGTAATGTGAAGCCGTGCTCGCCAATGAAGCGGTTCGGCATGAATCCAAGTTGTTGGGGGCTGATTAATTGTTGCATATGTGGCATCAGACGCTGATTGAGCAGGCGTGTGAAGATTTTAGCATCGCAGTTGATTAACGAGATGGGACGAAAATTCCTCAGGTCTGTGAGATCGCCCTTTTTAGGGAGCAGGCACATGCAAGTAGTGAGCCAGCTGTTGGGAAAGATACCGAGGGTAAGAGCCTCCTTGAAGACGGCATGGGCAAGTTGGGCTGTTTGTTGGTGGGATAATAGCACCGCTAGGATTTCATAGGGTAGGCCATCCGTACCTGGGCTGCTATGGTTGGGCGACCGCTGGGCACCAGTCATAATCTCGTCGATGGTAAATGGCGTCTCCAAGGTGGGTTGGCTGTTTACTGGGATCTGTGCTGAGGCAGGGATGGTGTTGCAGAGTTCAGAGATGCTGGTATAATCTATGGAGTCAGTAGTATATAGCTTACGATAAAAACATACTGCAGCATCCTGCATAGTCTCTGCCGTATCGCAGATGGAGTGGGTGTCTGGATGTTGGAGAGCTAACATGGTGCGTTGAATTTGTCTAGTGGCGATTGTGCGTTTGAGGTATCCGGCAGACGTTTCACCCTGTTCACGCCACATTTTACCCGCACGAATGGTTTGTTGGATGGAGATCTCCTGTTGCAGATCGCTGATGAGTTTCTCGATAACGGGTAATCGTTCTCGGAGAATGGCTGGTTGATTCTGATATCGTTTGAACAACTGGTTGCGTTTCCTTTGAAACCTTTTGAGCTGTCGGTTGCGCCAAGAGCTGTGGCGGCGACCAATGCGACGGGCAATGGTTTTCACTACGGCCTTGAGTGCATCCCATTGTGCTTGAGGGGAAGTACCTGGTTCCTGGAAGAACTGATCTAACGCCTGGTGGATTTCGGTGACGAAGTACTCGTTCTTTGCTAGCTGGGGATTAGCTCGCCAAAGTCCAGTACCCTGTTGAGAGGAGGAGAATTGAAAGGTGGTATTGAGGATGGCATGATCAGTCCATTGGGAGCACATAAAATCAATGGAGGACGAGTGTAGTTGTTGAAATAGCGTTGGTGAGCAGTAGACATAATCGATGGTCGACCGTGAGGTCCCGCGACGGAATGTTGGTAAAAGTGGCCCATCATGTTTTGAGTGGGTACATTCGATGAGGTGATTGCTGAGTAAGTCATGCCAGCGATGTTGAGCCAGCATGGCAGAGTGGTGGTGGGGTTGATCTGACTGTATAGGGGGAGAGAAAGAATCAGTAGTATAGTTGGTGTTGTCAATGGCATAAGAGGTAGCATGATAATTAAAGTCACCTAGTATAATCAGAGATTCACGATCCACTGCAATCGTGGATGGTTCCTCTGTAGATATTGGAGGTGGTTGGATGTCAATGGTGATGGGAAAGGTGTCCAGAGCCCAGGTATCGGGGTGAAAGAGTGGAATGGTAAGCAGTTGTGAATAAAAGTGGGCTCTGGACGACGCCGTGGCAGGAGCATAAATATTAACGAGTGTGATGGGTGAAAAGAGTGCATTACAGTGTGTTACCTGACACACTATAATCCGGTCATCAAGGGTAACGTTGAGCGGTTGGATGATGATTTTTGGGTTGAGGGAGACAATACCACAGTGGGATGTCCAGATGCTGGTGTTGGTTTGAAATTGCATATTCAGTCGTTCACGGACTGATTCGGTAGCATGGGTTTCTTGGAAGCATAGAATGTCATATTTCAGTTCAGGATTACGAAGGAATCGTACAAATTCGGAACTGGTGGTTGGGTTGGAGAGCTTACTGAGACTTCGACAATTGAGTGAGCCTATCTTAATAGTTGATCTATAATCTGTCATAGGTGGGTTAGTAGCATAGTGTGTCATAGAGGGGGCATAAGGGTGGGGATTCATATAGTTACTAATTAGGCCACGGGGGCTGAAGTCTCGTCAGCTCGGATAGTGGTGGTGTTAGTGATGTTTGCCTCGCCCATGGTGAGGTCTTGTTCAGCGGCGGTGGGTGTAGTAGTCGTTTGTTGACGCTTGTAAGCTGGAACATAAGTTGGTTTGATGGACTTAGCTAGTTGGGCATACTCGTCTTCAGGAATGAAGTGTTGCTTAAAGCAGAAGAAGCGGGCCACTGCCAGTTGGTGGTGCGGATCCTTCAAACGCCCGATGATGACCTTCAATCGAGCAAGGAAAAGGCGGCGACATTCGGCAGCTAGGAAAGTAGGATCAGAGTCGGTATACTTGGGGTCACGCAACGTGGTGGTGTCCATGGGATCGAACTGGATAGGTGCCAACTCGTACTTGGTCAATTGGGCTTCCAAGGATGGGATGTAGTCTATGTGGACGAGAAGGCCACAAACATGACGGTCGGGGAAATGGATATCCAAGATCCGCTTGTTGTGGATGCCCATAGCATGGAAGTTATCCCTCATTTGGCTAATGGGCGAAGGGCTACGGTTGGGAATGTAGACAAATCGGTAACCATGGTTGGGTGACACGACCGAAAATTGACGAGCAGCAGCAAGACCGGCATCGTTAACATTAAGGTTGAGAGGTTGAAGCCTCTTTCGAGGTATGGTTTTAGCTTTGGGACGTTTGACGGCAGCAGGGTCCGCTTGTTTCTTGGCGACGTCGGCAAAAGAAGGTTGGGCCACAGTAGTTGAAGGAGGTGAGGCAGCAGTCGATTCAGGGGCAGGGAAGGTCTGCGGAGCTTGCTGTGATTCAAGTTGACGAATCCGTTGCTGAGCATCCTCTAATTGTTTTTTGGTGAGATCCAAGGAGGAACGAAGGACCATGTTCTCCTGGATGAGAGCTTGCATCTCAGAGATTTGGGATGCTTGACTATCGAGGCGGGCGTAAATGTCCTTGAGATAGTCAGGGAGATTGGGGACGGAGTGAATGTTGAGGTCACTCAGTGAAAGAGGGGAAGGCTGAGCAGGGATCGTCGTGGTTGAAGCTACGTTGGGCACGGCTACGGGAGGAATAGCGTTGGCAGCAGGTGGTAGGGTGTTCTCGGCCATGGCTTTGGTGATGGAACGGGTGAGTCGGGTTGTAGCTGTTAACTTGGGACGAAGGCTAACAGATGAGGGAAGAGGGGTAAGTGTTTGTCTAGCTAACGTGGAGAGTCGACGTTTAGTAGAGACAGACGGGATGGTAGACGTTGTAAGGCGATTCTTAGTGGTTGTAGAGACTGGCTTGGATGGAGGAGTGGGTGTTTTACTGCTTGGATTTGTTGGGATTTTCACTTTATTTACTTCTGTTGTTATTATTTGTTTTATCGCGTTAATAGTGTTGTTTTCGGGGTTTGAAAGGCCCTAAAAACAATTTAGACGAAAGAAAGGTGTCATTCTCTGCTTAGCATAGTCTGCTCCAGATTGGACAAATTTTGATCCAAATCGACTTGATTGAACTATCTTGTCAAATTCGACTATATAAACTGCAAAGATCATTCTGTATTTTCTAATGCATCCCAAAAGTGCATTTCAAGACGTATCTAATAATGGTGCTAATTATAAACTGCCTTTTGAATGAATCTACCGAACAATTCATAAAAGCTCAAAATAATGTTGTCTGCCAAAATGTCGAGATTTCATATACAAGAGTTTCAATAACAGTGGTTTCAAGGGTTGCCTTGGATCAATAGAACCATTTTTTGATGTAATACATTCTATAATGAAAGTCTTTTTTTTGGGGGGGGGGGTGGAGCAAAAACGCGATCGTTTGATTTTTGATCAAAACCATAAGGTACCTCTCAAGAGTTTTGGCCATGTTTTCCAGGTCCCAAAAAGGTTGAGCAAAGGTGTCCCAAAGTTAGTGCTAAGTGAGAGCAATTGATTGGTGTCATTCTGAAGGTCTAAAATGGTCTCTAGCACGAGAAAATACTGCTCAACTGCATGCAAACCTCGCCCTGTTTTGCAAAACTTTTGAGTGTCGAGAAAGGTAATGCATGTATACTATATGCTGGTAATATATATATATATATATATATATATATATATATATATATATATAGGCCCATCTAATATTCTTCGCAAACGCATAAACCAGACTTGTGTATAGATCAGAAGCATTCCTTGGTCCAGATACTTGATAACCATATGCGCTCCTAATGTATGTCTGCATGAGCAAGTATCAATGCTTCAAGTACAATGATAAGATGTATTTAATGAAGGCCTACCATAACTAGCCAACGGATTAACGTGCAACTTTCATACACTAAATAAATATCCTTTATTTATCAAAACATACTCCATCGTCGCAAATAGTACGCATCATTACCAAGTGAGGTAGCCTCGATATTGCTTTCATGACGTACATGTTCAGGATAGCGAGCATGATGGCGTACTATGGACAGTTTCTACTGATGCATCCAAGAAGCAACGTAGAAAAGTCAATTTTACAACAATAAGTCGTTTATTAAAGACTTTCAATGATTCAACATGCTAAGCGTATAAGAAAATCTCTCCTTCTGCACAGCCAAACAGTAGCAACTGATCAGTTGGTATAATATTGAATGAACTGACAGCGGACTTCATGATGGAAGGCTTGAACTTGGATGAATACGCCTGAAACTAGATATGATTGCAAGTTTTAGATGCCGTGAATCATGCTATAGGATAAGCCAAACTTACATCGTCATTGATCGGTATAAAGGAAACTGAATTGTTGCTATTGATAGTAAGTATCTCGTCCTTGAATATATCCAACGAAGTGACATCCTGCGGGGCAGAAATGGTCTTGACAAGCGCGAGTCGGTTGACGTTCCAACAACAAATCAAGTGATCTGCTGGTGCACAGGACAATAGCAAATCGTCTGTATAAAACTTGATCTATACATAAAATGTATCAATGCCAGCAGGCACTCGCTTGAGTGAGTCTTACTTACCGAAGTTATCTCGGTATCGCCCCCTTTCCAGCTAGCAACCAGTGTGCCTGTTCTAGATTCAAGCAACGAGATGGCGCCTGTAGAAAAGCCGACAGCCACCAACGTCTCTGCGGGATTTACAGCTATCACTCTGATCACGCCGCTCAACATGGTGCTTGATTTCCATGTGTGCAATGGGATGTGGTTATGAGCGTCGAAAAACGAAATATTACCATCGACCGTACCACCCACGAGATGCCTCGATTGGAATATCGGCTTGAAAGACACAACGGAAGATTTTGCGCCTGTGAATTGATGTAAACCTGCGCCTGTTTCCAGATCCCATAGCTACAAGTATAGATTAGCCACACCAGAGTATGAATTTACCATAGTAAAAAAAAAAAAAAAAAAAAAAAAAACCCCAACTTACATGCACATGACCATCGCAACTCGCTACAATATCGTTCAATCCACCTGTTGTCATGAAATGCACATCATTGATGGTCGCTCGTTTGTGGCCTGTGTAGGTCACCACACTTTCTGAATACGGGCTGGTCTCCCAATGTTCAATCCCTTGATGCACGTTCAGGGACCAAATCTTGACCGTCTTGTCCTTGGAACCAGAGGCGAACAGTTTAGCAGGTTCGTTCACTGCAAATGTGCGAATAGCAGCGCTGTGGCCTGCAAATCCTCTCAGCTTGAGATCGTTGAATGAGAATTGCATGGATTTTGACATTTCCTCAGAGTTTGTAGAGAGGAACCGGTTCCAATTTCTATATAACGTCAATGAGATGGTATAGTCGCTTGCCGTCTGATGCTACCTACTTTTTATCTTCAGGTGATGGCTTCCATTTGGTTTTCCAAGGCAGTACACTGGTAGGCACCTTAGTTTTGCTGCTCTCCTTGTCCGTGGGCTTGATCAAGGTCATGTCACTCAATTTCTCAGCATGAATGAGCGTGGATGGTGTCGATGTAGCAGAGGACAGCGCGATGCTGGCATTAGACACCGTTGCTGTTGATGATGCTGCTGTATTGGTGAGTGTCAAGTCAAGCTTTTTATCCACACAATTGGCGTGTGTCAATCCGGATAACTGGATATCTTTGGTGGCGTAACCCAACAAGCGAGAGATGTCAATGTTCTGCATGCTGTTCTTTCCTACTCCTATCGACAGGTCGTCTACAATGAGCTTTGATGCAGAGGATTTGGATGATATAGAAGAAGCATCATTGTCAGCTTGTGATGACTTTTTGATGGGCACCATCCACGACATGAATTTACTACTGCTGCTCGTCTGTTGCTGTTGTGGCTGCTGCGATGTGGTATCTGATTTCGTAGATGATATACTCAGAGGCGATTTCTTCTTGGTAGGTGATGATTCAATACGCGATGTAGATACTGATGCTGTGGGCTCTTGGAGCAGGGTGTGTTGGTGGAATGAAAAGTGGTTGAACATCATGGTCTCGATAGCATCGCTGTACTTTGTTTATAAGTATCATGCACTGTATTTGGTAAGCCAGCTTACCTTGTGGGTATCACACGCCGTAATTTCTCAATAGACACAATCTGGCTAAACTTGTAATAGGCGTACATCATTTGATAGCTCTTTTGAGCTGCAAGTGAGCTGGATGGCTTGCTCTTGGTCAGAATATCATCACCGTCCTCTGCATTGACAGTGAAGCCAGAAAAGTACTTTTGCAGAGTAGATACAATCTATGATCTGATGAATACCAAATCCACCTCATGGTACAAGAGCCCTCTTACTTACCGTGGACTCCCATTCTTGCAGCGTCAGCTTTTGACTTGCCATCAAGAGATAATCAATGGTCTTGATGCTCAAGGTCAATCTCAATTTCAGCTGTTCTGGCTTGATGGCTGCGACATCATCTGCTGTATGAATAGGCTCCAATAGCTGATACAATGTGGAAATGAACCCGGATCTGAGTTCTGTCACCAAGGCTTCATTCGACATGTAGGGCACCAAATCTTGCAACAAGGTCAGTATAGAGCATATGCTTTGTGTGTCCTTGCTGGATACTGTTTTGCGATAGTTGTCAATCAGGCTAATCAGATAAGCGTATTGCACAGACGTAAATGTAGATCCAAAGCCTCCAATGATACGCACCGTAGTACGGATCAATGAGTAGCGTATGTGGTTGTCCCTGAGGATAATCTTGACCAGTTGTCGCACAATGTGCTTGGATGTCAGAATGGGGCCTAGCAAAGTACAGATGTGGGTCATTGCATCGCCAGCAAGATCAGACGTGGATTTGGATGTCTCTGTGTTGGTGGTTGCGTCAGACGTGACATTGGCTGCTGCTGTTGATAGTGGCACCGACTTGTTGCTGCAAGCAGGGTCGTGAATAGCCAGTGCTTCCAGATAACAGGGCAATAGCTGCTGCAAGAAGATTGAGATTCCCAGCCGCTTGACGAATTCATAGATAATTTTGTTTCCAAACAGTACTTTGGGTATATTGGGCCGCAGTGACTCAAACATGGATATAATGCGCTTCAGTAAATGCCGTCTTGCTCGTTCAGGTCCCAATCTCTGAGCCAGTTTTGGAAACAAGCTAATGGATCCAATGCGTGTTTCAACATGCGTGAATAGCTGAGAGAAACTAGGCAGCAACAGGAAAAAAGCCTAGGCGCAGTGTCAAGAGTCCATCCTCTCCATATCCCCAACGCATATCACTTACCTCGTCCTCTAAATCGCAAATGCGGTCAATCCATTTATCCGCTAGATACAACCTTCTTGACCACTCTGCTTGATGAAACGCAGCCAGGTAATCGTACATTTCAGGTACTGTATCAGGGAACGGGAACGAACAGCGACTGCTACGCACAGTCATGACAGGAAACGATGCGCACAAGATGGCTTTCGCAGTGGGTCTGTCTTGCCATGCGTCTGCCGTTAAAGCAGAGATCACACTCGTAACAGCAGGCGAGACGTCGATCTTGCCGGTGGGTGCAATATCGTAAGCGACGTCGCCATTACCTACCTCAAAATAGCCACTGGCCGGCGCTTGCGATGGCTCTCCATCTGAATCCACAACCTTGGCATTACCCGCTGTGTAGATGCTTTGAATCACACGGCCCAAGCAATCCATGTCATGCGAAGCGCCTACAGCAAAAGCAGTAGGCAGTTTGTTTTTGGCGCCCTGTGTATTGTCCATGGGGTCAATACTAAAACGGTGAGGTGGATGTGGGTAGATGGGGTTCAGCACAATGTCGCATTGGTTCATGGCGTTGTACTTGGCTGCAAATGCCACCATGTCTTCATAGTGATCCAAGTCGTCAATGAAATACAGCTCATCGGTATCAAGTGGCATGCGAATAGACTCTGTTCGAAGCACGGAAATGAAGGGCTCTGCTGCTGTAATGGACGATGGTAGGCTGCGGCTTGTATCGATGGATGAAGCGGTGGAATGGATGGAAGGTGTGCGGTCTCTGTTGGTGTTGATGGAGGCTGCTGCTGTGGTTGTCCCCGTAGGCGACGCATTGGCCATGTGGGAGAGCAATCCAGTGGTTGCACTGTCCACGCTGTTGTTGTTGGAGAGGACGGTTTGTCTTGTTCTAACACTGTTGCTTCGATGCGATTTCGTCGAGATGATGGCTGCTGTTGTGGTCGTTGGCAAGCCTGCTGCTTCTGTTGTCTCGACATGTGCAGTAGTAGGCATGATATGAGGCGAACTCACCATAGTTCCTTGATCTCTCTTTTTGGTCTTGTTCCAATTGCATCCACGCTGAGGATGTTTGTCCTTGAAGAGCTGGATGATGCCATGCTTCATAAAGCTGTTCTGACCAGCGAGTAAAGGCAGCGCCACGTTCTTGGCCTCGATCGCACCTTTTCCGGTCAAATCATTGCCAAACGTCAAGTCGATCCAGTGATGCAAGTTGCGTGACACATAATCGCTCTCCAATGCTTCCGAATGCTTGCGTATAAAATCCTCGGGTGAAGCGGCCCACGTGGGTATCTGGATATCTGGCATGTCTGGATGAATTGACTTGAATATGGTGGGGTCCGTATAAAATTCGGGTATGCATTCATCGGGTGTCCACTGGTACAGTCTTTGCATGGACGAGGGGTATTCATTGGGCTCGTACTTGGACCGGACAAATTGACACAGCACAGGTATCGGTGTCTTTCGCGCCTGATAGACATAGTAAGTGATATCGGACAAGATGTCTGTAATGTGATGCGGTACAGGTCCATCAAAGGTGAAGTCAAGCTGCTCATCGCCTTTGTTGATACGAAATTTGGTCTGCCTAAAATTGCGCCAGCCGTCTGCAATTGAATCGCCCGAGAAATCTGTGATCCAGGGCAGAATGGGATAGAAATTGGGGTCTCCTTCTCGTCTGCCTGCCAAGTGATTCAATGCCATCAGATAGCTATAGTTGGAAATGGTGCCTTTGACCCAACGAATCACAAGTGGTTCCTCTGGTATCTCTCGAGACATTTTGGATAGCTCCTGTTCGTATAACCATTTCTTCAAATCTAGAGTTGCAGACGTGCTGAATAAGGTATCTTGTTCTCTCTCTCTCTCTCTCTCTCTCTCTCTCTCTCTCTCCAACTACTGCTTACCAAAATCAAGCGGATTTGGCTCGAATTCTATGCCAGCCAACTGGACCCATAAATTCTCGTCTACCAGGATATTGGAAGCCTTGATGCCGCCATGCATGATACCTCTACTATGCAAACTAGCAATCACCCGCAACAGCTGATATATGATGAACGATTTCTTCAGATTTGAACTGAGAACACCTGGATTGTAGGTGATCAAATCCTGCAATGTTGCTCCACGATAAGAGGCCAGAAAATAGTATGCTGTGTCTGTCTCGATCAATGCAAAGACGTTGGGTAAATTGGAGTTGGAGGTATCGGATGCTGGCTCGAGCACTTGGTTCTCTTGCTGTAGCACAATATGATCATCAGTATTGCCATTGTCGTCTTGTTTTGTTTTATTATTCGATGCTATTTTTCTGAATCGCTTGCAACTGGGCCACAACATGGTCTGTATCGTCCTTACGAAATCAGTTTGCTCATCATCTTCTTTGTAATCGTTAAATACATCATGAAGCATTTCAATTTTCTGATCTGCTCCTTTTCCCTCCAAAAGCGATTGTATGTAATTGATCAACGGCCATCTTTCTTCTGTTTCTTGCTGCTGCTGTTGAGCGTCTTGCTGGCTGGCTGCGGATGTTGGCTTATAGACTGACAAACCTTTGGCTCTTTCTTTACATAGCACTGAAACATAGATATTGACTGTAGGTGATTGCTTCTGCAGCGATCCCTCTGTTGCTACATTTCGAGCGTATCCAGGGTTCTTTAATACAAGGGGTTCATCTGTATCGGCGGTGCTATTGATTTTCTCAATCCATTCTGTATCTACCTACACTCTGTTGAACATGGGCTGCCTGACGAGCTTGCATAAACCAAGAAAAAAAGGTGCTACTTACCACACAACACGCGCTTGAACCAGTTTTTCTATCCAGTGGGAAAAATGGAAATGCTACATCTATCTTCAAGTCTTGTTGTATCTTTTGCTTTAATTCTTGTGTGCTATAGCTATTTCCCATGATATATATATATATATAGGGAAGCCCAAGAGGATGATTGTACAAAAAAAAAAAATGTACAAAAGAGGGGAACAACTCGAGTAGCAATGTAAATATCAGTTTGGATGCAATTGAGGAACCGCCCTTGTGCCACACGTAATTGGCATCACATTTGCTTTTTGAGAGAGGTACATGTGTGTATACTTGAAATCAACTATAGACACTGCTATGGTACGAAATCACAATGAAAAAGTAGAGGCGTTGTCTTGATGAATAGAGATATGGGTGAAGAAACAACTAGCTTGACCGTGGTTGTCAATGATCTGAACTCTGGTGTCTGCTCTGCGACATCAAAAGTTGCAGAGGTTCTCATAGCAACATCAGTAGCAATGCACACGGATTATTCATAATAGCTTTTCTCATAGATGGTCTTGATGTTTACATTTGTCAGAATAGAATTCACGGCGATTGAATGTCCCAGATCATCATGCTTTGTGAAACACACACTGTCGATTCCTGGAAAGATGAAATGACCTTGGTATGAACGGAAAAAAAAAAGGAGAGAGAAAACTTGTCAAACAACAGATCTAGTAGACCTCTTTAGAAAAAATACAAGGCAAATTCAAGTGTATTTATTCATGTAAAAAAAAAAAAGAAGAAGAAGAAGAAAATGGCCACATTTATAACCACCAAGATTCCTTTTCTTGATCATGAATGAACAGTTCTTGCTCGTCATCTTCAGTTGAATCAAAGGTAATGTGTTCAAAGTCGTCTTCAATGCCACATAAGAGATCTTGCTCGACCATGTCTGACCAGCTTCCGCCACCATCTTCTTGACTGAATATGGCAGAGTCATAGCTTGCCTTATTAGCCTTGTGTTGTACAGTGTGAATATCTACAGGCGATGGCATGATCTCATCTTGTTCTGACTCTGACTCGTAATCGGATTCTTGTGGATCAATGGTCAAATCAGTCAATTCGCAGAACATGGCCTTCATCTCGCCAATGGATACTCGTTTGGCAGGATCGATTGCAAGTACCTTTTGCAAGAAATGCATGCATTCAATACTAAGATCAGGAAACAAGCGCCTCAACGACATGGGATCTGCCTTGTAATCAGCGAATGCCACATCCAAGTCAGTCGCTTCTTGCCATGGATTTCTGCCAAACAATAAAGCCAGCAACAAGATGCCCAAGGACCAGATATCAGAAGCTGCGGCGTCGTAAGGTGCGTCTTCTTGTTCCAGGTCAGATTCATCTCCAATGCTGCCAAAGTGCTCTGGACCCAGATACGTAGTTGAACCACATCCAAAGTCGAATGAGTATCGTTCCTTTGTTGCTAGTCCGAAATCTGCTACTTTGATATAGTCTTGCTTTTGTAAAAGAATGTTCTCCAACTTGATGTCGCGATGGTAGAGGTTATTTTGATGCATGTAGTCAATGGCTTCCAGGATTTGCAAGAAAATAACATGACAATTTACATCATAAGGATTCTGTACTACGTATTCGAATAAATCGCCTTGATCACACAACTCCATAATCATATAGACAAAATCAGGTTCCTGAATCACCTGATCGAGACCGAGTAAATGGGCATGGTGAAGGCTTTGTTGTATATCGATTTCCAATTGCTGCAATGCCAGTTGTGCTGGATCGAGGCCTTTTTTACAGAGGATTTTCACAGCGACGTATTCATTTGTTTCCAGTGATTGGCCCAAGAATAAACATCCATAGGAGCCACGACCCAGTTCTTCTACGAGTTGGTACTTGTTGTTGTCGATTAGTTTGTCAACCATACTTTCGGATACTTGATTCCAGATATCTTGCTGTTGTTGTTGTGAGGTCATTTTTAGAAAAAAAAAAAAAGTGGAGAGTTTAGCCGGGAGATAAGAGGATGGTGACGAAGCTGATCGATGAGGCTGTATGTTGGAGAGAAGAGGGGGCCAGTTGATTCTTTGTGTATATATCTGGCTGTTGGCGTATGATAAGGAGATATAATCAAATTGAGGGAAAAAAGGGGATATATAATTATGAAGTCTGTTCAATGCTGATGATGAAGTTTTCTTTATAGTTGCATACGATAATAGATGTTGATTGTTTAGAGGTTTGATACAATGTTCATTTTTGAGTGTGAGTGTTTGTGAGAGAGAGAGAGAAAAGGAATATACACAAGGGAGGTGAGGGAAGAGGTTTTTTTTTTTTATGATACAAAACTAAAGAGAAAAAAGAAGAGAGAGTAAAATAGACAAAGCCCACCTTTTTAATTGTGTGAAATTGTTCCCGCTGCTTCAGTTGCTGCTGCTATTTTGTGCACGCACATGAATCTGCAATATTTGGCAGTGTGTGCACATACAGAGGCTAGAAAAACACACACACACACACACACACACACACACACACACACATACATACATACACACGTGTCTTACAAATTGATTCATGTAACCTTAAATATTTGAAATTGGCTTTAAGCATGCTACCATATATTGGATGAATCCATCGTTCCATTTCTGTATAGACGCAACATTAATTGTCGAGCTCATTTCTTTATATAATAGACGAGACTCTGCTATTTATAAATCGACGATCAACCATCCTATCTGTAATCATTCTATCACACCAATACGAGTGCTTCTTGGCATCTATAAGAAATACGGATATAAGATCCCATCACATCAGGTAATAACAATACAATTAGGCATAGTAATGAGCAAAAATATCAACATTTAGTGACAAAAATGACTTGTATGCATGCGTACCCTTGAATGTACGGCACTCGAGAGAAGTTTAATCTAATTAAAATGGTTCATAAACGATCAGGAGACATGAAATTAAAGTTTCATTTTGGCAGGAGCAATGTCTCCCATGAGCGGATCGATTGCTTCTGTGAGTCAAAATGGTCTAGAAGTTGTACCATGTGTGGATGTGGAACTTCATTGATACATGTCTCTTTCTCATTGCAATACTATTTGACAGAGGAGCCTGTATATACAAGCCGGCCTCTACTACCATAAGCTATTGATTCACTTTAAAATTGTGATGTGGACCATCAGCTGATGCGATGTTAGCTTTGTATATGGATCAGATGTTTCGAGAAACGTTGTATGATGGAATTTTATGCGATTCATGGCTACTTTTGTTTGTATTGAAAAAGTACACACTACTCATTTATAGATAGAAACTGGTCATGATTCCAATATAATTTCCCACATCCAGGATTCATATCAGCAAGTGTTGTCTTGCAAACAGGCTTGGTGATCTTTACATTCATAAGCGTCATGACGTGATTTTCAGCGGTTCTCAACCTAGGTACTATCAATGCTGTGATGCTTTGATGAAATGCTATTAGTATCTAAAGCTCTATTTTGCGTTAAATCCCTTAAACATCACAAAAGACGACAATGATCCCAAGCTAAGCATCGTCTCAGTGTAAAATAGATGACTGAATTACATCATTATAGAATAACCAGAGATAAATCAGCATAAGAAAAACAAGGCATAAAAGAAAGAAAGGCCACATATTTGGAGAGCTTCGAGCCAGGTCAACCAATTCCAATGTTCGACCAGCTGTATGTTCATGCAATGTTATCAGCAACAACGGGTAGTAACAGGATTGCTTTCATAAGCGAGCTGTGGCAATGCTTTCACAACAACACCAGCAACGACACTTTGGGGAATATCTTCACTATATATACTGTAAATCATTCATATCCTTTCAAATTTTTAAAGAATTGTGTGTAACCAACGCTTGATAGCATTGATTTATAGGGAATTTTTACCGTAGCGATGCAAACGTGCAAACCTTTGACAACTAAGCATCCAATCCAGCATTTGATAGCATTGATCTATACGAGGGCTTGATTGTAGCAAAGCGAATATGCAAAGCCATAGTATCTAAGCAGCAAATTCGGTTTTTCATTTCCATTGTTAATAAGCTTGCCAACAACATAGCGCATCAATATTTGCATGAATCAGCTTTACCAAAATCAATATACCTCGTATTCAAATTAAAAATTGCTCTAGCTGCAGAACTGTCTTTCCAGTAAATTGCAGCTACCAAAGATGTGATTTATGCCGTTTAAATAAACTCTATAAAGCAATACATAACCAAATTTGACAGCTTTCAAGCCTTCATATCTTGACAGGTAGACCTTTCTGAGCCACTGGAGTGACACCAAACAACTGCTCTCGATGAGTACTTACTTCCTGAAACCTTTGCTCAACTTTTTGGGGACCAAAAAAAACATGGCCAAAAAAATCGACCAAAAAGCATGAGCGATACCTCATGGCTTTCATCGAAAATCAAACAATCGCATTTTTTTTACCTTGAAAATGAAGACTTTTACTATGGTATATATCACATCAAAATGTTTCTCTCGATCCAAAGCAGCCTCTGAAACTGCTTTTATGAGGTTTTCATATGCAAAATATAGTTATTTTCGCTAAAAAAAAACCTCATTTCATATTTTACTAAATTGCTCACTAACTTTAGTCAAAACACTTATTGCAGTTAGCATCACTGGAAGCGCCTTGAAAAGTACTTTAAGAATGTATTAGGAAGTGTAGGGTGATTAACACAGTTTATATAGTCGAATATCGCAGAATAGATTAAAGAAGTTGAAAAAGCACAGGATCTGTCCAATCTTGAACAGAAAAAAAAACAAACTGAGCTTGAATTAGTTTTGGCGGCGGCGGCGCTGCTGGCTGACCTAAATACCTTTCTGTTGATGACAATGGTGATTGCGATGTTGATTAAATGGGGATCTAAAAGGGCAATTTTTTTGGCGAAATACTTTTTTTTTAGGAGCCTTGCCTCATAGTGGTGTTTTTTTTCAATGGCAATATCTCAAAAAGCCGCTGTAGATCTGATAGAAGTCCTGTATTTATACATGGCCAACTCTATGTTATCACCTCCAGAGTAGCATCAGCGAAAGGATAACTCCCTCTCCAGACTCTGATATAGAGTGGGGGTTTTTTTTTTTTTTAAATATTAATTGATTGTTTAAAATCTACTTTATACCAGATTTTTATTATCTCTAATTTAAAATGTCTTTGGCAAGAGCCCACAGGGCGACGCCGATATTGAGCCTAGCGAGATAGATCGGTTAGTGCATCATATACCAATCAACGCCACCACTGCAAAACAACATGCCGCAAACATGGAAAAAAGCAATTAGCAGACATTCGCCTGGACCCCAGTTCCATTTTGATATCACCTAGAACAACATCCAACTCAAGTATGAAATTCATGACATGGACATGCTGACAGCGTTATCTAGTTCTATTTGAACAACGTATCATCTGGTATTAGGACACTAGGTAATTCGTGCTTTCAGTACCCTATTATCGTAGATATATCAAGCGTTCAAGGGACTTTGGCACCGTAATGCAACTCATAACCAATGCCCTACCAAAGCGCAAGTATTTGGATGGGAATAGTGGCTCAAACAGCATGGTAATTCAAATTAATTTAGTGTATAATCAAACCCAGGATGTACCAACGAGCAACCACTTGTTGCTGGACGTGTCTTAGGTACACTCCATCAATCAGGACTCTCCAAAGGATGGCATGCTTTGATTGATCCGACTATGAGTTACTTTGTAACTATATGGTATTGAAAAGGATGCTCCTGTTATGACGCAAAGAAAACAAACAAACAAACAGTGAGAGTTGTTTCTATTCTAAGCACGCCAAGAAAATATTCAAGTAGTCTATCTAATTAGCCTCATAGTGATTTACTGAGATAACCCCTACTTGGCCACATTTTTTCCCGAAATATATAGGATTGTGTTACACGATTGTATCAGGTTGCATACGATTTAAGCTACCATTGATAAAGCTGATCTCAATACGTGATGCGCATACGATACTTGATCTATGAATCCATCTTGATGGCTCGCAGACAGACCAAAATACCGTGCTATTACTGATTATAAAGTATATGCAAAAATAGCATTTTGGTGGTCCAGTCAAGCGGTGCTAAAAATCACTCAGTATTCATATACAAAACAATGAGTGAATGGCATCTTTATGCAGAATCATTATAAAAGGATAGCGTTGTTCATCTTGTTAACCAGAGCTGAGCAAACCAGCCACGAAATCCTTCCAATCTCGGTGCTAAGCAGCAAAATCTATGCAGGCTTGATATAGAAGCTTCGGCAAGAAACGTCCTAATTTGGACAATATTGACCGAAATGGTTAAATGGAGATGTGCATGTCAAAAATCATATAAAACCTCTTTGATCTGTCATTGTTTGAGGTTTTTCAATCTTTTCTTGACATCTCAAAGCACCAAATCAAACAACCACAATGAAATCAAATCAAGACTATACTAGTGTCTATCTTGAATCAATTGATACAGAACATGACTCTCGCAGTTCTTTGGAGCCAATCATCCCACCGACATCTGCAAAAATCAAACCTGCAAATTACTCTTCTGCAACTTCATCTTACTCGACAGAAGTAAATGCACAACAAATTGAATACAGCAATAGCCAAAAAGAGGACGGCAGAGAGGAGGAGGAGGAGGAGGAGGAGGTTAAACCAACAAGGATGGAGCGGTTCAAAGTGTTTCTCAGCTATGCAAGGCCAATGTTCATCATGCTCTTTTTCGATGTGGGGTTACCATTGGCTGTGTATTATATATTAAAAATCTGGCTCAGTGTCTTGATTGCCCTGATTTTGTCTGGTATCCCACCCTTATTGCGTGTCTTGTATGTGTTCTGGAAGAGAAGACATATTGATATCTTGGGTTGCATATTTGTGTTTTCTTTTATTCTATCTGCTGTTCTTTCGATCATTAGTGGTAAGTTGTCAGTATATATGGGAGCAGCGAATTGCGGTTTTATTGATACACTTTTATAGGCGATGTACGACTGACCTTATTGCGTGATTCCACTGTAACTGCTGTCATCAGTTTCATGTTCTTTGTCACCCTGATTCCTCTCAAAACAAGATGGTTTACAATTCGACCCATGATCTTTTTGTTCTCTCAACAAATGATGGCTGAACAACCACCCATAGAATGGGTAGACAAGCATGGTGAACATCACTCTGTGGAAAGAATGGAATTCTTGTGGCAAATTGTCCCGTTTTATCGTCGATACTGCTATATTTTGAATGTTCTTTGGGGTTTCGTGCTTATGGGTGAATTCCTGGCCAAGGTGATCATGATTGAAAGCTCCCTGGACATTGATCATATCATTTTGTATGGCAACATCATATTGATCAGTGTCATGGTTTCCATGACAACTGGTACTCTGATCACCTCTCGCTTTGTGAGAAAGAGATGTGTAGCAGATTGCAAGATATGGCTCAAGGAAAACAACTATGCCAGTATATTACCCCAATAAAACATTTCTAGAATACTTCAATTCATCAACCATCATGTGCATTTCAAATAAATTTATCTCGTGCAAATCCAATAAATTGAAGAAATGTCACTATTATGACCTAGACGTACATTGCAACCAAATGCGTTTGCTTTGCTCCTGCTGTGCTACCACAAAATTCACATTCAAAGGGACACTTTTTTTTTTGCAGAAAGAGTAGCTATTGCGTGCCCTCGTCCTCCCTAATTATTGTATATTACTTTAATCCTGACAATATGAGCTTTTCTTTTTCGCGAAATCCTAGGAGGCCTGTATATGTTTAATAGTCTCCTTGATCATGGTTCATGTAAACGCTAGCTTTGTATGTATATTTTGGTCACTTATACCATTGCTAATAAGATGAATTCACAATGGGGTCCAATTCCATTGCATAAGTAACTAATGATAGTAACCCAGCTTGGTCTTTGAATACCTACACAAATCGCCATCGAAGATTAGAGTTCATGTCGTACACGACAATCGCTCTTTTTGTGTGGCATTATGTGTTTGACGTGTTGGTTGCAACATACAGAAATATTCAGGGACAATCTAACATGATACGCTAGTATCATTGTGCATTCTTCCCCTAACTTCCGCCTCCCTCTTGCTACTTGCTTTTTCTCTTCTCGATATCCCTCCTCAATCTCCCTATGTTGAACTCTAAACCTCCATTCATCCGATGGAAGGTACTTTCATATAAATAGCGGTTCATATTTCGAAGAAATAATTCGTTTCATTACATTTATACACACACAAAAAATGAAGACTTTTACTGCCGGATTCCTTGCAATGTGGGCCATCATTAGCACATTATCAGTTCAAGTGCTGGCCGTTACTAGCTGCTCCTGTGATGGAGTTGCTGCACCTCTCTTGAACGACATGTGTGTTTGCGGATGTGAGCTCATTAAGAAGGCCTTTGCTACCTACTCTCAAGAATGCCCTGCTCAACAACTGGCGGATTTGGATGCTCAATTTGCCCTGTATTGCAAAGGTGTTGAAAATACCGAAGATTGTGAATACTTTAAGAAGCTCGATGGCAAGGTTACAGATCTCTACAAGCGGTGCAAGGATGACCTTGATTCTATCCATGACGATTGCGAAGAATGCAAGGGATGTAGCTTCTGATTTGATGTTGATATTGTATTAATAAACTCCACCTAAACAATATCTTTCGCAGTTACAAGTATCGAGCATAAATTAAAAGTTTATTGATTAATGGATTGGTCTTGTATAAACAGCATGGATGTTTGGAAGGAATGGGAGTAGGTCATAATGTTTTAAGAGTGGCTGAAGGCATAATTCAGGTCAGTACATGTTTCATAGTGGTTTGTAGATGGGGTTCATAGGTTAGATATACAGTATGCTTAGATCTCTCCGTCCATTACTATGCTATCATCTGAGGTGCTATTTGACATAGAGGCAATGTCTTCATCCGAGCCTAGTTTTCTCTTCAAACCGGGGGATTTCTCGCCATCGTCGTTGTCATTGCAACCTTGTTTCAGCTTCTCAATCGTAGCGTCCCTCTCTTGCAATGAGTTCTTCAAAGATGCTATGTATTCATATGCATATTGTAGCAAGAGCACCTTTGATAGTGGCTTAAGATCAGTTGACTCTTCTTCGGTAGCAGCTTCCGTCATGTCGTCGTCTTCACCTTTTTGCTGTTGTTGTTTATTGCTAGTGTTTTTCTCCAGTTCTTGCGCCTTCATAACACGAGACATGAGCGTTTTTTGGCGCTTCACATAGCCATCTTCTACTTCGCGACGTAATCTATCAAACCATTCCTTTAAAGAGTCGCGTCGCTTCTGTTCAGCAGCTTTGTGAGCCGTACGTCTTACTTCTAACCCACTTTTGATCTGCGTCGAGAATGCTATACCAAGAGCAGCACCTTTTCCTTCCATTAAGTTTTGATAATTGGATCGTGTCGCCAATATACGCTCAGCATCCTCCACAGAACTCACTCGGTTGTTGTGTGAAACAGAAGATGACGGCAGTAAAGCACTCGGAAGAGGCTTTAGGCCAGGGTTCAGCGTAGGACTAATCAAAAGCGGCTTTAATGCTCTGGGAGATGCGTGGACGGTGCTATTTGACTTTGACTGATCTGTGGAGGACGATTCTCGTCGTTGCTTTTTACTAGAGGGCCGTAACGATTTCTCTTTTGGTGTATTGCGAGCGGATTGACGAGGATTCAGTGCCAGTGGTGAGGGTGGCGGTACCTTCGACTTGGAAGAGCTCTTGGAAGACGGAGGAGTAATCATGGGAGACATAATACCATCATGATTGTTGGGCGCTGAGGTCAATATAGGCGACTGAAATATATGGTTATTGTTGCTACTAGAAGGCGCAGACGAAGAGGCAAAACTGGTCGGCGTGCTGCTATTGTTGCTTGAATAAAAGTTGAGGGCTTGATTGCTGGTAGCTCTACTGATATGATTGCTAGTAGAAGACGAAAATTGCAACTTTGAAGGTTGGGCACTGGATAGCTTCATATTCATCAAAGACGCAGGGGTTGCAGGTTCCATGTGAGGAGATTGTGAAGGGGAATTTGGCGTAGACATTTGTCCATTGTTATTATCCAACATGGCAGTAGAATGAATCAAGGCTGTTTCCGCCATTAGTGAATCAATGTCATAAAATGCTATTCAAATAATCTTTACCATGCTTGCTATATACACCAGAGGACGATGATGACGATGATGGCGATGATCCCGTATAATGTTGTCGTTGCGTCTTTTGTAATTCAGATAGTTTCTGTGTAATTAGTAACTTTGCTTGCTCAAGTTGTTCATATTGTTCGCATATCTGATTGGCAGATAGGTTCTCGAAGCCATCTTGTCTATTGGTTGTGTATTGCTGCTGCTGCTGCTGCTGCTGCTGTTCTTTGTAGATTGGCTTTTGGTGGTACCTGGTCTGATCCATTTGAGGCATAATTGCAGGAGATGATAATGGAGAAAAGTCCATATCATTTGCATTGTTGAATTTTTGATGATGCTGGTGGTAATTAAACGAAGGAGTCATAGCTGGCGAAATAAGAGGAGTCAACGTAGATGCCTTTTTATTTACACATACATTTAATAATACATACTTTTATCTTTTTTATTATTAGTATATACCTCTTGATATTGATGATTCATAAACTGACTGTTCGATGAATGATGTTCTGACTCAAATAGCAGATCAATGTCACCATGCAATTGCTGGTAAGCTTGCTGCTGCTGCTGTTGTTGTTGTTGCTGCTGTTGTTGAGGTTGTTGCTGTTGTGATTGCTGAGGTTTATTATACTGTTCCTGATCAGACAGGTTCCTCAACATGTCCATATCATTAATTGCATCAACCAATTGAAATGTTGATAGATCCATAATTTATAAATCAAAAAAGAGCAAAGCAAAAGGCATGTAATGGTTGAGAAATGAAAAGGGCTGAGTAGGAGAAATTTATTTAAATATATGAGCCTAATGTCATTTATTAGAGTACTCTTTTGCCATAATAAAAAAAAAAAACTAGATGATGATTTTTGTGTGTGTGTGTGTGTGTGTACGGGTAAAAGTCTACTGCAATCAAATCAATTTTCTTCTGGTCAAAACGTGGGCCACATTTCCTGCAATAACGGGCCATACAATGGTAGGACGGGAATGTCCATAAGTCACACATTGGAAGCATTTATTCAATAGCAGCATTGTTCACCCTAATTCACCAGGATTGATTGGCTTATCAGTTTTATACTACCGTACAGATATGATTGATTTTAACCAAAAACTGAGATATATGACATATCGCAGATAATAGTACTCTGCAGCGAAATGTGAAAACTATACAATATTTGAGTATCTGGGGAGATCGATGAGTCAACAAAGATGGTGGGTTTTACATTTGAAAACTTGTTTATGTTCATCTGATATATAAATATAAATACTAAATCTAATTTCCCGGAAGAAGCCCCATAGCTCTTGTAATTAATGAAATGCGTAATGACCGCATCTTGGCAACGCCGCTCATGGGAGACTCATTTGCCATTACAGCCCATCTCAGTAGATGATCAAGCAACAAACTTTGAAGGATCCTTGCCTGCGAGATTGGCTGGTCTATGGTTTTAACTTGATCTTGATTACCTAACATTTGACTACTTGGATTAGACTGAATTACACTGGATCAAATGTATCAGATCTTCAACATTTGATCTAGTGCTCTCGTCATTTTTTTCATTTTTAAAGGAACATTCGAGATCTGCAAGAAATTCTGAGTTACTGATATGATATACTTTTTTTTTCAACTATACGTCTGTGGTTGATATTGATCTGGCCAAATAAGGATATATACCCCTAATTGCCAAATATAGTAGTAGTATCTCTGGGCTGCAACACTAGTATCACATTTTTGAGTTAAAAATTATATTAGGGTATGCGTTCCTCCAGCTAAGGTACCTCTATGTGTATTAATTTGCAATATACCTCGATGTTGGCACAATAGTGTTGAGCTGTCTTCCCAACGAGAGGAATTGTATCGATTTTGACAGCTCAGCAGAATTGAAATGCAGCTAATGCTCTGATCAGCCAGCAGCAAGCCGCCACCAAAATTGATTTAGGCTCAGCTTGTTTTTTTTTTTTCTGTTCAAGATTGGATAAATTCTGTCTTTTCTCGACTTCTTTAATCTATTCTGCGATATTCGACTATATAAACTGTGTTAATCACCCTACGCTTCCTAATACATTCTTAAAGTACTTTTCAAGGCGCTCCCAATGGTGCTAACTGCAATAAGTGTTTTGACTAAAGTTAGTGAACAATTTAATAAAATTTGAAATGAGGTTTTTTTAGCGAAAATAACTATATTTTGCCTATGAAAACCTCATAAAAGCGGTTTCAGAGGTTGCTTTGGATCCAGAGAAACATTTTGATCCTATACATATCATTGCAAAAGCCTTCATTTTCAAGATAAAAAATGCGATTGTTTGATTTTCGATGAAAGCCATGAGGTATCCCTCATGCTTTTTGGTCGATTTTTGGCCATGTTTTTTTTGGTCCCCAAAAAGTTGAGCAAAGGTGTCAGAAAGCAACTGCCAGATGAGAGCAACTGTTTGGTCCTACTCTGACAACCGAATACGGCTTTGAACACGAGAAAACACGATTCATATATATTCGAATTTTGCTGTGTTTTGCATATTTTTGAGCAGTGTGAGACAATGATGCTATATCATTTGCATATATATGGTTTGCTCCCACCGACGCAAACGTGTGGAATCGTAAAAGAGCCAATTAAATACCTACTGATTGTTTATATACAACTTCCATCAATAGTGAAAGGTCAAAGCGTATCACTACAGTATATTCGTAAGACCTTTTTAGTAATGCAGAACTCAGTAAAAGCTCTGATATAGAATGATAATTATTACTGAATTCAGAATTGATTTGAAACTATAGAGGTGGATCTGATAATGCCCTTCGCTTGTGGGCTCTAGGTCATGTATACTGTATTAAGCAACCCTATAATACATATGAGAAGTTTTGGTAATGTAGATGCGAACCAAAAGTTTGCATTTTTGCGTTGGGTATGTGAGCTTGGTTTGATTCAGCATATAATGGCATGATCATTTTTCAGGTGAGCACCACAATCAATCATCGAATAATCAGTGATAGATTCCTTAACTACCAATGTTAATAAGGTCATGTTGCTGTTCTCAGCTCAACAGACCATCCAAATAATCAGTGTGTTCACAATTCTTTGTAAAAGCTACCAAGAAGTCTTCTTTTTGAACTATGTGCAACCTGCTGCCCTTTCTAGAAATGGAATCAACATTGCTTATCATTTGCCAATCAACAGAGGTGTCTCTAGTTGCATTGCATCAAATCATATCTTACGTGCATCTGTTTCTGTCAGGCAATACAATATGCAAATCTTTTTTTTTCGGAAATAAGCTTCCGCCATCTCTTTTCTTTTTGTCGACAATTATTTCATGAAATTTGGAGCTCATTTTCAAGAAGCCATATCTCCAGAATGGCATTCGTACTATCTTGACTACGATTTGTTGAAACAGAAATTGAGAAAAGCCGAGACTGATGGAGCATTCACTGAACGAGATGAAACCGAATTCGTTGAGCTGTTGGATGGTAATTTAGAAAAGGTAAGAAGAAAAATAACCCATCAAGATGATGTTTCGAATAGCTCATCAATTTGGCGCGCAAAAAGGTCAATGCTTTTCACAAAGCACAAATGAACCGAATCCAAAATGAAATCGATTTTTGTACAACATCAATCTCGGGCCAATTAGTCCCAGCAAGTCAAGACCATAGTAGCACAATTGAACTCGCATCTTTGCAGGAGAAGATCAACAGCATTGCTGACGATGTGAATCGTTTAGAAAAGTTCACTCGCTTCAACTACACTGGGTTTCTCAAAATTGTAAAGAAACACGATCGTCATACAAATTACATCCTTAGACCCATGTTTATGGTGCGATTGAATCAATGTCCATTTTGGAAGAAGGAAGAGGATAACAACGCTTTGCTGATTAAGCTCTCATCCCTGTTTAGTCAAGTGCGTAATGGTGGAGGCGATGGAGCCATGTCGTTTCAGCAACCTCTTTCTGCAAGTTTGATCAAGGAGCCAGAGTTTGGATTAGACACCCGTCGGACTGTCATCAAGCGGTTTTTTGTCCACACCGATGATGTGTTGGAATTAAAGACATCTGTATTGAGACATTTGCCTGTATTGGTGTATCGTAGCAGAGACAACAGCAGCCAAGAAGACATTGACCCTCCCATCTCAACACTGTATTTGGATAATGCTGAAATGGACTCTTATTGCTCTCGAGTGGAGTCTGCCCCTCATTCCCAAATCATACGGTTGCGATGGTATGGTTCCGCCAAGGGAAACCGCTACATCTCTGTGGAGAGACGTACACTGGAAGACGAGAATCTAGGCGATCTCAAGGACAAGTTTACTATCAAAGACAAGTACGTTGATGGTTTCTTACAAGGTGATGAAACATTCCTGCAGAAAAACATCAAAAAGATGGAAATGAATGGTAGATCCAAGGAGGATATCGACAAATTTGCAGATCTGGTGCAGCAGGTTCAAAAGACCATAATGGAGAAACACATGAAGCCCATCTTAAGAACGTATTACAAGCGTACCGCATTCCAGATTCCCGGAGATACAGCTGTGAGAATGGCATTGGACACTGATCTCTGTTTTTTGCGTGAAGATTCTGGTTTGTTTCTCAACGAACCCGTTGTCCGTAGACCCAAAGGCAACTGGAGACGCCCCGATGCTGATATCAACTTTCCCTTCAACAGCCTCAAGAAAGACATTGAGGTGAATAGATATCCATACGCAACATTTGAGATCAAACTGGATTTAGCACCTGGTGAAGAAGAGCCAAAATGGATCACTAATTTGCAAGACAACGGCCTTTTGGAGGAAGCCTATCAATTCTCCAAGTTTGTGCATGGTATGGCTATTATGTTTGAAAATCGTGTCCCACTATTGCCCTATTGGCTTGCACAAATCGACGATGATCGCAAACTACTGCCCACGCTGCCGTCCCAGGCGCCTTCAGTTTCTGTCAAAAAGCCCACAAAAGCACAGCAACAACAGCAACAACAGCAACAAAACCAGCCACCACATGTCAGCGAAGAGACGTCGCTTTTATCTAATCAACAGCAAGCATCCAATTATCTGAATGTTCCATCCACTAGCTCGACCGCAGCATCACTTGTATCAGAAGAGGGCGAGTCTTTGGCATCACGAAGCGATGGGAACATTTGGCAAAGAATTGCGCAGTTTCCAGATCAACTTGGCCGCATGCTGAGTGGTGATCGTGGTGATGATAATCAACAAGAGCAGGGAGAACAAACGTTTGTATTACCACCAGGCGTTAAAATCCCCAAGAAAGTAGTTACACCCATCAAGGTTGAGCCCAAGGTGTTTTTCGCAAACGAACGCACCTATTTCTCATGGATGAAATTTGGTACAATGTTATCCACATTCTCATTGGCGTTATTCAACACGGGCGATGCAGTTGGTAAATTGAGTGGCGTCCTGTATACCTTGATTGCTCTTTCTACGCTGATTTACGGTGTTGGGCTGTATTACAGAAGAAGAGAGTTAATTAGGGCTAGATTAGCAGGCCCCTATGATGAGATGATTGGTCCAACTGTTATTTGTTTTACACTCATGGCTGCTGTAGGTATCAATGCCTATCTTAAATTTACCATACCTGCTCCTGGTTTACTCTATCTCTACTAATAAATGTAAATAAACACTCAGGGTCCATAAATACGTTGAGTAGAATGTTGGATAGTGTGCATTAAAATAGAAGCCTTTGTACAGATGCATCTATTCATAAATTAAATTTACCTTGTGTGCATTACGTTTACATTATCAGCCTTTATCACTATTGCTCACTCGAGCCCAAATGGTATCACGCCATCTCGCAGCAATGTATTGACAGCAAGGCATGTCTGCAATGTCAGGCGAAATGTCAGTGTTAATTGCTTCTGGCAAAGTTAAAGAAAGATGCATTTGCCATCGAGTATAGCATCAAATGCAAACATAAGACTAATGCATTGGTAATTCACTCGATAATTAGTACTGCACTGCATGAAATCCCGATATGAAACGATCCATTACGACAAGATGGATAAAAAAAAAAAAACGTATACGTACACAAACAAACTTATGCACTCCTTATATTAATATAAAACTTACTTTGGGTTGTCTCTTTGACTTTGTAGCAAGGATTGGAGTCGCTATTTGAGACATTTTTCTTCATGCAAGTGTATCATGGACCTTGGTAGTGCTTCTGTCAATGACAGGGCAGATGTCGACATCGGGATGTCAAATGCAGACTGGATGTGAAGCCTCCAACCCAGGGCAGGGCAAATGTTTATGAATAATTAATTTTTTCGTATACAATTGACATGTCTCCGCTTCTAAAAGTTGGCTTTTTTTTTTTACATACAGAACAATTGTAACAATAATTTATGTTCGACATCAACAGGGAGACAATGATGTTGAACATTTGAGTGATAGATAGAAAGAAAGGGAACAAAAAGAGGGGCACAAAAAAAGCGCAATGCCTGGATCAGCTAGGTTATATTTTGTGTATCACCACCAGCCCTTTTGACTACACTGTAATGCATAGTACAGATGGTTGTTGTTGTTTATCCAAGTAGCATTTCGTATGTTGAAATTTTTTTTTTTTTCAATGCCTTGTTTTTTCACAAGTCCCAAATTTTTTTCCGTATATAATACAATCAAACAAGCCATCATCTCTTTCTCTCCTCTCCTCCTGTACTCTCTCACCCTTTCTCTTCATCTCTGAAACCAATGAAAATGGAATCAAGTCAAGTATTCAATATGAATTCATTCATGTATACCCAAGATATGATGAGGTAAATTTTTGTAACATCTGACATGATTTATTGCTCTCCTGTCTTGATTCTTAACAAATGATCATCCATACGCATTCATAGCCATTCCACTCTTTTGTCTTCTTCGAATGCTTGCTCTTCATTATTCAATCAAACCGTCTCTCCAAAGGAATATCAAAAGAGAAAGATTAACCATCAGCAAAAGAAGTCAATGCCTTCTTCCTCCCCCTCGCTATCCTCACAAAAGCCAAGAAAAGTAGCAAAGTCCAAAAAGATCATCTTGGGTAAGCCATGCAATGGTAAGCACAAGATGAATCTTCAAGAGCTCAAGGCATTGAGTCGACAAATCAGACCTTATTCAGCTGCTGCTGCCACATTTACTTGTACCACTACCACTACTACTCCTGCTACTAGTGCTCCCTTATCACGACTGAACACCCACATCCGCAGTGAAAAAGATAGAGAGGAGGAGAGCGCAAAGGACATTGCACTACTGGGTAGAAGTCTTAGAGAGAGACTCTTCAAAGCAAAGTCGAAAATGATGGATAATCTTAAAAATTCAGAGGAGCCAGAGGATATCTTAATCTACAATAACCTTATCAAGTCTACTCTTCCTTCGCTTGTGGAAAACAGTAATAACAGCAACGCAAACAGTGATGATGATGAGGATGACTGTAGTAGTGTTAGTACCTTGTCCTCCATCCAACTGCGATTAGTGACTGATGCATCTGGCCGTGTTTCCGTTGTTTCCGATGATTTCTCATCTACTACCTCTTCCCTGTACGATGAAGGTTACAATAATGATAATTACCACCTCTTTGGACATGGTAGTACCTGTACTTCAATCGCGCCTTTATATACCCTCTCCTCCATGATGGATATGGACATGTATCTCCAACAACCTTCTTGGTATCAAAGCTGCCTCTCTGACATAAACAATGATGTGACCGAGGACCAAATCAACTCTTGGTTACAACGTGGTGGTCATGATGATAGCATCAACAGCCCAATCACAATGGCAACAGATCAAGAGCTTGCAGGTAAAGCAGCTTTGTTTATTACATGTTCCATCTACTGATCCTCCATTTATTAGATTTGTTAGAGTTCGACGCTATGTAAAATTGCCCATCTCTAGATAACACACCTGGAAACAAAGAAGCGTAGCATATAACACTAAATTATATAACATCCTCACACAAACACAAACACAATGCAACACAAAGCAACATACAAAAAAGAAAAAGCGTGAAAAAAAAATTGCAAAATACATCAAAAATATACATACTATACATACAATTCCCCATCCCCTTTCCCCTTATCTCTACATATATACACAGCTCCATTCATACATATAACATATTTATAAAACTCTTTAGTTTTACCCTGAAAAAATTAACATACGCTTTTTGAACCTTCTTTTTTTTTTTCTCAAAGCACAAATAAATCTAATATTCATTCTTCCATAAAAAGTAATATTTCAAGTTACATCAAGATTTCATTTGTCATGTTGCGGCCTTTTGTGATTATGTTGATATCATTCAATAATTTCCACATCAATCAGGGCATTGTATCCCTAATCGTGATGCCCATGGCCTGATTCCATGAGTAACATCTCGGCCCTGAAGCTTGTGTATATTAATTATAGGAGCACTCTAATTATTATCGTTATGATATTGGATATCGTCATCAAATAAATAGCAAGGAGAAAAAAATACACTGCATTTCTGAAGATGGTCAAAGAGTTTAGCAATGTGCATCAAAGCAACATTACCGAGATGATGGGCCGTTACTATCGTGCCCTGAATGATCTACAGGGCTAATTTAGCTCTACATACAAAAATGTCTGCTTTAACGCAAAATCGCGAAAAGCAGTGCAATTTTCCTCTCATTTCTACAACACCCCAATGGTTTAGTCTGCATTGAAGCATATTTTGCCTGATTATTATCTTTGTTAGTGCGTTGCCCTGAAAGATAATCAAGCAGCTTTGACAGATCAGAAAATGCCTGAGTTTGAAAATATTTATAACACCGATGTATCTTGCATTATAAAACGATCGACTTCAAGCACATATACCAACATTGCGTCTATTTGACAAAGATACAATCGTTAGAGCCTCAAATTTATCATACATTTGCTCTTGATAAACAGTGGTTTTTTTTATAAGTTAAAAGTGTACTTAAAATGACTGACTTTGACCCGAATTGACATGCTTCAACAATCATGCGTCACTTTAGGCAAGAGCGAGCACACGAGGCATTCAGCATAATACATTTAAACTTGCATGATTGTCTTTCTATACCATCTGAATGGGCAGTTTAGAAAAGAGACATGAATTTGTAAAAGGAAAGAAAGTATTTTTCCCTCAATATAGACAGTGGAAGATCTCTAGGTACAAGAGCGATTCAGGAACAAACATATTGCCAGACAGCATCCCAATCAAAGACACAAGCTGTAGCAATTGAATGCTCCAAATAAACATGAGTCACTTTAAAGAAAAATACTTTGTCGAGGCTTTTTTAAGGACATGACTCTAATGTGTATCATTTGGTATTCAGGCATGCAAAAGGCACTGATACGCAGTTCTTTCATTGAGGCTTGTGTCAATGATGAAAGCTAGTTTAGTGAGATCTGCATGAAATGAAGACAAAAGAGAACAATGGGACAATGCAACCTATTGTTTGATTTCTTTGATTATGAGATAGGGCCTTTTCTCTTTATTTTTCTTTACATGCCATATCTGTATAAATATACAGTTTATTTTTGGTCAGTTGCTGGTTTCGTATTGGATTATAAAACTTTTGTCAGCAGCAAATACTTGGAAAGATCTGAGCAATTGAATCATAGGTTTATGAAAATTGCTTCTCGAGAGGCACCTCATTACAGCGCCATGTCTAAAAAGAAGTTTTAATAAATGACATGCGTACAATTCTTGCAAGAACATCTCCTGGTAAAAGCAGAAAGAGCAAGCCATCTGGGTGGTGGAAGCGCTCTGTGAAATACCAGTACAAATAAAAAATATTTTTTTCTGGGCCATTTTCTTATTTCTTTCAAGTTTATTGTACTTTCCTTTTTTCTTTTTCTTTTTTCTTTCATTTTGCAATGCGTACAATTCGAGGGTTACAGATAACATCGCTTGTTGTCCTGTCTCCTGTACTGCTCATTATGATTTCACTCATTTCTATGCTTGTGATATCCATTTATTCACATGTAAATAGTTGGCTCTTTCAAACTGCTGCAACAACAACAACGACAGCTATAATTCCTCATGTATTACAACAACAACAACAACAACAACAATTGCTTGCAATTAGAAATGTATCGTCAGATATTTCAATTCCATATCAACGCAATCTCAACACGAACAAACAATTCAAAAAAATTCGACTGTTTTCTCGATTACGGCAATCACCAATGACATGGACCATTTTATCAATCGCATATGCAGTTTATATTATATTGAAGGTATTACAAATATATTTAGCTTTTATTTTCATTGTAGAAGGGAGATTCCAAAGGAGATTTGTATACAACAATATATGATTTCTAATGAATCCCTTTTATTTGTCGCTCCCCTTGATTCGCCCATGCATCCGTTGTCTGTACTATCGAATGAGCCAAAAAAAAAAAATCTTTTTGGCTTTAGACTTTGTTGTTTGCTGGGGTGGGGGTGGGGCAGGAGGGCGACGTTTTGTGTGGTGGAAGATCAATTCAAGCGGCGGATTATTATTTAGCGAAAAAGATTTTAATACAATTAACCCTAATTTTGTAGAAAAAGAGAAATACGATCAAGCAAAAGGATGTCCCAGACTCGAACAGCTCACCACAACTGATTGAACCTGCAAAACCGCTGAAGAAAAGATCGTCCAAAAGACGAAAGACCAAAAAAGTAACATCTGCAATCAATGAACCAAGACACAGGCCCCGATCCATTCAAGTAGCATCTTCTCCTTCGACACCACCAGCAACAGCGACTATTGTAAATAAATCAGCGGCAGAAGAGAAGCAAGAAGCCGAAGTTGGCCATTGGATAAGCGTTTCTAGTGCAAAGAAGAATCAACCAAAGAAAAAAGAATCAAATGTAAATACTGACCCTGCAACTACTACCCACTTTTTTCCTTCTCCAACATTCTCTTGTACATCATCCACCAACGAAAATGTCAAATCTGTACAACAGCCATTGAACTTGTATTCTCTTGAGCCTACACCTGTCCATAGTGAGGATGAAGGCGATGGATTGATAGCAAAAGAGACAGCAAAGAAGAATTGGTACTCTCCGTTTTCAACAGGCTTAGATTTGGACATCATACCTAAACGAAATCAAGCTGACCCTCTATGCCTATACAAAGTCGATTTCAATTACAATACTAACATACCCAACAAACGACCTTTCCGTTCCTTTATTTCAAGCTTTCGACCTCCATTGTCCAAGATAGAATTGCTCGAAAACCATCCATTCATTCCCTCTGCAAATACTAAAAACCATCGCAATGCTTTTGGCCCCATTGGTCATAAAGTGTCTGCTTGATCATCATCCACTCCCTCCATCCTTTTTTTTTACATTTTTCTTTTTGTTTATCAAGTGAAGGTCAATAAAAAAAAGAAGCATATCACTTGTCAAAATAACATTTTAATTTTAGAAATTGGGTAATTTTCAGATGCACAATTTAACAATTTACATTTAAGGAATAGCATTAATATACGGTTGCAAATCATTTGAAAATCACATCAATTGATTTATTTATATCGATATCAAATCTGTTTATCATTGTTGCATGCATAGTGTGATTGCTACTTGCATTCGACGACAATGACCCCATAAACTGTTGCGGCAACTGCTTAGATTTTGCTTGAATTGATCATTTGCCACACTAAGCGATAGCGCAAACCTTAAAAACCATTTAATTAAAACTCTCATCTGACAATATACACCATATTAGTGTGCCTCTGATAATTGCTGTATCACGCCAATGCATGAACCATCACTTGAAAGAGCGCAGCTCTGCTTCCAATGCCCAACGATTCGTTTCATACAACGGATTGATGCTGTTATGAGCTGCCATCTTTAGCATTTAAAAATTGCATTAATGTAATCTTGATCCCATTGCAAACGTATACATTTGCTTGGCTTGTGCTATTGTTATACTGGCTTACCCACTCATCCTATGATACTTTTTCAAGTCAAACAAATTGGCTAATAAATATATACAATTGATTTCGACGATATATAATACTTCTGACAGAAGTTGCTAGCCTCAAAAAAAAAAAAACTGTTATGCGTTTAAGCAATCATTTGTCTATAGAAGCTAATGTGGCTAATGAGGTTGTCCTATTCAGCTTTGTGAATGTTGCATTAGGAATGTTATACAATGTATTCGAAATTGTTAGTATTCATACAGAAGAACAATGGCGATTTAGAAACAAATGCTTCTAGTTTAAGCATTGAACTTGAGGCGTCATCGTTACTCAAGTTTATTTTTATTGATTGAAAGTGGTTTTCCGCTGGAATCGCTTGTCCTTTTGATACAAGACGCTCCATAAACAGGATTCTTGTATCTATTTGAATAGTTTGCGCACAGTGTCACTTCTTTTACATGTATCAACCAGAGTCTACGTAGTCTACGGAGAGCCGAGATTTGATACAGCCGAAAATGATGTGCTACATGTGATGTATCTGGTGTACCGTTTTTTCATCAATGTCCAATCATTCCATACTACTTACCAAATGCTATTATAATCACAAAGAACGTGATATGCTAGCAATGAGTGATGTGGAGATCATTTATCATTGAAATGAGGCGCAGTGATTGCACAGCCTCACATGCACATCTCGAGTGATTTGCAAAAACGATGCAAAATCACTGCAATAAACACATTAAGAAGCGAACTTGAATACTCTGTCTTTTTGTTTGAGAAACAGACATCTGTTGAGGCAGTTGATCCCATAGACATACCTACCAAGTGATACCTTCAAAGGCATTTACAAATACACTTCAAATCATAGTTCCGTTTGGTGCGAGGGTGATCTACATACATTCTCAATGTGGACACTTTTTGTACCATGTCCAACCTCAACCTTATATGCCATTGTCAAACCTCTGAACAACTCTAAATAGATCGATAGTTCCGTCTCTTTTCCTGTAATTTTCTCTTTCTCTTTCTCTTTCTCTTTCTCTCTCGTTTCTAAAGTGGTAATGTCTCACCAGCTGCCTGATGAAAAGTGCTTTCAAAACCTCCCTCAAGAGGAGGTTAATGAACTCGTTGAACTGCAATCAAGGTTTAACGGTGCCTATGACTCCAGGGAATATGAGACTCTGGTAAATACCTTGGTAAACGCATCACTGGCAATACTTGATGGTACCATATCCAGCACAATTGATGTCCGTAGGGCTCTCCTGCCGATTAAAGAAGACTGCCTCATCATCTACTTGGATCGAGAACTACCGCATTGGAAGCATCATATGGAGAATACACTCAAGCACAATGTTCTCAATCTGTTGAGGATGTTTTTGCGGAAATGTCGATTGGATCTATCAGTATTCTTTCTCATTGACAATACCATAAAGAATCCTGATATCACCACAGCTTACCACGACTTTGTAGCACACTTTTACCTCAAGAGCCACAAAGGGTGCCGTGTATACAACGTTTTTTACGACAAGAAATGCAGACCGTTGAAGGAGGCCAGCGAGTCGACAGCTTCAACAACGACCATCATCCCAACCTCCATTGTCCCAAAAAGAAGAGTGGTGAGTCATATCGAAAATGAGCTCAAGAGGATGAGGAGCTTCTCTGATTTCATACAATCCAGAAAGAGAATGCGGATTTATCAAGCAAGTAGTAGCCACAACATGTTCATTATCACAACAGAAGAGCTCAAGATTTGTGTGCCGCCATTGGATTCCATCATGAGAGGACTGGGAGGCATCGTCAGCGTGGACTACAGAATTAATGTGTTTCTGGCAACTTATCTGGGTACTCTGTCCGCATTTATACCCACATTTCAAGACTTTGAAATGGCACAAAAGGAGGGGATGTTTGAATCGGATATGCGGTATGGCGACTTTAAGAACTTTTGCACATCGTCGTTTGTGCATGTGGAAGACTATGATGAATATCTCTTTAACTTTGTGGTGAGTGCCAACGAGTATTTCTACCAGTATTTCAACGCGTTTTGGAGGGATTTGACAAACAAGCTGATGTTTGAACCTGTTTCGTTTTACTTGACATGTATGGCCACAGTCTTTTCGCTACTTTCGCTGATTCAAGTGCTGCAGAACGCAAAGATCATACCTCCGTTATACTAATTTTTTTGATAAAATAAAGCATTAAAATTATCCAAATAAGGGGCCATGTCAAAAAAATGACATTTAGTTGCTATGGATTTCCTAAATATCTTCAGTGTGGAAACAGGCTTTTTTTTTTACCGCATAATGTAAACAAATGCACCACTTGTTTCAAACCTTTGATGCTTTTGTATGAAATAAGCAGACGAAGGCCATGCCATTGCGGAGCGATACATTACCTAATCATCGCTATCGACTGAATCTTTGTCGTGACCGTGTGTCTTTGATCAATCCGAGGCTATACAAACAAGAGGCATTTCTAAATCACATGGCACCTTTTTCTTTCATCTTTTATAAAACAATATATAAAAACGTACATTATGCCCGTCGCTAAGGTTTCTCCCTCCATGCTCTCTTGCGATTTTGCCTACTTGGCTGCAGAGGCCAAACGTATGGAAAAGAATGGCGCTGAATGGCTTCATCTTGGTAAAGTCCATATTTCATGTTGGCCTCTTTCGTGTTTTCAAAATAGAAACTGACACTTTTTGCTCTTTCCTAATTATAGATGTTATGGATGGGTAAAAAAAAAAAAAAAAAAAAAGCACTACATTGTCACTGGTTTTATCAGCCATTGTATTAACCTGTCATTTAGTCATTTTGTTCCTAATCTTACTTGGGGTGCTCCTATCATCTCTGCCATTCGTCCTCATACCGAAGCCTATTTTGGTAAAGTAGACTCGAGGCGTCTTGAATAAGAGCCTGTTACTGATGAGACTCTTTAGATTGCCACATGATGGTTTCAAACCCTGCTCAATGGGTGGATGATATTGCTAAGGCTGGTGGACAAATGTACACTTTCCATATCGAAGCTACCAAGGAACCACTGGCCTTGATCAAGCAAATTCATGCAGCCGGTATGCAAGCTGGTGTCGCTATCAAGCCCAATACTCCCATCGAATCTGTTTTGGGTGAAGTTGCTGAAAACTGTGATATGATTTTGGTCATGACAGTCGAACCTGGTTTCGGTGGCCAAAGATTCATGGCTCAATGTATGCCCAAGGTGGAGGCATTGCGTCGTAAATATCCCAAATTAGACATTGAGGTTGATGGTGGCCTTTCTCTCGAGACCATTGATGCCTCTGCTGATGCTGGTGCTAATGTCATTGTTGCCGGTACTGGTATCTTCAAGGCCGAGAAGCCTGATGAGGTTATCTCCACTTTCAAGGAAAAGGTCAACAAGGCACAAGAAAAGTTTGCATAAATGACATGTTTTTTTTTTTTGTCGTCTAGGGCATGTATTTTTAAATTAAAGCATGATGTACTTTTTTTTCATATGATACATTGGAGAGGGGTTTATTTAGTTCTTGGGAGATACAGGGCGATAATACATGGTAGTTACATACTGAAAACAGAGTTAGCCGTGCGCACATGTGCCTCGAGTACCGCAGACTCACCTTTTTACGATATCTCGATGTTGTTGCTAATGCCATAACATTGTCTTTGATGGAGCAAGCGTACAAGTGGTTGAGGGTAACATGGTTGGGCTCGTGCAAAACTGAATTGTCTTCCTCACTGACAGTATGTGAGTTCAGCAAAACTTTCTCTAGATGAGGCGGCAATCCAGGTGGCTGCGGTTGCTTCTTTTCCCATTCCAACAGAGTTTTTCTCTGCTGCTGTAGTTCCTCGTCGTCCTTTTGGTCGTTGTTTGACATGACAGATGCCAATTGCAATAATTCAGGGGGAATCACGTTGGAGTATTTCTTGTTCTCGACCATTGATAGGGACCCTGATGACGATACGGTCGATAAATCGTTATCTCCAAATTCGTCATTGTTCTCTTCATCGTCTTCGTCCAACACTTGCAAGTAGTTGACTAGGTTTCCATCAGGATCCGTTGCTGTTTCCATATCGTTCGAGCATTTCCATTCATCGTCCACAATAAACTTGAGGCGGTGAGTGCCAGGTGGTAAGTCCAATACTGCACTGAAGTCATGCGTGCTATAGCCAAGCTGCTGTTACTCATCTCTTTCTATGGCAGTGATGATGATCCATCTCAATATATATATATATATATATACCTTTTTACCAATTTGATCTTGTGTTTCCAGCCATTAAACGTTCCGGTTATATAGACATTGTTACCACCCTGTGTCCATGTAATGATCGTTGGTACACCTAATCCAGTCGTCATTAATCATATGCTGCCGCTACCTTGTTTCAATCTACATGTAACCCTACCCTGATTTGTTGTCGGTGTTGTTGTTTTTGTAGCTGCAGCTGTTGCTGTTGAGGCATTTGATGCTGCTTGTGTGCTGTTTGTTGGCGACGTTTGTTGAGTATTGCTAATGCTGTTTGCTGCCGTGTTTGAGCTTGTCGATGTAATGATATTTGTCAAATCTTCATCGTTTTCAGAGTCACGTGTGACACTCATGCCGCGTGTACGATAATAAGGACCACTGATGGATGCACGGTGATGTGAGGACGAGGTGGAGGATGATAAGGATCCGTACCAAGGACTGGCTGCCCCAGTACTGGATACCCAGCCTGATTTGGTATTAGACACTGGCACAGCTTTTGAAGGTGTATTGGCTACTTCTTCAGGCTCTTTGTCTCCCTCTTTCATTGTATCGATATCCTCTTGAATAGATGGTTCTTTGGGAGACCAATGATGCGTAGTGGGTGGTATTGGCTCAGGCTCTGATACTGTATGAATAGGCTCTGTCACTGAAAACTCAAATGACTGCGGCTGCTTTGTGATAGAGGTTGTGGAGGATGATGTCGATGTGGAATTAGAGGTCGGCTTTGGGTTGTTGGAAGTTGTACTACTACTGCTTGCTCGTCTCTCTCTTTGTGGTGGTTGATCTTGCTTTGTATTGCCTTGTCCTTGTGCTTGCTGTTCTTTCTGTTGTTGATATGAAGCAACCACGTTATTTCCTTCTGTCGAGTTCGTATTACCCATTGACTATTTGATAAAATTAAAAAAAAAAGGAAAAAGAGAAAAAAGAAATGAATAGGGTATATTTTGATAAAGCCCGATTTATAGGGTTTTGGGATTATTGGTGATGGCACCAATCAATTAAATCAGATTGGCATGTTTCAACACTGGATATGCAATCATGATACGCTTTTACAGATGTACGTTTTGCTTCAGCTTTGTCTTGTAGAACTCTCAAATGTGGGCCATACAATGCAATCAATTGTTCATATTTCCAGGTGCTTCAACTAGTTATCACTGATGTCGCATTGAAAAGCTTCATAGCATGATATCAAGCGTTGCAGCTTCTCAGAATCAAAACAGTGAGCAGCTTTATAAAGCGATGTTATGCAAGTATCAAAAAGCGCTTTATTGCATGCAATGGCAGTAGATCGTATCGAAGGTACACATTGCAATACCAGTTATTGTTCCAAGTGCTTATTAAAGCACACATGCTTTTACGCTTTGGGCGGTTCTCTCTAGCTCTAGAGCTTCGTTGAGCACTCATCTGCGATGCGGGGACTCGTGGTGTCGGTCGCTTCCACTCATTTTATCAAAATACTGTAAGCTTTACTCAATATCCTACGAATGCAGAGCTCTCCATCTTACAATACCATGGAAGAAGCCTCCAAGCTTATAGATTTGACTCTTCTGTGATATTCCACATCTATATCAATGGGAGCAAATCATGTCTGGGCAGATAGCATAATGGGGTTATCCTTGACTACTGAAATATATGCAATTCACTGCAAAATATGGATACCTTTGGACCGTGTTTTCTCGTGTTAGAAGCCCTTTTAAACGTCCAGAACTACACCAAAGAGTTGCTCTCATCCAGCACTTACTTGCTAGCATCTTTGCTCAGTTTTTCTGGGATCGTCGAAAATCGCCTCCAGACCATGAGGGATACCTCATAAAAATCATCAAAAATCAAACGATCGCTTTTTTGACCTCCAAAATGAAGACTTTTACTATAGTACATATGCAATCAAAATGTTCTTGTCGATCCAAAGCAACCCCTGAAACATTGCTTGTGAGGGCTTTTATATGTGAGATTTCGACATACTGGCAGAAAACCTCATTTTAATTTTTCGTGAATTACTCAATAAATTTATTCGAAATATCTTTTACAATTAGTACCATTGGATGCACCTTGAAAAGTGCCCCAAGAAAGCTTAAGGGAGCATGAGATAATCACCACACTTCACATAGTCGAATCCTGCAAAATAAATCAATTGAGTCGATTTTGCGCAGAATCCGTCCAATCTTGAGAATGTGGACATCGGGGATTCAATTGAATTTTGATGGCTGCTGACAAGAGCCATACCCTCATTTTGAAAGTAATTGATACTTTTGAAAGTTCATTGCGTATTGAAAAAGTGCTATCCGCTAGTCTCTTGTTTTCATCATGCAATTTTATATCCAATAACACCAATGATCCTGCCATACTATCCTTTTGTTAACGCGCTTTATAAGCATTTAGTAGGGAGTATAAATTACAAATCATGTCTTTCATTTATTCAGTCAGTATGAAACACAAAAGGTCTATTCAATCCTTCCAACTCTAGTGCTTTAGGTAAGCAGGATTCTGTTCAAACACCTTGTTTAAGATATCGATCAACCTTAAAAGTGCTTCCAGCCAGCCTCGCATCAATGCTAAAGATGCTTCATTCTGCACGCCAATGTTTTCGTAAAAGTCTTTTCTCCAAGGACAAGCGTTCATGGCAAGCTACAATATCAATCATGGGTCAGCTTCGTTTGTCGTTTGATCTTTTTTTTTTTTTTGCCATACATTAAAAATCGGGCGAACAATAAAACTATGATGAGGTCTCAGCGTTGTGTCATACGCCAAGGAGAATGAAACAGTTAGCTCTTCGCCTGGATTGTTTATGCTATGCATGAGTGATTGCGCTGTAAAGTCAAGGCCTCTACATTACCGTACATCAGCTGCTGACCCTATCAGATGTTTGCACTGCGCATACCTTTTTAACCAAAGCAGTGCCTCTGTTGCCAAGCGTCTCTTCAAGTGTGCTTCTTTGGCCATCAACAGTTCCAATGTATTGTATTCCAATGGACTTTCCAAGAAGCGAGCCCTGATTTTCTTGACATTGTTGCTCATGTCGTTTTGAACCACGCTGAATGCACTGCTTCCAAACAGGTCTAATATTGCATTTGCAAAGCACCAAGTTAATTAAATATCTCTCTTCACCAATAACAAACACTTGCCAAACATGTTGATCATGCCATCGGTGGCTTCAAGAAACTGAGCTGTATCAATGCCATCACTTCCAACATGTACATCTGTGTATGAGCGTGTAATCACTTTTTGAAATGCGGTTTGTTCTTCAGTCATTTATTTTATGCAGCCCAACAAACGAAAAGGAAAAAAAAAAGGAAAAGTTTTCCGGGTAAAATAGAACATCCTTTGAAGGGAAACTCATGCCAACACGTGATGATCGTCATGGAGACAGAGTATCTAATCCCAATAGATGGTTTAAAGTTCTGCACGCTAATTCCTCTCTTTCTTTTCTTCTTTCACTTTAACCACATCACATCACACCATGTCCAATTATACAACACGCATTGAGGAATCGCCACCACCTTTTCCAGCAAACGACGATCCAGAAGACATTGGATACACATCCACATTCTGGATTGGCCTCGGTGTATCCGTCATTACAAACCTCATTCAAGCATTTGCGCTATCATTTCAACGAAAATCACATCTCTTGAATGATCTCTTACCTCGTGAACTACGACGAAGTGCATACAAACGGCCCATGTGGTTATTTGCATTCCTCTCTTTTCTGTTTGCAAATACCGTTGGATCCATCTTCTCCATCGGATACCTGCCCATTGTCATTCTAGCGCCCATCGGAGCCATGAATCTTGCCTTTAACGCATTTGCCGCAAATATTGTGTTGGATGACCCGCTATCAAAGCAAAGCATTCTGGGTAAGTCTCTGATTTGTTTGTTTGTATTATGTGTGTGTGTGTGTGTGTGTGTGTGTGTGTGTATGCTGATGACTATTATCAGGAACTGCATTTATTGCGTTAGGCGCATTGTTAGTGGGATTCTTTGGTGTGATACCCGAGCCAAATCATAGCTTGAGTGATTTGATCCAACTCTACAAAAAGTCAGGCTTTATCATTTATTTTACTATTCTGGAAACTATCATTGCTGCATTGATGCTTGTAACACATTACCTGGAATACCGTTGTGTTCAAATCGAACTCAAGGAGGAAATGGAGCATAAGAAGATACATGGCTATCCATTGACAGATTTGAAGCGTTGGATTGGAATTAGGTAATAAGCTTGAATGGCTACTCCAAGAGTGGAAAATCCCCACTCACCAAAAAGACATCTAGTTATGGCATTCTGTCGGGCAATGTGAGCAGCCAAAGCATGCTCTTTGCAAAAAGCGGAATAGAACTCATTATTATATCCATTACATCGCAAGAGAATCAGTTGCAGTATCCCTTGACATGGTTCTTGCTGGTCATGATGATTTTGACAGGTGGACTCCAGGTAAAAGCATGATACAAGAAAGACTGGATGTGTAACACAAGTGCATTTTAATCTTATTACTTTACCACAGCTATTCTACTTGAATAAGGGTCTGCGCTTATGCGACACCATGGTCCTGATCCCGCTGTCGTTTTGCGCATTCAATGTCTCGTGCCTGTTCAATGGACTCGTCTATTACAATCAATGGCATCGATTTGAGGTTTGGCAGTTGATGAACGTCATTTTTGGCGTGATTGTCACTGTGTTTGGCGTGTTGCTACTGTCATGGCAGCAGGAGCACAAGTCGGGAGCCGATGAGATTGGTACATTGCTTTCAGAGACAGACCGCTTAGCAGCGGCGGTGGATGAAGATGGCTTTGACGAAGAACAAATCGTTTACACAGAAGAAGACTATGACGATGAAGATGCTGATCAGGATTATGCATTGAATCATTCCCAAGTAAACTTGCTGGTCAAGAAGAAGAAAAACAAGCATTTGGCCGACAACACGAACGGTAGCATCCATCTCTAAGCGAATAAATTTTTTTTTTTGCCATGTGTATATATATATATATACAACATCCCCAATGGCAAGTGACGTGAATACGGAAATGTCTCAATTTATAGTACAGTGATGTATAAATTGCAATTTGGTCCCAGCAGCAGACCTGTGTGGGCTATATTTCTATGAGTTTTTTTCCCTTTTTCTTTTCCTTTTTCTTTTTTTCTAAAAAATATCTTTTTTTTAAACCTTTTTTTGCTATTTCTCTTCACATCTCAACCGAACAAGGGTTAAAGGAATTCCAAAGAATCACTAACAAAAAGGTAACTATGACGCTCAGACAGACAAAAGAGCATCAATTGAAGCGAGACACATGTGTAGAACTTTTTTTTTATCGCCTGAAAAAATCAAAAATACAAAAATGACTTCACACGAAACACGCTCATCACACACAACAAGGAATAAAGGTTCTGCTTCTGACCAAAACGACCTCAAGAAACTCAAGTCTAAATATTCTGCAAAGCTACCCACCCTCAAAGTTCTATTCTCTGACTGGTCAGACGACGACCTCTTATTTGTATTGGAAGAAGCAAACGGTGACCTGGATTTAACCATAGACAGAATTAGTGAAGGTAAGGTGCTTGGTGTGTGTGTGTATGAGAGAGAGAGAGAGAGAGAGAGTGCGTGAGAGCAAAACAGTCAAGTCTAAACATGCTACATCCATAAAAAAAAAAAAGGACACGCTAATCAATGGGGCGAAGTAAAGACTAAAAAGTCAAAGAAAGAAGCACAAAAAGCAAAGGCTGCAACCACAGGTGTCTCTCCACACCAACAACAAAGTACCATCACTCCATACCGTGATAGCAAAACCACACAACAGAGAACATATAACGACAGAGCTCCTCGACCCGGAAAAGGTAAAACGAAAACATGTGCTGTTTGGTCATATATTAATCACACATTTCATTGTACAGCAGCACCATCTAATACACGTACACGTACACCAAAGACAAATCATGTCCAGCCCGTATCCTGGGACAATCAACCCAAGTCAACCCATCATGAAGTAACCTCTGGCTCTTGGGCATCCATCGCATCCTCAAAGCAACAACAAGACGACACGAACGATGATGGTTGGAACAACTCCAACGGCAATAATAATGACTCCTCTGCCGCCGCTGCCGCCGCTGCCGCTGCCACTGATGATTGGGCCCCTGCCCCAACTACTTCCTCTAATGATGATAATGCTAATGATGATCAACCAAAGACTTGGGCAAGTCTTCTCAAGTAAGTTGTTATAAATGTGTATATGTGTGTGTGTATTGCAAGGGTAGACATTAATTTTTTTTTTTTTTTGTTACTCCCTAAAATCGTAATTAGGTCAAAGCCTAAAGTCGAAGAACCTGTGCCTACATCCAACGAAAACAACAATACCTCCAATACTACCTCCAACGAATGGGAAGCTCCCGCATCGACGTCAGATGCTTGGAATGCTCCTACAACATCATCTACAAGCGGCTGGGATGCCCCTAATGAACCTTCCGTTGATGAATGGTCTACCCCTGTTCACGAATCTACTCCTGTTGCCGACTCTACTGTCCCTGCTACTACTACTACTACTACCACCACCACCACATCTACCAACGTTGAGGAGCAAGAAGAACCATCCGATCACAAGGAACAAGTTGAAGCCGAAAGCCCAGAGAAGCAAGATGACAGTGCTGCTGTCAATGCTCCTGCTACCACTACTGAATCAAATACCATAAGCGGACGTCTTCTCAACCAAGAAGAGCCCGTTGTGTTACCAACCAGCTCATCTGCTGCCATTTCATCTTTGGATGTCAAGTTTGGTTCATTGAATGTCGATGATGAGCCTGCTGTCGAAGAAACGTAAGTGTCAAATGTTGCTGAAATTCGCGCTTTTCATGCTAAACAATTCATTTAGTGTCAAGGAAACCACTGTTGCCACCGCTGCTGTCGAAGAGCCCGTTGCACAGACCAATTCCGTTCCCGAAACTACTGCCACTACCACTTCATCCGCTCCCACAGCCTCTGCTGCTACTCCCACAACCACGAATGCTGCTCCTGCCACCATCAACAATGACACCTTTGGTCAAGCTTCTTACCTCAAGCAACAACAAGAACCCGCTTACCAACAACCTGCCACTGCTGCTGTGCCTCAGCAACAGCAACAAGCTCAACAGCAACAAGCTGCCCAACAAGCCCCTCAACAGCAGCAACAATCTCAAATTCCTCAACAACAACAACAGCAACAACCTCAAATCCCTCAACAACACCAAGTGCCTCAACAGCAACAACAGCAGCAATTTGGCATGGATCATCTCACTTCTGCTTACAGCTCGTACTTGCCTAACCAACCTCCTACCGGTGTCTCTGGTTTCGGTATGAACCCTATGGGTAGTTTGCCTGATTATGGAATTTACGGTACTGAAGCACAAAGAGCTGCTGCCATGGTAATGTACACACGAGTGTTTTATTAGTTTGTGTGTTAATCATAGAGTGTCTATTTTGTAGGGTTACTACGATCCTACCGCTTTCAGTCACTCACCTTCTGTCACTTCTGCCAGTGCTTACCAAAGTCGCGACAAGTACAGCCAAGATGCTGGTCTCCACGGCCAATCTGCTCAAAACCAAAGTATGCCTCAGCAACAAATGTATCCTACCAACCTCCCTTACTATCAATATTACTACATGCCCAACCAATTCAATGCCTACCAACAATCTGCCTATGGTCAGCCTTTCATGAACAAGAGTATGTACCCCAACATGTACCAACAGCAACAGCAACAACCTGGTAAGCCATCTGCTACCTCTGCTGCTACCGGTGCTAGTGCATCTCCCTATGGAAGTGCTGCCTCTCCTTATGGCCAGCAATCTCAGCTCTACAACCATCAATACGATGATTTACAGCAATTGGGTATGGGTCTGAATGATTATCAAAAGAGCATGTACGGCAACACTGCTCAACCTCAATTGCAAGGATTCTTGGGTGGTTTGAACGGCCAACAACAACAACCTCAACAGCAATCATCCCAAGGCCAAAACCAAAAGAGCGAGATTAGAAGCACTGCCAACGCTACTGCTACTACTCCTCAACAACAACAACAAGCACCTCAACAAGTGCCTCAAACACAACAGCCTCAGCAACCTCAGCAACAGCCCTACGCTGCTGGTGCCAACTACTTTGGTCAACCTCAAATGTTCTCCTATGGCCAATATCCTCAACAACACCACCAATTCCAACAACAAATGCCTCCTCAACAACAATCTCAACAACCTACTCGTCAACAACAATATTGGAATCAATAAGTCTCCCCCCCTTTTTTTTTGCTTTGTTTTGTATCATCATCATCATCTCTCTATCTCACCTTCAAATGATTGATTTTGTCCTTGTATTTATCACGTAAAAAAAAAAAAAAAAAAAAAAAAAAAAGATACTTTTTTTTTTTTTTTTTTTTTTTTTTGCCTTGCCTTACCTCACCTCACTCTCTCTTACTCACACACGTATCGTATACAAAATTCCATTTATCCCTTGTTCACATTAAAGTAGAAATAAATTTGCTTTCATAAATAAGATTATGTTTATTAGATGGGAGTAGGCACCACTTGTTCTTCCACAACGGTGGTGGTTGTAGTGGCTGTAGTAGTAAATGTGGTTTTTGTAATAGTTGTTGGTATTCTGTCGTGGATTTCTGTACGGCACAGGGGACTAGATGCGTCGCGTTAGAGTACACATTCATGCATTGCATCAGAACAGCTTACCATAATGTCAGCACTTTGGCACAACGACCTCCAATACCATCGTGTTTGCATGGCATCAGTATCGTGTTTTTCGGCTCAGAAAAGCAAATCGTACATAGAGGTCCATCCCAGTCATAGTCTTCCTCCTCCTCCTCCTCTTCTTCCACTTCAGTCGTACTATCAGAGTCGGGTGATGCTTGCTGTAATACTTCATCTGCCCCCACACGAGGCCGAAGTGGTGGTTTGTTCATGGGCTGGTACGATTTTCCATGTGATGTAACGCCTCGCTTCTTAACCCAACGCATCACTCGTTTCTCAAAGTCGTCATCCAGCACGCCAGCTTCATTGATGCCTCTGAATTTAGCTGTTGTAGGAGGAGGATACATCCATGCTTTCTCTCCAAAGTTGACAAGCGCTTGTTGATGTGTGGTTAAACTGATGGCAGGGTAGAGGCCTAAGCCTTTGGCTGGCTTTTTGCTGTTACGCTTTGAAGAATGTTCTATTAGACGCGGTGAGGATGTAGATGTCGTCAGCGTGGGTGAGGATGGGGAATTGGCGGTTTTTGGCGAGGAATTGCTGAGGCTGTGTAGTGTCGATGTAGTTGCAGTGGATTCGCTGAGGTTAGAGGATGAGGTTTCTGAGCTCTTGCGGTTCTGCTGTTGTTGGTGCTGATGTTGCGAAACTTGTTGTCGATGGTGTTTTTTTCTGTTGGGATGCTCAAACTCTACTGTAAGGCCAAGATCGCATCCATTGATGTAATATGAACAGAATCCATTGTCGAGATCGAGAAAACTTCCTATCACATCACCCGCTTGACATCGAATCTTGACTTTGCTTTGGGGATAAACAGCTGAGCCATCTGCCCAAACAGCCGTTCTATAGGTATCAAATGCAAATCCATTCTAGGACGTTGTATCAGTACATAATCAGCATGCCATCACGTATTGAGCTTACGCAATCATCGCCCACGCCGTAGCCTTCTTCTGGAGAGAACCTGCATCTGCTTGTGGCCCAACCGATTTGCATAATGCCGTTGCTTAGCAACAGTGTCTCATAGTACCATTTCTCTCTTTTCACGCAGGCAGTAGCTCTGACGGATTCAAAATGAGGTCTATCATTTCGAAGCTATATCAAATCTATGAGTGGCAGGCCCAGTTTAAGAGGGCTTGTCATTGCTTACTTCGAGTCCGTTGCCTCCAATTTTGAGGTGTGGTGTGGAATCAAATGGATTCATGATCACCTTGAGATTGGCTAAGTCCCATGGACAAGTAATCTAAGCAAATCTAGTTTAGTAAAATGCTAATAGTGCCATTTCATATTTTTAAAAAAAAAACCTGCCTTTTTTCCATCAATAAAGACATGGTCTAATGCCCATCTTGCGCATAAGCCTAACTGCACGTACTTTGCCCATTCTTCACGCAATGGACCTTTTGGAGGAATAAATCTCGAGTCAAAACTATTGAGATTAGAAAATGCTGGCACTTGATCTTCTGAAGCTGCGTTTGTTACTGTTGTGGTTGATGCGATGCCAGTAGAAGACATACTGGTGAGTGAAGATAACGTCAGTGATGTCAATGGTTGCGGGGATATGAGTTTTGGTTCATCTTCTGCCATCGCTAAAGCAAAAATACGTTCATTTGCAATTTCACATTCTCTGACAACTGACAGCAGCACATGTCGAATATTAAAATCGTGAGCGAGAATGATGTTTTTGACAGTGCCTGTTAGCGCAAACTTTTCAAGAGCCAGTAATGAAAATATGCGAACCATCAAATCTTCTTCTGGATCAGATATCGATTTCATCAACATGTCGCCTACATCTTGATGCCAAAGAGAGAGACACATTTCTCCCGCAAATTTCTCGGCTAGCAGAGACCAGAGAATAGCTGCATTAAGTCGTAGCTTTGTCTGCTCTGCGTTTTGAACAGTTGCCATGATGGTAGATGTTGTAGGCGGGTTGGTGGTGTTGTGAAATATTTGATTGCGAAGTGCTTCTCTTTTGCTAGCTGATCTTTCGATTTTGTATCGTCCCGATATCAGTGAAATCATGCGCTGAATACGGCCAGGTTTCTTGTTTAGTTTGGAAATAATGACCGGCGAAACTGAAGTCATGGTATCTCTTGAAGGTAATGCTGCTCGATCAATGATATGGCTAAGAAATGCCATTGCTACTGGGCTGTCAGGATCAAGATTACAGGTGATTGTTGCGATAAATGCGAGGTAACCTGGGCCTAAAGCATATATCGTGTGAATAACTGGCTCTATGTAAAACATCGCTGCTGACTATATACCTTCATATGCTAATGTAAATAAGGTATCTAATGCCTGCACCATATGCCTCTCTCTATCGTAGAAATCTGTCTGACTTTGATCTGAAGAATGTATCTGGTGATTCACTACACTGGAATTTGCAGTGGATCTCGATCTTCTAGTGTCATTGGAGCTTCTTTGAAATCCATCTATAGCATCTTGTTCTTCAAATTCCTGTACATGATTTTGTGCAATTGCTAAAATCCGCTTCCATGAACTTTCTACCATGCGTCCTGCTTGATCACTGACAGGCTTGAAAGCCAAATCAATATTTGGCATTTTAAACTTTTTTATGTCGAATAAAAGGGTTATAGTATCAAGAATGAATATATGATGTAAAAAGATGAAAAAGGAATATATCCTGATTGTAATGCATCCTTCAGCAAATTAAACAAGAGGTGGAACGAGGAAAAAAAAAACATATGAAGAAAACAAACAATTTGTCTCTCGATCATGGAGATTTCCCCCCGTCTAAAATCGAATTTGCAGCGAAAACAAGGCGATGTAACAAAAAAAAAAAAAAAAAATAGCCAAACAGACCTTCAGCTTAGCTGAATTATTGAATCAAGTATAGAACGAATTGACGCTTGTTGGTCACAAAGCATGTCAGACCATGTGTACAATGCAGGGGCATTTAATGAGAAAATAACCATAAATTGCTCTTTCAAAACACTTGAATCAAGGGATCATTTACCATGAATTCTTGAGAAAATAAATGTAAACAGATAAGCTGGAGTAAGGCGTTTCAAGAGATAGCATCAGCTTTGCGAATTGACGTGTTAATGAGCAGTGTACAATTCAAGAGCGTATTCATGGCAAATTCATTACTGGAAACTGCAATTTTGTGCAATTTTGATGTTTGGGTTAGAAGCGTAGAATGGAAGCACTGGCAAAAACCAAAAGACGGCGGCCATGCAAGGAAACATTAAGCATAGTAAAGCCAAATATTTCAAATAGAAACACGATTGGTAGCATTGGTGTACACTGAGCACGCACACAAACGGGAATATAATGGTTCAGAGCACTTTTTTTTTTTTTTTTTTTTTTACTATACTTGCTTTGGATCAGCCTTGGTCTAATAGGTTGACAGGTGATGGTACTGCCATAGGGTTCATTGAATTGATTAGATAAGTTGAGTAGCATGCATTTTGTTGCTCTCCAAAGTGTTCTATTGTATCCGATCAATCCTATTTGGGGGATTCATTGTACTTTCTGATTGTAGAATGAGTGCCTGCAGATCTTTAAAGACAACAATTCCCTTATTATATAAGCTTCCAATTAGTACAACCCCCGGATCTTACTGCACTTTTGCGTTGATTACAAATCAATACCTAAATGTATCAATGTCCAGACTATCGTTGTTATTCTGACAGGCAGCTCAGTCCTAGCAATGTAAAATCTGATGCTAGCGTTAACGCCATACATGTCATGCAGGGCAGCTCTAACTATAGTCAATTGCAGAACAACTTTCGCCTCAAGATGCAAGCCTTTTTAATTGTATCATGCGTTATCAACTCTAATTCAATTGGTCCAGATGACAATAGGTGAATTATTAAAATCGTCCAGCGACAAATCAACATGTTAACAAATATACAGGTAGTAAAGGGATATTATTCCCGAAATCTAGTTTATTGTATCTATGCAAAGGTAATGCTATCATCTTTTAAAGTCAAACTGAACTTTTTATCGAAGCTCTTCTTCAAATCTGATTTACCGGATTTCTTGTATTTGGGGTGCTTTTCGATCAATTCAATTGTCTTTTTACGAACATCCTTTAATGCCAATGATTTCTATGAGAAGCATGTGCTTGACATTAGGCCGCTTAGTATATACAAACAAACACAACTACTTACGCCTCCCTTCAAAATGTGCTTCAATGCGTTTTGCAAGTTCTTTGATTCGTCCTTGTCCAGCTCATCAGCACTCCATTCCGACAGGCTACTGCTGCTCTTTGACTTTTTAGATTTAGACTTTTCTTCTTCCTCTTTGTTAGTTTCGGCCTTTCTCTTCTTTTCATTCAATTGATCCACAATAGACATAGGTTTGGTGGTAGAGATAGCAGCCTTCTTGGGCTCTGGCTTGCTTTTGACAGGTGCGGCAGCAGCAGGAGCATTCTAATACAACAGAGACATTAGCCAAGCTGTTCCTGAATGACAAGCACAAAATGATCTCACCTTATTTTGATAGATGTGCTTTTGGAATTTCTCTGCCTCGGTCATACAAGAATTATGTGATTGATAAGATGTTCCTTGAAAAGTAGTTGAGCAATCGATACAGGTAAAAGTTGCATAACAACGATTGCCATGTTGATTCAACTTGGGTTTCTTGACGACATCGCCACAACCATCACATTGAAAACTATTAAACTTTAGCAAAGATATCATCATGCTTAAGGGAAATTGACTCACCTAACCATATTGAATCAAGCTTACAGAAAAAAAGTATTCAAAAGAAAAAAAAACTATAGAATTGTCAATATTCTCTATATTCATGTCAATGTTTAAGCCACCCTATCATTGCTGCCTTAGTGATGCGAAAACTGGTCACCTACTTTTGGTACCTGGATTTGCATAATGGATTGCATTTGCCTAGATGTTGATTAAGAGAATGGATAGAAGCGAAATAGCATCTATATTTATCTGCTGCTAGCACATTGAAGTATCTCAAAAGGTAGTTTTTGCAATGTCTTCATGTGTTTACAAGTGTAAAAGTGTTTCGATCAGTCTATGACCTTAGTTGAGACTCACATTGGCGCAATATCACATACCGTGTACCTTGCGAGCAGATTGGTATTGCCTGCTCTACTACCAAGTTGTTTAGTAACTAAGGATACAAGCTATAAGTAAAATGCCTCTCTAGAGACACATTGATTTTCATGTTAGGACATGTCATCGGCAGTTTAATGCAAGCTTGATCAAAAAAAAGCTTGAAATGTGTCACATTGCCGACCTTCTTGTCCTGGTGCTTCATATGAACTCACTCGAAAATAAGTTTACACTCCAGTTTCAAAAGCTATGGTCGAATAGGCTATCCGATTCGATCAACTGCCTCGCTGTGGGAAAGCCGTTTCTTGAAGAGCTCAGTGAAGAAAACGATATTCTCATTGGCACAACAGCAGGACGCGTTCTTATTCTGAATCAAACAAAGGTAGACCATTTCTGCAACTAAGCAACTTGCATTAAAGAACCTAACAAAACATGTCAGCCTGTAGAAGGCCTATTAGAAACGAAAGGAGGATCTATTCAATCTATCTTATTGCACGATTTGACTGGGTTTGGTGCACTGGATCTTGCTGTGGGAGATTGCGATGGCATAGTTACTCTATTTTCTCGACAACAGATTCTGAGCAAACGAGATTTAGGATCTGCAATTACAAATTTGAATATACACAGCGACTTGGCAGGTGGATGTGAGATTATTGCAGGCGATATCAATGGATCCTTGACCAGCTTTCAGCAGCATGATGCATTATGGAAGATCAATATAGCAGAAGAATCCGCTAAACTAGCAACATTGGGTGTGGTAAAGACTAGACGAGCCCTGAAAGAATTCGTTTTTGATCTTAATTAATTAATAGACAGGACGCAAATCACCTTCAATTCGATGTACACTTTCAACTGTTTTAAAAGATAGATTCGGGATGGACATGGCGTGTCTTTTAGTGTGTGATGGCTGGCCATTAGTGCATTTTATACAGAATGGAGAGAGAGTACTATCAATCAGATCGCCAAGCGTCATTCATTCGGTAGGTGCTTTATGGATTGATGGTATTCCTTACTAAGAAATGTACTTAGCTGTGTGCTGGAAACTTTTTAAATTCAAAAGATTTGCGACGATTCAAGGTCAACCAACACAATAAGAAAGGCACCGAATCACACAAACTAGATTACCAGCAAGTGCTGATGGCTGGAAAAGATGGGTGTGTGTACATCATGGTAGATTTTGAGGTATACTCTAGCCATATAACAAACGATACTGCAAGATACTCATCCCGGTTCAATGTTTTAGATATTCCAATGGTTCAAAGTTGGATTTTGTTTGGAAAAGATTATACGATTTCGTCCTTCTGCATTAGATGAGAATGAAACAGATATGATCATTTGTACCGGTCATTCAAACGAGGTATTGATTTACCAGAATGGAGAGGTAAAGTCTGGTCTGATTATAATGAATGCGTACTTATCTCATGACGCTGATAGCAAATATGTCATATTCGCACATCAGATTGGCCACATGCAGTTACCTTGGGCGACATCAATGCGGACGGGCAAGACGAATTGGTGCTGGGGCTTTTGGATCAAACTATTGAAGTTTATGAATGGGACATTAATAAAAGTTAAGAATGACCCTATATCTACTCGTATAGCCTTTCAATGTTCAAGTTGTTTTGTTTGGTATGAAACAGTAAAGCTAAATCGACCAGTGGCGGAATAAACATGATAAAGCAATACTTGGACTTGAAGTGAAGCAAGGGAAAAGTCAAAAGAAGGAGGGGGTAGTGCTTAATGCCGGCCAAGATGTACGTATCCTAGGCTGACAAACAACGAGACTGTAATTGGATTCTTGTTTGGAAGAGTTGCTGTTGAGAAACGGATGGTTTTTGAAATAAGCACTCTTTGAGAAAAGGCTTCATGTCAAACGTATCGATACTTGTTAATTGTAAACAATTACGAGTAATAGATTAATAGTTGAGGTGTTGCAAAACGCTGTATCTAAATCCACTTGATAACAAGGTGATTCATTGTGGTTTGGCAAAGTGTCAAAGCTATGCTGCGCATTTTATCAAGAATGGGAAATTGCTTTTTCACGTCCTATGTTGATGCTAAAGCCTTGGTATTAAGACTATTGTATGCCCGTTTGAAGGAGCTGCTAAGCATATAATTATGAGATAAACCTCCCCCCCAAAAAAAGTATTTGGGCTAAGCAATTGCCCTTTCAATTCTATGATCCCCATTTAATCAGTATCGCAATCCTTTATTATCATCAACAGAAAGGTATTTGGGCCAGCCAGCAGCAGCGACACCAGCCAAAAATAATTCAAACTCGGCTTTTTTTTTCTGTTCAAGATTGGACAGATTCTATCCTTTTTCGACTTCTTTAATTTATTTAGGAGATTCGACTATATAAGTTGTAATGATCACCCTACGCTTCCTAATACATTCTTAAAGTACTTTTCAAGGCGCTTCCAATGGTGCTAACTGTAATAAGTGTTTTGGCTGAAATTATTGAGCAATTTAATAAAATTTGAAATGATGTTTTTAGCGAAAATAACCATATTTTGCATATGAAAGCCTCATAAAAGTGTTTCAGAGGTTGCTTTGGATCGAGAGAAACATTTTGATTTTATATATACCATAGTAAAAGTCTTTATTTTCAAGGTGAAAAATGCAATCGTTTGATTTTCGATGAAAAACATGAGGGGTACCTCATGCTTTTTGGTCGATTTTTGTCCATGTTTTTTTGATCCTCAAAAAGTTGAGCAAAGGTGTCAGGAAGCAAGTGCTAGATGAGAGTAATTTTTTGGTGCTATTCAGACATTCTAAAATGGCCTTGAAAGCGAGAAAACGCAGCTCAAATGCGCTCAGGACTTGCTGTATTATACACACTCTTGACTAAAAAGGGATAATACCTGTATGATACTGGCCCGTATATGAAGTAGCTACGTGTATATGGATGTAGAGCACCACATACGAATCAGACCCACAGATAATATGAAGGGTTTCCATGTGTAAGTGGAGGGTCAAAATGAAAGTAGTAGTGTTTTGATAAGATACACAAGGGCAATCGGTAGGGCGAGCTGCCGCTGCGCAGGTTGGTTCTCTACCTTCGCCTCGCCTCGGTGAGAACCATCCAAAGTATAATCATTCGTATACTATTAATGAATTGTTTGATGTTTCTTGCGCCAAATGCTTGACCCAAGCCAAATAGGTAGTAATCAACAGGTAAAAACCCCATAAACCCTGTATTTTTTTGGTCGACCAAGAGGGTTTTATCTACACGTCCAATGGCTCAATATAACCAAATTAATGCAATCACTAAGAAAAGGATTTTCAAGAATTTACAGAGCAAAATCTCCAATGATTTGAAAGAAAATGTCACTTTGATCTCTTGAAGTTTTGGTGTCTGATAACCTCATCGTATTGAAAGCATAACCCAAAGCAACCACAGTCCAACCACAATCCAAAATGTATGTAGCGTAAGACTCATGATTTTATTGAGATGTCAAAAGCATTATATATAATGTTACAGATTGTTATTAAATATGACATAGAAAATATAGGAATATGCGTAAATTGGGGATAAAGAGAGAAACAAAAAAGTATGATATGAATTACAAGATGAAAGAATTGATTACAAGATGATTACTCTTTGTAAATACCAGCTTCCTCATCCCGCTTAATTTGTTCCTTATCAACAACATAGGTATCCTTGTAAGCCAACACCATGCCTTTGTTGAAGAGCTCGTCCATTTCCTCCAAGGAGCGACCTCTGGTCTCTGGTAAGAAAACATACACAAACACACCCATGATAACAGCCATAGAACCAAAGAAGAAATAAGTTCCATAGGTGATGTTGGTAATCATGATAGGCGTAACTTTTGCAATGGTGGCATTCATGGCCCAATTGAAAGCAGTTGTCAAAGATAGAGCCATGGCACGGATACGAGTAGGATAGATTTCAGAGCACACCACCCAAACAATGGGACCGTAAGAGAATTCGTATCCAATTGCAAAGACGTAGATGCAGACCATAGCCACAATGCCCTTGGCTCCAACTTGAGTTCCTGCAGCAGCAGAGATCTTTCCATCATTATCCCTCTCGATACCCAAAATCATACCACCACAAATGTAGAATGCGATCATCATAATTACTGAACCAATCATCAATGTACGTCTACGGCCCAGCTTGGTGTCAACCATGAAGAATGAAATGAACACAAAGGCGACCTTGACAATACCATATACACCCGTTGCCAGAATTTCAGTTTCGTTGCTATCGAGACCGGTTGATTTGAAGATTTCTGGCGCATAATAATTCTAGCAAAATATATATATATATATACATGAGATCCTTGTTTGCCTTGTGAATGTTGCCCTCTACTTACAATGGCGTTGGTACCAGTCCACTGTTGGAAGATTTGAAGCATGATGCCAATGAACAATCTATGCAGGTTGCTGCGTTGAAACAATTCAGACCACTTTCCTGACTTGGATTCTCTCTCAAATGCGGCGGCTGCGCTGATTTCTTGAAGCTCTTCGATAATTTCGGGATGGTCTTCAGGCAAATCACGAAGTCGGATCAAGTTCTTTTTGACATCTTCATCACGGCCCTTGAGAGCAAGCCATCTCAATGACTCGGGGCAGAAAGACATACCGACAAACAAGATGGCGCCTGGAGCAAGTTGAATACCAAGAGGAACACGCCACTGAGCATGGCCAGTGGGGATATTACGTAAACAGCCATAATCAATCCAGTAAGACACCATAATACCCAACACAATTAAGAATTGCCAAAGTGTACCTAAACGACCTCTCAGCTTACGAGGAGCGATTTCAGCGATATACATGGGCACCAACATGGAACATGCACCAATACCAACTATACACAATCAATGAATCGTCTGTCAAATAGCATATCGACATGTGGAATACGTACAACCACCAAAGAAACGGCCAGCCATCATGGTGGGAAGGTTTTGAGCAGCGACTTGCATGACTGAGCCAACGATAAAGACGAGTGTACTGAGAACGATAGACCATTTACGGCCAAAAGGATCTATGGTCGTATGTATGTCAGTCAAATGAATTTTATAGGAGTAAACAAGGAGTTGAACCTACCAGCCATGAAATTGATTAACAAGGCACCAGCGCAACAGCCAGCTTGTAAAACCGAGACAATGTCACCTTTCATATGAGCAATAGTGCCAGGATCACCTTGAATACCAAAGAAAGTCGAGAAAGTAGGCATGGCAAGCACACCAGAAACGACGCCTAATGAAACAGTGAGATCAATTGTCATGTTGTAAAAAAGGTTTTCAAATGGATCGCATACCAATATCATAACCGAACAGAAAACCACCAATACAGGAGACTGTAGTAGCAATGAACGAAAGATGTTTCATTATGTCAAATAGAAATGTATGAAAAGGTAAAAAGATGAAGATCGAATAAAGAATTGCTATTGCGAGAGAGAGAAAAAAAAAGGGGGAGATGAAGGCAAAGCAGAGGCATCTTTTATACTAAATTGGTTTGTGTGTGGACCCCGCATGAATTTTGAAAATAGACTTAATTTAGGGTAGCATCGTATTGATGTGTGTCTATATTGTACAAACAAGTGTCATATGAGTTGAGGATTTTTATTATCCAGAAATTCTCCTCAGGGTGTGTGTTCCCTGAAGCCATTATTCCGAAATGACAGTGCCTATTGTCTTGGTTTGCTGTGCTGCTAATGTAGATGTATTCATAAAACTGGCCGTAAACGAGAGAAAAAGGTACGAATTGACCGTATATTTAGATTTACAATGCATCTTTATGTGTACCTAAAATTAGCTATAATATATATATTTGGGCATAAAATAGATCTTGTTATAAGAAAGAGAGAGAGAGACAGCGAACCAACAGAATCAGACGGTGATCGTCATCATAAAAAGAAACATTCTATAGCAGCAACAGCAGCAAAGAGTGGGACAGAAAGCTGCGTCCTGTTGTGCATTACAATAAACGAGTGTAGGTATCACAAACCATTATTTTTCTTTTGGTTTTCCCACCAAATGTCTTGTGAGAAAACAGGAAACCTTTTAGTCATTGCATTATGACAAGCTACAAAGCAAATGTATGATGTGGCTATCCTATGCGCAATGTATCTATGTAAAATATGTAATTTTTTATTATTAGAGGTCAAATGCATGAGAGCAGTAATTGAAAGCGAGAGATAGAGAGAGAGAGACATGTTGCTTGATCTGGCAGGTACTTCCTCGGATTCGCATGTATAAGGAACTGACCCTGACTCCCCACAAAACATAGCCTTATTTTTCATCTCAAATTGGCAAGTCTATTCTTGTGTTCAGTTGCAGAAGGATACTGTCTGCGGCATACTATTCATCCATTCTTGAAAAGAGTCATGTTATGTGTTACTGAAAGCATGCTTCAGCCTTCATGCTAGTCTATTTGTTTACCAATATCAAAAAATAGCATCGCAATGATAGGAATGGTAATAAATATACTATAGATATTCTAGCAGCCATCGACTAGAAAATGTGCAAGGCGAAATTCATGCACAACCGACATGTACGATGAGGGATCTTGAGATCGGATCAAAAAAATGTCCTTCGGCAAAATTTAAAAGATCCTAGAAAAAGTACACACACAATGTTGCTGAAACAGCAACATTCAACAACGGTTTTAACCTGGTGTCAACTTTTCTTTGTTTGGTGTTTGTGTCTAGTATAGAAATTCTGCCATTTTGTCCTTGTGATTACCTAAGTCATTTGAAAAAGGCTGGAATTCAGCTAATGTGAATTTTTCATTACAAGAAACAAAGTTTTTGCCCGGATTTCAGGAACCGGAATAATTCAATTCTCCTTTGTTCAGTGTGTGGATTTGCCAATTGATGTTTGTAAATGCGAACCCTATTCAGGCAGACGTCAATACGACGAATGTCATGGTAATACATGAATGGACGTCTATTTTCAGTAGTCATCCATTTTACGTGAGAATCATTATCTTAGTCCTAGTGTAAACCTTCACTATTGCATTCATTTCTAATCAAAAAGTATGTATTAGTAAGAATACATTTTGAAATTGTAATCGAGTTAGATGAAGTGACAAAGGATAAGCAAAACCTCGTCGTTGGTAGATTTGAGAGTATCCTGCAGTATCTATTACATCTCATACTCTTACAAAGGTAGATGTATGAAACCATGGCAACGCTACATGTTGTATAGCGCTTTGATGTTTCAGCTTAGGAGCGGTAGATGTCAATAACATTAGCAAGTTTTTAATCGCCATGTTTGCATCAAATAAAGCTGCGTTCACAGCGTTTTTCTTTGCTTTCTCTTCAGGTTTATTTCACTAGAAGGTCAGCTTATCAGAACGGTACCTATCAAAGCTTTCATGGCCATCATGCCGCGAAAGGGGCAAAGTACCTGTAAGTGGCGAATGATAGACATCTCTTCGTCTCTTGGAATTAATCACAAAACGAAACATAGACATCTAGTATGATACAAAAATGAGCTGTACAGTCCTACATACTGCAATACTCATGGGTACTAAATATATTTGAGTGCCTTTACAAGCAATGGCTCTCCAAGATCTGACTTGTTGCTCATTTGTCCTCTTCTGTTTTAGAAGAATAATCCGCTAAAAAACAAAGAGAACGAGCTACTTGATTATGGTATATTTATTCCAACATGCCTCACCATTTCCAACGGGAAAACATACACGCAGGCCGAAAATTACCACTTCGACATCTCCTCCACAGTAAACAATCATCATTTATGTATAGCCGACAGGTAGTGAGTGCATTGATGTGGCATTTCGAGTTAAAAATGTATTCGATTTGTTGTAATCATACATTGTTGATGTATCTATAATATGTTTCACGGTCAGAGATGTGATATATATATATTTTTTTGTGATAGCACGAGATAGACTGCGAGTTTGGTCAAAAAAACTTTGGGCAGACAATGCTGCTTCATTCACAGTATCAAGACAATAAGAGATGAATTTGTAGCAGGTAGCACTGCGCGGTGAAGTTTTATTGATTCTAGCTACTGGAAAGATGATCTACAACCATGGCATCCATGTAGATTCCATTTGAGCCATCTTTTGTGGGTTGCTTGCTTGAGAAATGAGATCAATGACGTTTTGACTGATAGGATGGTCAGCACTCATAGTCTATCATAAAAGTTATTAGCATCTCTTTCCAGGTTGCCGTCTCACACCTTGTTCTCTTACCTTGTCATTCTCTGTTCTACATGACAGGAATTGTGCTTTTGTAATCACTTGATTGACATTGGCTTGCACTCTCTCACGGAACTGCGCATCTGTCACAGATCGATGGTTAGACATGTGCCATGTAATCAACTCATCCCGCACAAAGAGACTCAAGTATTGATCCAGTTCCAAATCAGGTTCAGTCAAGCTACGCGCAGTGGCCATCAAGCAGCTGGTAAACAAGCCTTCCACACCCACAGGCGTGATATAATCTTGAATATTGGGTGTGAATCTAAAAGGCACAGTCTCTCCGTTTCCAAGCATAGGGTTGTTTTGGTTCCATCCAGGCAGTAATTCAGTCATCCAGATGCTGCCTGTCTCACGAGACATGGTGATTTTGTGAGGTGTACGGTGACCCACGCTGAAAAGATAAGACATGAATGTGGCAGTAGCATATTGGGCAATGAATTGCTTTCGATGCATCCAGTAATCCGTGTAAGATCCAAGGGTACGCAGCATATACTATATAATTGCATGAATAACATGTCCTATCAAAGAATGTAACATGCTGTACGAACCTTGCTCAAGATGTTGGCAGGCACCATATTCTTTGCAATTTCTTGGTTAATCTCCAGTCTCAAATTCAACATTTCTGTCTTCATGCCCACAACCTATGCAATGGCAAGTCAGTTCAGTTCCCCGTGTAGACATCTCTTTTTTTTTGCGCGTGGCACTTACATCTGTCGTCTTGTTTGCATTGTTCTTGAATTTTTCAATGAAATAAGCCAGTGGATCGTCTTTGTGCATATTCGTACTATCGCAGTGATCTTCATACACATCATACAAGGTACAGTAAGAAGGATCATCTTGCACCATACGCACATTGGGCGCCAGAGGCACAATAGCAGGTAAATGGAATCTCAGGTTTCTAGCACGACTCTCCGTTTTGCGCTCCAAGACACCATTCAAAATTCTAAACAGCTGCATCAATCGCTCCTCACGACGGAACTGACGCGCAGCAGGGTTCTGAATGACAAAAGGATGAAGACTGCCATCATGGCCACGAATGGTCAAACGACGGAAACAGTTGCCATAGCTACGCACCACTTCTACTTCAGGCAGGAATCGATCAATACGCAAAAAGTCGTTGGCGTTGTCCTTGAGCAACAAGTATTGGCCTGGAATCTCCACATCGTCAAACTTTTGGTGCTGGAATTCCACAAGATAATGGCTGCAAGCTTCCAGTTTCTGTTTGCGAGGACGAGCATCCAGCATGGCCTCAAACTTATCACGCCATAATCTCAGCTTGGCCACGTATTCCTCTAAATTCAATTTGGTGGTGGCGAAATCATGTACAAAAGCAGCCTTCATGTGTCCTGGATACAGACTATCGGCAAAACGAGCAATGTTGCCAATGGTGGCAGATGTCAGTTGCAAGGTGTCACTGGGGTTCATCAAACGAGAGAGCAATTGCTGAGCGCCTTCATTGTACAAGGCCACGACGAGACGATACATGTCTTCATCTGCTTGAGGCTTGAACTTGAGTTGGATTTGATCCACCATGGTTTCCATGGATAATGCCAAAAGTGGGTATCCCGTCTTGAGCATGGCCATGATTTCGTCCAACGGATGAGCAGGTGGCCCGGCAGCAGTAGTGGGTGTGCCTGGGCCAGCAGCGCCATTAGCAGAAGTAGCTGTAGTAGCAGCAGCAGCAGCAGCCATGGAAGGGCCTGTCAAGATGGGAGGAGGTGGGGCCTTGGTGTTGGCAGCTGCAGCTGTGGGCTCTAATTTGACTTCTTCTGCAGCAGCCGATTCCTCCTTTTTGCTGCTATCCTCGTCAGCTGGTTTCATTTCCGTATCTGAGTCCACCTTTTTGCTATCAGCAGCCTGGTCTCCATTCATTTCAGGCGTCTTTTCCTTAACATCCACATCCATTGCTTCCGTCTTGTTTTCATCTTTGATAGCATCTGTAGGCGTCTCCTTTGCTTCTGGGTTCTCACTAGGTGTTTCATCCTTCTTCTCCTTGTCACCAGACGTTTCTGTCTTGGAATCAGCACTCTCCTTGTCCTTCTGAGGCGTCTCTGGCTTGCTGGTGTTGGTATCCAAAGCAGATGTAGGTGTTGAGGTAGAACCAGCAGCAGCAGCAGCAGCAGCAGCATTCTTTGCAGCATTTGCAGCATTGGATCTTTTCAGCATGTCTTCTTTAGCCGTACGAAGTTGAAAGTGCAATGCCTAACATTGTCATTTCAGATGAGTCCATGTGTATCCATCATTATCTCCATGCGCATTTTACTTACCTGAGGAAATTGCTTTGCAATACGAATCAAGATGGCGCGCGCATGCTTGGCTTCTCTTTGTTGCAATCCCATCAATAATTGAGGAATGAACGTGATCCAATACCACACAGGCCATTCACCCTTGTACCCTTCAAAAGCACGCGAAATAGTGCCGTTGGTATCATCCAGACTCAACAGCCAAAGCACCCTCAAGAGATACTTTCTCGCCTTGGCATTCTTGTAGATACCCGCTGCTTGCAAGTAACAACTAACCGCATTGTTGGCCCAACTTAAATCCGTCGGATTTTCCTTGAATCTGCCATCGTTGTAGCGACCCCATTCGGCCCAGGCTCTTGGTAAAGACAGATCAATCTGCACCGCATTGACGAACGCTTCATTGGCTTCGTTGCATTGTTTCAATTTAGCCAAGAATTGACCCTTCAATGTAAAGAATTCAGCCTTTTGTTGCAGAGAAAAGTAGTTGAGGTTAGTGTTGGTAATGACATCCAAGCCAGCGGCCAGTGTTGTAGTGTCTTGGTAGTAGCATTTTGCTTGCTCGCGCAACTTGAAAAAGGCATCTTGGATCTCAATGTTGGGCAGCGTGTAAATCTTGTTCAATTGGTTCAAGCAGACGTCCTTGAGCTTGTGTTTGCGAGCCACATGTGCAAATTTGTTGATGATCCAGGCTGTTTCGTGGTAGCCGCGATAAGCAAAGGCGATGCCGTTCTGTTGTCCATTGGCTTGCTGATTAGGAAGCATTGGAATCATACGCAGGTAGACGCGGTTGATGGCGTTAAAGATGTGTCTACGCCAGGCCACAGCATCACTCCACATGTTGATATCATCCCAGACATTAGGCAAGCGATCACGCCATGTACCCAAGATGCTGCGAAGCTCGTTTGAGCGTTGTTCCAAGTTTTGGACATTGGTGCTGACCAGACTTGCAAACACTTGGCTGGCTTCGTGCAACTCGAGGTATTGCTGGAACACCTGCAGCAGAGGCAGATGGCTTTGAGACACGATACGAGGCAGAGCGTACCACTTTTGCAGGGACAATTGGACACCTTCTTCGCAAACACGAGTAAACTCCTGCAGTCTGTCATCAGTGGTTTGCGATTTGATAAGTGCCAGGTAGGCTTCCATGGCCTTTTGACGCGGTGTAGGTGCATCTGACAGCTGAGCCACAGCATGCTCTAAGCTTTCACGGTCGGCAGCCCAGTCAGATAATCGCCATGCACAATCCAACCATAGCTTGGTGTTACCATCATGCTTTGACAGGTCAGCCAAAATATCCCATTGTTGCAGTTTCTGAGAGCACGCAATCCAGTGATCCTCCCATAGCATGTACTCTGATTCAGTGAACGGAAGAACGCCACTACGCGCCTTGATTTGTGCATTTTCATACATGGTTTGTGCTTGAGACCAGTTGCCAATCTGCTCGCAAGACACTGCGACGTTAGTTTCAGCGTAGGCACTGCGACGTCTCCACAGCCCATCAAACATGTCGTCTTCATCTAAATCTGCATACAATTCAGACAGTGCATCCAGTGTGCGCTCGCGGTTATTGACATCGTCCTTGGAGAAAGAGTCCATAGCACAGCTGCTTTTCAGGGCAGATTGTTGCAGGATTTCCATCGAAATGTGCCAAGCATTGTGCGTCTTGCCGAGATACTTGACCAGATGAGGTGGCAGTTTGATGCTGGCATTGGTGTGTGCAATACCAGTCAACAGCGCTTGAATGACATTGGGTCTCAGTTCTGCTTGCTTGTTATGGTACTCTTTGGCCAATAACGTGATCATGACCTTGGCCATGTCATGTCTCTCGGTGCTGCTGAGCACAGACCAACACATGGGGAACAAATCTACCCACAGCTTGAAAGCCGTGTCATCATCCAGGTACTGCAAATAACGTGTGCTTGTGATGGCACTGTTGATATCGGAGGTCTGTAACTCTTTTAAAAAGGCTTGGTGTTGTTGAACAACAGTGTTGAGTTCAGAAGGCACATCCATCTCGGTAGGTTCCTCCTCATCAGCAGCAGCAGAAGCAGTGTGCAGGTTGCCAATGGACTTGATTGACTTGATTTTCAGTGTATGGGGTGTCATGATGTGAGTATTGACCTTGATGGCACCAAACAGCATATCCAGAGCCTGGTGAATCCAAAAGATATTGGCAAGAGACTCCCAGTTTTGCACGCCCAAAATGTAGTTCAAGCGCGTGTAGGTGGTACGACTAATACTGCGATCAAAGACACGCATAAACTGACTGCGGATATGAGGATTGTCATTACGAGTACCCAGCAGGAAGGCTTGCTCCAGACGCACCGTCAGTTCAGAACGAGCAAAAGAGGGGTTGCTGTAGATCTTGATGACGAGATCAAGGAAATCTTCTGTCAGTCGCGTATCATTGCGGCTCTCCAGGCTCATCATCTTGACCAACAAGCCAGCCTTTTCCTTGACGGTGGGGAAGGTCTCGGTCTTGTTGAGTGTCCAATCCTTGAGCATGTCCAAGATGGCGTGCAACAGTTGAACGTCAGGCGACTTTTCAATCAGTTGAATGAGACACGTCAAGAACCAACGACGCTGATCACCGAGATGCGAGATCCTCTTTTTCAGAAGATTAAGGCCCAAAATCAACAGATTGACTTGCGAATCATGACCCGAAGAAGAAGAAGAAGCAGCAACAGACGAGGTGGCAGCAGACGCGGCGGATGAGATGTGTTCTTTGGTCAGTTTTTGAAGCATCTTGACAATACCCGGCACAAAAGGATCTAGTTGTTCACTGCGTCCTGTGCTAGCCGCTTGAAGCAGCTTGAGCACCGCATAAATGTTGTTCATACTCGCCATACCATCTGTGATGGTGGAATCCACCAACGAAACAAACGCAGCGACATCAGGATGCTGAGGTTCCTCTCTGTTATCAGCACCTGTCGTCTGATTGATGGCGCCGAAAATGCAAGACAAAACAGGTTGAAGCGCCGTGTGCACCTTAACGTTATCCGACTTGATGCTGTTCTCCAGCAGGCGATAAAGCTGATTCATATTGACAAAGTACCATTCAGAGGGCTTGTGCGCAATATCAATATGGAGTATATCCAAGGCACTGCACACACTGGACACCAACATCTCGTTCATTTCCTTGATATTCAAAGTGCGTTCCAGATGAGTAAACTTGATATGGACATCAGGCCAGATTTCAGGGTCCAGGAACTTTTTGATCAGGTTCAATACACGCTGTACAAGACGACGCATCATATCAGAGGGCGTGTAGACACTGCAGGCAAGACGAACAAGATAGCCAATGGTGTTTTCTCTCAGTGTGAGTGTAGGTCCATACTCTTTGCTGGCATCAGAAGCATTAGCAGTGTTGGATGTGGAGAGAGCTGTAGAAGCAGCCTTGACTTGGCCATCTGCGCCTTCTGCCTTTGTCTTCTTTTGAGGTGTATCAGGCACAGCATCCGCCAATCTCTTACCAGAGGGAGACATGGGCACATCTCCTTGTTGCTCTTGCTCTTGTTGCTTCTTTTTCTGGTTCTGTAGACGCGTCTCTTCCCAACTCAACATCAGTTCTGTCAATTCCACAGTAAGTAGCTTGTTCTCGGGCGTAGCGTTCTGCAGCAAACCAAGCTTTGGCAGTGCATTGACAATCTGAGGCAGGAAATGTTCGCGGTAGTCGTAAAAGAGGGCAGGTTGACGCACCAATAATTGATACACATTGACCATTTGAGAGATACTGTGTGTATCTTCCACCACCACCTTACGCGTGAGACGAATCCAAGTAGGTACACGCTCATTACCAAGCAACGGTACACGTTTGGGAAGCACGGGAGAGATGATATCCAGACCTTGCTTGACCAAGGTGCGAGCCTCAGACAAATGCGCACGCAACAGAGCAGCGTAGACTTGAATCACAATCTTGCTGGGCGTCTCAAATGCGGTGATGAAGCGAGCAACAAGGACGTAGGCTGCTTGTTTACAGGTAGCATCTTCCAAACGCAAGTAGTGCCAGCCAAACTTGATCACGTCTTTGCGCATGTCTGTCATCAACTGTGGTGCGTATTGGATAATCATGGCTGTCAGTTGCAGCAGTTCAATACGAAGCGAATCCTCTGCATATTGGTCTTCATCGCCGCTAGATTCAGAGCTGAAATTGCCCCAAATCTTACTGTGCAATTGCTCCATCACTTTGACATCAAGCACTTGGGCACAGCTTTTCCGTGTCATGGTGACCAACAGGGCAGGATTGATGACATGGCGAAGCGCCATCATGCGCAGGTAAGGAGAGACAGTGATATCCGTGTATTGCTGCAAAAACTTGTCGATAATGAGACGCTTTCTCTCGGATGGATAGTTGAGGGCAACATCGTTGAGAAAGAACTCGCGTAGATAAGATAGATCCATGACAGATTCCTGTGCAAACAAAGCAGCTACTTCAAATGTGACCTCAATGTTGTCAGGGTTGAGACGCAGGTACGAGATGAAGATGTGAGACAGGTACAAGGACTCGCGTGTGGTCTGCAGACCTTGCTCGTCGTCCTTCTTCATGGTATCAAAGCGACCGGGCGAACGCCACAATGCCAACAAGCTTTCCAGAAGCTCGGGTTGGCCCAACAGCCACTGGGGATCATTTGCCACGATCTCACGCACAATCAGTACACCTTGGTAATGCATGGTAGCATTGTCAGCTACTTGGAACGTCTTTTCAATCAAGACCTTGGGCGATTTAGCCACCTCGTTGCGCAGCTGCTCTGCGTTTTCAGTACTGAGCACATCGATAAAGAGTCGACTGTGACGAGGCTGATCTAGGCGATCATAAAAGTAGGCAATGGTCTCTGTGGGATATCTGTTGAGGTACTTGATCAAGTTGGGTCGAAAGGGACTCGAGATGGAACGACGCAGATGGCCCTCCATTTCCAACACCACTGTGACCAGATCGTCCAAAAAGATGTGAGCAGCAGCAGGAAGTAGGTGGAAAATATTGAGAATAGCTACAATGATCTTAACTTCGTGGTTTTCGCTCAGATTCTTGTTGGCAGCCTCTTGCAATACCTTGGGTTCTGCCCATTGCTTCAGATGGTCCAACAGCTTCTTACCAATCTCCACCTTGAAATAGTTGGTCAACAGTTCGAGCAAACGCGCCAGACCCTCCAAACCAGCCACACTCAGCGTTTTGTGGTTGGACAATGTTGTCAAGATGGGACGCAGGCCTTGTTGCAGCAGTTCCTTGGGGAGCTTGTGTTGTTGAGCGAGCACTTGCTTTAGTCCACGATGCGCTGCTTCCACCACTTCTGGCGCCTTGGAATACAAGGATTTGAAAAAGACTTGAATGATACGAGCACGCGTGTGTGTTTGACGTTGGTTTGAGAAATCAGAGCATGCCATAGCGGCAGACAACAGCTTGATGCACACAATACGCAGGTTCATCAACGAGGTAGCGTTCTTATATTGAGAACTTCTACTGACCAGAGCCTGATCTTCTGCATCTGCGAGGGCCAATGCTTCATGCAGCAATCGAATCAGCTCGTCATTGAAATCCAAAAAGGGAGGTCGCAAGGTAAGGCAGTACGTAATGGCGTCAATGTGTCCAATTTGCATGGCAAAAGGAAGCGCTCTCAGGGGTTTAGCAAAGATGGGCGCTACAAGACGTTCACGCACAGGGGCCAGTAATTCGGTTACTTCGTTGCCGGTCAAATCAGCAAGTAGTTGGAAGGAAGATTGAATCGTTTCACGCACAGCACTGTTGGAGTTGGACAATTCACTCAACAGCAGCGCGATCAAGTTTTGGAACTTTTGTTGCGCTTCTGGAGACTCGTCGTCTTCAGGACGGTTGCAGACCTTGAGCACATGCGACAAAGTTTGTGTGGCTTCCACCGTATTGACATTGGCCATCTCTGGAGACGCGTCCTTGAGCACAAACAGCAGGGAACGAATGAAGTCAAGCTCATGTTCGCGCATCCATTTGGTGCCCATGTCCAATTGAGAGCTGATGATGGAGATACCTAGACATCCGCCACGTTTGCTGAACCATTCTTGTTTGTAGCAGCAAGAGCCAAACTGCGATGCGAATACACGAAAGATGGGCAGTTGCCATACGTAATCTTTACTTCCCAAGACCTTGACAGCCGTGTCGAAACAGAGCTGCACAGATTCCTCAGCACGCGCGCGAAGTTTAGCGTCTTCGGAGGAGATCACCTTGACAATAGCGTCCACTAAAATAGTTGTGTTGAGGCTTTGAACGGATAATCGCTCATCCATCATATCAGACAAGGGCTTGCTTCCTGTCTCCTTGGCTTCAATGGCCTCGCCAATGTGCAATAGCATGAAATGCCGGCAAATGTTTTCAAACAAGGGCCAAGCATCATCAGAAATCTCTGTCAGCGTGGATGCCTTGATAATAGCGACCATCATGGTGCGAAGTGCATCCTCCTGGCCCACACGTTTCGAGAGATACTTGATATACCCGTTGCCAGCTAATCTCTTGGGTTTCAAACCAGACTCTGAAAGTGCATCACCTACCACAGTGCTTTCGCTACTGCCTTCAGAGGGCTTTTCGTTTGGCTTACTATCCACATCCATGTCAGTGGCCGTGTCTTCTGTTGTTGTCTCGGTTGGTTTCTGTTGGTCCTCCGTTTGTTTATCAGCATCTGCAGCAGTAGTAGTAGCAGCAGTGGGTTCATTGGCTGTAGAGGATACAATGGCGTCTGCCTGCAAAAGATGTTGCTTAACGCGCTGATACAGTGACTGAGCCAAAGTGTCGGGCCCCTCATCCAACTCCAACATCATGACAATATTTGCCTTGAGGAATTCATAAGCCTGCTTCTTGTAGAATACATCAGCATCACGTTTCTCCAAAGTATTGCAAGCAACTTGAAGGCATTTATCCAGGGGAAGTGTATGAGGTGTACTGCTGGCATCAAACATGATTTCTACTGAAACACCACTCTCCACACGCTTGTCGTAATCCAGTCGGGGAGGTCTGTTTAGCATGCGTCTGTTTCTACCACCCAATTTACCCAAGATTCTCATAGCTACATGCGAGTGTTGCTGGCTGTAGGGCAAGGGACGCAGATGACTCCATAGAGCAGCCATGAGTTCCTCCATCACAGGTGCCATGATCTGATCCAGAAACTCGGGATTCAAATTGTCGTTGCAGAGCTCCATGGTTCTCAAGCCTTGTGTCACCAATTCATGATCTGCTTGAAGAGCAATTACCAAAGGCCTCATTAAATAGGGTAGATACGGTAGCAAGGTACTCAAACGCACAGGCACAGCCAAGCATAACTCGACAAACAGGTTTCTCATTTCAGTGCGATGAGCCAATGTCAGTAATGAGTTGAGATTTTCTAACAAGACTTGCAACAAGGGAGACACCTCCTTGTAGAGCAATTCAAATCTTCCACCACCAATGCTCTTGAACAAGGCACGCAACAGTAAAAAGTAGTTTGCTGGCTCTTTGGCCTTGGCAGAGAGCTTGAAGCAGGAGGTCACCAAGTTACCAAGGTAAGGCTGCAAGGTCACTTCATTGGCATCGGGAAACAGATTCACTGCCATGAACGCCAGACGGAACAGGTGGAGCATGACCGCTGAATAATGCATGTTTTCTTCGCCCAGATGGTCAATGCGATCAATCAAGAAGCGGAACAAGATGGCAGCAAAGCCTTGAGAAGAAATGTCGTTCACCAAAAAGTACTGAGCAATGTGCACCAAAGACGTGTTGATCAGCATGCGATCAAAAAAGAAGTTCATTTGAGATACAAAGATTTCTTGAAACACGGCTGGATCGAGCAACGTAAACACAATAGCAAACATGTCTAGAATCTCCTTTTCGGCAGCCACTTGCGTACCAATCTTGAGCGAGAGATCATTAGCGCCGATGGAACCCTCATCCACATCCTCTTGTTTGATGATCTCGTTTGGCAGTGTGCCATCAGGGCCATAATTCTCAATGTTGTAGTATTCAAAGCACATGATGCCCTCCTTGAACACACGCAGAAACACATGGATGTCATCTTCAGAGAATCCTCGCGCAAAAGAAGAGTAAATTTGCACATTGGCGTCAAGCGGTGGTGTTGGATTGCAGTGTCTCAATCCAATAAAGAGAGGCTTTAATCCAATGGCCAGATTTTTAAACAAGAAGCGGCCATCCTTGATGCCATCTTGCTGTGGATCCAATGCAAAAGAGGCTGTGTGAATGGACCGAGCTCTGTCAAAGTCAAAGTCGTCATTGATGATCCCTTCCATGTTATTTGCTGCTGTTGCTGCTGCTGCATTTGGTTCTGAGTCTGTGGTGCTTTTGGTGGATGTCTTTTTATTCTTTCTAATATGTTGTTTTAAGCATGACTTGAATTGAATGTTCAGGGCAGCAAATTTGCTGGCAAATGCATCCAAGATGCGCATTAGCAAATCTCGGCCTTCTTTCTTGTTGGGAATCTTTATAATACAGTCAATCAAGTTGAGTAACAGTTTGCCACACATGGTTTGTATGCTGGGCGCTAATGTAGCGTCATGTAGGTTGCGAGAGTAGATGTAGACTGTGCGGTACAGTTGGCTGGGCGTGAGTTCAGATCGAATATGGTGGACAAGATCTGCAAGCATGCTGTATGCCAAAGGTCTACAGCCATTGTAAGTCGCTGTTGTCTAATATTGACTGATCTATTGTGCAAATCTTACCTCAAGGTATCGTGCGATGTAACGCCTGTACCAATCAGCACTTTCTCATTGAGCAGTAGATCGATTTTTGGTACAAAAGAAGAGCGGAAATCAGTGGACAGGATGTGTCTTGTAGCTACCAGCAGTTCTTTTCTTGTGCCGGAGGATTCGGGTGGACATTCTCGCAGTAACCGTAACACAACATCTGGGATTTGGCTTTGAAATGATCGTAAAAGTGTTGCATAGCTGCGAAGAATGTAGGCCAAGAAGGACATGGTCTTGACTTGTGCGACAATAAAGTCATTGTAGACAGATCGGTTTTTGATCTCTGAACTGACACCCACAAATACTTCGCCACGGGCCTGCGCGGCATTAGCAGCCTCCGCTTGTGGTTTTGCTTGAAGACTCAATGTCTATTGCAGAAATCACAAAATGCTGTCAAATTATGATGGCGTATTTTTGATGGTTGTATCAAACGTACCTGGAATATTAATGGTACAAATTTCATAATGTTCTCTGTGGCGAAACGTCGATATGATTGAAACAATAATACCACAATGATGGGACATTCTGTAAGCACCTTGAAACTAAACATACTCTTTGGTAATGGTTTGGATGGCGATTCTGGTAATTCGGCTGCTGTTGGTGAGTTGGGTCTTGGGGATGTGGCTAATAATGGATTGGTGCCAGGCTAAGTCATCTCATGTTAGTCAACTTGGTCAAAAGCAATAGATCGGCAGACTACTTTACAGTGGCAGAGCCTATGGGTGTGCTGGGCGCATCAAATACATCTTTGACGGTTTGTTCCATATTTTTAAAGATTTCTTGCACTATATCCAGGAATGGTTGCACTTGATCCTCAAGAACATGTCGAAAACTTCGATGCAAATCAATGATAATTTTGACACATACAACAGCGTTGTCTTCATTTTCAACTCGCAGTAAATGCAACAGCATTTTACATAGTTCAGGTGCATATTCTTTCAGTGTATCTGTCTGTGGCAATCGATAAATAATCTCCAATATAATGTTGCGCAGTTTCTGTATTCAACGACATGTCAGTACAAGTGATTTGGTGACCCTAGGTCTGCGGTATAGTTCCTCTTACTTGCTCAGGCACGTTGCTTTGAAAAACTGGATTTCCGTTTTGTAAAATATCCACAAAGACTGGTATCAAAGTAGCCAAGAATCGAGAGTATTCCAAAGTTTGAAATACTTCTACTTGGTCTCTCAATTCATTTGCTATAGTTACTTTTAATGCTGGTGCTATATTGAAAAGAACAAGTCAGTATGGATGCAACATGATTAGCTTGGACACCTTTACCTAAATTTGGATCGCTTAGTCTATGCGCGTAGACTTGTAAAGTCGTCATATGCTGGGTGTATTAAGATGTGATGAGAGTTGTCTGGATTGAAACTACAGTGCTTGTTGATGAAATGTCGCTACAGAGGTCAATGTAATGTATTTGTTGGAAATCAGCCAGAAAATCGTCGCGAAATGTATGAAAAAGAGAAATCCCCCTCAATGTTGGAAAGTTCATTTCAAATGCTAAAATACCTGGAAATTTGGCACTCACGTGAGTAGACTGTCTTCTGAATGAGTTGTTTGTCACAGAAAGCCTGTCTCAATTTCGATGTGGCCATTGATGCAGTTGGCCAACTAAATGACAGGATGGTAAACCCCTTTGACTTTTGGATATTACATTTGTGTACTCTAAAGCAAATCGTCTGGCAGAGTTTTGGGTTGAGTGAATATGTAGATGTATGGTGAAAAGTATGTTTGATGACTATAGTCAAAATATCCACTATCAGCTACTAGCGATCCCTAGCAGCTTTTCTATTCTTTTATTGCGTGCTCGATGTTTCATCTATTGTGAATGCAATGTAATAGAAACATGGCATATATCCAGTCGGTAGATAGAATACTGTCAACATGTTGAGCGATCATCACTGTATATGTATCCAGTGATTATATACTCTTGGTAGATGATACTACATATATTGCTTATTACCATCACACAACATGTATCTCGCTTTGTTGGAAATTAAGTGAACTAATACACTCATCAAATTTGATAGAAAAAAACTTGTCTACCATATTGAATGCACCACTTCTGCAGATGTCAATCTCAAAAAGAAAAATGTCAGAAAACAGCATGAAACAGAACATGAGAGTTGTTATCAATCAGAGAATAGTTGCGCAATAAATGCAAAGACTGAAATCGTTTCATGTCAAAGCGTAATTATGAAATTCAAGCATGCCAACGAAGATTGCATAAATCTAATTTCAAGCTTGTCAAATGAATGAATATAGGGCTCGGAGCTACAGGGCTAGGAGTATGTAAAATAAACTATATACAGTACATTATACTACTCACAATAATTCATCCCCACCATATTAACTTGTTTTTTTATGAAACGTGGATACACGTGTCCTCCTATACAAGAACATACGTCATGATAAAAAGTATGTTGACAGAAATTCCTGTAAATGTAGTAAAAGGTGACTACATGCATGCAATCTAACAATGGTGTTGTAAACACTTCAAACACAATTTTTTAGATATGTCATCATGGATATACCAAAAATCATATAAAAAACGGGTCTATCGTAGAAAAATAAAGTTCCTGTAGATCATCAGAGATTTGATTCGGTATAGTTTGTTTCTGAAATGCGTGCTAAGTGAATTATCATAATTAATATTATTTTTTTTGGAGGTTCCAAAAAAAAAAATTGGGTTCCCAGCAAAATTGGAACCCGATTGGAGTGATAACTTTTGTTATAAGCCAATACTTTGTCAAATAACAATTGTTATTGATCTTTGGGTTCCAGTTTTCGTTCCAAGTGTGTATATTTGACATTTACATAAAAAATATTAGGATTTAATACATTCTAATGATATGTGCGTTATCCGAGGCCTTATCATAAAAAATATATGTATTCTTTTGGTTAATTAACACCTGAAAGAACTTTTTTTTTCGCTTTTAGTTTGTACTTATGTTCCTGAAATTTAATCAGAAACCCACTCTTTCTAGAATTTCAAAGGTATAAAGCTTTTTTTTTTTTTCAAAATGAAAACTGTGTGTCTGATCTTTTTGCTTTGTTTATAGAAAAGTAAAAGCTCACGTTGAGGAAAATGAAGTGCCCCATTCATTAATTATTGAAAGATTTGCTCCTGAAGTACAAGAGCAGCTTTCCAGCATCAATCGAAGTATAGCAAATACAATGCGAGAATTGAATGAACGTCAAAAGAAGTCGGATGAAATCCAGCAGCAAATGCAAAAAGTGTTTGACAATATAGTCACCGGAAAGCAGCAACTGCAACTGTCTTTTAGGATGGACCAAGGGAACCAAGCAGTAGCGACAACAGGCGCTGTCGCAAATACCTCTGCCTTGCCAAGATCAGAAGATGTATCGCAATCAAAACAATTTTCGAAAAAAGCCCAAGAAAGCCCACCACCACCAGATTACAACAACACCGCAGTTGCAACTATTTCACTTCCATATAATCAAGAAGGTGTACCGTTATACAAAATGAGTCGACAAGTGACAACTGTGTGTGATCTTTGGGACGAGTGGACAATAGGTCGAGATGGATTCTGGTCTGTTCAAGAGTTAGAAGACAAGTGGGGCGCTAAATGGAGAAGAGACGACAGAAAATGGTTCAATATCCGTAAAAAAATCATTGATTCCGTTGAAGACCTTCAGCTGGATCTTGGTCTCTCCCCCACTTCTGCTGTAGGCGCCCTACAAAAGGTGCTCAACACTCGCCACTGGTCTTTGGATCGCTTGGGCACCGAGCTCCAAAAAGGCGCTTTTTTTCCTTGCGAAGAAACGAAAAGAAGAGAATTGCAACACTTCTAGCTGAGCCTTTTTTACCATCAATAGTTGCATTTTCATTAATAAATATCTTTGTTTTTTCCTGTGGATTTTGTAAAAATCGCTTAAAATGTGTTATGTAAATCTGGGTCTCAAAATAGCAGGGAACCTCAAATGGCACCCACTACTGAGAGTTGGTAAATAATCCTTTATTATATTACCAATCGAGTAAATGTAAATACCATGTATGGCGTTTTACTATAGTCCCTCGAATCGCTCCAGTTAATAATTATAATAGAAGAAATTAGGTTGCACTTTAGCGCCAGCTTTTTTCTATTGCTTTCACTCTGGGACATCTTGAAACACAATTCAATTCTGATAAAGCCGAACCAACTTTTATTTTAGAGAACATTTCTTTGCACTTCTTTCAAAATCAAATAAAGACTTATTCAGGGCAGCACTTTAATTGGTCCAAGCAAAATTTCGAACTCCAATTTCCAATTCGGGTTCTATATTGAAATCCCGCTGTTGCCTTTTAAACGATGGTCGTTGAGAAAAGGATGATTTTAGAAAATAGCTCATTTTGAATAGATGCTGCTAGTAAAACTTTTTAAATTACTATATGAATGTGGAATGTATATGTAGTGAAAGTTGTAGAGAGTACTTTGATCGAGTAGGGCATGTTTGATGTGGGGTTATTGAGGGCGATGTCAATGAGTAATGATGGAAAATGTTCAAAATAGCCGATTTTCAAAGGGCCATACCGCTGGATTTTACTAAGTGAATGAGAGCTTCAAGCTTAATAGCTTTTGTTTTTTTTTTCAATTCTCTATACGATGGTATGACTATTATAGATAAATAAATAAAAAATTGGATATCTCCTGCTTATAACTCATAAAATATATGATTTTGAGCAAATTTATGAAGGGAACGTACACCTAGTACTTAAGACGCTTATATTATAATGGATATAATGTAGATCTATCGAATGGTCTTTGCTTTGTGTGAATCCAGTGAGTATTTGTCGAGATATGGTCAAAAAAGGGTATCATGCAAAATTATCGATTTTCCTTCAAAATCTGCCTGTGATAGCAAGCGAAAGATCTGGTGATTTTTTTGGTCAGGACAATATTATCAATATTTCATGAGAGGATTATGTAAAAACATTGAGTAAAGGCTCATTCGATAGGAAATTTTTTGGTCTACAATGTTTGGTAATGCTTAACAAAATGTTTTGATGACAGATAGTGATTAATCTTTAGAAAACAGTGAAAAAGTCGCAGAATTTATCTCATTAAATATCAGGTGAATAATGTACACCAAAAACTAAAAATAAATACCATTGTACTCTCCTTGCAATTCTCTACAAGTTTTATATAAATTTGAATGGGTGTTTACTATCAAGAATCAAGTAATTTTAAGGTCGATAGATTTCGGAATCCTATGGATCATCATTCAGAATAATAGAAATTGAATCTTCGTTTAGCCTTTGCATGTGTACACGGCACATGTATGAATTTGACTGAGCATTTTAAAAATCGGAGCGTACGAAAAGGGCCATATTAACTTGCTGGTTTCAAGTTATCAATATATACTTGACATGATGGAGAATCTTGATTTTAAGATTAGATAGTTGTAGCTTGCTTTGTTCGATTACAATAAGATTTGCAATTTAAAGCATGCATATTCCCCCGCTTAAAAATAGCATCTCCAATGTTGATTATCTCATGAAGTATGCATTTCCAGTATAATATTTCCACTTAGAATCTGCTCCAATACCTTGATGAAGCTTGTATTTGTTGCTTCAGAATATCAGATGCACTGTTATATGACAGCACATACTCTATAGCAGCTTAGGCACATTCAACTTGATACACATTATCAATTAACCTTTTGTAAAAAAGACTGGCAGAGAACTCCTCGGAATCAAGCCACTTGCGTCAGGGTATTGTCCATCTATACGCTTGTTGTATTAATTCCTTTGTTGCCTCCTGAATTAATAATAGTCAAACTCAAGCCAATCCTTTTGCAACGACGTATAAGCTATTTCCCAAAAAGTAAGACGTTTTGGCTGATGACAAACAAAGAATGCATCAGCAAACGAAAATAAATTAGGATAGACATTTAATTTTTGCTTTCAATGAAAGCTATATGGTGTGATTGAGGGAGGGGGGGGGAGCACTACAAGATTGGTGCAAGCGGATATACCTGTGGTTAGGTCTTGAATAGTGAGTAGAGCAAGTCTTTCACAAGATTTACCGTAGAGTTTTTTGAAAGTATAAATAGTCTATGCAATGCAATGACTCCAAGATACAAACCTCCAACAGTGATTTATTCTATATTATGGATGACTTCTACAATCGCAAGTTGTTGTCTTGTTAAGATCTGATTACCGACTTTAGAAGCTCACACTTGCAATGCATGCGGATGCTGTATATTCCCAGGTATTTACAGCAAAAAAAAAAATGTGTCCTGGATAGGATTGTGTGAGGGAAATCACTAGCAACAGGTGAAAACTGAGATATAAACAACGAATGGTGTGATGGTGGCATCAAAATTTCGTCTTATAAATGGGATCCTGTAGCACAAAAAATTGCTTCTTTTTCATGTTCTAAATTAAGCACCTGTTTCAAAAACAATGGCCCCAAAAGGTTTGAGTATAAGCAAATGTGCTTCGTATAAAATAACAGCATTTATTAATTTATTATCACCATTTAATATAGATGTGCATTCTAAATAATCAAATAATGACCTATTGTGCCGATTTTTTATGGATGTTAGAAAGGCATGGTACACACAATAAGAAAAGGGGAGGGCTAAAGTTTAATTGAGCGAGAGAAGGGAAAAATTCTTCGCTTCTCTCTATCTCTCTTTCTTTCTTCTTTCTCTTTGTTGCTCTCTATCTTTCTTTCTTTCTCTCTCTTTTTTTTAATACCTCTCTCTCTCTCTCTCTCTTTCTCTTTCTCTTGCCATATATCCATACTAAAAGTATACTTTAACTCATACTGAAAACCCTACCTCTCTTGACACACAAACAACATGGCAATGGTTATGACTGATAATCAACGCGAGCAGCAACAAGTTGATATCCCCTCTTTGCAAATCAACATAAAGGAAGCTCAGGAACAAAACCAAGACCCCGGAGAAGATGTACTGATACTGCTGGAAGACGAAGACGAGTTTCATTTGGATCCAAACGAGCAGGAAGAGAATCAACAAGCAGTATACTATCTTCAAGATCATGATGAGGAAGAAGAAGAGGAAGATGATAAAGACGACGAGGAGGATCAATTTAATATACCGCCAAATACAGAATTTCTACAGGAAGAGGAAGAGATTGAAGGAGATGAAGCATTCTATCTCGCTAACAGAACCTTCTACACAACATGCCATAAGATCTCGCGTCAGAACAGCCCATCATATAGGAAGAGACCGCCTTATACCTTTCTCGAAAACTGGTTGATACACAGCGTATTCAGCAAATCGCAACAGATTCTTTTGAGATTTCCTGTGATACATCCCAAAGTGATGATGACTGAAGGCGACTTTATTTATACCCCGCATCAGATGGCTACAGAAAGCACAAATGAATCTGATAATCAGCAGCAGCAGCAGCAGCAATACTATCAGAACGATGAGCATCAAGGACAGCAAATGGATTATGAATACGGCGATGAGGAAGAATACGACTATTATGATGATGCTTTCATTATTGGAGACGAAGGCGTGATGGTCATGAGTGCTTCGGCTCCCGATGCTTCACAGTTTATGGCTGAGGATGAGGATGAAGAGCAAGATGAGTTACATGCTTCGTCGCTGGTGATGGATGAGAACATGTGGATGGGCCACAGTCGATATAATTCTAGCGGGTTGACCCTTCATGTTGTTAATCCTGATGACAAACCAGAGGAAGACGATGATCCAATGTACCACAGCGTAGTTAGCTCCAACAACCCATACAAATCACTGGTCCACAATAGCAATTCGTATCAAGGTCAACTCCAAATGGTGCAAGAAGAGGAGGAGGAGGAAGAGGAGGAGGAGGAGGAGGAGGAGGAGGAGGAGGAGGAGGAGGAGGAGGAAGATAGATATGAGGAAGAAGGGGATGAGCGAATTGCAACGACAAATCAAGATAAATACAACGCAGCACTTGAGGGCCAGCACAATTACCAGCCAGCAGAAGGTGCTTTCGACACAGATGCACACAACATGAACCTTTCAATGTCACCAGAAGTACTCAACTGGTACCGCTCAGCAGATTTACGGCCTGTTACTCTTAGTACGCCCATCGTGGTAGACGATAGTAACGCATTATTAGCACCATTAATTAGCTGTGATAACGAACAGCAACAACATCATTCCCCTCATCACCATCACCATCATCAACAACACCAACAACATCATGCTCATTGTGGATGCAGTAGCAGTAGCAGCAGTACCAGCAGCGAAAACAGCTCTTGCAGCATAATCAGCAACAGTAGTCAGCGCACAGACCTTCGTACAGTACATTCCGACGAAAAGTCCATTACACAGCATTCGGCAGGTTCATATCAATCTTTGGCAGACATTTTAATGGAAGAAGAGGACATGCAGCATCATCAGATCAACTCCTATGGTACTCTACTACCAACGCATTATCAGAACCGATCCTTGACCATCACAGATTACAATGACACTCGCCACCATCCTTATCCATCAAATGCAATTTCACCCCTCATGCAGGTGTCTGTATGCCTTGTTGATGCAGCTTGGGTTGCTCTTGACCTAGCGCAAGCCTATGTGGAAGAAGCACCTGGAAATAAGGGGGCTATTGGGTTTATTACATGCATGTTTAGAATATGGAAAGTCTTGTTTTTGGGTGCGGAAACAATGCTAGGATGGGGCAATCATCGTTTGAATCCTCAGGCAGTTGTTTAAATATTTCATTAGATTACCCGTATATATTTATTTTATTTTATTTTTTTTTCTCATTCTTACTATCACTATCGCTACTTATTATTCTGTCGCTGCTACTCTTTAACCTTACGCTTTACATACTTGATATACATATATTATATACATACTAAACTCGCAATGATCCATTACATAACAAGACAAGCTGCTTGCTCTTAGAATAAGCTCGTAATGGATGAATCTGAAAATGGGCATCAAGGACAGCCAGCAGCTCGCATACATCATAAGGCCGTATAAAGCAATGGCAATGAGATCAAAATGCATTCTTGATCTTCGACGACCTACTACCAAGCGCCAGGGGTCAAATGCTTATGTTTGAAAGACAGAATCGAACCACAATCAGGTACATGCAACCGAGCGAAAAAAAATCATGCCACAATTTTCAGTAGTGTAGTAAACATTTCAAAATAGATCCATTTGAACCCTAAAAGCTCATGATTACACACACATGTAGAAAACAGTTTTTTAATATAAATGTATTGAGAATTATAAATTATCTCTTCTTCTTTTCTTACAGTTTCATTTACAAATTATATAATATGGTTACCCCTGATATGTCTATACCCGCCCCTGCATCCAAAGTCGATTTCCTTGTAGTTGGCGGTGGTCCCGTCGGTTTATTGGCTGCTAATCTCATTGTTCAAGCTGGTCTCACTGTTCGCATTGTTGGTAAGATGTTGATGTTGGGCCCGGTAGTATACATATGATGTTGATCAGACTCTCTTGCACATTAGATATCGAATATGAGCCCAATCATTGGGGACGTGGTGATTGGATCCATGGACGCACACTCGAGTTATTGGAAAGAGCAGGTCTAGAAGTTGAACTATTAAAGACAGGTGTTAAAGTGGACAAAATGTCATCTTATATGAATGGTCTCTTGCAGAAGGAAATTCCATTTGTTCCTGAGGAGACAGAGTCCAAGCATGAGTAAGTGATTGTCAGACGGGAAATAGGGTTGTGATGCTCAATCCATGCCTAGATACTTGCTCTGTGTTGGTCAGCACATTACTGAATCAAGCCTGCAAAGCCAATTGTCGCAATTTGATGTCCAGGTCGAGCGTCCTTCCACTGTAGTAAGCATGGATCGCGATGGAAACAAGGATGGCGAGTATCCTATTACTGCTACTGTCATGCATTTGCAAGAAGGAAGAGGCACAGAGGACGTTCAATGCAAGTATGTCTTGGGTTGTGATGGTGCTCACAGCGATATTCGTCAACAGCTTGGTATTACCAATGAGGGAGAGACGAGTGAGACGCATGCCGGTGTCCTGGATGCGCTTATTAGAACCAACTTTGCAAGCAGGAAAGAAGTCTGGTATGGTATCCCATGAATGAGTTACACATCCCGCACCAATCTTAATATTCCTTTATCTGCGTAGTATTGTGCAGAGTGATCATGCCAAAACAATCAGCATGTTTCCTAGAGAAAACGGCTTGACGCGTCTGTTTGTCCATTTCAATGAGAATGAACATGAGCAAAGGAAAGAGCAGCACAACAGAAACAAGATCATGCTCGAGGATATCCAAAGAGAAGCCAAAAGAGCCTTATTACCCCACCGTATTGAATTCTTGGGTATTCTGTATTGGTCAGTGTACGTGGTAGGACAACGCTATGCTTCTAGACTTGATTCAAAAGACCAAAGAGTCTTTCTCTGTGGCGATGCTGCTCATTCTCAGAGCCCAACACTTGGTCAAGGCTTGAACACGGGTCTTGGTGATGTCTTCAACTTGGTAAGTAGTCTTGTATTGCTATTGGCGTTACCATGCACTAAGCATAATACATGGTGTCGATAGATCTGGAAGATTGTTATGGTGGAAAGGGGTCAACTGGATCGCAAATTTCTCGCGACATATCATTCAGAAAGATGGCCCGTTGCTCAAAATGTACTAGACATTGACAGAATTGCAGCTAAAGCTGCTGCTGGACATAAAGCTGCAGACTACTGCGATGTGGTAGAGAAACATAGACTTTTCACAGCGGGATACGGTATCAGTTACGAGAAGAATAGCAAGGATGATGTGTCTCTGGTGTGGGCTCCAGGGGCAGAAGATGAAGCCATTGAACTCAAATCTGAATATCACATGAAGCCTGGTATGCGTGCTCCTAATTTCAAGGTATTCGGCTTTACCAGTGGTAAAAAGACGCGTCTCTTTGATGCCATTCCAAAGAATGGCAAGGTGCCCCAGTGGTTATCGTATACCTTGTTCGTGCTGGCCCATGACCTTCGATCGACACATGAGATTGTCGCTAGGTTTTTGGAAGAAACTAGCAAAGCAACCACTTTGTTGCCACCTACCAACGTTGTAGTTATCACGACAAGCACAGCGGATCAAGTTGCTGCCTACAAGAGCATGCTGGATAGTGACCGAGTGGTGATTGACAAACTAAACCAAGCCCAATGTCATAGAGCTTTCCATCGTAGAGCAGCTGGTTCTGGTAATCATCATTCAACCGAAGATGAAAAGGTTCAAGTAGTACTCGTGAGACCTGATGGCTATATTGGTACTATTATTAGGAGCGATGACGCTACTTTGTTAAGCAATAGAGTTTGCCAATACTTTTCAAATATTGTTTAAATAGACCTTGATAACCACGATACACTTTTTATATCCTTGCAATAAATATCTACACAGTTATATAGTATCAACGCTTTATGAACAAGCCAATCAAATGATGCTGTGGTCATGCATCTCATTCATTGCCTCGTTCGTTTGTTCCATGCCATCTGTTCAAGTGCTGCTTGAGATACTATATCCCAATGGTCATGTGTCTTGATCCATCTCTCACTAAAAGGATCAGTATACAGTTGATTTTGCGTAGCTTGCACTCGGCAGAAGCAATGTTACACATGAGGTAACGCACAAATGTCAAGCAATTTATGCAAGCAAAATAGCATACAAAATAAGAGTTTATTCAGATATTTTTTTTTGTGATGAATTTATAATATGTACAGCAAATTGAAGATGTCAGAATGACAACATCATGTTAAATAACAGGTTGAATAGATATGACCAAGCAAAGTTACCATTCTTTGCGAGTATATTTGCCTTCATACTTTTGGTTGAAAGCAGCCAACTTGACTTGTTCGCCATCCTTGACATGCTGCCATGGCTCAGCATTGGTTTTGTGATTCCAGACGACATCAGGAGCACGAGCTTGATGTGAACTCATGAAGACAATGCCAGTAAGAGCGCCACCGAGAATGACAAAAAGAGGATAGATTTCAGGCTGTGATGCAGAACGCTTGAAGAATTGAGAGATTTGATTCATTTTTGTTTAAGAAGAGTGTTGTATAAAAGAGATGTGAATTGATGTGAGAAGTATTCGAGATTCTCTGTTGCTTATATATGCGCAAATCAATGCAAAATAAATCATACGATTTAGGGTATCGAGGGATTATGACATTTGGACACGATTGGCTCCATTTTTCATCTCCATGATAGTGGATGTCTCACTCACTCATACAATAAAAAGAGAAAAATGGAAACAATAGCATGGGGTCAAAACTCAGCGAAAGGTAAACAATGGATTACTGTATTCATGCAAAACCTGTACAACAACATACAACGGTTTCTGATGCTTTTCTCGGTATGCAATGCTGTTGTTCGTTGGTGCCTAGACCAATTACTCGATAGACCACAATGCCAGACTTCCTGTATCTAATGGCGCTCTGGAAAGATAGAGGATTCTCTCCACATCCCTCACAAGAGATGTTCCATTTAGAAGGTGGAATGATGAAATGCAACCCACTTCTTCGGGGATTCAATTGAAAAGTTTCTTTTCAAACATCAACTCAGAACAGATTAACTTGATTGTAATGTACCCAAGTAGTATCCAGGCTTTCTGGGAACTGGGCCCGTAACTATAGTCTCCATTATGTGGCGAGATGACTGAAGTGGCTTACTTGCATTCAATTGACTTCCAACGGCGCATTTGCATCTTTAGAAGGGTATGCAGAGAAACGCAATAATTGCTTCATAAACATCATGCTTGCTTAGTGCTTATGTCCCTGTTATGCAACAATGATGGTAGCAATTGCCCTGTCGAGCTTGATTATTGACTGAACTGTGTTGCAATTCATATCAAATCTCACGTATTAAGGAATTATGGCCAGCGATGTATCGTTGCATAAATTCGTTCATCAACAAAGTGAAATGGACACCAAACAGTGGTCCTGACACTCATACTTACCCATTTATAGGTGCCTATTGTTCTTTTTTTGCCATTTCTGGCAGGTTTCGATCAGACACATCCTAAATTTGGCAGTTGTCATTCCAAACTTAGATTTGTTGGTGAGCTAATAGTGTTGCTGCTGCTGCTGCTGCTGCTTGTAGAGTATACAATTCGATTTTATTTTGATACAAGTGAGATGATGGCATATTATTTATCAGATGCAGAAGCAGAAGCGGATGCTGCCAAATCACTCTTCTTGGGGTCAAGTTCTTCATCCTCCTCCATCTCCTCTTCCTCCTCCGACTGCACTCTACTACTAGCACGACTACTTTCCACACTGTCAGACATCAATCTATTACGGTTACGGTATTTCCAGAGTTTATCGACCACATCTTCAGCTCCAAAAACTCCACTGAAGCCACGAATAAACTCATGGCTTTTGTCTTCCCACAACAACATGGTATCATTGATGGCCGTCTTGATGGTCTTTCTCAAATCTTGAATCGACTTTTTGGTCTTGATCTTTCTTTCCTTGAGGAAGGAGATATTCAACTCTTTAGCTGTTACGCCTCTTTCTAAATTTCTGCGCAGATAAGCGTCGTAATCACGGACAATGCGAGTGATAAGATCTGATGTGGATATACCGTCTGTACGTTCGGTAGGAAAAAAACGGCCTTGATCCTTGACAAATGCGTATACATCGCCGGATTCTTTACTTTGGTATGGATCCGCGTCATGAGCCACATAGTCAATCTGATGGCTATCCAGGAATTCCTGGTCGACAAACCAAGGAGCGTCAGAAATCACCTCATCCACCCATTTACAATGTCGAACTGCTTCATATCTCTCTATATCTGTCATGACTGTTTTGCCTTTGCGTTTATGAGTTTCTACATCACTACACACTGGATACAAAAGGGAATCAGTTATTTTTTTTTTTTTTGCTACCAGATGCGATCATTTCTGTGTGCTATACATGCCTCCAACCAATAAGTAGACATTGGGAAATGCCTTTTTAGCTTGCTCCAGGGCTTTAGCATGACCAAAATGAAACAAATCATAGATGCCTATTGTATCATGCCGTTGTTAAGACTATTACTGCCGCAACATGTGTGCCCGTGATATTTTTTACCATCGCAATAAATTCGGACAGGTCTGCCAATAGGGGGCTATGTAATATATGAACATGAGCAAAGGTGGGTCGTAGCCATAACACCATAAACACACTTACAGGATTGATTTTGAAGCCATACTGTTCCTCGATCCCTTCCGGTAAAGCAACAATGGCGTTGGCGTCAGATTCTTCTTCGCTTGTAGATGAAACAAAAGGACCCAAATGGCGCTGTCTCTTTGCCATAGGTATTAATTCATCTTTGGGCAAGCTGTGTGAACTGGAGAATGTAGGAGGTGGAGGCAGTAAAGTCTCTGTGTTGTCTTCATCTACATGGTGCCCATATTGTGAGATGTCTGCTCAAATAAGCTGTCTACCATACACTCATTTCATACCTGAAGCGTCACGAGAAGTGGGCTGATCATCAGGACCATCAGAGATGCTTTCGTCTTCTTCTATTTGTCTCTTTCTTTTTGATAGTCTGCGGGTTGAAGATGAAGCATGAGGCACAGCAAAAGAGCTCATAGTGGAAAAATATGAAAATAAAGTGAAAAGAAAAGAGAAGAAAAAGACCCAGTGAAACTTTACGATAGTTGTAACTTTGTGTATATAAACACGATGCTGACTTTGGAACCGGGGCATCATTCTTCATGAAATATCATCAAGCGTAGAATTGTGATGGCATTTTATTGCGATTTGTTCTTTTTCATAGTAACTACAGATAAGCTCTTTAAAATGGGATCGTCTTGGGGTAAGTTAGCCTCTAGCTGATCGTGCAACTCTTGGATGTAATCAATGGCTGCTTGGAGGACGCTCAATTTATGAATGGGTTGTTGTACAGTGGTTGGAAATTGGGATTTACAAGATGGGATCAGCGTCTTTAGCCTCTCAATTTTATCATTCATCTTCTCTCTTCTTCTCTTTTCCACAGCACTGTGCGATAGCCTTCTATTGTTTTCTTTGATGTTTGTTTTGGATGGGCTGGATGTGCGTGGACTGGGTGGTGTAGATGTTGAGGATTGCAATGGCCAGTTTTGATATGGTGATATTGGCGGAGGCGCAATGTAAAAATGTACAATAGGTGGTGGTAGCTGGATGGGAGGCAATCCTCCAGGTCTCAGCATGTCTTCTGATGGTGGACTTTGAGTGTGATGAATAGCAGTCGTGGGAGGTGTATTCATGTTTGTAAAGATGGGAGATGAAGAAGAAGAAAGAGTCGATTGATTAAAGATAAGAGGATAAATAAATAAAGGGAGAATACCTTACTGGAGCAGACTTGTTTAGACCTTCTTGGATCTCGCATCAGATATACATGGATTTAAGCATGACTCTATTCTATTCATTTATTGGGCCAATTTTGACATTGTGCACATGTGATGTGCCTTGAGCCAACTCTCGATCTGATTAGCGTGGACTTGACTTGTTGAATTGATTTGAAGAAAATTGTTTTCCCAGTTGCTGTATGGCATGAAACTCCTGCCCAGTCCCTTAAAATCTCTTTTTTAGAAATAATTGCTCAAGTAAAGTGTTTGAAAGAAGTCAAAGAGAGAGAGAGAGAGGCTCATTAGACCATCAATATTTGCAGACGATGTGCGAAAGGCCAAATAGTTTTGAAAGATCGACATTTGTTGCCAAAGCTAGATCAGACATCGCCAAGAAGATTGATTTAAGACCAATTACCGCTAATTACATTCGCAACAATAAATCCTGTTTTTATTGATTACCCGTGTAACTCGTGGTCTTTTCATCTAATCTGTTGAAAGTATCACAACAGAAACTCTAAAACAATGCTTTCTTTCTCGAATGTAGGGATGGAATGTCATGGAAACTCTACTCGGGGCACTTGATTGGACATGTCGATAGCTTGAGAGATTAAGGGCCTTTTGGGTTCAAGGAAGAAAAGCAAATAGAATGAAATGTTGCTTAGGTCAGCTTCAGCAAGCGCTATTTATTAACAAAGTCGCTGCTATCAACATACTTGAAAACGAAGAATTGGCAAGCGTAAATCAGTCCTAATAATGTCTATTAAATGATAGTGCGATAAACTAGGATTCATATTTGCTAAAGTCAATTCTATCAGATATAAAACCCCATAATTCAGTCAAAGTGGTTAAGCCGAGCTATAGCACTGTCCAATTCGCAATCGCCTTCATAAAAGCTTCCAACATTATCGATTACGTCCAAAGAGAGAGCATTGCATTCATTCTGCCAACCGCCAAAATAAATTAAAATACCGCTCCACTTTTGCTTGATTGGAAAATTCTGTTCAAAATCGACCCCATTGATCTATTCTGCAGAATTCGACTATGTGAAGTGTGGTGATTATCTCATGCTCCCTTAAGCTTTCTTGGACTACTTTTCGAGGCGCATACAATGGTACTAATTACCAGAGGTGTTTCTTAAACAACTATTGAGCCATGTTTGAAAATATGAAATAACGATTTGAGCCAAAATGTTGAAATTTTACATGTCAAGTTCTTATAAAATTGGTCTTAGGGGGTTGCATTGGATCAATAAAATCATTTTGATCTAATAGGTGCTATACAAAAAGTCTTCGTTTTTGGGGTCAAAAATGCGATTGTTTGGTTTTTGATGGCTTTCCATGAGGTACCCCTCATGCTTTTTGGGTTGATTTTTGATGATGTGTTTCCGGTCCCAAAAAAAAAGTCGAGCAACGGTATCAGTAAGTAGCTGCTAGTTGAAAGTAGTTGTTTAGTGTTATTTTGGCAATCGAAAACAGCTTTTAGCACGATAAATTGCTAGTCAAATACATACAAATTTCGCTGTATTTCATACAATTAAGAAGTAAAAAGTATTGCTATTGGTCACAGAGCCAGAATTAGCAATTTAGCGTGTGTTTCGGTCTATACTACATGCCGTCTGCCGCTCCCGGATAAATTCTGGCAAGCATTTCAAAAGGTATTTAAGACACGGAAGACCTTGCGTAGAGCGGTGGATTTTACCTTATTACACTTATATATATATATAGCCAACGCAATGCCTTCACCATCCGCTGTATCTCTCTCGTATTCTTGGCCTAATGGCAAATCTGTCGATAATACTCAAGTCGATTCCTGGGAATTGAAAGCCTCTCGTCGAGCACTCAAAAACCTAAAAACTCTGCTAGCTGGTCAGCCAATGCTTGATCTCATCAAGAATCAAATAGACGAGGCTGACGCTTACTATAAAGACATTATTGAAAAGTCGAATGGCGAGTTTAAGGAATCTCGTATCGATCTCAAAGCAAAGGGAATCACATTGACTCAATTCATGGCATGGTGGAAAGTGTGGATGGTAGAGTTACAACAGCCAGACATTAAGCAACAAGTTTTTATGGACACAATGGTACCAGCTCACCCAGAACATTATGCGCTTCCTGCAAACAAGGGTGGCATTGTCGAAACTATTGGCGAGCACATTGCGCGAGTTCATATTAGACCTTGCGCAAATCCCCCAGACTTTGTCAAGGCCTATGGTGATCCTTCGTATCAACATCTCCCAGCCATTGGCACTCTTGAAGACGGCAGTGTTCTGCTCTATATTTTACAAGAAATCAAAGATTCTGAAGAAGGCTGCGATTTCCGCTTGAGGCTCTTGTTCCCTGCCGCTGCCCCTCAAGTATTCTTTGACGAACATGCTGAACATCTTGCTATTGAGTTTAGAAGCTTCATCGATACCGCATTTAAATGGAACCAAAAGCACTCTGCTTCTAAGGATTGATTGACATGCTATGTTGTCTCATTTATATAAACTTAATAAATAACAAACTATGTGTTTTCGATATGGCTTTTATTAAATGCAACTGAATGTCTTTCACAATGAGGAGATTTTACATTTGAAAGCCTTACATCCCTTACGTCCGGAGGCCAGTCTCCGCATGATATAAATTTTTCAACAATCCCAGTGGCGTGCACTTTGTTTCTCTCAAATTAGATTCCTTTCATGTCAACAGCACCGTATTTCACTATTCTAAGCCCACCATTGCCACCGAATCCCGTTCTTTCTGATGTTCGAATCAATAAGAAAATAGACATTAATCATGACAAACAATTGAAAACGCTAAAGACCTATGTGGAACTGTTTCAAGATCGTAAATCATTCTGGATTGAAGTTGCTGTACTAGACCGTCTTCATTACAAAAACCTGAATCAACAAAGACCATTTCATCGGTTCAAGCGTTCCATGGAACTACGACGACTACTAAAGCGATTGAAATCTTTGCAGATTGACAAAGAGCTCGAGAGATTGTACAGTTCGTTCTGGGATGCCAAAAGGTAGCTACATCAGTTGTCGGCAAAGGATTACATGTATTGATAAAGATTCCTTTCTAGCTTGGATAAATGCACATTAAAATGGAATTATATCCCTAGCAAAGAGTCTACTCAATACACCCTACACCGACTCATTGGAGCTGCATTACTACTCGATAAGGTAAGTGGCATCCACATAAGGCGCTTGCTGATGAAAGGCATTAATCCCATCTCCTTCTAGATTAAAATTGCACTGATAGAAACTTACAGGGCAAACTCTACTTTGCTCAAGTTGGAGCATTTTGTATCACTTGCTATTGTCTACATGGGCATCTGCAGTCGACTGTACAAATTATGTCACGTTTGGGTGAATCAGATTGAAGAATGCTATCATATGCTGTATACTTGGTCCACTAGTTTTCCGAGTGGATTGAAGAACAAGGATCAGAAGCTGTTTACTGATCAACACAATCTACAGTGCGATGCAGATACACTTAAATCGGTTAGAACTCAATACGCTCAAAATGCATTGAAATCCAAATCATCGATACAACACAGAGTACATTTGGAGACCTATTTAGCGAATCAGTCTGTTGTTGATAAGGTAAAAAGCATACAGAGAGAGTGCGGCATCAGCAACGACAATGATTCAGAAGACATAGGTGAAGAGATGATGGATTTCGAAGATTTGGGAGGTAAATAGACTTTATGATGAGATGGCGTTCAATCTAACATGTGTTTGCGACAGAGGTGATTGAACGGTAAAATTACATTTTGCTTCTTTATTTTCTATTGATGTATAAATAAACTTAATTGCTTTCACGGCCAAAGTTAAAGTACTATCATTCAAAAAAAAAAAAAAAAAAAAAAAAAAAAAAAAAAAAAAGTATTATTAGTAAATGAAGCTTATCCATGGATAGAGAGTAAAATACCTTTTCACGGAACAAAAAGTGGCCTGGTCTCTTGGGATCTTCAGTACCCTTCTCCATGATTTCAGCCTTCTCAGCTTCAGACACAACAGATTGCTCAACAGAGGCTGATTCTTCTTTGTTCCAATCTCTCACCTTTTCCATCGTGATCAGGCGACGAGACCATTGGCCAAAGTTTTGCTCACTGTTGGATACTAAGGTCATGCAAGGATGTTGAGGCACATCGGCATTTGAGTATTCATCTACGACGGTGGGCAGCCAATACACCAATCTTCCTCCCAACACCAAATTCTCGGCGGCAAAGTTCAACAAATCAATGAGCACCTCAGACATTTCATAGGGCTTCGTGGGTGGATAGTAATCTTCGCGAGTATGCATTGGGATGCCATCATAGGTACGCATAGCAAGTTCTTTGCCATCATGTCTGCCTAATTTTTTGGCACCAGCACGCACACCGTATGGAGGATCAGTGACAATCGCATCTAGCCATTGTTGCGATCTCCAAGGATTGTGACAGATATCAAACACCAGAGCGTCCAGTACACGGCCCTGCAAGTTGTATTGTTCAATGTTGGATTTCACTCCTGATTTGCCTTTTCCACGAATCTGTCGTCCATCAATATCTGAACCCAATGTGAAGGAGCCAAAGTGAGCACAGGTAAACAAGAAACTACCTGTTCCCACAAATGGATCATACACAATCTTGCCAGGGGCAGCTAATGCTTGATTTGCCATCACTAGTGATAATTCTGCGTCCATAGAAGTTGTGCCCAAATATTTTCTCTTCTTCAAGTTGTACAAGTTGACCAAATCACGGCTGCCAGTGGCGATCAATCTACCCATATAGATGTGAATAGGTGCAGGTCTTTCTGTTCCATTTTCAAATCCATAATCAGCCAAAACGTGGAATTGCACCTCAGGATTCTTCATGTCAATGACACCTTGGAAGCCAAGGTAGGAGAAAGAGTTGATGATGGCAAGCTGCTCCTTGTATGTGATGGTGGATCCGAATGCTGACACGACAAATTTGAAAGAGCATGTCATGTAGTCGTTCCATCTATCGCTTGTCTTTTTCACTTGCTCGTGCACCTGCTCGTATGTCTCTCCATCTCCCCAGAGTTCGTAGATGTTTCTGATTCGATTCTATTAGTATGGTCATCATGTAAATGTCAGTGGCGCTATTTACTTGATCAAGATGGCTCTTTTGATGAGTTTCTGTGCCTCTTCTGTGGAATCAAGCTCGACTTTGAAAAAGGGGTTCTGTTGGCAAGATCAGTAAGATGTCTCTCGAGCACTTTTAGTTTCTTACATCAAGCTTGTACTCATCCTTGTTGTATTTCACATTGACTTTCTCCAATTTTGCAAGCGACAAAAATTCAGGAAGTCTAAACTCGTCATGAGACTACAATCGGGTCAGCATTTTGACACTATCAACTGTTCTCAACCAAGTTACCTGAGCAAACTGAATCAAAAAGGTTGGCATAATGTAAATATGGTTTTATCAACGGATTGAAAAATTGTTTTACTCTAATTGACAGTTGAGTTTGCTCCTCAAGCGGATAATCAAAGCTTTTTCTTTTCAACAAGCCACCGTCAGTTGGTTTTGTGTGATAATTACGAAACCTGCAAGTGAAAAACAGGGTTTCACCAAACATGTCTAACAGGAACGAGATGCCGAAAGTCAATTCTCATGGGAACACAGACTTTTGTTGTCATGGAACTGCCATTCATCCACGCAGATGCTTCCTTTTTATCGCTAATGCTTGTATTCAAATCAAGATTCATGCAATAGAGCACTCTATTGATATCCTCACTCTATGCATGATACTCCTCTTTTTTCTAAACCTTTACATCACGTGTGTGAATGATACCTTCGGGAATACTCCTTTTCCTTCCAATGAAAGACAACATGAATTGATCAGGCCTCTTTTTTCGAGAAGTGGAATTAAAAAAACCACCGAGTTTCTTTTTTTTTTTTTGCGTCTTTTCTCTTTCCCTTCTTTCTGTTCATATTACACAAAATCAAACAATTTCTAAACAATGGCGTCTTGGTGTAATTACTCTTGGAAAAAGAACAATCCATCAATGGCTGATTTACTCATCATCTCTCTATAGTATCTCAAATCACAAGTACTGTCACAAACATTGCTGGCCTCACCGAGGAGGGATCTGTAAAGACACCAGGTGATACAGCTAAAGATGGCCAATACTATAGCGAATTGGTAGAAAAGGATTACGAGTGGGCTTGTGCCTCTGGGTCGGCAACAGAGAACCAAATCTTTTACATGACAACCAAGACTGGTGGTTTTATCTTTGTTCAACTCATTTACTCTGCCATTGGGTAAGTTCAAATGCTGGTTCATGGCATAACAAGTACTAATTGCAACATACAGTCTCTGGAAACCCACTGTATCGTTCACTTGTCGTTTCTATGACCCCACTTCAAGCACAAACAAGTTTAAAAACTTTAATCAAGCATCTGAATTCACACTGTCCGAGGATCGCCGCTCTGTAAAGACAGAATTCTTCAACATTACACTGGATCCTACCTTGTCCAAGTTCAAGGTCTCCATCACTCATCCAGACTTGATTGCCGATTTGGATTATGCACGTATTGATAAGGGCTTCAAAGTAGGAGAAGGTAAAACTTATTTGGGCGGCAACGATCAATCATCTGCTGCTGGTATCGTATCACACAAGTTTTGGCCCCGTTGCTCTGGCAAAGGTACCATCATTATCGAAAAGCAATTCTATGAGGTGGATGCCCATGGCATGTTTATCCACGCTATCCAAGGTATGCAGCCTCAATTGATTGCTTCTAAATGGAATTTCGTGGATTTCCAGGCTCAGGATGCCGCACTTTCCATGATGCAATTCACTACAACAAAGCAATACGGTGGTGTTGAAGTCAACCAAGGCTCTATCGTTCTCCACGATAAACTGATTAGTGTTTGCGTTGAAAACAATGTTGAAATGATGGATCTCAAAAAGGACGATGAAACTGGGTATGATATTCCTCAACGTGTCAAGTTAACATGGAAGGGAAAGACTCTAAAGGAGAACGAGACGGATGAGGTCAAGGATGTCTCTGTTGTCATGATTGTCGATTTGAAAAACTTGATTGATAAAATTGATATTCTGTCTGAAATCCCCTGGTTCCTCAAAAAGCTCGTTCAAACATTTGTCGTAAAGCCCTTCATCTATCAATGGATTGACGATGCTACTGCTGAGATTATTGTTGGGGACGAGAAATTCGAATGCCCTGGCAGATGCTATCAAGAACTCGTCTTTGTCTCAGCCTTTTAGCATGTCTTTTAATGGAAAACAATACTAATTAGAATTCTTACACTTCATACCAACTAATAAAAAATTGACAATACATAACAATTCGATCCTTGTGGATTTTTCAAGCGCTTTTGGGCAATAATCTTTTTTTTCTCTGCTGCCGTTCATGCAAACAGATCAGTCAAGATTACACATAGTGTAACCTTAATGCTTTGGTTCTAGAAAGCTGGACATCAATAACGCATGGGTTAGGAAATATCACAACAATGCATGTATTGTAGATGCTTTCAACAGCTTACAATGATAAAAAACCAATAATGATATTCTTTTTAATCCGCTAGTTATCAGCCTTGCTGTAACAGGATTGACAACAATGAGCACCTGCCATTTTTGTAGAACGCTGAGCAATCTCACCAAGAGAGGACCTCAGCAATCCTTGGCTTTAAGTGCCAACGAGCAGGGGGCCAGTGATGCAAAGAAAATCAAGTTACTATTTGATACCTAAGCAATGCTTAAAACGTATATCTGGAATAGAAAATGTAAACCTCGGCCTCATCACAGCTTGGTGAATTGCTCAGGCATACATTCTTGCATATCTTGAAATATTGCGCGTGTATAGATATCATAGCAACATCCCTACACACTTTTGAAGCCTCAAATAGGAAACAAGTTGATCCTACAAGTATTTCGATAGACTGGCGCTATTAGATGCAAGGCTTCAAAAGAAAATACCATGTCTAAATATGTTATTATGTAACTCGCCATCTACTTTTTATTGGCTTCAAAAACATCTATTATTATTGCATTTATTATGATTAAAAGAACATTAAGTTTGCCAGCTTGCCCCGCCAGTTAAATTTTATTCCAATTCAGACTAATAGTCTTCCTTAGATTGGACAAATTTTAAAAATTTTCGACTTGAATAATCTGTTTTGCCATGTTCGATTAATTAAAATCTAATGATCATCCTCTACTTCTTTAAGTTTTCTTGGAGTGCTTTTCAAGGCGCATGTAATGGTACCAAGTAAAATAAATGTTTTGAATAAACTTATTGAGCAATTTCTGAAATATGAAATGAGGTTGTTGGCCAAAACGTCGATATTTTGAATATGGAGGTTTCACTAGAAAAGTTTCAAATGTTCCTTTGGATTGGGAGAAGCAATTTGAATTAATATATGTCATAGCAAAAGTCTTATTTTGAAGGTCAAAAACGCGATCGTTTAGTTTTCGATGAAAACCATGAAGGGCACCTCATGATGTGGAGTTGATTTTCGGTGATCCCAAAAAGGTTGCTGAAAAGTGTCAATAAGCAACCGCTAGGCGAGAACAACTGTTTGGTGCTACTCTGGCGGTCTGAAACGGCTTCTAAGGCGAGAAATGATGGCTTAAATGTACCCAATTTTAACTGTATTAGACACACTTTTGACTAGAAAAGGGGAATATCAGTATACTGCTTGCCCGTATATGAAATATCTCAGTTGTATACGAATATGGAACATCATATGAGCCAGATCCACAGATAATATGAGGGGTTCTCATGAATAAGTGGAGGGTTGAAATGAAAGTAGCAGTATTTTGATAAGATGAGTAAGGGCAATTGCTAGCTCGAGTGGCTGCTGCGTAGCGTAGGCAGACTCGTAGTTTTTAAAGTAGATCTAGACAAATGCACACAAAAAATGAATACATATGAGATGAAAAATGACGTTTTCTTTTTTTTACAAAATGTTTTGATATATATTAACTAAAGGGCTACACACAAAGTCTGTGTGTACCTGCTAATATTTGAGGAAATGACTTTGTTTCGACCATATACACTATTTTCAGAAATTATTGGGACATTTTTAAAAAAAATTGGTACTAATTCTGAATAAATATTGGGTCAATTTATAATTAAATTTGGGACAAATCTTGAACTATTTTGGAACACTTGCCTAATTAATATTGGGACACTTTTCGAAATTATAATGAGACAAAACTAAATGGGATTTGAGATGAAATCATAGTCGCTTTCTTCGTTATTCATAACATGTCAGATATCAGAATTTACTACGAAGACGGAATAAATGCTCCAGTCGATGGGCATGGAAACGAAGCTGTTGAGATGGATGTAGACAACGAAGCCTTCCCTCTCGGTAACATTACCAACTACAATACTTATGTTGATAGGAAGCCACCTGAAAGAGAATTGACCGTACTAAAAGAGAAAAAGATTAAAAATAAGAAAAATGTGCCCAAGACTGAATATAACAGCTACACAGACAAAGACAAGGCAAGATTCTTTATCCTTATCTACGACCATGGCATGAATCCTAATCAAGCTTGGAAAGCGCACGGCCATATATCAAGAACAACCGCTTACAGATGGTACGCAGAGGATCAAAAAAAGGTTAACAAAGAAATTGAGGACGATGAAGAGCCAGTTAAGAGAGCAGGTCGACCAAAGATTTTGAACGAAGACCATACGAAGCACCTAAAACTAGAATTTGAAGATAATCCATCAGTAACAATCGAACAAGCTCATGAGAGTCTTGTTAGGGCTTTCTCGGGTTTGACTATCAGCCAAACGACTATTTACAACTACATGACCAATGATCTTGCCTTGACTTTCAAGAAAGCTCATTTCCATTCCAAAGAAAGAAACTCGCCTGAAAACATTCAAAACCGGTACGACTGGGTAGTCAAATGGAGCCAAACCGACATGGATTACATGTCCAACTGTGTTTTCATTGATGAGTCAGCTTTCCATATTAACTTGAAGCGAACAATGGCTTGGTCAGAGAAAGGAACTCGAGCTGAAGTGCCTGTACCTCAAACAAGAGCGAAAACTACCACTATTATTGGCGCAACTAGCGTATGGGGAGTGTTGAATGTTCAAGTGAGGTTGCCTGGAACATCCAACAAGAAAAGAAAGTTAGCTGGCACTTCTTCTGGAAAAGCAACAACAACTGTGGGTACTGTAACTGGCCACTACTTTAACTTTATTGCGAAAACGATTGATATCATGGACCAGCATGAGCAATTCAAAGATTTTTATCTTGTTATGGACAATGCACCCATCCATACAGCCAAGGATATTGAGAGGTATATCATTCAGCGAGGTTACAGATGTGTTTACCTCCCACCATACTCCCCTGAGCTTAATCCTATTGAGCAATTCTGGCATGTGGTCAAGAGTAAACTCAAGAGGGAGAGGCTCTTAAAAACTGAAACACTTTCGACCAGGATTACCGATGCATGCAATGATGTATTGTACAGTGATCTTGAAGGTTCTGCTCGCTACTCTGTTAAGAAATTCGATGTTTGTTTGGCGAAAGAGCCATTGTAATAAATGAATTTTACTTTCCTGAAAATGTCTCAATGTTTTTTTTATATGTGTCCCAATATTAATTAGGCAAGTGTTCCAAAATAGTTCAAGATTTGTCCCAAATTTAATTATAAATTGACCCAATATTTATTCAGAATTAGTACCAATTTTTTTTAAAAATGTCCCAATAATTTCTGAAAATAGTGTAATGTCAAAAAGTCAAAACAACATTACATATCTACATGCACTGCATTTGCAAGAATGACAAAAAGTATAGCAGCAGTCCGTTTCGATCAGACGACCTCAGGGTTATGAGCCCTGCGCGCTTCCTGCTGCGCCATGCTGCTAGTTGATGTTTAGTTATTATTGAAAATAAATCTAACTAGTTGTTCTACGAATTTTTCTTATAGATTGTCACCTAAAATACTAGTAATAATCCATTGAATGTAACTTTTGTAGAATGTAACAAGAACTTAGGAATTAGGTTGAAAGACGATGTTTATTGAATACAATGTAGCTTATGCACTCGATACGAATTAGTCACCGAAATGATCACTGTTTGTTTTTATTTTTAAGAAAGTCGAATAACCCAATAGATGTGTAATGAAATAGCCACCCAAACGCAACTTGATTGAAAACCGAAATTCACCAAATAGCACTCATTCAAATTCATGCTATTTGGATCTATTAGTAAAAGCGCTCAAATGTACATCAACAACCATTTAAACATACTAAAGTAACGATACACGCTTATATCGCACATCGTGTGAATGAATCACTCCTGATCACAGTGTATTCAATCACACCCATGATGGTCGTAATAAGAGATGTTATCTTTATCCAAATAAAATCAAATCAATAACAAGCATATTCAAATATGACAACTATGTCCTGCTGCCATAGTTACACAATATCCCAGATAAAGGGTTCCAGACTTCAATAACAAACATCACACTTTAAACCATCAAGGTTACATTAAATCATGCTATGACGACAGCTCACCCAAGCCCGTCAAGGTTACTCAAATCGACCCTTATGGCCAGTGCTCTTGCATTGATTACCACTTTAAATCAAACATCAACAACATTTGTCAGATATCGCAATAGAAGAACCTATTGCTCTCTATCATCACTAATCCTACAAGCTAGATGCAAATGTATAAATACTCTTCTTTTTTTTACTCAATTCCAGGATCTTCAGTTCATTTGATACACAAATAAAACACAGTTAATTTCTATTTGTTAAGCACAAAGAATAAAAGGATTATTATTTGTAGCTTATAAAAAATGTTCGATATTATAAAAACAAGAAAAGACTTATTTGAATAAGATCAGACACAAAAAACTAGAGATTTATTGATGAAGACAAGAGTGATTCTATTTATACTAAGTTTTGAATGCCAAAGTAGCAATTTATCTTGTACAGCGCTTATCACATCTGGTGGACCTCAGCATTTAGATAGCTGAGATGTACTTCAATTATCATAGCTTGTCCATGTTGTTGCACAACACAGACATTGTGGAATTTGAGGCTTGATAGACTAAAATTCACGGAAAAAAAAGAATAAAAAAAACAGTAATGTCAACTTGATAAAGGTATTGTGGAATTTGAGGCTTTACAGACTAAAATTCACGGAAAAAAAAGAATAAAAAAACAGTAATGTCAACTTGATAAAGGTATGTTTTATTATCAAACTGACAGGTGTAAAGTAAACTGA